TAAATTAGAAATATTGTACGTGTGACATCTGACAGAGGATGTGGATGGAGTGGTGCAGTCCAAATCATTGGTGTGAGTCTGAGGAAAGTGGAAACAATAATAATAATAATAATAATAATAATAATTTGAAATTTGTTATTGTTAGTCCTAAATGAGTGATGTCTGATTAGGAAAGTGGATTAATTTAATCAATGGCTATTGTTTCAAATTAATTGGTGTCTAACCTGTCACCATGCATGATAATTTAATTTGATACCTAATCATATTTAAAAATAATATATTAAAAATATAAGAGGGTTTTGTTTTTAGAGTTTCAATTTTGCGTTTAAGATTTGAATACTAAAAATTTTGAATTTAAACAGTTACACGGTGATGTGATATAATTAAGTGTTGATACGATACTTTAAACGAAAAATTGATCTTTAGTAGTATAATATAAAAAAATAAATGTATAATTTGATATTTTTATAAAAAAGAGTTGATGAATAGTAAAATTCTGAGTAGAAATATCCTGACGCTAAAAAATGGTGTTGCACTGTAGCAACGCCTCCTTATTTTTTATTTTTTTATTATTTTTTTATTTTTTAAAATTTAAAATTTATTTTTTATTTTTCTAATTTTTTTTTAAAAAATTAAATTATAAAAATAAAAAATTGTTTAAAATAATATAAAAAATTGAATATTTGAAGAATAATAGTGAAAAATAGAGTTACATTTGAAGTAAAATTACTGCATATTTAGAGTTACAAGTTATAGATTGGAGATGGCCTAAGAGATAATATATATATATATATATATCATAAAGTATTAATATGTGTTATAAAATTATATCCAATATACTCTCTGATCTTATTGTGCTATCGGAAAGATAATCAACATCGTAACCATCGACATAGCCATTGTGTCTTTGTTTAGATAACGCTTTATTCTTTTGTGATTTTAAAATAAAATCGGCAATATATATCATGCATAGTTTTCAATAAAAAATAAACTTTTTTTTTGTTTCATAAAATATAGCATCAAGAAATTATTTAAACAAAAACTTTAATCGACATTATATTTTAAATCAATTTAAAACCACAATCGAACAAACTCAAATATTTTGAAAGTTTTTTATTTTTGACATTATTCAATTTTTTAAAAAAATTATATTAATTTTTTTTCTCACAAAATATCATTTCATATACATTTTTTTTTTTTTTTTTACCATTGTCTAAAAAAAATGTCCAAATTGGTCAATAGAGTACTACGAAATTAATTTGAAACATAGATAGAAAATTAATCAATCCCTGCTGGTTTTATTTGGCTTCAAACTTCAGCAAAATTGATACAGAAACCAAGCCTTATTTTTTGGGAATCAGACGAATTGAATTACTTTAGGCAGCACATATCTAATAATTAATAGTAGGGAAAAAATTATTTTTGTTCCCAATATACCCAAAATTCATCCATTTTCGTCATAATATAGAATTCTTATCAATTTTGGTCACAATATAACCAAAATTCATTATTTTTAGTCGCAATATAAAATGTTTATCAATTTTAGTCTCAATATAATCAAAACTCATCATTTTTTGTCATAATATAATGAAACCTTATGTTTTATTTATCCCAATATAATCAAACCTTATCGTTTTTTGATCCTACACTGTCAACAAAACGACGAAAAATGCTGACGTGAAAAGAAATCAAACCTTATATTTATATTTGAAGTAATTGCACAATCTTGCAACATTTTCCGTCGGTTTGTTGACGGTGAGACAAAAAAAGATAAGGTTTGATTATATTGAGACAAAAAATGATAAGTTTTGGTTATATTGAGACTAAAATTGATAAAAATAAAATAAAATTATATTTTGACCAAAAATGATGAGTTTTTGTTATATTATGATAAAAAATGATTGAGTTTTGATTATATTTGGACCAAAATTGATAAGATTTTTATATTGTAACTAAAATTGATGAATTTTGGTTATATTAAGACCAAAATTGATTTTTTCCCTAATTAATAATAATAATAATAATTTTATTATGCTAATAGTTTCTCCAATGAATTATCGTACGCACCAATTATATAAACAATCAGCATTAATTTTTTATAAAAAATAAAATAAATAAAACTGTTTTTTTTTCTTTGAATGAATGAATGAATATTGGTAGTGATTAAAATGACATTTTAGTGGAGACTGACAAGGATTTTGACGAGGGCTTTTTAATTTTTCTTTTTTTTTTTTTCTTATCAGAGAGGCAGCCCTTGTATATATAAATTTATTGTAGGACAAAGCTACCTTATAATCGGCCATGTAATAATAACGAAAATATTGAATCTGATTTTTTGGGCATTTAAATAATTTTTTTTTTTTAAAAAAAGGTTGTCTTACCGTGTTATCTTCGTTTTTTCCAAGGAAAAGAAGAAACAAAATAAAGCTGGGCTCATTATATTGTGTGCTTTATTATCAAGGAATCATGCATCCTTTCCTTTCCATTACTTTTATTTTTTTTAATAGAAAAAGATAACTTATATACTGAATTTATTGTGTAGATTCAACAAATAAAGCATAATTATATTAAGGCTATAATTATAATAATAATTTATATTCCATTTAATTATAGTTAAATAAATTATGCAAAAAAGGATGTGGTCGCATCACTATCGTATAGATGTAAGAATAACTGAATCCCATGCGTGTGCATGCACTAATAGTTTACGTATAAATAATGCATCCAATAATATAACGTCTCTCCGTACACACATATAGATATGCAAACTGGATTGATAATACTCCCTCCTTCAGGCAAAGGGTGGCGTTTGTTTTTTGCACGTAAATTTTTGAATATTAGTATTATATTGAATTGTAGTAAAAAAAAAATATCCCTATTAGTACGGTGTAATATAAAAGTAATGACATTTGTGTAATATATTGTAAGTTGAAAGAGTATTTATTATGTGAAGTAGGTAGTACAATTACTAAATTAGAAAATGATAACCTTACTTTGGAACGAACGAAAATGGAAAATTGTAACCTTTCAATGGGACGGAAGGAGTATTAATTTTTTAATTGTGCTTATTAAATTCAATAACTTAGGTCTCTTTCTTTAATCAAAATTTTTTAAATCTTACTATTTAGATTATATGTTTTTCGGAAAAAAATATAATTATTTCTCTCACAAAATATTCTATTAAATATTATTTTAATACCAAACTCAAACTAATTTTTCTTAAATTCAACCAAAATAAACACACCCTAAATCCTAATATGCATTAGTTTTTCATTGGCATTTACACATATATATATATACACTGTTTAAATAAAATATAAAAAAATAAACTCTAAAATAATAGTATGTGTATATATATTTATTTACACAATTAAAAAATGTGTCCAATATATGTAATTAAACTAATACTCGTTTCGTTCTAGCTCAAAGTAGTTTTTTTTTTACAATTTTTATCTTTCTATTTAAAAGTATATTTTTTCTTTTTTAATAGATATAAATATATTTTAATATCAAAATATCATCAATTTTTAATTAAATTATAAATATACTATTACATACACAATCACTTTATATATATAAAGTCAAAACATAAAAATATAAAAAAAAAATAAAAAAACTTCGCGGCCAGGAGATCTTAATTACTTACTTCCACTAATTAATAAAATATTATTATTTTTTAATTCAAAAATATGCGTTCAAATGAAACAAGAAAGGTATAACAATACTAGAAACTCAGATGATGTGTGTTTTGGGGTAAAATTTCCCACCTAAGGAGACAACCCTTTGAAGCTAAAGTTGTTAGGTTTTAACTTTCTTTTAATTTTTATCTTTTGAATTTAATATTTCCTTCGTCCCAAATCAGATGACAATTTTGGTTAGAAATACGATATTTCAGACGATGTAAATTAGTAAGTTATTAATAATAAATTTGATATAATTTATTATTTTTTATATAAGTAATGTTGATATTTTTAGCATAATATCTCAATAATATATATATATATCTCAATAAAATATACTATTATTTTAATTAAATAATCTTTAAATACCGTGATCACATTTCTTGGGCATGATTTGTAGATTCACATAAATAAATCATTCCCTTTACACTTTGTTTAATAAAAAAAAGGTTATAAAACAAATAACCCCAATCACATTCATTATTATTCTCTCATTCATCCAATTATTTATTCATGCAACAGATATTAAAAAAAAATAGATAAAAATAATAACTTTTATATTTAAAACTAAAAAATAAAATACTTTTACTAAAAATAAATAACAATAAATTTATATGACAATAATAATAATAAAAAAATACTATTTTCTCTTATTTTTAATATAAACTACTACTTTTTTTTACTAAAATACATATTCTTATAGTATCAACCATTACCAATTTCAATCACTATCCATCAAATTTTTTCAAATCTAAATAAAACTTATTAAGCCAAAAGAACATCGCATGTTTTGTTTTGACATAAATTTTTCGAGCGGTATAATTTTAATATTTTAAAAAGTATTTTATATTTGAAATATTTTATAAATAGCATTTATATTTTTTAAAAAAACAAAAAAAAAAAACTATACATAAATACATTACAAGTGAAAGAGACTGCCGATACCCAATTCCATCCATATCCTCTCTATAATATAAAATCAATATTATCTATAAGTGCCTTAACCTTTATATCTACAAATAATAATAATTAATAATTAATATAATTAATTAGACCAAGGTAAGATTATTTTTAAACCAGTTTTAGCTTCGATCACCAAATTTTAATACAGATGTAACTTGTAAGTAAGCATATATATATATATGTTGCCAAAGTTTGAAATTGGTTTAATATCCATTCCAAGTGTTAGTGAAAATTTCAAATTAATGTAACGCTCCTAATTGCTATATAATAATAATAATGTATGGGTCATTGTAAAAATAATGCATCTACAACAACAATAGTAATAATAATAATAATAATAATATAAACCTCAAAAGAAGGGTATGGGGAAATACAAAATTAATTTTTGCTCATTCCATGCATATATAGATATAGATATGTATATATATATATCATCTTCTTCTTCTTCTAGCTAGCTATAAAAAGCACTACATGCAAACTAATTATCAGTAAGGGCAGAGCAGAGCAAAGGCATAGCAGCTCGATCCATCGATATCGATACCGATAACCAGACGAATTAATTGTGAAGGATTGATAGATATGGTGAAAATGGATTCGGAGTTTTTAAGGAAAGCCAAGGTATACGTGGCTGTAATATTTCTGCAGATTGGGAATTCTGGATTTGCTATTGTGGCTAAGGGTGCTCTGGATAAGGGCACCAGTCATTTCACCTTGTCTGTCTACAGAAACGCCATTGCTGCTCTCATCTTCCTCCCTTTTGCCCTCGTCTTCGAGAGGTTACATCCATTTTATTTTATTTTATTTTATTTGGAGATTTATTTTATTTTATTTTATTTTTCTCTAATGATATATCATCATATATATATATGCAGAAAAATTAGGCCCCGGATGACTCTGGGTGTCTTCGCCAAGATCCTCTTGCTCAGCTTTCTCGAGTAATTGAATTATATATATATATATATATATGCATATTGATGAGTTAAAATTGCATTTTAATTTAATTTGATTTGATTGTGTGTGTACAATAAATTAGTAAATAAATAAATGTTACATATACCTGCAGCCCAATAATGGGGCAGAACCTGTTCTACGTGGGAATGAACATTACGACAGCCACTTTTGCAGCAGCTCTCTGCAATCTTATGCCTTCTCTAGCATTCGTAATGGCCTGGATACTTAGGTATATATGTATATATATATACATGTATATGATGTAGAAATATATATATATATATGTATCTGAAATGGATAAATATGAATGTTGCAGAGTAGAGAAGGTGAAAGTGAAAGACAGGAGCAGCCAAGCGAAGATTGTGGGAACACTTATCACTCTGGCCGGAGCCATGATCATGACCTTCATTAGCGGCCGCGACCTCGGCCTGCCGTGGACGCACGCCGACGACCGGCATCAGTCCAGCGCAGCCGCCGGCGGCCGCCAGCAGCAGCAGCTCATTAAGGGCGCTCTCATCATCTTCACCGGCAACTTCGGCTATGCCCTGTTTTTCATTCTTCAGGCGATCACGTTGCAATCGTACCCGGCGGGGCTTTCTCTGACGGCGTTGATATGCACTATGGGGGCAGTCATCGGAACTGCACTGACGTTCATGGTGGAAAGGGGGAATACTGCAATCTGGGCCCTCGGATGGGACAGCAAGCTTTTAGCTTACGCTTATGGGGTGAGTTCCCCCAAGTCTAACCCTAACCCTAACCCTATGAATTCAATTTTGCCGCCTTTAATTTCAGATTCTCAATCGTCTTCTTCAATTCAGGGAATAATGTGCTCTGGAATCAGTTACTACATTTCGGGGGTTATAATGAAGACGAAGGGCCCTGTCTTCGTCACAGCATTCAATCCACTCAGCATGGTCATTGTAGCTGCTTTAAGCTCCTTCGTTTTTGCAGAGCAAATGAACGTCGGCAAGTAAGTGTAATTTGTTACCCATGCATAAATTCTAATTAACAACTAAAATTTTAAAACTGATAACTATGGATCATCAATGGCTGTCAGGGTTACTGGAGCAACTGTGATTGTAATAGGCCTTTACTTGGTGATATGGGGAAAGATCAAGGATGAGAAAGCCATTGAAGAACTTCAAACAAATCCTTCACCATCCATTGACGACGATGAGAATGACAATAAGAAAATTACAGACCCACCTACTGCTTCTCATGCTGTTTAATTATCATGTATATCAAACTTGCAGAACTCTGTAATTCTTCATCTTTACCAACACTATCCAGACACCAATGGGTGCCATATGTCAAGATCCTTCAAGATTCATCTCTTTTTACAAAAAAAAGGGCTTCGAATAATATATAAAAAGTTGGTTTCTTGCAAAAGTCATTTAAAACTACAAACTTTATACCATTCCTGCAATATGTTGCAAACTTTAATGTCTGTTCCCTATTCTTTACACAGCGAATGCTATAGTTCCATAGCCTACGTATATCATCAATGATCAATCTGTACATTTGCGAGTCATCATCACCAGAAATCATCGGAAAAACCGGTCGAGGAGTGGTACTGCTCATCTTCTGCCTCAGGTTCCATCTCCAGCTCGGGCTCGTTGTGCCCGAATTCAGGCGATTCGATGTCGGCCAGGTTCTTCAGATCAACAACTGATAGCTCGTTAAGGTGTCGGACGACCAGGTCGGCTGCATTAAGCTCGTACACGGGGTGTTTACTAGCGACCGCCACACACTTCATCTGTGCATCGTGTGCTGCTTCCACGGTTTGGTTCGAATTTCCGAAGACAATGCACCTTTCGGGTATGAACTGCAAGAGCTGTGCGGCGTATACAAACATCTCGGGATCTGGCTTCCCTCGGTGGACATCCTCAGCCGCCACGATGATGTCGAACACACCTTCCATATCGATGGCTCCAATTGCTTGCTCAAGGGACTTTCTTGGACGGGTGGACACCAGCGCCATCGGCACCTTTTGGTGCATCAGAACATTCACAAGCTCCCGGGAGCCGGGACGAAAGCTATGGGAATACATCCCACCATGTAAAGCTTGGTGAATATCCTCCTTCCTTGATGCCATTCTCTTCAGCTCAGATGGATCTCTCGACCAACAGAGAACTTCGGACATGGCTTGTTCGTTCTTCATGCCTTCTATTCTCCGGAGCAGGAATGCCGGAGGCGGCGACTTCCCTTCTTCCTGAGAAAGGGTCAGCCATGCTTGCTTCTCGAGATCTGGATTGTCCTCGACCAACACCCCTTCCCATTCGAATATAACACCTAGCCATCCACAACCCATCCGTTCTTGCCGGAGTAACGGGTTATTAAGGGCTGGATTGTCTGCCTTGTTCTCCGGTGGCCACATCCCCGGCCGGAGATAAACACCAGTATCAATCCTGTTTCGGAAGTCTCTGGTTGTTCTTGTTCTTTCTTCATCGCGGAATGAATATGGATATGCCTCTTTGGTTAATTCTTTGGCTTGAGCCTTGATCATTGAAGATGGTGAAACACAAAATGGAACTTTTCTGCAGGGGAATTTAGTAAATGGCTGCCGGTAAGGATCAGCCGGACTACGTTTGATCGAGACATCTTTGCTATAATAACACCCATTGATGGGTAGATATCCTAAGAGGGATGCTGCAGCAATTGAATCTACCATTTTTATTTTTTTTTACTTACAAGCACTACAAGAACGATACGAATTGGGGTTTACAGCAAAATTTGGTGAATCCCCAAATTTATCCTGCGGAGAACCCTAATTCACAACGGCGAGACAACGGAATTCGCCAGAAATAGATCACGGAAAACTACGAGATTCTCAAACCTCAAACTTCAATTCACAAGCATACCAGAAAACAATAACCAGAAATTCTATATATATACAGCAAGTCCAATTGATTTTACCTAAAAACACAGGGACACTACAAAATTGCAAGACATCAACAGTATTCACGGACGGCAAAAGAAGGGGATGAACAGTACCTGAACTGGGATTGGAGGGGTTTGCGATAATGTAGAGTATCAAAAAAGGAAAACAGAAAGAGATGAGTTTCTTGTTGCGAACGAATTGAAGACGTATGTAACTTCTTGTTCGTTGATTTGTGTGGTTTATAAGCAATTATCAGTCGGCCAAGGTGGGTGGCGCTGTGCTCCGCCGCCACGCCTTGCGGGCTCTGGTTTGACCCGAATGCTAAATTGTACTATTCGGATCATCACGTCACGTGGACGGTGGACCATTTCATTCGAAGTTCGGATTATCCACTTCGCAAGGTCGATTCTATAAGACGACTGGGCCGGGTTTCAGGGTTCAAATCCAATCCGAATGACTAATATTCCCATTTTCGTTTCCCATTTCAAGCTCCGGTCCGATTCCCTTCCTTTCTTTCCTTCATTGCCCCAAATTTCATCTCCCACCCCAAACCCTAACCCTAATTTCAATTTCAATTTCAATTGCGTTGATGCTCTGGTTTTTGCTCCCGCTAGTTGACTTCAGCGCGCGAGGCGAGGCGAGGCCTCTCTATCTTATTTCTTCTTGACTTCGTCGGCTGCGTCATCTCCTACAAGCTACAGATGCATAAAAAGTTTGTAAGTTTATAGTCTTCCCTTTCAAGCATTTGGAATAATTTAGATTTTTTACTTGTTTGCAGCTTTTTTAATGCAATTCGACCTTTTGTTTCGTGAAAAATTAATAAATAACAGCACAATGTGAGAATCTTTCCAGCAGATGTGATTACTGTTTTTCCTTTTTCTTTCTTATTACAATTTAGTCCAGTTTTCATGTCGGGTTAGCCGATCCAACCTGTACCCGGGGGCCCGGGTGGGTTGAATTTTGAGGTGGATCTGGGTCTTAGCGGGTTTAGGGTTGATTAAATAAGAAAATCATACATAGTTTTTTTTTTTCCTTCGTACTAATGGAAAATTATCGTAATATAAAGAAGCTGCTGATGCAGTGGATAATGCTAACACAGTTTAATTAATTTCCACTTTCTAGAATTTTGTCCTAATAAATTTATCAGCTAGGTCATGCATTTGCCCAAAAGTCACTGCTCGGTCATCAATTTCTCGTGCTACAATTAGTATTAGGGTTGAAACGAAAACTGTATGCCGTGCCCACATAATCTAATTAGTTTATAAATATTTTAAGGTCTTATTTATTTATTTTTTCGTAATGTATACTATACTATTCAGAAAAGTCCTTCCATTGAATTGGTCCACATGCTGCACTAAAAAAACATTGGACATAATTTGTGCAACTGTCATATAAAATTCCAATTTCTGAAGGGCCCAAAACAATGGCTCGTTGGGGTAGAAATATTTGTAGATTTGTGGAGTTTTGTAATTTTAAAAATATCAAAAAATTTATGTGATATTTTAAAAAAATTGTACAGTGCCAAAAAAAAAAAAAATGCCTAGGTCGTAAAGTTGTGCAGATTAGTCAATTATTATGATATTTAAAATAAATTTATCGTGTAGTTAATTACAACTGGACAAGTTTTATTGCCACGTTGAAATTGTCGATGCCGTGTCGTTTTTATGAATAGTTTAGAACTTGTGCATATTTTATTATTAATATTATTTAATTTTTATAATAAATTTAGAAAAAATATATATTAATTCCGAGCAGGTCTTAGGTTTTTAGAGGGTACCAGTGTCCAGGTTCAATGTATTTTGAATATTGGATTTAATCATGGGTCTCATTCTTTGGGTCTTTCCCAATGGATGAATGCAAGCCCATTGACCAAGCTTGCTCCATCACGGCATCACCTACGTATAAATCACTTATTCCGGTTTAATTTTATTTGGACCTATAAGAACCGCCTGCGGTTCGAACCGGCAGTTTACGACTCAGACGACGTCGTTTCTTTTACACCTAAGAAATTGATGAGTACTACTATATTTTTGAAAAGTGAAACCCTATGTTGGAAATTGATGTGTCGATGGGAATCTTCGCGGTTGTGTATGATTCCGGAGCTCGGAATGTAATCCAACTATCTGTTTGTTGAAATTCAGCAGAGAGAATTCTTGTGCGAAAAGTGGAAGCGATTGACATGGGTGGCAAAAGAGGGAAGGGGAACAATGCAAAGGCTGGGGCTCAGCCGCACGTTTCCTTGACGCTGAGAGAAGAATCGAGCGGCAAGAAGCAAGTTCATATGAACGCGAAGACTATGTGCAAGCTCGACCATCTCAAAAGCCTTGCAGCCTGGGCCGCTACCGAAGCTTCTATCCCTTCTCTCGGGGCTTTCTTCGGCGAGCGCTTGGCAGCCACCACGGAAGCCTTGGGCATTCGCAGTGATCCTTCTCAGTTTGTTTGCGAAAGGTATGTATATCATAACGGATTTTAAGCTGTACAATGGTTTGAACTAGCTTACTATGGAATGCAAATATTTTCGTTCTATATTTCAACCCTAAACCCCAAACACTAAGTATTTTTAGTTTGTTTAATAGTTGACCCGAGAAGTGTAGTGTCCCATGATTACAATAACAGATAATATAATGTTGTGTTTCTTTTCAGTTTGGATTGGGATTGGGACCGTAGGTTTGGATTTGTGTTGAGATACTGTTGATGTGATGTTCTGTGAGAATTTTTTTCTTTGAAAAACTTGATAGAACTCAAAAGGAACATTACCATACTACTAATTTGGTTAGGCCGCCCACGCCCATTCGCATCTTTCAATGAGGCTATAGAAGTCTACCTTGGCATAGCGTCTGTTAAGAAGTGTTTCGGGCTTCCAACCTAAAACTAATTGGTGATCGGTGATAGGTGGAGTGGCCTAAGCCAAGGGAGGGACAATATTTAACACTCCTCCCACTCTATACTATGTTAAGAAGGGATCCGGGCTTCCTATCTAAAACGTGATAGGTGGAGTGGCCCTTCCAACGTGGGATAGGGACAATATTCAACACTCCCTTCGAGATGATAATCTCAAAAATTCATACCTAATACGGGCACGGGCACCATGGTATCAGAAACTATGACTCTTTACCATGTTAAGAAAGATTCCAAGGCTTTCAACCTAAAATCAATTGGTTATAGCTGGAGTACCATGGCTCTCCCTTCACCCTTATAAGCCAAGAGAGTAACCACATTTTTTCCAACGTGGGACAATATTCAACACCGTGAAACATTGGTTAGCCTTCTCCAGCATTTTATCTGTAGATAGCTCCTATTCGATTTCAGTTTGTACTTTTGCATGGTGCTAATATTTGGTTTGTTTTTGATTATATGGTAATTTGGTATATTCAAATTATTTGTATATGAATTGCAATGTTAGAACTTGGATGCTTCCATGTAGTTTACCTCTGATTGATGCATTAGTTTTCACTTCATATATTTGTAATATACATTGGAGTTTGTGACTTACAGTCTAAATAGGTAACATTCCCATGTTCGACATATAATGCCTTTGTGTTGTGCAGATGTGAAGCCATTTTGCAACCGGGATATAACTGTATCATACGAATTGAGAAGAACCATCCCAAGAAACGGCGCCAGAAGAAATCTAATCTCACCACACAAAACACCATCGTCTACACATGCAACTTCTGTTCCCATCGAAATTTGATGAGAGGAACTCCAAAGGGCTACATGAAGGAGATATGCCCTCCAAAGGCGAAACCACTACAATCTGCAGCAGAAAAACAAGCCAGCTCGAAAAAACCTGCAGCAACTATCCCTTCATTTATCGCTCTTGACACGCCTGCCGTGCCAACTGCAGACTCACAAAATCTTGAAGCAAGCAGTAGACAAAATCAAGAAGCTAGCAGTCCTGTGCCTTCATTGCCAACAGTAGGGATTTCTTTATTGGACTCGAGGAGGAAGAAAAGGAATAGGTCGGCTGCAAAGAAAGTAGTCGAACACGAGCATGCACAGGCAACTATGGATACTGATACTGATGCTGGCAAAAGTATGTCTTCTAACAAGAGGAGAAAAAAATCATGGACTAGTCTGAAGGAGATTGCTCAAAGCAATGAGCATGATGCTAGCAAGAATAGGCTCTCAAATTTAACCATTCCATTCTTTATTTAAGTATTCTACATTTTTTTTTTTCTGTGTATTCATTCTTTATTTATGGGAGAAATGACAGCAGGACTGGTATGGTGTTGTAAGATTCTCCCTGAAACAATTTTCTAATACATTTGGACTAAATTATCAAATACTCTAAACATTTGGACTAACTTGTCAATTCTCCAGATCAAATATTGAATGTAAATTTAAATATTAATTTTATTAGTTTGGACTTCCTTGTAAATTGGTTCTTACTTGATAAAGAAAGCGTTAACGACTTTCAGAGTCGCTCATATTATATAAAAGCTCAATTTTAAAGGCCTGTTTGGTTTTCAGGGTTGCCCTTCTTTTCCCTCTTTCCTCTTTGAACAGATCTCTACTGCACCTGCTCTGCTCACTTCGTGATTTACGATCGGAATCCAAGATGCAAGCTCCAGTTCTCGTCCTCAGTGAGTCTTTACTGGTTGTTCATGGCCTTATCTTCTTGATCTTCGTTAATTTTCGTGCTTCGACTAATGTGTTTAAAACTTGTGCCGAGCAGAAGATTCTCTAAAGCGGGAGTCTGGAAGCAAGGTGCACCATGCCAACATCCAAGCATCCAAGGTCATATAGTTTCTCAACTTGTCATGATTTTCGGAATTGTATTCAATGCGTACTGGCGAACAAATTGTGTGCCTGTGTTTAACTGTTTCTCACAATGAGCATGAATCTTATTCGCGTGTCTGATGGCCCACATTTGTTATTCTGTATCTAGGAGATTTTACCAAGTTTGTTTGGATTATTACTTCCAGTCATTCGATATTTTGAACAATTTACGAGAATGATTCTAAATGATAATGAGGAGGAGTGAGTTACCTGGCCACGGTTTTAAGCGTTATCTGGGGCAATGTTTTCTAGTTGATGTATTGATGTAGACTATGGATATTTCGGACTTAAAACTTAAATTGAAATGATTCTGCATCACAACAATAATATCAACGTCAACAGGAAAAATAATTATCATAGTAATCAAATAAATGAATAAATAAGTAAAAGGTTGTATGATGCTTAGTGTACGTACCCACATTTCCTATCATTCATATTAATTGAGTTCTTCAAAGTTTTGCATCAAGCTTTGCTTTGTTTGCATTATGCGCAACATGAACTGCCTATTGATCGAACTATTACAGAAATTTTGTTAGAGCTCTTTGTTACTGCTTTACAAAATTTGCCTACTGAAACATAACGGTTGTTGGTTGCTTGTGTCTTCTTTCAAGACAGAAACCTGCATTTTCTCAGTTATTTTTGTTTCAACTAACTTTAACCTTATCTTGGATGCATTATTAAAGGCAGTTGCAGATATTATTCGTACTACTTTGGGTCCACGGTCAATGCTGAAGATGTTGCTTGATGCTGCTGGAGGTAATTGTTCGTTTTAGCTCAAAGTATGAAGGCTAATAATGTTTTATGAAGAAAAGTAAGGGAATGTGCCTTTCATTGAAAAACAAATTATTAGATATCTCTGTTGCCATGGTAGTTGCTCATTGAAGATGATGTCGGTATTTAGGGTTTTTGCAAGTTTTGGATTGCATTCATCTTGATCTCCTGCCATGATGTTCTCAAGGTTTCATGATTAATTTTTATTTTCTTTTGAAATACAGGCATTGTAGTGACAAATGATGGAAATGCTATTCTTCGTGAATTAGATGTTGCCCACCCTGCAGCCAAGGCAGAGTACCCTGTTTCTTTTTACTTCTCTGTTTTGTATATAAACTGTCTACTAATTTATGGATCATAGATGAATAGAATTGACTCCTTGTTTGACATATAGCTTGCAGTGGTATTATGTTCTGCTTAACATTCTTGTCACTTGATGACATTTGTGCAGTCCATGATTGAACTTAGCCGAACTCAGGATGAGGAGGTAGGAGATGGGACAACGTCTGTAATTGTTCTTGGTATGTATGTGTTGACTGTTGAGGTTGCTTAGTCCAAATACTCTTTTTTTTTTCACTCAATAATTACTTACCTATATGCAGCTGTATAAAACACTAAAATGCCAGATAATTATAGAATATACATGATGTGTTTATAGTTGTTGTCTGGTGTTTGAGTAGCGTTGCTATTTATATAGTATGCTCTCAAAAGTGTGGGTCCCAGCATCATGCATTGGAGATGCCTTTTAAATTTCTTCTTATTAATTGTGATGTCTTGAATGATTGACTAACTAGGCATTTTGGCTTTAAAACATTTAGTGCCCAAATACTAATAGACTTATGTCTCTTTCAATTCAGCTGGTGAGATGCTCCATGTTGCAGAAGCCTTTATTGAAAAGAACTATCATCCTACAGTCATCTGTCGAGGTATTTGAGTAATTGTGTTTTCAATTCAATTCTCAGTCATTTTAATGTATATCAATCGTGACATTGTCAAATTTCTTGGTATTTGGTTTGCAGCTTATAATAAAGCGTTAGAGGATGCTATTGCTGTTCTTGACAAAATTGCAATGAATGTTGATTTAAAGGATCGTAAGTTTACTTGTGGTTTAATGCTGTATTATTGCACTATTTGTCTATGTGGTTTGAGTTTATATTGTATTCTTGATATCTTCTAAACTGGATTAGTTGTTGTTGCTTGTTATGGTAAATTTAATGAGCAATTTTGGTGTAAGGTTAAAACTATGATTAGTCTTACAACACTGTTATAAAATTTTCTGAAGTAAATCCCAGGTAAGAGTTAAAATAATAAAATCCACCCAATTTTGGTTCTACTTGATTTTTTGTTTTCCTTTTTCTTTTTAATAACATAGGAACCCTCAATGGTCTGCAAACCATAACAGGCTTGACTAAGAAAGCGTCCGTAGGATTTGAATCCGTGACCTTGCAGTCACAAATCGCCCAACCATACCAACTTGACCACCTCTTACGGGCTACAAACAATCTACTTCTTCCTCAAGCGTGATGTTGTGCATGATTACCTTTATTAATATACATTTGCTTATCTAGTTCTTTCTTTCTGGAGCTATATTTGTTAATATATTTTGTTGTTTTTACTTGTATTATGTTTTTATCAATTTTACTTACATGCTAAGCTGTATGATGTACAGCTGGAGGAACAAACACCTCCAGTTAGGTTTAAATGGCTGTTTCTGAGCTTTTGAAGTATCTATATGTATATAGGCAGCTTAGCTCGTGTATTATTACTTTCTCTTAACTTATTTTATCGAATGCCATGCTTTACATTTGGCAGGTGCAGCTATGCTTGGACTTGTTAAGAGCTGTATTGGAACAAAATTTACAAGTCAATTTGGAGATCTTATTGCTGTAAGAATTTCCATAACTGCTTCGTATATCTGATTACCGAGAATGGACCAGAATTGTTTACACTAACTTATATTTCAGTTCAAATCTTCAGCTAAATTGCTGTCATCTGTACTCTATATGTTAGTGTCAGCGTCATGTGATTGAAACTATATTTATATTTGTTGGATTATATCAATTGATTTTCAGGACTTAGCAATAGATGCTACTACCACAGTAGGTGTGAGTATTGGACAAGGACTGCGTGAGGTGGATATAAAAAAGTACATTAAAGTTGAGAAGGTTCCTGGTGGTCAGTTGGAGGACTCCAAAGTTTTGAAAGGAGTCATGATAAATAAGGATGTTGTGGTTCCTGGTAAAATGAAAAGGAAGATACTAAATCCAAGAATTATTTTGCTTGATTGTCCTCTTGAGTACAAGAAAGGTGAAAACCAAACCAATGCTGAGTTGCTAAGGGAAGAAGATTGGAGCGTCCTTCTGAAAATGGAAGAGGAATACATTGAGAACATGTGCATGCAGATACTAAAGTTCAAGCCAGATCTAGTGATAACTGAAAAGGGGCTCAGCGATCTGGCTTGCCATTATCTTAGCAAGGCTGGTGTCAGTGCAATCAGAAGACTGAGGAAAACAGACAACAACAGAGTTGCAAAGGCTTGTGGAGCAGTGATTGTCAACAGACCTGATGAATTACAGGAATCTGATGTTGGTACTGGTGCCGGGCTCTTTGAGGTGCGGAAAATTGGTGATGAGTTCTTTGCTTTCATTGTTGACTGTAAAGATCCCAAAGCTTGCACAGTACTCCTGAGAGGTGCAAGCAAGGACCTGCTCAATGAAGTGGAGAGAAATTTGCAGGTATTATGACTTTTGGTACCACAATGTGTTGTTTCTACCCCGTATTCTGACTTTCTAAACATTTTCGCGCAGGATGCAATGTCTGTGGCAAGGAACATAATAAAAAATCCAAAACTTGTTCCTGGTGGCGGAGCTACTGAGCTTACTGTCTCAGCTATGTTAAAACAAAAAAGTTCATCTGTTGAAGGCATAGAAAAGGTAAACCATCTTGTGTTATCTTTTTGTTGCATTGATTTCATTTTTCTCAAACATATCCTCTGTCGTCCCAATTAAGACATTGTTTTATAGTCTTGCCGATGTAGTGCTAACATCCTTCTTCCTCTGAAACCTTTCTCCAGAAGACTAAGGCATTTAGCCTCTGTTTATGCTTTCAATATTTTTTTTGCACTATTCATAAAAAAACATCATATCAAATCTTTATTTTTCATTTAAAATATTACATAAAAAATTTATTCTTTATTTATATTATCACATTGAATATAGATATTTATATCAAATCGAACACTTTTTCTTTTACTTAATTTTTACTATTTTCCAACTTTCCAAAACATATCTAAACACTTATTTTTTTATGAATCATTTTAAACAGTGGCCTTATGAAGCGGCTGCAATTGCATTTGAGGCTATACCAAGAACGTTGGCACAGAACTGTGGGGTGAACGTGATTCGGGTCATGACTGCTTTACAAGGAAAGGTACACATAGCGACTAGAAACTATACTATCTTCTATATCCGCATGAAGCAGCTATGAAGTATTCCCCTTATAAGTTTTCATCCAAATTTCCTTAGCATGCAAATGGTGAGAATGCATGGATTGGCATAGATGGAAATACTGGTGAAATTGCTGACATGAAGGAGCGCAAGGTGTGCTTATTTGGCTTTACTTCTCCATCTTTGTCTGCAGCTCTATTTTGGAAACACAGTTTGGTGATATAATGATTTTCTTTCAAGTATTTTTGGATTCACTCTCTCACCACTATAGCCCTGGATTTTGTGTAGATATGGGATTCATATTCTGTGAAGTCCCAGGCTTTCAAGACGGCCATCGAAGCTGCTTGCATGCTCTTAAGAATTGACGATATAGTGAGCGGGATCAAGAAGAAGCAATCCCCTGGAGCAGGCCAGGCTCAGTCGAAACCTACTGTCGAGCAGGAAGGTGATGCAGATAATGAGAATATGATTCCTGAATGAACAAGTAAATCTGGGCCTGACTGCATTTCTGATATGTAAATTATATTTTCCTTAAAAAACCATTCTTGAAAAATTTTGGCATCCCATTTTGAGTTTCAGATTGGGGTAAGTAGTTAGTTTCTTTTGCCCCATTTTGTCACTATGAATTCTGAATTCTAATGTTTTAGGGCTATTCTAAGGTTTTTAGGACTTTCAATGTTCTTATGTCTGCATTTGTTTTCCCTTTTTTACAGTTTTTCAGATATGATTCTTTAATTTTCCTCGATAATAATCTTTTAATCAAATCATGAGGATGAACATATATAACTTAGCAATTAGCATAAAATTCATTATTTCAATACATTAAGTAATTTTTAATTTTGAGTAAATGGACTGGGGACAAGCTGTTGGGTCATATTCAATGGTACATTGAAGGTGGGCCCGAGCCCATTAATGGAGACAAACTCGTACACGACAACAATGGCAAATCAGAAAATTTCCAAAACCCTAAGACCATTTACGTAGCGAGTTCCCACAACGACCTTTGTAGAAGCCCATTTGGCGCGATACTTATGCGAAACCGAATTTTCCGGACACTTCGAGTAACAAGGACTGGCCGTGATTGAGGCAATGGGATTCCGTCGCGGAGCGCGGGTTCCTACCAGCGACGACGAAGATGAGACGGCGCTGCTGATGACGGCGCAGAAAAACTCTTATGGCGAAGAAAGGAAGCACCAAAGAAAACGCAAAATGTTGAAGCTTCCGGATGAGGATGACGAGGAGAAGGAAATAGAGGTACGGAAACTGACCGAAGAGAATGCAAGCAAGGAGAATAGGAAAGAGCCTGAATCTCAATCGGAAGGTGAAGATGAACAGGATGAGGCGGATGCGGAAGCACAACCGCTGGGTGAGGTTATTAGGGTTTCCGGTAAAGGGAGGGGGAGGAGGAGCCATTACGCTTCCTTCGAGTACGATGGTCTACAATATGAACTTGTGAGTGGTCTTACTTTCCATTTTGTCTGAAATCTTTATATTATGGTGGACGTGCTATAAGAAATGGATTCTCGTCTTCTTCAAGCGTAATCCAATGATAACGGCTAGAGTTTCTCATTTTTGTTTTTGGGTTAATTATCTAATATTACAATGGAATTTGCACCAATCTCTCCATCCCACTCGTTTGGCGGACTAATCAGTTTTCAGGTGTCTCTGCGTCCCTTTACAAACGAAATTAGTTTTCAGAAGTTTCACTGGATGAAGTTAAATAATTTGTCAATTGGTTGAGCTGGTTCACAGAATTCATATTGTTGTTGATTTCTTTTCTTTTAGGAGGATCCCGTACTTTTAGTTCCTGAGGACGGAAATATGAAGCCTTATGTTGCAATCATTAAGGTAATTCTTGATTTTCAAATGCTAAGTATGAGCCCATTTAAAGAATATGGTATGTGATGATGAATGTATTTATGTGGAGTGTGGTCGTGTGGGCTTGATTTCTCATTTTTCCCCTTCTGTTGGTTATTTCAGGATGCTTGGTTTATGTATTTGATGTAAGCACGCTATTGTTTATGTTGTTATCTTGCATTTATAATTAAATGGGATTAGAGATGAAGGTTTTTTTTTTTCTCCTATTGAGTGTGTGATTCATCAGATTGTTGCAACCATGTGATATTTTTGAGGATGTTTGTTAGTGTGTTTTTGTTCCTAAAAGTAAAGTTGCCATTGTCGTCGGAAGCTTGTGAAATAACTGAATCTTTTCAGAGCTATTAGTTACTTTCAAACTATTGCATTACTATTTATTTATTTATTTGCTAATGGTTCATGTGTTATATTTTTTGAGAATAAGTCTCTTTTTTGTTCAGTTTTCAATGTAACCAAATCCGCCTGACATCAGATATATGGTACATAGTCAATGAATCTTCTTAATTATTATTTCTGTCGCGTGTGGCTAATTAAATATGTATGTAGCACATGTGTACGCTCTGCGCAGACACATTCTGTACGCAGTATGACAGCTTCTAGGATTTTGTTTGCTATTGTGGCGTGTAGCTAATAAAATATGTAGCTCACGTGTAAGCTGTGTGCAGACACACTCTATATACACTATGTACAGCTTCTAGGATTTATGTTTGCTATTTTAAGACAGTAGGACTTGATGAAAGAGCAGTTCCCCTTCCGATAAAACATCTATTTAGCTCATTGGCATACAGCTCATCAAGATTATTATTGAAAATGATTAGTGACTTGGTGCATGATGGTATGCCAGAATAATTAGTAATATATAACTAATATGCAGATATATGTAGAATCCATACATATATGCTTTGCAATATCCTCCCATAAGACATTTGAATCTTGTGATATTTCATTTTTAAGTCTTATTAAAATATTTATACAGTACATTGTTTTTGTTATTAAAACTCTGCAGTATAGAATAGTTCCACTCTGAATCTTCTCCATTTGATGTCATACTACTTAGTTGAATGCTAGAAATACCGAAGGGGGGAACCAAGGGGAAATAGCGAATTTTGCAAACATGTAGGATATATTTTGCCAATAAAATAAATATCATGGAGTATACATGTGGATGTGGGATATCTTTTGCAATTTTCTCTGGACTTGAGTATAGTTGTAAATGGCGAATGTCCAACACTGTTAAGTTTTAATAATTTAATATACACACACATATATATATGCAATTAATATATATTTCTGATATTCTTCATGACCTGTCGCACGGTCAATCAAATATTTCACCTACTCCGTGATCACAATTTAATGTAATATAGGGGAAGGGATCGTCTCCACAGGGATTGTGTGATTCACTCTTTCGTGTTCTAATGCAGTAAATAAAGGGGGATTTTTCTTTTATTATCTAATTAAAATAAAATAACAAAGCAATTAAATTAAAGGGGAACTGACTATCAAGGGGATGTCTGGCTCAAGGGATGATGCAGTTATGGCACTTGTGTTCTATCATTAATTCATATTAAAGTATCAATAAATTGGTTATAGTTATCAACAAGCTCTGACAACCAATTTTTCCTTACAGTGTAGGTAATTAAGGTACGACCGTTAACTACCCCTAATTAAGCAAATAAACCTAGGTGTGCCCATAAGAATATTGCCTAACCGCATTCCAATCTAGAAAAACCCAATTCAAAACAATTACTACCTAAGAGAAACAGTTAGATTTGATTGTCTAACCCCCGGGAAGGAACTATTCAACCCGGTTGTCACCTATTCAAGTGCGAATATAATTACGGATATCCTATTTGAATTGACTTTAGATTATCAGACTAATTTAAATATCGGTACCAAAATATTCAATCAATCTAACAATCACAAACGCTATTCTCAGAATTAGACAAATATTGATAATCAAAAAGAACTTTTATAAAGAAAATAAAAAATCTCCAAAACAAAATAACCAAAACATTATCACCCCTTAAACCAGAAAAGTATCTACTCCATAATTAAATAACAAAGAACAAAAGAGAAATATGAAGTCATAGTGGGAGGGGGAAATCTTCTCTGTCGATTTGCTCTAGCGCGATCTATGAATCTGTCAGTCTCCTACTCCTGTGCGTTTCTGCCCTAGCCGTCCTCCCGCTTTTGAAACGTGTGATCCCTCTTTTTATTTAATGTTTGCCCTAATTATTTTATAGATGGGCTTTTGGGCCTTTAATTAATTTTATTTCTTTTTTTTCTGCCAATTATGTCAAATTTAATATTTGCTCTCTGCACACAGCAAATAAACAATTCGCATATAAATTAGGTAGAATCCAATCAAAATTACCCAATTATCGCATATGATATGAATATAAAACGCATGCGATTTCTAACTATCAATTCTCCCCAAACCTAGATCATGCTTGCCCTCAAGCATAAATTCGAAATAAGCCAAAGAAATCGCAGGCAACTCGATATGACAAGAGGATCCAACACAACCAATTCAATCCGACTTTTAACATATCAAGCCAAGTCAACCTCACAAGATTAAGTGTTTTCTCACATGCTCTCTGAAGGAATTAAATGTATAATTGGCTCAACACTCAGGTAGTGCAACAAAAGATTATCCTATAGGCTTGAGTAAAAATCAAATTTCCCTTACTTAAAATATTCGAATCTAGCATAAAGAATCAAAGGGACTTTCAATAAGGGTTGTAACGGGGCTTATGGTCGGGGTAGGAAAAAGGATATACAAGGGCTTAAATATGTCATAAAAGAACACAATAAGAACAAATCGGCATAAACAATCAAATCCTTACTCTATTCACTACCCAAATTTTAATAATGAAATTAAATAAAGATACTTTATTAAGATAATTATTTTTTTATTTTTTTTTTTGTTTTTTTTTTTTCGTTTTTTTAATTTTTTTATTTATATTTCTTCTTTTTTTTTTGATTTTATTTATTTATTTATATATATATATATACCTACACTACCCACAGTTATTCCTTCATACTATGACTTATTCGTACCCAAAGTTCGTTTCTAACTAGTGCCGAAGAAATAAAGTGCATCACAACATGGACTTAAAGTAATTCTTTCTAACATAGGGTTCAAATCGGAGAAGGCTCAATCGAAAGAATGGTATGAGGCTAAAAAAAAACAGTTTATTATAAAAGAAAAAATAGGCTAAGAAGGCTCAAATGGGCTAACTAGGGGAATATATTGTGCTGGGTAATAAAGAAAGGCTTAATGGGTTACCTAATGCCCTTATCATTTTCAAAACGCAAGACCCGATAGTTGTAAGTTCAACATGCATAATCAATCAAGTTCTAGGTCATCTAATTGAGCACTACAAATCACACGTGAAAATTTTTTTTCCAAAAGCTTGAATATATGCAATTTATTTTCTACTGTGACTTTTGGAACATAGGCTCAAATTTTCACATGGTTCAAACGTCGACTTGACTCAACATATCACCAATCAAATCTCATTAGTCATGCCAAACTAACCTATCACACAAATCACCTTTGACTCACTTCAGACTAATCTCAAAAATATGCGAAAAGACAGCAAATCAGGCATAAAAATAGCATAAAAATCTCTCCCTACACCTAAAGTATGCATATTACATTTGTGTCCCTCCCAACGATATATTACATTTGTGTCCCTCCCAATGATATACTACATTTTCTCAGAAATATAATGTGTGTAGATGTGAGGTTCTGCCCTGTGGCATTGACATGTTATCTTAGCTTTATAATTATATTTCATTTGGCTTCTGATGGCATGCAGGACATCATTCAAAACAAAAAAGGGGATATAATGGTTACTGGACAGTGGTTCTATCGTCCAGAGGAGGCAGAAAAAAAAGGAGGTGGGAATTGGAAACCACGTGATACTAGGGAGCTTTTCTATAGTTTCCATAGAGATGAAGTCCCTGCAGAATCTGTAATGCACAAGTGTGTGGTGCACTTCATACCCAGAAATAAGCAGATTCCAGGACGCAAACAGCACCCTGGTTTCTTTGTGCAAAAAGTATATGATACTGAGCAGAAGAAACTGTTTAAGTTAACAGATAAAGACTATGAAGAAGACAAACAGCACGAGCTCAATATTCTTGTTGAGAAGACTCTTTCACGACTTGGAGGCCTTCCTGACCTTGAGCCTGATCCTGTTGTTGCCGATCATGAAGATGATATAAAGAATAAACGGCTTTCCAGGAAAAAGAACTTTCCACATTTGGATGTTTCCAAAGATGAGGAAGTACTTGATAGACCTCCCTCACTTAAAGCAGAAACCCCTGGGGGTGTTTGTGCTGGGGCAACTGAATATTATACCATTCTTTCAAAATTAAATCTTTTGACTGGGGAGACGCAGCGTGACAAGTGGTTGGAAAAGCTTCTTCAATCAGTACAGTTCATATGTACTCCTAAGCAGAATAATGAGGAAGAGAAGTGTGAAAACAAGAATAATGGGTCAAACTGCAAAAATGAAATTCATGATAAAAGTGCAGATGTAAGTCCTCTAAGCTTTTGTGAAATTTTCTGCACCAATTTATAGAATAGTTTCTAGATCTCGATTGATGCCTTCTGTGTACATTTTCTAGCACGGCCCGTGCTTTAAATGGCCAGATGCAGCTGTTCCAGCAGTTGTTGCTCTTGAGAAAGCTGCTCATCAAATGCTGTTGGCTGATTATCAGAAGTACAACCAAAAGATGCGGCAATTAACCTTTAATCTGAAGGTAGCCAATGTTGTTTTTAAATATGTGATTTATGTTCTGGCAGAATCATACTTCACTGGATATTTAATGCCAGGAGGTAGTACTGGCAGAAGTAATGGTGATTGTGTGTCTCTATTCCTGACACTTGCTTCTTAGTTGCACAATGTGGTTATTGTTTTTATTTCCTTTCTTTCTGCTAGTATTTTTCTGTTCTCTATATCTATGGTTACCTTGGTATTCCATGACAGGGGAACACTTTATTGGCACGACGTCTCCTGAATCAGGAGTTGGAATCTGCTCGGATACTTAATATGTTGCCAAATGAATTAAAGGTCTGGCCTAGGATAATAATCATCCGCATATTTGATCTTGTAATTTTTATGGGATGTTTTGCTCTGGCTTTTGTGGCTTCTATGCCAATACCATAGTTAGCCACTCAGTTCAAAATTCAAACAGTAAGTGAAATTTAATTTCTTCTAAACTTAGCTTTTCATTTTGAGCATCTTTTAGCCAAAGAACTGAACTATTTTATCCGGTATGACTCAATTTGTTAGACCGTAAGTAATGAATTATGGGTAAATCAGTTGAACATATATTATCTTCTGATAACAAACTGGAGGTTACAATTCCTGTTGCATTTCCTTTGTACATAATTTGTTTACGGTGGGTTCAGCTGAGGGTATTCTTTTCCTACTGTTTTTTGGAAGGTCTTCTGCCTGCATTCATGTTGCATTTAGTATAGGTAGGAATTTGCTCCAAAACTACATCAGATATCAGTTGAAGCTTTTCCTTCACACATCATTTTCCTCCACAGAGTGGTTTAACAGCCGAGGAATTAGCTACCAGGGAACCAGAGGAGGCACGCCGTGTGCAGGTTGCTCACCCCATGCTTTGTTTTTCTTATTTTGATAGACAAATTACAGAATAGAAACAGACCCTATCCTGCCATTTTGTATTTGGACTTTCCATATTCTAGGTGGTTTATTCACTCGTATATATTGTGGCCAGATGACTGATGCTCGTTGTAAGAGGTGCATGAAGAAACAAGTTGGCTTGACAGACATCATCCAAACTGGACATGGTGACCGATACCAGGTTCTTGATCAAAGCATACACTAAGATAATCAAAGCACAATTCACTATATTCCATGTATAAATCATTCAATCATCTATAATAACCATCTCTTACCGTGCTGAACTCTCTCAGCTAGAATGCGTGGCTTGTGGCAACTCTTGGTATGCCTCTAGAGACGATGCTGCCACACTAACCATAGAAGAGCCAAAATCCAGCATCCCAGTCAGCACTACTCCACTGACGACCGCCAAGTTTGAAGATGTAAAAAATTTAGTGAATCCCGGGAAACCTGTGAAGGGTCCGGCAGATGCACTGAAGATAAAAACTGAAGCACCCATGCCAGCAGTAGAGACACAAAGACCATTCCAGAAAACTGAGCCTAAAGAAAGCCCTGATACCAGTAAGGTCGAATAGCACATGCTGTGGCATTCCATGCTTGTAAATAAGCTAGCTGCACCATAGAACATATTCTGGTAATCCACCCAATCTTTACAGATCCCATATAACTGAACTGTTTCCTAACTATTCTTTCTAAAAAAGAATAAAGGGGGAAAGATAAAAAGAGTGATTTTTGGACTTGGTATGACATTGCAATGGAATATGCAGGTTTCATCAAGATTTTAGTTTATCATGCTGATGTTTTTCATTTTACACTGATTACCAAACTATCAATTTGTTCCTACTAGAGTTGTTACCGAGCCAAACGTTTCCGAACAGGGCCTCATGTCCGATCGTTAAACATTTGAACTCATTCATATTGTTCGAGTTCGGTTTCGTTAAGCAATTTTATTGTTTGGGTTTGTGTTCATGTTGGCTCGAATAAGCTTGTTTGAGTTCGTTTGATATGCATGCTATTTTAAATTTTTTTAAAAAAATTAATATATAGAATATTTTATTTATTTATAATTTAATATATTTATATTTTAACAAAGGTTGGGCTGCGATTGTTAACAAAAATAAGCTTAAACCAAACTAAGTTCATGCAATGCCGGCTTGGTGTGTTTAATGGCTCTATTTATTACTTTCTTTGTGTGGCCAAAATTATTTACACAGTTTACATCACTGCATTTCTTTGTTTTGTTTGACCAAAAATGCCTAAAGATTTATGCTGTAGTGGGAAATTAACTGTTGTTGGTTATTGAATTTGAAGGGTAACATATGATATGGGTAGCAAGCAGATTAAAGAGTACTTGCATTGAGTACACTACAGTAGCATTGCAGGACACAAGCAAGACTGGTGTTGTTGCATGAAGTGTCCTTTTTATGTATTTATGCCTTACATTGGATGTATCAAAATCAAATACAAAAATTAAAGATAGAAATGGCACCAACAAACCATCCCTTAGCAGATTTAAGGATAATAGTACTATTATAAACAAAAAATAAAATAAAATTACTCCCTTATAAAATGTACAGTTGAATCTGTTTGAATGCAAAATTGGAAAAATAAATAGTTGAAATGGAGGGATCTTAGATGCATATTTCCCTCCCAAAGGCTGAAAGAATCCCAATTCTACATTAAATGCTGCTGCATTGTGTTTGTGTGTTTGTGGTCATCAAATTAAATGTAAAGATTCCTTTCTAATAATATTATATTTGCCAGTAAATAATGAAATATTAAATACTGATTAGGGGGCAGTTGCCAAGAACCCTAAATCTGCACTCCCAACAGCATAATAAGATAATATTATATCTCTGCAATGATTCTCTGCTTAATCAATTAATTATCATTGGTACCTCACCCCACCCCATCTAGTAATCTGAAATCCTCTGAATATGATAATGAAGCCCGGAAAGTCCTCAGCTGACCAAAACGGCGTCGTTGAAGATGGTCTCCATTGTTAAAAAAAAATCACACAAAGAAAGAAGCACAGCACAGCTGGCTGGGAAAACATCAACATTTGATGAGGGAAGTCAGTCAGTCAAAGGAGCTGCCTTATTTACTGGACAAAATCAGAGTGTGTTGGCAGCTCCCTGTCTCTCATTTTTTCCAGCGCTCATGTGAATGAGAGAGTAAGATCCGTTGATCTCAATCCTACCCCACCCCAAAACTTTTAAAATAATAATAATTATTCAAAATTATAATTATATATATATAGGCATGCATGCTCTCTCATCTTTTTTGTGCTTATCATTTTAACTTTAGTGCTGGTGGGCTGGTCTTCAGTGTTTCCTTCTCATTTTAATCTTCTCCACTGCTTTTCTTGCTGCTTTTGAGAAAAAAAAAAAAAAAAAATTCCAAGTGCTGATTAAAATCTGCCGATAGTGTGCTGTGCAGTGAGCTCTCCTCTTAGGCCAGTGGGGTTTTAAACTGAATATATCTGAACAGGAGATGGATTTGCGCCGACAGACAAGCCTTTGAGCTCAAGGGAAGAAAGAAGCAACAAATGATTGTTTCCTATTCTTTGGTTTCACTTTTCTGAGATCTGAACTGAAATGGGGTATGTGTATTTCTCCATGGAACCTCTTCTCTTTTTCTATCGGAATGAAAGTTTGGTTGGATAAACATGTTTTCTTTCATTGTTGGAAAGTTGTAGTGTAAACTGGATCCATAGTCCAAGAATTTGTTGTTTGCATTGTGGTGTAAGAGTTTGAAATCCTTCTTGGAATTATAGAGATTCTTTGTTTTAGATGTAATATTAGATTTGCTTCTCATTACCATTACCATTTTCTTTGGTTGCTGTGGAGAACTCTGATATGGGTATGGCCTTTTCTTTTGTTTTGATTTCAGTGTTGATTTCTTTTAGATCTGATTTGTGCTTTCTGAGGACTATTTCTAATGCCTAATAATAACATTTGCAATTGCCCATGAATTCGTGTGAAAGGAACTGTAGTTTGTCATTTGTAGTTAGTTCAAACTGGTTATATATACTAATGTGTTTCTCCATTTGATTTTACTCAAGGAGGAAGATCCAACAATGTCTGTAGAGTGACTAAACATGGAATTAGACTTCGACAAGTACTGCATTGTGGATGGAAGTCCTACAACAGTTCTTCCAGCTCCTCGTCGTCGATCGAAAGTTGCTACCGGAAGACCAAATCCAAAGCCCGCCTGCGGAAACTATACATCGAACTGTGATGAAAACTACGTCGGGATTAACTACAATCGTTACCGTAGTGCATCCTGCCGAGATGCTCGATCCCGAAGATCCACTCGGGAAGTCGGCAGTGAAAGGCCAAAGCGCGGTTCGGTTTATAAGAGCTCCAAAGAAGTGATGCACCTGAGGAAAGATGATGCAGTTCTTGGAAGGAAGAAGATCGAGCTGTCACGCGGGAGCGCGTCTGCTTTGTCGTTCGGAATTATCGATTCATTGTGCAGTTCGGATGAAGATAGTTCAGTTGTTGATCGAAACAGGTCTTCGGTGATGTCCCTGTCCGAACAAAGCACAAGTTCTTTCTGCGAAAGCCAGGTAGAATTGTCCACCCGAGATTCAACAAGCTATCATTTTCCTCAAAGAATCCCGAGGAGAAGCAGTACTCAATCCTCGGATAAAAGAGAGAAACGGCTCACAGATTGCCGGTCTGTTCAGGATGTCATTCGTGTCGCTGAATCTAATATCGACATCTTGAAAGAAAGAGATCCAGCTGCCAATCTACACAAATCGTTATCGGCCAAGCTAGGTTTGCCCCATTCGCCTACACATTCCGAAACTGATGTCTCTAAAACCGGCAATCCGAAGGTTCGTTTAAATCCTGCCAGAAAAGCCTTTGATCCTTTCATGAAGTCCAAATCTCATCGAAGCCCGTTGAGTTCCGTCAATGAAGCTGAATCAGAAACTGTAAACGAGCTACATCACACGAAGAAAGAGAATTCTAGTTCAGTTGCTCCGAGCTCTCCAGCGCATCTTCATGGAATCCTCAAGTTGGAGAAGATACATGGGGCGCTGGTTTTTGAATTCTCAGTGAAGTCACTCGGAGATGTTTACATAGCCAAGATGTGGAGCGCAGGTGATGCTCTAAAATGGATCTACACTTTCCATTCACTTCATCTGCGAAGAAAGAGCAATGCTAGCGGATGGGGACTAAAAGACAACAATAGAGAACCAGCTATGGTCGGGCAGATGAACGTGTCATGCTATCAGTGTAAAGAATTGAACAGAGATCGAACCTTGGATGACTCCATGGTGACAGAGTTTGTGTTATACGATACTGCGCACTCGACTAATCCCCATAAAGACAGTGCTAGTTGTTCCCCCAATGTCAGTAAAGTATCTCCAGTTCCAGATGAGCCTTCGTCTTGTGAACAGAATGAAGTATCAGCCAAGACAAATAGAGGGCAGTTTTTGAAGAATGAATCATCATCTTCTTCTTCTCAGCTTCTGGCAGCAACCGAATTGCAACCAGAGCTAGAAGTTGCAGCAATGGTTGTGCAAATCCCTTTAATAAAGAGGCCTAGTTTGAAATTTAGGAGTGGCGAGCTTGATCTTCATTGCGCAGACAATGATACTTATTCTGAGAGGATGAGTCCAGGAAAGATACATGTGGTGATCCCGGATGGAAATCACAGCCGGCCAAGTACTACAGAGACCTGTGGAACTTCACCATTACTAGATAGATGGAGATTAGGCGGAGGATGCGGCTGCGGTGGCTGGGATATGGCATGCCCTCTCCATGTTTTTGGCAATCCAAGTTTTGAATTCACTGAGGGCTTCCACCAGATAGACAATCAGAGCCCTGCCCAGCTCTTTGTTCAGGTATTTTTCAATCTCACGCCGAATTCATTTCCTTTGACAATCACTCAACCGATGTCTGAAAATTTGGCATTGTGTCCTTACAGGGAAGGAAAGATAATGTGCCGGCATTCAGCATGAGTGCAGTGGAAGGCGGGAAGTATAAAGTTGATTTCCACGCTCAGTTATCCTCCTTGCAAGCCTTTGCCATCTGTATTGCCATTTTTCATGCTGCAGAAACATCTCCCGCTTTCAGGAATGAAAGATGCAGAGAGCTACTGCAAAGTGATTCCCTGAGAGTGTTTGCTGACGAGGAAGTCAAAAGATTCGTAGAAGACATAGGAGAGGAAATGAAATTCACAGCTAACAAAAAGATGGGTGAAGTGTTACCGAATTTTGTACTGAATCCGCCATTCTCCCCAATTGCTCGAGTATAGTTTAGAATCCCCTCCAGAAAAGTGAAGAGCAGTGCATATTCCATTGGACATGATTGGAGAGTTGAAGAGCAACCAGAATCCATGGCAAACCAAACATCCATGAGCTGAAGATTTGAGCTCTTTCACTGCAAAAAAGAAATCCCATTTCTGTAATAGTTACCATAAATGTTAGGGAGGGATAGTGATTATCTTGGACTGTGATTGTCTCAGGCAATCTATTCTTTTTGTGATCCGATTTGTGCCCAAGGGAAGCTTTACCTGGAGGCTCAATCCTAGGCACGCCTTGTATCTATGGTAATAAATGACAATCACCATCCATGCTTTTTTTTCCTTTGCACATCAGTGTCTTAAAACGTATTGTTTGCGACAAAATGGACATACATGTGTGTGTGTGCGAACACGCATAAGTATGACGAACACATATATTAATACATATCAATGATGCAGGTTGTGATAATTTTGCTCTTCCAAAACAATAGAGTATCAAACATATCAGCAGCCTTTGCAAGATGAGGATGCCTGTGGAGTATGAACTATCATCTGATTTGAATTACATGTTTTCCAAATAAGGCTACCAGTACCTTTGGTAAAAGCAATTTGAGTATCTATAACCCAAAGGAGGCTGGCCTTATTGCAATAATCTGCACACATCTTTCTCCAGTGTTACTGCCTTTTTCTGGGAGTTCTAGCTGTGGAACTGCTTGCTGTGGCTTTCTTAGAAACTGGGGAGCAGGAAATGGCAATGAGATATTTTAAAATGTAAAGAGAGGAGAATATATTAATGCACGTGAAATTTGTAAAGGATTTGAAGGGGTCTGTACTTGGGATCTTGGAGGAGCTCTTGCTTGGAGAAGACAATGATGGTCCTGAGGGTGAGTGGCTCTGTTTCCTAGGTGGTCTTGGAAATTTAGAATCCGCAGTGGGTTTAGACACAGCATCAGATCTGCAGATGATATGCTTAAGTGAATATACTAACAAATGTAAGAGGACCTGATACTTCAGTCAAATAATATAAGTTATACAATTTTAAAGCAATAAAGGCCATGAACAACACATTAACATAAGAAGGGAACTGATAATGGAGAGCAATATGTGTGCATATTTGATACATATGAATAGCAGTAGAATGGCTCAAACCTGAAAAGCGATAACCCCAACTTTTTGCTTGGGTGCGACGGATAGGCAACAAAGTAATAGAACTAAATGTATTTGAGGCATCTATTCCAAGAAACAAGAAATATGGAACAAAATAAATGGCGAAAAACTCACTTATCAGTGCTCTCTGCAGTTGGCTTTGCTGTCTCTGGAAAAAGGGTGTATTCCACAATACTGTTAATCGAACCATCAGTTTCTGTGGCCATAGAGAGTACCCCATCGGATATATCACTAAGTCTCTCTTCAGAATCAGGATCTCCAAACCCCAAAAGCTCTATATCCTCACTATGACTTTTATCTCCATGTGACGAACCTACAATCAATCCAGGGTCTTCTGAAAATTTTTTACCACCACCAGTAATAGCAAGTCTTGATTGTAGAAAGAATTCTTTGTGGTGCTTAAAATCATCAACTGATTGTTGAGAACCAGTCTCAGAATGCTTATCACTGTACTCGGAGCTATTATCAGAAACAGCTTTCTCTGATGGGCTTTTTCCTCGTGGAAGTCTTTGGATTTTTCTTGTTGTTCCCACAGAGTGTATTCTTGAAGAGGCAGACCCATACATTGGTGAATTTATACCATGCCTTTCACTGCTTCCATTTGTTTTCGCCAGCCTTAAGCTAGCAATTTCTTCATCCTTCTTTGCAACAACATCTTTTAGAGAAGCTACCTGTTAGAATAGTACAAGTCAGCTTCAGGTTGTTTTCTTCAAATGGTAAGTGTCAGTGACACAATCATAACCTGTTCCATGAGTTCACGGACTCCCCTACCCTCCTTATTACTTCGTGCAGCACCCAACTCCACACCAGAGACCCTCTCAGCAAACTTGAGGGTACTTGTAGTCTCTGAGTAGGACTCTACATCCGGATTGAGTTGTACAAACATAAGAGTCTTTGCTTGACCGCCTGCAATGGAAGCCAAGGCACAGAACTTGAGGATTTGTATGACAAGAAGGAGCACAGGGAAGAATAGGTTCAATTCATGGAATAAATCATAATGAAAACAATGGAAGAATCTTGAAAAATGCCTCCACTCAGGTGTGTAATCATTGCCTGAGCACTCAATCATGCTCTGATTACCTAAGGAACTTTGTAGAACTTGGGTCAATTTGCTATTTCTGTATGGCACATGAGGACTTTTTTGTGCCAGTGCAAAGATCACATCTCCCAAAGCTGACAAGGACTTGTTAATGTGTTGTGCTTCTCGCAATCTGTCACCTGTTGCTTCAGAGCGATCAACTCTTTCGCTACCAGCCAAATCGACTAGATGCAGACAACCTCGCAAAATGGATTGAGTCTCCAAATCCATCCCACGAACATGAACAGTGAGGATACTGTCTCATAAAAGGGTAAAGTGAAACTTAGATTATTCATACATCGACAAAAAAGAGGATGATAGCCAATTGACATTATACTGCCCAACCTGTGAGACCTGCTGCTTCTTTCATTCAAAGCAGTAGCACCTGTAGCCCGATTTGTTAATCCAATATTCATCAATTCCAATACATCTGCGGTTGAGTTAACTGGGTGCAAGCTAGCATCAGGTACAGCTAACCCATGGGGTTGTGAAGTGTTCCATATCCCAAGTGTGTGCAAGTAAGTCAAAGGAAACAATGAGGTGCATCCAAATATAAAACACAACCAATGTACATGACATGGAAGCTTGGCCAACTCCAGGATGAAACATTCAAACATAAATATTGTTGCTGAGGAACTTAAGCCAGATAATGCATGGTACATCGAACATCAGATTGAAAAAATAAAAATAAAAAAAATCAAAGGATATTTCTTGTGAGAGCTGCCATAGCGAAGCAAGTCACGCACTTGTTCATTATATATTTCAACCATTTGGACACCAATATCATATGCAATGGAGCTATGTCTCTTTTGGGAGATATTGAAGAGATCATTCAGAGCCCTATAGTTGACTCCCCAATCTACAGTTGATGCTGCACTGGGTCCAGACTGAACAATTAATAGAATGAGCATTATACATCCTAAATCCGGTAGCAGAAGTACTTAAATAATATCAAAACTATTGTCTCACCATTGTGTAAGTTTTTCCAGAACCGGTTTGACCATAAGCAAGTATGCAAACATTATACCCATCAAGAACAGACCTGATCAACGGTTGGGTGTCTTGAAATACCTCCTCTGAGAAAAGGACATCAATAAACATGAAGAAATACCACACGCAGATTGCAAATATGAAGGACATCAAAATTGGCAGTAGTTACTAAAAATTCAATCAAGTTAGAACCTTGAGTAGCTGCTGGACTAAAGACCTTGTTGAATTTGAAAAGACGATGACTATCTTTTCCTGGTTTTGAGGGGTTTATAACAACCAACTCTCCATTATCGCCGATATACTGTATAGTTGTTTGTTTTGCATTTTGACCGGGTAAGAATGGCCTTATGCGACAATAAACTCTAATGTTTCCTAGCAAAAATGAGCGAAGATGAATGAGAAAATTTAATGTTCCAGTTAAACGCCTGTCATCTGGGAAATTATTCACCTTTCAAATCTTGAACCTCATTGTACAGCTTTCGATTTTCTTCAAGCACACTGTGATAATTTTGAGCAGCATCAATCAAGCCTTTGAGGTTTAAGCCTGATAAATCCCAATAAATGATATATAAGAAAATACTTAAATGTAAATTTCAGAAGTTCAAACGAAGGACAGAAAATTCCAATATGTTCATACCAAAATGATAAAATTCTTCAGCATAGGTATTCTTCATCTTGAAGACTTCCTGCTTTACGAACTCAGAGGCCAACTTTAACTCCTAAACAAGTTGAAAAGATAAACCATCGAGTTTGATGAACATAATTTAGATGTAAAGTTTCACATCTGTAGCACCTGAATTGATCCCAATTGAGAATCTACAGAGTGCCTGTATCCCTGTTCCTTTCTTTTCCATCCCAAATATTTTGATTCTGAGAAATCCTCCATCTCTTTTATTTTCTTCCTTGAATTATTCAACAAGCACTCAAGTTCCAGTATTTTCTTCTCTAGCTTATCCTTAGTTTCATCAGCCTTGGATTTCAATTTCAAGATATTCTCTTCATATGACTTTTTGGCTGATGTAAACTCTTCACTTAGCAATACAATATTTCTCTCACAGCTCTCCTTTTCTTTTTCCAATCTACTCAAATTCTGCTCCTCAAGCTTCTTCTTTTCTTCAATCTTCGTCTTTTCAATCTATCATGTTGATGTCAACAGTGAGGACTCAAAAAACACAAAAACATTTCAAGGAAATCTAATAGAAAGCCCCTCCTTATAAGAAACATCAAGTATGGTGATGAAGAAAAACATGATTTTTTTTATGGTTTTTCATATGTTCACTTCTTCAGAAATTTATATGATGGGTAGCATTGGTTTGACATTAGTGAATACAACACTAATCCGGCTGCCATATTATAGATTAACTTCAAAACACTTAGCAGTACCACAGTAAAGAAACAACTTCCAAAAAACCTAACTGAATTAAATAAAAACTGGCTTTACAAAATATGCATATTTTGAACTGATTTAATTGGAACAGAAATATTTTGGACATAACACTAAAATTTCAATAACTGAAGTAAAATCACATACTATTATGATGTAAATTTAAATAATTCACCTTGATCTGTTGAAGTTGGTTCAAGACAACCTGCACAGATAAAAGTTATTATGATGAAAAAAAAAGTAGAGCAAATATAGGTGCCCTTTCACAGTCCACATTTCCACATCACAATAACCGTTATCATACCTCATTCTCTTCAGCTATTCCAGCAGCAAGGGTTTCTAATGCTTTAATTTGTAAAAGATATATGTCCTCACGTGATTTGTACAGATTGTTTTGCTGCAATAATATAATAGCATAAAAGTCAACAGAGGTCACATCTGGAAGTAGGAAATTGCATTTATCAATTGAAATGCTTTACCTTCTTCATATTATCTGCCTGTTTTGAATTTCTCTGCTCAATTTCTTGCACCAATAACTTCAGCACTGATGCGACATGCTAAAAAAAAATCACAACAATTCAAATCAGCTAATTAAGATAAGACAATAGAATGAAATATATCAGCAACACAATAATCTTATTGTTACATACCTGAGGAATATCCTCATTCTTTTTCTCAATGCTTTCATCAAGAATCTTATTTACAGCGATGAAAAGGGACTTTGAATTGATTTTCTGCATAGATTGAAGGCTTAGAGCAGTAAAATTCAGGGCCAAGAAAATGATCAATGAATTTTTATACCCTTTTCTTCCCTAATCATGAGGAACTAAAGACAGTTACCTCTAAGTTACCCAATTTCATCAATTGTGAAATTATGGCAGAAATTTCTTCATGATTTCCACGTTTAGATTGAGTGCCATTATGAACCACACCTCGGCCATCCATCACCCTATTTTCACCCATGTGTACTTCTGACCATGCATCCATGGTGAAATTGGGGAGTGCAAGCAAAGTCGAAAACTTTGCACCACACTGAAAATTGAAATTTTGTATAGATGCATTACCAAGTAATTATTAGGATGCACAAAATGAAATTAAAAATTGGAAGCAATAAAGCATTAATTCAAACATCTTATTATATAATGCTTTATACATAATATAAAGGAAGATAATTAAATTAAAAATGTCTTTTTTTTTTACTCTTCCAACTTCTTAATTTCATAATAAACTTTTTGGTCCGCTCATCTGAAATCATCATTCACCACTAACCACAATAAATCATTTTCCAGCTCCCCACATTTTGATCAGCATGGATTTGGAACTCCTACCAATTAGTGAGACTTAGTAATATTTAAATAAAAAAGCAGCAATTCTGAAACGCGAGCAGATCTACAATGCCAGTTGCAGAATCTACACAGCAAGTAGTAAAGACGCCACCATAACTATACGACACTTACCTTCAATGAAGAGGACCACAATGTAATTATACTGAATCAAATCATCAATCGAACTTAAGAGATATGGTAGAAGTGATCTGAACCACAAAGTACAAAATTAACGAGGATCACATTTGTTAAACGAATCATTCACAGCCGCATTGTTCCAGAATCTAAACCAATCTACTATGTCCACTCAAAAAAATTATTAAAAAAATAAAAAATGCTGAGATTCAAAGAGATCAATCAAGGTGACATTGAACGAAATATAAACAAGACCCCATGAAAATCCCAAAAAACAAGAAAATAGTACACTTACCTAAGGATTTTCCCCAAGCCCGATTAAACAATCATGCATCAGACCATGGGTAACTCCAACTATCGACAGAGATCAAAATTCAACACCCAATACTGTTCTTCTCCCTAATTATCACCAAACCAGTCTCCGTTTTTTTCCGAGGTTTTGGGAAATGGGAAAACCCACAAAAAAAAACAGCTCGCCAACCAATGGGAAAGTTGCCTTTTTGGGGAAGCAAAGCCAAAACGTAACTGGCGATTTGTGAAACTGGATTCGGAATTTACCATTTTGCAGGCGAAAAGTTGTTGTTTTTTTTTTTTTTTCCTTTTTTTTTTTTAGCGAAAAATGTATTCACGTGTCGCAGAGCAACTGGGAATGGTGTTCCCGCCTCGTATTGTTCGTACTTTGGGCCTAACTTATATGGGCTTACTATCATAATTGGGCCTTAATGGTTCTTTTCTAACATATTTTTCCCTTAACATATTTACATTTAAATTTCCTCCAATTTAATAACCACAAGAACAAATAATAGATTGTATTTAATATACTCAACAAGTATCATATAAATAATCTATTATATCTCTTATCCATTCACACGTATCAAACAAATTAACATATACTTTTAAAATTTTATTTAGCACCAGAAAAAAAATAAAAAATAAATACATCTATGTTTACAATTTCTATCACTAATTAACAAGCATGCATGATAGAATTTAAGCCCTTTACACACACATATATATATATATATATATATTTATTTATTGTAACACACATGCCCAAACCTTAGAAGACATGAAATTGAAAACGCATAAAAACATTCCCCATGCTGTTCATTAATTAGTAGCAAAAGTGATAGATGAATTTGCCCCATAAAAATATTTCACATGCTTTTGCCAAACCAACACGCACCTGTCTTTGTTCCAGTATTTTTGTCAATACATACATAAATAAGATCTATATTACATATCTGTACAAACTAATATATCAATACGTAATTCTCATTGTGGTCCTTTTTTATTATTATTATTATTTGTACAAATAATCTAAATATAAGTCTAAATTCAATTAAATATTATATATTTTAAAAGAAAATAAAATTTTAATAAAGTAAATATTTGATATTTAATTATACATATATGTTAGTTTTTGTACGATAAATATCAACAATTAATACAAAAAATTTCTTAGAATAGAAGATATCGTGGTGCATAAATAAAGTCATAATAAATTTGGCAGCAAAATAAATTAATCTTTTCAATAAATAAAGTATATAAATTAATATCTTTCGAAAAAAACAATGATATAAAAATCTTGGTCAGAAAAGAAACATCAAATCCAAAGCCAATGATCAAATCGCCCACATGGAGATCAAAGTACTCCAAAAGCGACAATTACAAAGCAAAGATCAAAGTTGCGGATCGTCCAAAAAGACATCAAATCCAAAGCCGATAATCAAATCGTCCACACGGAGACCGAAGTCCTCCAAAAGCAGCAAAGCCAAAGCAAAGATCAAAGTCTCGAATCGTCTAAATAAGACATCAAATCCAAAGCCGATGATAGAATCGCCTACACGAAGACTAAAGTCCTTCAAAAGGCGACAAAGTCAAATCAAAGATCAAAGTTTCGGATCGTCTATAAGAAGACATCAAATTCAAAGACGACGATTAAATCGCCCCACGGAAACCAAAGCCCTCTGAAAGGCGGCAAAGCCAAATCAAAGATCAAAGGCTCGGATCGTCCAAAGAAGATACCAAATCCAAAGCTGACGATCTAATCGCCCACACGGAGACCAAAACTCTTCAAAAAGAGGCAAAGCCAAATCAAAGATCAAAGCCTCGGATCCTCCGAAGAGGATATCAAATCAAAGGCGATGATCAAATCGCTCCCACAAAGACCAAAACCCTCCGAAATGCGGCAAAGCCAAATCAAAGATCAAAGCCTCGGATCGTCCAAAGAGGATATCAAATCCAAAGGCGACGATCAAATCGCCCCCACGGAGACCAAAGCCCTCCGAAAGGCGGCAAAGCCAAATCAAATATCAAAGCCTCAGGATCATCCAAAGAGGATATCAAATCCAAAGGCGACGATCAAATCGCCCCCACGGAGACCAAAACTCTCCGAAAGGCGGCAACGCCAAATCAAATATGAAAGCCTCGGATCGTCCAAAGAGGATATCAAATCCAAAGACAACGATCAAATCGTCCTCACGGAGACCAAAGTCCTCCGAAAGGTGGCAAAGCCAAATCAAATATCAAAGCCTCTCGGATCATCCAAAGAATACACAAAATCCAAAGCTGACGATCGAATCGCCACACGGAGACCAAAGTTCTACAAAATGTGGCAAAACCTAATCAAAGATCAAAGTCTCGAATCATCAAAAGACCAAATTCAAAGTTGATGATCAAATCGCCCACGCGTAAACCAATATCCTCTAAAATGCGGCAAAACCAATGTCCTCTAAAATGCGGCAAAGCCAAATAAAACATCAAAGTTTCAGATTTAAAGACGATATCAAATCTAAAGCCGACGATCAAATTGCCGGAAATCAAATCCCCCAATGTCCGGCAAAATCAAACCCTAAACCAAATTTCTTCGTATGAAGAAAAAAAACTATAAAAAATAAAGTTGGAAAACAAAGAGAATCAAAAAACCATATAGTGAATAAGACCCAATTTAAATTTGAATCAAATATAATATAATAAGTACAAATTTTATATTTATTAAAAATAATATAATTTTTTGTCCACAATATTGAATTCTATTTATTTTATTTCTTTTAATGAAAAAGCCTCTGCATAGGATTATTTTTATTGAGTGGTTTTTTGGGGCTTTCTTTAAATGGGTAATCGGGTTAACTTATTGGGCCGACATAACCGGTCGGTTGGGTCGAATCTGAAGGGCAGAAGAGGTAGCCAATTATATCACGCCACGTGGAATCAGAGTCAACACTTACCAATAAAAACGCTGATTCGATAAATCGTGTTAGCTTTGAACACGCGTTCACGCTGTATTGACGATACTTGGTATTTTCTGGTCCGTTGCACCCGCACACACTCGAATGTATATATATATTAATTAATTAATTAATAAGAAGACAACGGACAAACGTACGTCCCTTTACGGCATTACCTAACAAGCTTGAATTTGAATGATTCGATTTCGTGGATGCCATTGAGCCTCGGATCGTTCAACGACGTTGAAATTTATATGCCAAAAGATCCTGTCGACTTCAGACATCCATCCCCCATTTTGAAGCTTACGTCCGACAATCGTTAGCAGGTGGAGGTAAGTTTTCCAAATACTCCACTGCTGTTGTTTTTCTTGATGATGACGATGATGATGTTGTTTTTGTTATATCGTTAATTGTTATTACAACTGGTTGTAATGATTACACACCAACAGCTCTCATTTGTGCTGCAGCTTTGGGGAAATGTTGACACAGTTGGATACACTGAATGAAAAATAATACTCATAAAAAAGGTAAAATCGATTCACCGCTGAAATTTGATTCTTTCGTCAAGATTTAACAGGTTTTTGTGTGTTCTATCTCAACTCTCATTTTAAGTTTTTCAACCTCATCCCATCTCTGAAAAGTGCCCACAATTTCTGTCCTCTGGAGTTCTCTTTCTCTTCCCCTTTGCTTTTTCTCTTTCTCTTTCACCCCCTTCTCTCTCCCCTAACTGTATGTTCTTGCTCTAAAAGACCCACTCGGAATGGGTTTTCATCAATCTTGGCATTGTGCCACTTCATCTTTCAGACAGTGATGTCAATAAACTATCCTATCCATGCACGCCATTGAGAGCAATTTCAATCCCTTGATTTTAAAAGAACCTTTTTTTTTGTTTTTTAAGTTGTTTCTCAGATTCTCAAGCCCATAAACCTATTTCTGATTTGTGCTTCAAGACAAGACTTTTGTGTTTTTGGGGCAAGTGGTAATGATTTAATTTAATAACGAGTTGAGGGGTCAACAATAAGCTGTGGTAATAAGTATAGCAGCCTTGAAAGCTTGAATTTACAATTTTTTTATTTTTTTTCCCCTCCTTTCTAAGTCGAGCTGGTCAACTTGCAGAAATTTCTTTTTTGCATTTTCTAAAATAAACTTTGTGTGGCCGAGTTATTCTATATATATTATATACTATTAGGTAGGGAGTGGTGGCAGAGGTCAACAATGGCTATTGGAAACAAAATCCAAAAGGAAGAAGGGCCACAGGATCTAAGGAAGCAGCTTGCTGTTGCTGTAAGAAGTATTCAATGGAGCTATGCAATATTCTGGTCCCTTTCATCCAGGCAACCTGGGTAAATCACCTATCTTCACTTCTCTCTCTCTGTCTTTTTTCTTTTTTTGTAAGATCCAAGGGATTGACAAGGAACATTTTGGCTTTAGCAACAGGTCTTTGACAATAAACATTTACAGTTAATCTGAGAGCTGTATTGGATGTTTGTGTTGATTTGTTGCTGTCTCTGGAAAATTTACTGCAATGTGCCATATCAGTACTTCAGTAATTATATCAAAGTTAGTATCTTGAAAACTGTTGTGTATTGGGAGAACTTTCAGCGCTGATCACTTTTTGATTCTGCTGCAACCTTTCTAAATGCTAAACAAACATGTTGTCATTGATATCTCATGTCCGAACTAAGTGGAGATCCCCTGATCTGATTGATGTCCATGGAAAAGACTTTTCACCTGACATTGTGTTAATGGGATCCTTTTCAGGACACTGGAATGGGGAGATGGGTACTACAATGGAGATATCAAAACAAGAAAGACAGTTCAGGCAGCTGAAGTAGACGACGATCAATCAGGACTACATAGGAGTGGCCAATTGATAGAACTTTACGAGTCTTTGTCCCTAGAAGAAACCAACCCTCAACCTAAAAGGCCTGCAGCTGCATTATCCCCAGAAGATCTCACCAATGCAGAATGGTACTTCTTGGTTTGCATGTCTTTTGTGTTCAATTTCGACGAAGGGTAACTCTTCTAACCGATCAAGCTATATCATGAAAGTTTTATTTCTTGGGTGATTCATGTTTGTTATGTCAATTGTTAAGGTTGCCCGGAAGGACATTTGCCAAGAACCAAACCATCTGGTTGTCTGATGCTCATGTTACCGATACCAAAATCTTTTCGCGATCGTTGCTTGCAAAGGCAAGTGAATCTAAACTCTTCTATTTCTTATGAATTCTGGATAGAGTTTTCATCGGAATTACTGAATTCTCTGCCTCTGGATTTTCCACATTGTACACTGTCTGGATTATAATCTGCAATGCTCATTTTCAGAGTGCATCGATCCAGGTACATGTTTTTCCTCAAACGATATGATTAATTAGCTCGAAACATCGTTCTTCATAAAATACCTTGTCCTAAACTTGCAGACAATAGTCTGCTTTCCCCATTTTGGAGGTGTAGTCGAGCTGGGAACGACTGAACCGGTATTTCACCATAATCCTTCTAAAGATCATCCCTGCACGATCTAATGTCGAACGAGTTTACTAATGTCTGAATTCCTTGTAAAGGTTTCGGAGGATCTGAATCTGATTCGCCACGTAAAGATGTTATTCCTGGGTTCCTCGGAGATTCCTAACCATATTCCTAACCATATCTCCAACAGCAACGCAGATGATGCCGGAGACACTCTCGATCAGCACTTGGACTGTCCCGGTGACGTCATATGTTCCCCGACCAACTGCTCGGTTGAGTTTCCAGACAATCTGCTGACAAACGAATCGAATTTTGTCGAAGGTGTCAGTAGGGGGCCTTCCCAAATGCAGCAGTGGCCATTCATGAACGATTCGATGACTTCCAGCGACTGTGTATCCCGAACTTATGGTGATCTTTTGGACAATGCTCAAGAACACCGTCGTAAGAACACAGCTGGCGTTGCAGGCGACGAAAATCATTACCACAGTGTGCTGTCGAATCTTTTGAAGAGTTCCCACCAGTTGCTCCTCGATCCGTATATCAGAAACAGAGTCAAAGATTCGAGTTTCATCCCCTGGAGGAACGACAGAGTATCATCGAGTGGTCGAACGCCGCAGAGTGGAACTCATCAGAGACTGCTAAAGAAAGTACTGTTCGATGTCGCCCGTATGCATGAAACTTTCAGGCTCGAATCCAGTAAGCAAAAGGGCATCGCCAAACCGGAAGGAGAAGAAAACGACAGAAACCATGTTCTTTCCGAGAGGAAGCGCAGGGAGAAGATAAATGAGAGGTTCTCGATTCTTGGATCGCTAGTGCCATCCGGTGGCAAAATAGATAAGGTATCGATACTCGATCATACCATAGATTACCTAAGGAAGCTTGAAAGAAAGATCGAGGAGCTGGAATCGAGCAACGAATTGAACTCAACAACTCACACTAAGGCTTACGACGCCATCGAGAGGACCTCTGACAATTATGGCCCCAACACCATCAAGAAGCCATTGACGAACAAGAGAAAGAGATTTGAAATGGACATAACAGGATGCGAAAACAGCAATGTCGACAAGGTCAATGTCAGCGTCACGGACAGGGATGTGTTGGTTGAGATACAATGCTGTTGGAAAGACAGCACCGTAGTCGAAGTTATGGAAGCTATAAGCAAACTACGAATGGATACGCTAACGGTTCAATATTCCAACGCCGATGGAATTATCTCCATGACCATAAAAGCCAAGGTATGAATAGAATCAAAGCTCAAACCTGGGCAATAATGTTCTACTACATTCACAGTTACAACATGAATTTCAGCTAACTGGTGTGTTACCAATCTGCAGAACAAGGGATTGAAGGCTGCATCACCAAATGTTATCAGAGAAACTCTCCACAAAGTCATAAGAATGTGCTGAAAGCAGGAGATTTTTTTGCTGAGAAAAATTCTGGGTGTTGATTAACTTATCAGTAACCCAAAGAATGTATGTAACTTGAGGGAATTTTCCAAGTAGTTAATCAAATTATCATCTTTCAGAAAATTAAAATCTCCTAATTGAATGAAGTAAATCTGGAAAAGACGGGTCATTGATTACTAAAAGGGGATCATTAGGGGAGCTCAAAAGCTATGGAGTTTTGGCAGCAACAGCATGGCCTGGTTTTATGTTCAAATACCCAAAAACAAAAGCAAAGCAGTCTCACATGGGTAGGAGAAAACACTTTAACTGTCCTTTTTCAATCATTAAACCTAACATAAAATAAATCAATAATAAAGATCTTACCTGTTTACCTTTTTTTGGGGGGTATGCATGAAAAAGAACAAATAATGCCTCAAAATTGCCAAAAGACAAGTTTTGCACAAAATAAACCAGAAAAGAACTTGGATGATCAACAACTACCAATTACTTTTCACAAAGATTAAGCGGACAGGCCAATTGGGTGGTTTTCAGACAAGTTGCTGTAGGGGGGAATAAGAACATATGATTATGGCCATCAAATGATTTAAAACTGCTATACGATCAACCGAGTGTTAATCATTTAACAAAATGACAGCAGATTTTGCAGCACAGGCAAATAAATAGGTGTATTTGGTAAATGCATGAACAGGAGTTGCAAAAAGTGAAGAAAAATATGATCTTTGCACAATTTAATGCCTTATATCTAAGATCTATTCCCATTCAATAGTGGAAGGTGGCTTTGAAGTAATGTCCAGAAGGACTCGGTTTACACCGGGAACTTCATTGCAAATCCTTGTCGACAGATCAGCAAGAAACTTGTGATCGAAGTAATACCTGATTTTTGCAAAGGAACACCAAGGGATCATCAAAACCAAATGATAACAACAATAGTCAACAAAATTAAATAAATAAGATAATGCATACCAATCAGCAGTCATCCCATCTTGACTCGTGACAGCCCTAAGAGTGATGGCATAGCTGTGAGTTCTTTGGTCGCCTTGAACTCCAACAGTTAGCACTGGCATGAAAACCGCAAATGCTTGCCATATAGAGTCGTAAATGCCAGCTTGTTTGATAGATTCAATGAAAATTTCATCTGCCTGAAATATCCATTTTTATATAAAATTGGTCAGCTCCAGTTCAATATCCCATATGCAATTCAAAAGTTTGATATGTACCTTGCGAAGAATTTCCAACCGATTCCCTAAGGTTACATCCCCAGGAATGCGTACTGCGAGGCCAGGCCCCGGGAACGGATGGCGCTTCAAGAACCCCTGTGGAACACCCATAATCTTTCCTAGTTCACGTACCTTTAGAAAATAACAGAGAATCGTATCATTAGAGAATATTAGGCGCAGGAAAAAAGAGGATCCAGCGAATGCTGGAACCGTGAACAGACTGCCGGTGATAAGCCGGATTTTTTTCAAGTTTTTAAGGAACTTGAAAGTTCATACCTCATCCTTAAATAAAAGCTTAAGTGGTTCAATAAGCTTCAATTTCATGTCCTTAGGGAGTCCTCCAACATTATGATGGCTTTTGATGGTGTGAGAGTGAGTCCTTCCACTTCCCGGGGGAGGGCAAGATTCAATCACGTCGGGGTATAAGGTTCCTTGAACCAAGAACGTAGGTTTCTTCCCCAATTCTTTTTCTAAATCATGGGCAAAAGCATCGAATATACTGATGAATTCACTTCCAATGATTTTCCTCTTCTTTTCAGGCTCTGTTACGCCCTTGAGCTTGCTGAGAAATTGCTCTGAAGCATCGACACAAGTAACAGGTAAATGAAGATCCTTCTTGAATGTTTCCATCACCCTCTCCTTCTCCTTCCACCTATAAGCGCGAAAAGGAAAAACGCCAGAGCAGGCATGTCAATAACAAAAATAATCATACTCCAAAACCCGTTAAAACAACATGGTATCTGACCTTAACAATCCATTGTCAACAAAAACACAATGAAGCCTGTCTCCAATTGCCTTGTGCACAAGTGTAGCGGCAACTGTTGAGTCCACACCTCCGGACAGTGCACATATGACATGATCTTCAGGTTTCACAGTGCTTTTAATAACCTTTAATTCTTCCTCCAGAACATCTTCCATCGTCCAGCCAGCAGAAATTCCACATAGGTCAAATAGAAAATATTTCAGAGTCTCCATTCCTTCTGGAGAGTGCGTTACCTGCAAAGAAATCTAGTAAACTTCCCATACCAGATGCTGGAACAATTTTATACTTTGAATTGGCATTACTGTAAGCTAAAAAGCAGCAGTTTGATCGAATAACAAAAGGTAAACAGAGAATGACATGCCTATCAGCTCATTGCAGTTTCATACAATTGTTGTAATGCAATCAAATTCGACAAAATCGATGACTTCTCTTTTTTGTCTAATGTATCTTTTAGCCTCAGAGATAACATGAAACATCAAAACCTGCTGGAAATAGAACATTCCCTAGAAAAAGAATACCCAAAACACATCATACCCAGTAATAAAATAGCATCTTGCTCATTAAAAATGCCATTTTTACACACACACACACACACCAAGAAACAGCTTTATACCAAAAGCAATAGAATACAATAAATTCCATTACAATTCATATTACCTCAGGATGATACTGCAAGCCATAAAACCTCCTCCCAAGATTCTCCACCGCAGCAACGCCGCCCTGTCTGCTCCTCGCCACCACTTCAAAACCCTCCGGCAACCTCACCGCCTCATCGCCATGGCTCATCCACACGCTCTGCCCATCCCCGACTTTCTTGTTCCCGAACAGTCCAACCGCCTTCACCACTTCAATCTCCATCCTTCCATACTCCTGCTTCTCCCCAACCCTCACCTCCCCACCCAATTGCTGCACAATCAACTGCAACCCGTAGCATATGCCCAGGACGTGAATCTTGTTGGTCTCCACGTACTCAATGAACCCCGGCGGGAAGCACGGCGCGTTCGGCGCGTGGACGCTGTGAGGGCCGCCGGACAGAATTATCACCCGCGGGCTGAGGTCGGAAATCGATTTTAAGGAAGAAGTGCCGTTGATGCACAGAGAGAAAACGTTGAGGGCGCGGATTCTTCGAGTAATTAGATGGGTGTACTGCGAACCGAAATCCAAAATCAGAACAAGATTGGTTTTAACGTCTTCGGCGTCCATCTCCCGCAGGAATTTTGCTGATTCAGGATGGCTGCAGCAAGCAATAATGGCGGAGGAGGGGTTTAGCCGTTTAGGGTCAAATGGGAGCTAGGGTTTAGCAACGGGTTTTAATATGGGGGCGGGAATGCCATTGGGCAACCTCAATTATTACCCTATTTATATTTACATAAAACCCTCCAAGAATTTGACCAAATTTGATCCACTTTGATAAATAAGATACCAATTCCGAAACTTTCAAACAAACCCGTGAACATAAACCACTCGATATTTCGACCAAACCCGTCAATTGTATGGTCAGAAATTATTGTGTATAAAAGTCATGTTGGTGTATTCTTATGGCGATTTAACAGCTTCGAATCAAATGAAATTACATTCCCATGGTGGTTTACATATGTTTTTCATGCCAGGGATTCTAATACAATTTCCAGTATGCATTCTTCAAGGAAGTCCTCTGAAATGTCAGCTGTGATTTGCTCGGTGCCGAGGCTAAAATCCAGCCATGATCCAAAGCTCACATCTTTTGACACTACATCGTCCACTGTTCTTTTCTCGGTCCAAGGAAGAAGATAGAGAGCGGCTTCCGCCATGATCTTATCAATCACAAGTTCTTCAAGTGAGAAAGACGAGAATTTCTGTATTACACATCCTTGCCGGATAGGAAATCGGAAACTGGACCGGTGCAACGATAGCAGAACTTCGTTTGTAAGATCGAACAGAAGCTTAGTATCAAAATGACAATCACCAGACAGAAACCGTTCTTGATCGTAATGAAGCAGCTCTCCCGATCCACACCTGGTTTCTGATAGCCTATCCCAATTCAAAGACGAAGCTTTCAACACCGAATGCACAAACTCGGAGAGTTGATGATGGTCTAGCTCTTCGATGCAGGAACTTGTCTTTTTCGATACCTCATGTGGGCTCGACTTTGATGAGCTTTCTTCGTAGTCGAGGTGGAGCTGCAGAGCTGCAAATGGTTCTAAGTTCATTTAGTTAGTTCTGTTTTACGAATCGGATAAAGTTCTCAGGAATTTACTACGCACCAATTCGAATGATAGCAGCGCGATCAGGACTATTGGCATCCTCTCGGAACAATGGCTCGAGCACAGATACCGGGCTCTGATGTTCTTGAAACTTATTGCTTTCGGCCACTTCTGTCTGTCCGACACTCGAAGGAGTAGATGGAAGATCATCCACCATTGATGCAGACACTTCATCCTCTGAGAGTGAATTCTGCAGAGCAAACAACATATCATTAGGACATCGAAAGAAGAAAAGCCGGACAAAAGCAACCAAGTACGAATCAGGGCCACAATTAGAATCTTTACATTTTCATCGTCACGGCCTAACTTAATTGACTCTTTTATCTCTATAGTCCCTGCAATATCAGTGGTGTTAATTTGATTTGAAACTTCGGCGAATGAATTCACAGAAGGAAGTGTAATGACCAGACCAAAGTTGTTACTGTCTGCTGTGAAAACATTGGTTCCACGGCCTTCTCCTTTCTTGCTTCGATGCCGAGGAGATATCTTTGTCCCATCAAATCTTTGTACAATGGCTTTCGATGACAGACTCGAGCAACCTTTTCTTCTTCCATTTATTATTAGAGAATTGCTGTAAGGACTAAATCTCATCTGTGCAGAACATGAACAATACTGGCTCAAGTCATGCTCGGGCGAGGCAAGAATTCCCTTCAATGTTCTAAAAGATTTTTCTCGATTCATAGCCTCAACTTCTCTTACATTTTCCAATCTTTTGGAAAGATGCCTTTTCACCTCATCGAATTCCTGTTTCATTGAGAAATCTAGTTTCTTGCGGACAGCATCGGACGCAACAACCACTGCTTGTTTCTTCTGTAAGTGTCTTTTTGTTTTGGAGGAATCGGAATTACTCATTGCCTTATCCACGATAGAATCATGAGAAGTAATTTCTCTTTTAGTAAAGCCTCCGAATGTATGTTTCAATCTTTTCTTTATCGCGCCAATAGAAAAGGATTTCCGGCGAGCATCAGACATCATTGGATTAGACAAGACTGGCGAGCAATGACAGGTTACACTTTCCGAACGCTTTGTGAAATGGCTGCCAGGCTTCATTGTCTTCCTACCTAATGGCTCGAAAGCTTCTTTCACCGACTGCAAATGGCTAGTGTTCTTGCAGTGGCTCGACAGCAGAGTGCTCGAATCAGACCAGAGATCCATGAACAGATCCTTGTCTGAATTCAACACATAATTAGCCCCTGAATTCTTGCCTTGTTTTCGAATAAGGCTGTCGATAAACATCTGATCAGCTATGGCTTTGGCTTTGATTTGAACTTGGTGCATACTGATCCGATCGATCTCATTATATTTCCCACGATTTGTTCTTGTCTGAAAATAGTCGGAGAGTAAATCGGATAAAGTGTCAGCAGTGCTCAATTGAGGGGGAGACAATCGACGAGCCATTCGGGTGTTCTTCCTGGCTCTCTTGTGACCTTTTACAAGACAATCAACAACCTCGGAATTTATACTGTTTCTAGTTCCATGTTCATCTTCTTGAATGAGATTCCCACCATTTCTTGCACTTGCAGTAACTCCAACTAAACCCGGTTCACTCTGAATATACAAAAAAAAAAAACATGAAGTTTGAAATTTTGCAAGTGTTCTATCTGTGTATGATGCAATAAAACAACAAGAGATGTAAGAAATGAGTGCTTACTCTATCATCTCGACATTCTTGATTAAGGTGGTCGAATCTTCTGGAACTGTCGCCATTGGAGATGAGCTTAGGAGGAGTGGGGGTAAGAAGATGACATGATTTGAGAATAGCAGACAAGCCCCACATACAGGTGTACTCATATCTCTCCTTGTCTGGGATTCTTGTCGATGATCTCCTCTTCGCCATTGCAGATTAATGCAGAAGGCACTTCACAATTACACGCACAGCTCAGCAAACAGAACCCAAGAAAATTAATCAAAGAAGAAACCAACAAATCACTAAAACCAAACAGTGACAAAATAAAACAATGATGAGTCAACCCATTCTTCATAAATTGCTCAAATCTCTCCCTAATTTCATGCCGCAGCTGAACCCACCATAGCCCCTATTATTCTATTCTTCAAGCAACAAGACAGGGGAGGGGGTGGGTTGGGGTGGGGGGTGGTTGAGGGTACCCTCACTAACCCTTTTAAGAACTAAGAGAAAGAATGGATGGATGAAGAAAACGCCATGGGAGAACACTAAAAAAGAGTATCATGAGTTTGTTTGTTTGCATCCATTTGTAGTATTATTGTTATTAATTAATTAATTGAATTAACTACTGCATAGCCATTGCAATTAATTATTATTATTATTATTATTATTATTATTATTATTTATTTTCAATAAGAGTGTGACGTGACATTTGACTATTATATACTAATACTGCCACCACACTACACTATTATATAGGAGTATGCATTTTCTGGTTTTGCTTCAGCCGTTGGAAAATCATTCAGCTCAAGAAAGATTGATTTTTTCTTGTTTATTTATTTGGATTAATGTTACCAGAAAGTAATTTATTGCACAAGTCATTTGTCTGTAGTGGGACAGTAGACTGTGATTATTCTAATCACTTTACACGTACGACTCGACAGGCTGACTCATGGTGGTGTCTTGTCCTGCTGCTACCTTTTGTTTTTTATTTTCAGTATTTGCGTTCTGGTCCTCCAATTATTCTTTGATTTTAGTTTGGTGCTTGAGCTTCTATAATAGTTTTAGTTAACGAAATTGATTAAAAAGAAATTGATGTGGACATTGGTTAATTTCTCTGCCCCACAATATTTTTTATTGATTAAAATTTTCTACTAACGGGTGATGTTTAGGTGCATTATTGTGAGCTGGTGGGTTGATAAAAGAAGTCAATAGGAGTTACTGTTTATAAATATTATATATATATATATATTAGCTATTAAATCAAAATTTGAGCAATTATTCAATTATCTACTGCTGACGAGCGAGGGCATAGCTAGCAAATTGACACCCATTTATATTTATCGCACAACATTGGTTTTTATAATTAAAATATTTGCAATAGGCACAAATATTAAGCCAAAAAAAGGACACATCCACCGGCACACACAAAAAAGAACGTTGCAGATTTATGTATATATTTATTAGGAAATTAATAATTAATTTACAATAGATGAAATCGTGTTACAGAATGGAATCGTGTTATTGTCGGCACGAGTGTTTGATGGAGCAAGTTTCGGAAGATGATGTAACCTGCATGATTTACGAATATCGGTCCAGGGGCATTCTGGTACTTTCGAATGCTAAAGCTACCTCATCTTATTCTTAGCATTATTAAATAAGCATTATTTAACATAATAATAATTATAATCTCAAAAAAAAAAAAAAAATCAAACCGAAAAGATTACTAGTATTGTTATTAAAACTGAAAGATAAGACTCTGTCTACACTGACTATCACTATCAATTTTTTTCAAAATTCTAAAACTTTCAAAACTTCTATCTAAAGAGAAATCCAAGTTTAATTTAACTCATGTAAATGTACTGTAACTTCTTAATGGAACCAAAGAGCAACACAATTATATATAACAAAAATCAGTGTAATTTGAATGGATCAATGTAAAGATAAATTGATCATTTTGATAACATTTACTACCAAAAAAAGGGAACATAGTGTCAAGAGATCGAAGCTTACAGTGGATCAAAGGTATGACCTTTCCGGCAACATGGCAAAACCCGGCGGCAGACAATGGTTGGTGCATGTATGCGAACCAATGAGCAACAATAGAGCTGTCCATGAACTCCCGCACACCATTGAAAGCTGCTTTGGAAGTCCCTGTGAGTAAGCCTGCAATGAAGCACAGTAACTGGCTATGAGCGAGTGGTAGATGGCTACCGATCAGTAAATACTACGAAATACCTTCACCAATACAATGTGATTGTTCTACAACTATTTACTATAATTGATCAAATTTTATACGGATGAATAGGAATATCAGATGCTAACCATTCCACTGTTATTTGTAATGTCTATGAACAATAAAACCAATAAACATTAGAAAACAGCAAACCTGGATAAGTCATAGGGAATTCGGAAAGAAATGTACACGTTCACAGACTGCTGCAACTACAAACTTTTCAACTTGAAACACATCTAATGCAGTTCCACTTTAGCTAATTCACCCGCACTAACACCCAAGTCGAGTATATTAGCTTTTCCACTATAAACTTCACGAAGCCTAGGAACATGGCTTCATACTCACTAACGAACTTCTCCAAGAAATCCTTTTCGGTTATAGTAACCACAGTTAGAAGGCTAAATGATTTTTCTACCAACCCCTTCACCACCAAGAGCTTAATAACTTGAATTCTATGTACGATCCTCTTATCTAAACTGTAATGAAGCATAGATGGACGTCTAGCAATATCTCTAGGTTGGCACTTCACCTCACTCACAAGAAAATCCATTGTAGACAGTATCTTATTCTCAGATAGAAGCATACAGTGAGGATCAAGTGAAAAGGCAGTATGAATGTCGGAGTCAGACCAACCCCATTTGCGGTAAGCTTCTTCCCTGCTTTCCAAGCTGACTCGCTTGTAGTATCAATAGCTTTCACTGCAATGACAAATATATGTTTCGAGATATCGTATCCTAAGTCAATAACCCGTTCAACTACCTTAGTAAGTTCATCACTTCTCCTAGCCAAAATGTAGGGACCATATAAAACCAATGCTGTGATATATTAGTGTCACTCACTCCATACTTTCTCAGAATATCTACACTAGCAATAATTCTACGTATGGAACAACTGTTATATAATATGTTCAGACTTCAGAGAAATGAACGCACGCATGACTTTCTCATCACTCTGCAACATATTCCTCAAAAATTGATAGAGAGAGATGATGCGTTTGTTAAGACCGGCCGTCAGAATTGTAGGGTTTCTAGAACAGATAGTAACAAGAACATGAACAGGCATACCTACAGAGAGGAAAAATTGGAGTTTAGGCAAAATATTTTTTCCTGAGCATCGAAAGAGTACGCGGGGGGTCTGTAGTGGCTAATTTGGTGATATCGCCATCGCTGAAGCCTTGGCTTTTGAAGATGGTTATTAAAGAATCTACTTTCTCAGGGAATTTGAGGATTACCTTTTCTGATATAGCTGTAGCAGCTGCCGGGGGCAGACCGCAGGAATTTATCAAGTAAGAACATGTAAGAGATCGTTGTTGATCACTCACAATTTTTTGCGGACTCACAGAAAGACCTAATCAACGAAATTGAATTTTGGGCACACTTCATATATTTCGGGCCACAACCAAAATTCGAAACCCTAACATGCTTTCTGTGCAAAAGATTAAACACCGGTCTGAACATTTTTCTGAAAACAGGAACAAATAACCAAGAGAATCAATCAATTGGGGGATCACCTACCAAAACGCCATACGGCGAGAATGAAGTGGTTTTATCGAGAAATTGCAATCTCGTTAAAACAAACATACTTCAAACAAGAATCACACACAATTCTGTAGCCATCTGCAGTTCGATCCTCGAAACCCTAACAGCCGATTGGTCTCGCGCCTCCAATACGAAGGGCGGGCCCGTATTGGCAAGCCCAGCCCGATTTAAGACGGGTCTGGGACACTATGCTCCCAAACATCTGGAGTATTGATAATATAATAAAATAATGATTTAGAATTGATTTATATGAAGCATAATAATTTTCACCACGAATTATTTGTAAAAATATTTCGAATAGCAATGAATAATATAGCATTTTAAATAAATATATTTATTGGGTACAAATATATTTTTTTTTTTAATAACGTGGAAATCGCAGCCGTTATCGAAAGTGAACTGACATGGATACGAAAAGATCGGGACTTGCAATTCCACATATTCCAATCGGACCAGTCTCGAGAGCTCGAGCGAAAGCGTGCATTGAAAAATTGCAAGGCCTAATAAAGAAATTAGAGAATTGAAGCCCAACCAACAATGTTACAACATGCGAGGACTTGATGGAAAGCCTAGGGCGAATGCCGTTGTTGTAAAGGTTACATTGGAGCTTGCAACGCCTCAACCGGAAAACTAACAGAAAAGTTGTGCAAACTTAAGAGTTTGCTAAAATAGAGGGTTTAATAGGTAATTATATAAACCTAGGTTGCACGTGCTCAAGTGGGATGGACCATCTATTGGGACCACTTATACATATACATATATAATAAACTCTCTCACATGCCTCTCACATGCAAGAGGGGACCATTAGCTAGGTGTCAATCAATGAGAGGTTACTTAGTTATACTAGAAAAATCACTCCACTTGCCTCTTCCTCCACTCCTATAAATAGGACTCTTAAAGTGCTTTGTAAAACACACCAACCAAATATATTTTTGTGAATATTTGATCATTTATGATAATTTCCTTTTTATGGAAAGTTATGCTTGATAGCAATACTTTTTCTTTTAGTCTAATATTTCATGGAATGCAATTTCATTGCATGCTCCGTGGGGTTTAGTTTAAAAATTCGGGTTTGAGTATAAAGCTTCAAGTTCGTGGCATTTGGGGAAAATGGAAGAGCTCTCCAAAATGTCGACCGAAATGGTGCCTTCGTAGAGGATGGTTCGATGCTAGAAGGGTATCGGATCGTTCTTACATTAGTACTTACTTAGGTTTGCTTCTGTCCTGTGAAGTTGATCAATTCGGTCCATGACATGAACCCATGACCTCATGCAAATACCATACTTTCTAATATGAAGATTTTTTACATACACATTATTTATTAGGCCATCTCCAACCCAGCACCATTAATGGTGCTGGATTGGTAAATTTAACCAAAAAAATGACGTTGCTTTCTATATATATTTTTTTTCAATTCTAAAATTTTTAATTTTAATTTTTAAATTTTTATTTATTTTTCTAAATTTTTTAAAAAAATATTTTAAATTATAAAAATAAATTTTTTAAAAATAATAGAAAAAAATAAATATTTGAAGAATAATAGTGAAAAATAGAGTTATGGTTGAAATAAAATTACAGTAGCTAAAGTTAGAGTTAAAACTGAATAAATAAAGTCTATGGTTGAAGATGGCCTTAACAATAAACTTTAATATATATATATATATATACACATAAATTTGGAGGCAAGAAAATGAAATGTCAATACTTGACAAAAAGGTGTAACATACAAGTTGATTTATTTTGAGAAGAACTTCCGCTAGAGTATGCTAGGTGAAAAATGAGCCTCAATGCGAAAACAACATATTTATACATAGAGTATCTATAAAAATAATCATATATAACAGACAAGACCTGAAAGCGTCCGAGTTTGAATCCATAATCTCACAGTCATTAGTCCATTCTCACACCACTAGATCGTCTCTTACGTATCTATAAGTTTTTCATTCTATTGCCAATCGATTGAGCCCTAACGCCGCGATAAACTTCCAGAAGCTCAGGAACATGGCCGTGTTTCCTAACAAATCTCTCCAGGAAACAATGTTCACTGTAAGAAATCAAAGATGAAAGTTTATAGGATCTCTCTAACAAACCCTTTTCCATCAAGAGCTTAATGACCCGGCATCTGGGTGCGACTCTCTTATCCAAACAGTACAAAAGGACCCGTGGAGTTTTAGCTATATCTTTTGGTTGGCAGTCCATCTCCTTCACAAGAAACTCCATTGTGCGCATAATCTTATCCTCAGATACCAGCATACAATACGGATGAAGTGAAAAGGCCGTAAGGATATCAGGGTCCGACCAACCACATCTACGATACAATTCTTCCTTGCGCTTCCAAGCTGACTTGCTCAAGCAAGAAAGTGTATGGACTGCAAGGATAAAGGAAAACTTAGAGGTGTCCATCCCCAATTCAATAGCCCTTTCCACTGCCTTAACAACCCAATCAATTTTCCTCGTCAGTACATTAGAATGATATTCCAGCAAAAACTTGATGTTAGAATCACTCACTCCATACTTCCTCAAGATATCGACATTAGCAGAAGCACGATGATTTAAAGTAGTCGTAAGAGAATGCGGCCCTATGGTACTGAATGCACGTACTACCTTCTTATCACTTTGCAATATATTCTTCAGATAATCATAAAATGGGATGATGCATTTGTCAAGGCTGGAACCTAGAAGAGTAGGGCATCTGCTAATCATCCCTGTTAGAACATGATGAGGCATGCCTATTGAATCGAAAAATCTGAGTTTAGGCAAAACAGTTTTGTCAGGGTGGGAGGAGAGTAACTTGGAATACTTAGTTACTAATCTAGTGATTTGTACATCACTGAAACCATAAGTTTTGAGGATGGTTAACACAGACTCTGCATTCCTCAGGGATTTGAGGATTAGCTTTTCGGACACAACTGTAGCAGCTACAGGGGACAGTTTGCAGGAATTTATCAAAAAAGACAATGTCTGAGATCGCTGTTGATCACAGACATTGTTTGCCGACTCGCAGAAAGACCTAATTATCGAATTGGCATGTTGGGGAAAACCCAAATATTTCGGGTAACACCCAAAATTACAAACCCTAACAAATCGCAAAAGATTGAACATCGGATTGAACAATTTTCTAACAACGGAACAAATAAACAAGACAACACATGGAGATCAACAAGTCACCAAGCAGAATGACGTACGGCGAGGATGAAGTTGTTCGTCGTGATATTGCAATTTCGTGAAGAAACATATATCAACCTGGAACTACGCACATTCAGTTGAGAAGTAAGAAATGCGAAACAGAACACCTCTACCTACGTTACGCAGGGCGAGGAGAAAGACAGCCGCAGGGCCTGTCGATTCAATTTTGGAAACCCTAGAATCCGATTCATGTGGCTTTGCGATCTTCGACTCGAATTCGAGCACCAATGCTTCGTTAGTATATAAATCTTAAGTTTAGATAGAAGTTATTGTATCAAAAGTTCAGTTTACGTAAATACTAAATTTTGGCCCAATTCCAAAATGGATCTTCTTCGGTTGAAGTATGAATAATTCATTTATGGGATGTTAGTGTACCTGGATTAGTTTTAAGGAAATATTATATTAAAATAATTTAATACTATTATAAATATGTATTAAAATTTTAAATATAGAATTAATTTTAATTATAATATAAAAACAAGTATTTAATAATTAATAAAAAATAAAAAATAAAAAATAATAGTATTTAATTTGATATTTGTAAAAAATAATAATAAATAAAAAAAAATTGTAAAATTTTATTAAAAAAAAACCTTTGTTTGGTTTTGGTTTGTGTTTAATTGTTTTATTTGTATATTAATTTAAGTAGTACTCTATTTAAATGTTAAATATATTATCATTTTTTAATATATAAAAATATTTATTTCTTAATACATATATTGTATGTAAGTTTAAAAAATATTTTTATAATTTTCAACCATTAACAGGAAAAAAAAAATCACAAATTTTAAAATACTAGAAAATTACAACTTAAAATATTTTGAATTTTCTTTTTAACTATTTTTTTTATTATGTTTAAAAGATTATCCACCTGAAGGGTTTTTTTTTTTTTCAAAACTCTCCCACCTGTTGCACATGATTATATATGACACGAAATTATTGAAATTTAATTATTTTTATGGCTACTGCGGAAATAAAAAGAATTTGTGGAGTGTATGATGTAGAGTTAGTATTGAAAATTATACCGTTACACGCAATTATTAGTGTGCGTCAAATCATTACAATAATTGATGAACTACCAAAAAATTGAATTAAAATTATTTTTCTATTGCTGATTATATTATATATACATGAATATTCTTATATATTTATATTATTCCCAATTTGTAAATATGAGCTGTTCACCATTATCGTCGTGCCAATATTTCAATACACATGACGACTTGGCATCACATGTCACATATGATATAAGCCTACTGTGACAAATTTGCCCCACAACATGTTTTATTTATTATTCTATTTTATTTTTTAAATGGCCCACATAGTGAAATTACAATTGGCATGCTAAATTGAAAATGGGTCATTACTCATTAGATCAAAAGGAATAAAATCAAATATGGATTGATAATTGTACCTCGAACGTTATAATTAATTTTGTCACATTAAATGAAAATTGATCGGATGTTTAAACAAATTTGAATTTGGGGAATATAATTATGAAACATTGGTGCAATGAATTTCATAGGGTCCTTGCCATAACTCCTAATGTAAGAAGATGGTGAATCATGGCCGTTGATTTTAATCATGCGCTATCAAGGGTGTGGATGTCCCCTTCCACACAACGGCCATATTAACGGCTACATTATTAAATATATTTTTGCGGCCTTTGGATTTATTAGACATGCATAATTAGATGAGGAAACAATGGTAGATGATGTGTGGCTGTGGTTCTTCCACTAAAAAGCTGATATTGACTTCACTAGAGTTTTTTGTTTCGTTGCTTCTTAGCTCTTATCTGTTGGGAATGCCAAGAATTATTATTATTATTTTATTTTTAAAATAAATAAATAATAAAATTATCTGTCTTACCTATATCAGAAATGACACTCCACCTGATTTTTGTGTAAAATAATGACTGGGGGATATAAATTTAGAAAGAAGGATCATTATGCTTTGAGCAATTTCAAGAATCTGCTAGAAACATCTCACAAATATGTTGTTTTCTTATGGACTCAATAATAATAAGAATAATAATAATAATAAAGTAATTCCACTATATCATGGGAAAATACTAGAAGGAAAAACAGTAGAATGTGAAGTATAAAAGAGGGAGCTTGATTTGACAGCCTAATATTTACAAAGATCAAGAATACAGCAAATCAAATGTAGTAGAAAAAAAAAAAAAAAGAGCCCATTTGCTAATGCAATGAATAGTTGCTGCTGAGCTGCCAAAATGATCGAAAATGAGGATTAGGTGGGGATGAAGGGCTAATCAAACGAATGGACAATAGAGAGCATGAAACAATAAATAATGTTCGTGACACTCTGTTGAAGAAGATAAGAACAAACCAGAAAAGCAAAGAGAGGGCCATACAGGAACCTGTCAGCATCCCTCTGGCTCTGTTCTATTATTTCCAGAACACTCCCCACTCTCCTCTCACTACCCCCCCACACCACACCACACCACACCACACACATACATTCTCTCCAGCATTATTAAAAGGGTTCTTACATTAACTAACCAGGATTAGTTTAATTAATTGGGGGGTGTCAGTCACATAATTGCAACAGTGCCAGCAAGTAAAAGGTGCATGCTTTTGTGGCAAACAAGGCCATCCTCTTTAATTTATGCTAACCAAGAAATGACTCCACTGCTATAAAAGACACCTCATCCTCACCTTTTAATCACACACAAGCACTCATTCACTGTATTCTGCTGCCATTCTGCTTCTCCTCCAGGGAGTGAACAAGAAAGGAACAGTCTTTTTTCTTGAAGTGAATCAATGGCGGAGGCTAAGGAGGAGGATGTTAGACTTGGGGCTAACAAGTTCACAGAGAGGCAGCCACTGGGCACAGCTGCTCAATCAGACAAGGATTACAAGGAACCTCCACCAGCCCCTCTGTTTGAGCCTGGAGAGTTGAAATCATGGTCCTTTTACAGGGCTGGAATTGCAGAGTTCTTTGCCACTTTCCTCTTCTTGTATATTTCTGTCTTGACTGTTATGGGGGTGGGTAGATCAGGCTCCAAGTGTAGTTCTGTGGGCATTCAGGGGATTGCTTGGGCCTTTGGTGGTATGATCTTTGTTCTTGTCTACTGCACTGCTGGTATCTCAGGTCAGCTCTCTTGATATTCACCCTTTTTGCTCTTGGATTGTGCTGTGTGTTTGGATCTGCCAATTTATTAGCTCAATTTTTGTTTCTTCTTCCCTGATGTGCATCATAACAGGAGGGCACATTAACCCTGCGGTGACCTTGGGTCTATTCTTGGCAAGAAAGCTGTCCCTCACCAGGGCAATCTTCTACATGGTGATGCAGTGTCTTGGAGCCATTTGTGGAGCTGGAGTGGTGAAGGGGTACATGGAGGGGCCGTACATGAGGCTTGGTGGTGGGGTGAATGTTGTCAACCATGGTTACACCAAGGGTGAAGCTCTTGGAGCTGAGATTGTTGGCACCTTTGTCCTTGTCTACACTGTCTTCTCTGCCACTGATGCCAAGAGAAACGCCAGAGACTCCCATGTCCCTGTATGTGGCTGTGTTTGTTCTTCAATTATGCTTTTTTAGTGCTTCTCATCTTCAAATTTGGGGGAATCTTCTGACGTGAACTTCTTTGTGTAATTTTCTTTGCAGATCTTGGCTCCTCTTCCAATTGGGTTTGCAGTCTTCCTTGTGCATCTGGCCACCATCCCCATCACCGGCACCGGCATCAACCCTGCCCGGAGCCTCGGCGCCGCCATAATCTTCAACAGAGAACATGCCTGGAATGACCATGTAAGAGGAACCCTGGCCTCACAACAACAATTTTTTGCTAAATCTGATGTTTTTGGGTTAAAATTTTCTGATTGATCTGATGTTTTTGTTGACAGTGGATCTTCTGGGTTGGACCCTTCATCGGAGCCTTGTTGGCTGCAATTTATCACCAGATCGTCATCAGGGCCATACCCTTCAAGAGCAGCTAAATAAAAATCTGCAGGAACATTTGTATTTGTGTCATCATTTATGGAGTTTCTTCTTCTTTGTTGAGTGTTGTTTCTCCTCTCAAAGACTGTGTGAAGATGTTAAACTATGTGTAAAGTATTGAGGGGTACCCATCCACCTTTGTTTGGAAACCTGTTGCATTTTATCAATGTAGAATTTTCTCCATTTAATCCCTAATTCCTGCCATGGATGATTGAGCATTGCAATGGAGCTTACAGTTGTGCCAAATTGCACTTCACTGTAAGAACATGTGGTCCTCCAATTTACACTTATTGCTGTCGACAGTGATGCCAGACATTCATAATCTTCTTGCAGGGAAGATAGATTTGATTCTTGATTCCACACATGGGCAGGACAACCTAGACCAAAAACAAGAACCTGCCATTTTCACCACTTACAAGTACAGATTTACAGCCACTGTAAAACAAAGTTTGTTCTATACACACATTATTCTAGCAAATGAAGAAGCCCAGCAACGGCTATACTGTACCAACAAAACCACACTTTTCAATATGCACAAAATAAAAAATGAAAGAAAATGCACAATGTACATTCCACACAACTGCAAGAACTTCTTACAGAAGAGGGTAAGGAATAAAGGAACCTTAACTAGCAAGAGTGTATTGTCCTGCCAAACTACATCCAAACTTCCACACATTGCTGGTCTTTCCTTGTGACAAACAATTTGTTCCCACCAAACCTCAGATTAGTTATCCTGTTTCCGCCCATATCCTTGGCTCTCCCCATCATGTTCTTCCTGAACACTCTCTCCTGCAGCAACCCTTTCTCCCCCGCCCGTAAGCTCCCGACTAATAACACTTCCGACCATAGCTCCAAATTCCCCCCTTTCCCACAAACAACTTGGCTCCCGTGAGTTTCCACTTTGCTCCCAAGCCCACCCTTCTTCCCACTCGATCCCTTTCTCGGGTCACCGAGACAAGTCCAAGAGTTTTCAGCCTGTATATATCTCAAATCTGCGTAGTATGTCTCCCCTGAGTTGATTCCTACTTTAAAAATGGCAGAGAGGGGATCTGAAACGGCAATGTCAGAGAAGCAATCTGTCTTCTCCTTGAGCTCCCAAGCTACATTGCCGGATCTAATGTCCCAAAATTTGATGTTCCCGGATACGCCGGCAGGTCCGCTGTGTGAGCCTGAGGCCATTAACAGATTGTGGGAGGTAATCCACTGCAATTTAGTTGCTGGAATGGCGGAATCAAGATCAGCGCCGAAGATTTCGTAGTGGCCGATCTTGTAAGCAGGGCGTAGGCTGTCGTTAAGATCGTATATCATAATGCAGCTTGAATTTCTCCGGCTGGACTCGAAGCTTGTAAACAAGTGTTCATCTGATGCTCCAATGGCCTGCACTGTCGACCCCGACTTCGTCACGTTTACCCAATCCAAACTTTCTTTAACAATGCCGTTGTTAAGATCGATGATCTGTAAGCCTGAGAAATCGGTGGCGCCGGCTGCGGCAACAGCAGGGGACAATGCTAGCAATGAATCGATGGCCGTGAATTGGGTCAGAATTGTGGATTTCCTCCGGAGGGACCAATCGAAGGAGGTGACTTTGCTTCCATGGGCGACATGGAGTGATCCGAACAGTGTTGTCGAAATTGCAGAGGGCGAATCACGGCCGTTCAACGGCAAGATTAAGGATTTTTCAAGATTGAAGGCGTCTATTTGGGAGGGGTTCGATTGGGAGTTGACGAGGATGCTTTCAATTCCATAGAATTGGGCCTCGAAAATCAGATCCTGGATGTCGAATGCCTTGGCCTTTGAAGGAAGGTTTCCTGTCCTGAGGAGGGAAAGCAGAATCGAGAAAAGCTCAGGGTCTCTGTCAATGAAGGGGATGGAGCGATCAGAAGAGGAGATCTTGGAAAGAAGGGACTTGGGGCCAGCAGACGACAGGGTCTGTTTGGTTGTCTGAAAAATCTGGCCACCGACGTCAATGGTGACTACGTTTGAATGCGAATCATGGTGGAAACCATTTGAAAAAGGGTTTGATTCTCCAAAAGGAGGCATTCTTAATTTTATTTTCTGAGAGTACTCGAAATCTCCCAAACAAACTTCGATTCTGAGCACAAAAGTAGAGAGGGAAATAAGAAAAAACAAACCACCTATAAACGCGAGAGAAGCAACAGATGGCAATACCAATTAAAGCTTGAGATTAATCCGAATAATCCTGAAACCCTAGAGCAAGGAGGAGGAACTGAAGCTCGATTTCCGGATGAAACAAGGCACCGATCGAATATGAAATTTGAAGAGCTTGCGCCGATAAGGAGGAGATAAAAGAGGGGTTAGGGTTTGGTATGAGAAGGAGATGGGTGGGGAGGATATAGGTGGAGGCGGGGTTCTAGAAGACAGAAAGTCAGCAACGGCGGATCTATTTTTGCAGTCAACCATGGCTGGAGGTAGGGGAAGAAGGATCCCAAGAATCGGGCCTGTTTGGGGACGAGATTTCTGTCATCAACGCTCGGTCATTTGAGCAGTCCAATGTGGACCGGATTCATTGGGTCTGACCAAATTTACAGAGTACGCACCTTAACAATATTACGACATTTTAGGGATTTAAATTAATCATTACTCTATATTTAAAAAATACACACACACATATATATATATATATAAATATATATTTCTACATTAAAATTAATTGGCATGGATTCGGCATAAATAAAAACTTTGAATATTTTATTGAAAGTGACAGGTACTAACAAGTATTTTTAATATTTAATTAAAAATTAAATAAATAAAAGATAATATAATAAAATTTATTTGATATTTATTGTAAATAAATATTGAAGAAATAGATAATAATAATAATAAAATAAATTTAATAACATATTTAAAGAATAATAAATTTATTTTATACAAAATATTTTTACGATTAGAGTGTACTTTTTTGTTTTTATACTATTTAAATTTATATTTTTTTAAGAAAATGACTATAATTGTTTGTAGAAGGGACTCTCTTTTTTAATGGTCAACGATTTCCAGGAAGATTCCAAGTTCCAGATGATGTTTTGAACAAAGAGGTTTGACTTTGACCATACCAAGGATCAGAATTGTTGGGGTTTCTTTCTGCATGGGCTGTGTTCTAATTGATGCAAAATTGTGAAATGTGAATTCATATTATACAGCAACATTATTTTGCATCTCTGTCTTAACTATTTATAATACCAAGCTTAATTCACTCAGTTACTTGAAAGGTAGGCTCTATTTTATTTTTATTATTATTATTTTTTTTAAGGTCTAATTTTTAATCATACATTAAAAAATACTCCGTCCGTCCCACATAATTTGTCCTTATTTTTTATTTTTGTTCGTCCCACATAACTTGTCTTTTTTATTTTTGGAAATATAATTATGCACTTTAATAGCATTTTAAATTTTAAATTTTATAATTTTTTTTAATTTTAATTAAACTATTTATTTATTTATTTTAATCTTAATCTATAATTATTTTTACTAAATAATAATTATTTTTACTAATATACTTTTTAATTATTTACTAATTATATTTTACTTAAATTCTTATGACTAGAGTATATATATATATTTCCAACCATCAAATAAAATAATTCTTTATATAAATTGTTGGGCATAGCCCAAAACAAGAGAAAGAGAGTGAAGGAAGTTGGGCAATTATTGGGCTTAATCCTAAAATAAATTTAAGGTTGGGTCCTAATAAGTATTTCATTGTTGCACTTGGAGCATGGCCTAATGGGCTAATTAATGCACAAGAACCCAGTCTTTGCTTCTTTTATATTCATCAAACTTTACTGCCAGAACCCAAGTCTACTAAAGGTGTGTATTTGTTTGGGATTTTAGATTTTGAGTTGATATTTAAATAGTAAAAATTTTGAATTTGAATAATTGTATAATGTAATATAAATAGGTGCTGATGTGATGTTTTAAATGTAAAAATTATTTTTAGTATAATATAAAAAATAAAAAATAGATGTTTGATTTAATTTATTTCGAAGAAAAAATGGGATGAATAGTATACTTAAAATTTAATCCCCAAACAAAGCGGGTGAATGGATAGAGTATGAAAGATTTCATTCAATAACTATATGTAGCGAGAAAATTTTAGTTTTTATTCTTTAATTGAGTTCAATTATATTTTTAAATATCTAACTTTTTTATACTCCCTCCGTCCAGCCGGTATATATATTTATATTTTGGGATGTTCAATTACAAAATAACTATTTTATTAAATACTCCATTTTTTTCGTACATACCCTACTTTACATCACATTATTACTTTTATACAAAAAAAAAGTAAAGAAAAAAATGTTATTACGTTTACTTTTACCTGTCTATTATAATTAAAATACTATTATTTTTTAAACTCTGCGCCAAAAGTAAATGTATATTTTTTGCTTGTACGGAGAGAGTATTTGATTTTAGGAAACTAACTACTCCCTCCGTCCCATATCAAAGTATCTATTTATCTTTTGTGTCATTGTACTTAACATTGAAAATATTTTTATATTTGTATAATTTTTTATACAAATATCATTATATTAAGACACCAATAGAAATATTTTTGTCATTTTTTCTTTATTTGTAATACGATTTGATATAATAATTAATATTTAAAGATTAACACGCAAAAAATAAATAGATATTTTGTTATAGGATCGAGGAAAGAGCAACTATCAAATTACCATTGTTTCTATTCCCCGGTTTGTTGGAAAATAGCTAAAAGCGCGCATGTAGGATGAGCTGGACGCACTGGACTCGATGTGTCACCTGCCGGAGATGACATGGAGTCTATGTGGCACATTTCCGACTATGACAAGGCAATTTAATAACAAAAAATAGAAAAAAATTGTACTCTATTTCAAATTGGTCCAAATAAAAACATAAGATCCAAACATATTCATCCATTTAATTTCACATTTCACATAATCGATCGATCTCTCATCTCATAACCCTAAAGAAAAATCGTCGAAAAGAAAGAAATACAATCATCACGCCCATCCAAATACACATAGGTGTATATATATATATATCTGTACCCAATTAAACATAATAATAAAAAATATAAAAATATCTCTTAGGGCTATTAAGGGAAATTCGCACCCCGACGAGAAAACGAGAATCGAACCAGGTTAGAGATTAAAGTCATGTCTTGTTGTTGGGTTAACAAATAATCCAATTTCGAGATACATAGACATACATATTTTTAATTTAATTTTTTTTACTTTATTGGCAGTAGAAGACAACATAGGCAGGCCTTAAGATGGGCCATTTGCACAAGGAAAAGGAGGGGAATTACACAAGTCCATAATCAAACGGCTTTGTTCTCATACACGTGTACGCATCTCCTCCGTCCAATGAATGACCTTAATCAAGAGTCGTTCTCGTGAAATCTGGACCGTTGGATGAATTGCTGTTGGAGATTGATGGGACAAGAGGTTTAGAGATATGGGAGCCCATCACGGCAACGTTCCTTTGATAGTCCTTTTGCAGGCTCTTCGAACCTCTTTTACCTTTGGACCCTTTCATTTTTCAAGACAATAGTAATAATAATAATTCTCCATCCGTCCAGATACAATGTGTAGGTTGCCATTTTTATCAGTCTCACATACTATGTCATTATTTTTTTCGAAAAAAATAATTACATATTTTAATCTTATTTTAAATTTTTAAATTTTTTATTTTAATTTTAATTAAACTAATTAGTTATCTTAATCTTAATTTATAATTATTTATATTATAGGATAATTATTTTCACTGATATATTCTTAATTATCTACTAATTACACAATTTCTAAAATACCGTGTCTACAGTGTAACAGACACATGGACGGAGGGAGTAATAATAATTGTTATGTGATTTTTATTTTTTTTTGTTATCCAAATTTATTGTTATTATTATTTTTTTTTGTCATTTAAATTTATTATTCTTTTTTCTATTGCTAGAAAGTATTTTCTTGGTCCGTCCATAACAAAATATCGATTTTTTTTTACTAATTGTATTATCTATATAAGATTACAAATACTCTTCCAATTTATATTATATTACATAAATGTTATTACAATTATATCATACAATACTAATAAAATTAGTGTAGTCTTTTTACCTTTATTTCTATTGCATCTCAATATAATACTATTTCTACAACTCTGTGCAAAAAAATAAATGTATAGATAGATATGAGACATAGGGAGTATCATTTTTCTATTTTTTTAAAAAAATAGTAAAAAAATTTATTTTTACCTATTTTTCTTAAAATTTGTATCTGGTCCAATAAACATACAGTAATGACGTCACAACTCACAAACTAACAATTACGATTGCTTTTCACATTTATTCTTCTAATAATTCCACATTAGAATTTAGAAATATGGAAATAACTTTTTACACATATAATTAGTACTAATTTGGAGTAAGAAAGTAATTATAAATAAATGGGGGTAATAATTTCGTTTCCCAATAAAGTAAAAAAATTTAAAAATAAAAAATAAAAAGAGCGTGGCTGTAAATAGACTACTCCAGAGGCGATGGATATTTCCCGAACATAGCAGATAAAGATAAAACCACCCGTCCTAATTCGTGGGGCCCATTTGGTAACCGTCTACCTTTTTATCCGGTAAAGATGACCAGACATAAAATGCAAGTAGAAATTGCGAGTGACTGCGATTAAGCAGTAGCAGGTTGACCCCTCATTCCTTGGCAGTTAGTGTGCATTTACTGCGTGCTCCTCCTCACCCTCCCACTCTCTCTTTCTCTCTCTTTTCTTCCATTTTTCTGCTAACCTCCTCTCTGTTGTCTTTGAAATCTGAGATTTTTCCAGGCATTTTCGTGTGTTGTTGGTGCTTTGCTTGGTCTTCGTGTTATTCGGATTGCTGGTGCTTGTTAATTCCAGAGTGGAAATTTGCTGGCCGGACGGAAGTGGTGACAGGTAATGCTTGTTATTGTGAAATGTAATGAGGATGTTGTACGGGAATGAAATTAGTTTTTGATCCTGTATTGTGCGTGTATGCGTTCAAATTGATTTGTTATTGTTATTGTTATTATTATTATTATTATTTGGAAGTGTGAGTTCAGATTATTTTTTAGTGTTAATGAAGTACGGCATTCCTTGATTTTGTCGATTTGCTGACCAGCATACATCTGTTAGTGCGAATTTGAGAATTGAGAGGGAGTGAAAACGTTCGAGTATGAGTTTTAGTTTTAAAAATGTTTGACTAGTCTCGTGTGTGGTTTGGTAGAAAAAGCTGAATCGCGAATTCATTTGCGACTGTTCTTTCTTCAGATCGGTGATAAGGAGTTTTAATTTAATAAGTTTGATCAAAATGCTTTGAGTTCTGCGTTATTTACATGATTACTTTATTCAAGTGCATATCAATTCAAACTTTAGACTGTATTTTGCAAGATCTGTCTGCGACAGTGATTTATCATATTTTTTATTATGATATGCGAACCTGCTTTAATTTGTCAGGGCATGGTCAGGTGCAAACACATTACGAAAATGGTTTAATTTTGAACGGCTGCTTGCGTGTTCGGTTGTGTGTATGTGAGGGAGTGCAGGGTATGTTATTCATGATCCATTTATTGCTACCAAACGGAGTCCGTGAACCATAGGGAGATTCGATGCATTGCATTTAAAATTCCCACAAAGTAGACGTGTCCAAAATTAAAATAATTCCAAATATTTTTGTCTTACTATCAGTCAACTATAATAGCTTCAGGCAGTGTACTTCTTTATTTACTCATTAAAAATAAGAGCTGTATCTGTCTTTATCAACTCCTCTATCTCCATGGAATTTTCTTTTCGCGTGTCAGGAAGTTCTTTCGGAGCTTAGAGCTTCTGTATGCAGTAGAGAAGTTTCCGAGCTAAGATAATACTATATAATAAGCGCATGTACCTTGGGCTACGAAAAGATCAGTTGCATAGGTAGTTTCATGTCGGAAATTCGCAGAGGAGGAGACTTTCCACAGCCCAGTTAAAAAAATTGACTTCAATTGCTGCGTAGGGCTAATATTAGCATTTGATGATTTTTTCAGTCTGCTGAAATTGTTTAAAGACGTAGATTGTTGGTTTAACAAAGGCTTGCATGATATGCAGAGTTGTGGAAAATCGATTGTTGCTAATTAGGCCCGTTCAACAGTGAGATGATTGAGATTGAATCATGCCCTTCGCGGGTTCTATTTCCTCTCCGCGAGGAAAGTGGTGATGAAGAGCTCTCTGTTCTTCCTAGGCATACCAAGGTTATTGTGACTGGAAATAACAGAACAAAGAGCGTTTTGGTGGGTTTGCAAGGAGTTGTGAAGAAAGCTGTTGGGCTCGGTGGTTGGCATTGGCTGGTATATCTATCATACGAATTACATGATCCTAATTTTATGTAATTCTTGCCCTCACTGTTCAATGTTTTTTTTTAATTGCAGTTTGATATCTAATGATTGGAAAGATGGAATGACAGGGTCATTGATTTTTTACAGTAACTGAATACTGTTACATAACTTGATTTAGTTGCAATAATGGCTTTTGTTAACATGGATTGAAAATCCATTTTATAAGGCTTGAATGAAGTTGAAAACCCATTTAGAAGGCTTGAATGAAGTGTTTTACCCATTGTCTCTTGACCGTTATTTGTGAAAATATGTGGTCAAGAAATTGATCATCTTTTCAACTCAAGGTCTAATTTGAATTATTATTATTATTATTATTTAAAAAAAAAAAAACAGCTTTAATATCATATTTTTATCCTTTTTTATGAAGCTTATTTTCTCTGATTTTTTCTGTCCTAAATCAATATGCACCTTATCTCACAGTTTTTGTGTCCATACTTTTGTTGCTTTCGTTAAGGTCTTTGTTGTAATGAACAGGTATTGAAGAACGGAGTTGAGGTCAAGCTTCAAAGAAATGCATTGAGTGTTTTAGAACATCCTACTGGAAATGAGGAAGATTATGATCTTGATGATTCTAGCAGTGGTTCTGATGCTGGTGAGAAGGAACGCAATCGCATCTGTAAGTTGCAACATTTACTCCCGAAGCTGCTGCTCCATTCATTGTCTGCATTAGTAATTTGCCTGTTTCCCTGTAGCAGCAACTGGATTTCACTTTAGCAAGATAAGCAAGCCAAAGGTTCGGTATAGTAGGCCTTGGTTTCCTTCAGCATCCACAAAGTTCATAAATCGCAACAGTTGCAGAGAAGTTCATACCAAATGCAATTCCAGTCAGTTGGTAAGCATTATGGACACATTAGAAAATATGTCTAGAACAACAAGGTTATTAAATACAACTGTGCATCATACTATTTGTCTTTCTGTGAAAATTTCTTTTAGACATCCACTTGAAAGTCTTTCATTGAAATGGTTCAGAAAGTATGCTCGTAAATCTTATCCTTTCCATGTTGGCGGTGGTATCACTGAACCTTATGTATGGCTTCAGTAAGTGTCTATTCTAGAGCTATGGGAATTGGATTATACCATTCATAGACAACGGGCACCTAAGTAGATACAGACTTCACACACAAACTCAGTACCTACAATAATTACTTTAAATATTGGCTCGTCACAAGTCAGTCCCTCATACTAGAACCTTTGTTACTATACAATTCACTGGTGTCTTTTTTTGTGGAATGCTGGTTCTGTCATACACTTTTAATCAAACTTTCAAACTATTTTAACATACACTCCTTTTCTGTTTCTTATCTGTTTATATATAATTGATCCAGCGAGTTAATGTGGCGAAGCTTGGAATTGGATCGCTGTGGAGATACTGGCGAAGCTTCCATCTGGTTGGTTCATAATTTTCATCTATATATTCTTGTTATCTTCATTTTTTTAAATCCTAGCTCACACCTCTTAAATTTCCAAATGCAGGCCAATATCACTCCTAACCCTACAAAAGAACAATTGGTTAACATGGTTCAACAGCACTTCACCTCACAGGTCTCCACTATTTACTCATGACTGCTAATCCCACCCCCCTCCCTTTACACCACCCTCATTTTCGAATTGCTACAAATTTGGTCTAACTTACAAATCCCGTGTCCTCTGATCTTTCTACTTCAGAAAGTGGACGAGGTACAAGTAATCCTGAAGTTCATACAGGCTGCTAAGAGACTGCATTCAGCTGGAAAAGATTGAGTTTGGAGCTACCCAGGTTGCCTAATTGCCTGTCATATATATATATATATAATGTCTATATGTAGTAGTAGCTAACTATTTACATGGATACTGACTCTTGACTGCTAATGTAGAGGGATACCTGCAGGTTTATGTGTGTGTGTGTTTGTGTGCCAGTGTTAACTATCTTACTTTGACTCTCCACCTTGTATTTATGGCTCTTTTACCCCCCTAGCTAATATTATGCATGCCATTCCATACTGGTGCCTTAATTCTTTGCCATATGTTCAATACTTTTGTGGACATACATGCACGAATCTAACTGCCAGGACCAACCATTTCTTTGTTGATAGTGTCAAATTTGGTAGTTTAGAAATTAGAATAGAATAGAAGAGACAGACACACAGGCACACACTTGATAAGGACCATGTGTGATAGAGTATAATGTTGTAAAACCAAACCTAATCAGCATCAGAGTGGTTTAACCACTTGCATTATAGTCGGTCACGACAGTTACACCATCCATCCCACTGGCCGGTTATTTCATCCCACCAATCGCCACCTGCCACGTCTACGAACACCATCTGGCATTCAATTCTCTCAATCATGCACCCCAAGCCCGCGGAATTGCTCCACGAAGGCAATAGTATTGTACCTCCTCCTTTCGTTGCTGTCCTTGTCACTTCTGGCATCGCCATCATTATCAGAATTTTTATTCAGAAATTTTAATTATTGCATTCTTTATCATTAAAAGTAACCATCGTATGACCGTACGATTAATTTAATAATAATGGCCAGGCTTAAATCAATCAATAATATTAGGCTGTGCGTTTGGTTGTAAGATATTAGAAGAGTAAAATATTAGTAATTGATGTGATTTTTATATAAGAAAAATATATTTTTTTCAAAAAAAAAATACTTCTTAAAAATTACTCTCGTTTTATTCTTAATTATATATATATAAAAAAAGGAATAATTTTTGTGGAATAAAGGATTATTAGAAATGAATAGTAGTGTAAAATGTCATATTCTCACTTTTAAGAGTCATAATTTTTTTCGCAATTTAAATAATAAAATTTATTTTGAATTTAAAATTAATTTTAAATATAATAAAAAAATAATTATTTAATATGATAATTTAATTTTTAATTTTTATCTTTTAGTAATAATAATTGTAAAATCTCAGAGACAAAAGTACACAAGGGTTCATCAGGTTTGGTAAAAAATGCAAAACCAAACTAATCCAGTTACCCTTCAAAACGACTAGTAAAATTACCGCTCACCATTATTATATATTATCGTCTTTGAAATAATTCTCTCTGTCTCTCTCTCTCTTCTTTGTGTTCGGTGGCTCGGTCCGAAGCCGGAGGTGTCGCGCAGTGTGTCGAGTATTTGTACTCGTTCGTGCTGAACAGAACGGTATTGAATTTTACTTGATTGATTCAATGTTAATTTTCGATTAGGTTTTCTGTTATCTGTGTTGATTTTCATGCGTAGTACAACCGCTAGTATCTGCGGAGATTATTTTGAGTCGTCTATGTTGAGACTATTCAATCGATAACCGTACTTGTTGATTTGTTATCGATTAGGTTTTCTGTTATCTGCGTTGGCTCTTTAGTGCTAGACCGATTCCATTTTCATCATATTCTCGTAACTGAGAAACCTACTACTTCATCTGCAAAGCTGATTGACGCACGTTTGTTGATTTGTGATTTTCGGGAGCATTATTATCACTGCTGACTTATTTTCAGCTTGCTGTCAACATTTCCAAACGTTTCGATCTCCCCTGCGAAATCCTGTTTTGTTTTGACTAGTGCATCCTTTTCTGTAGCAGCTGACAGAATTGCGTGTTTTCTAATCGACTGATCCATGGATGCTCTCGTACCAATAGTTTTGGATCTAATGTCTATTTTGCAGGGAAGTTAGGGATGAGAGGAGCGCCAAGAGACTTCAAGCAGATGACAATTATAACTAAATAGAGATGGGCGGTTGTTGCGGCTGTGCTTCTAAAAACACTGAACTTCATAGGTCACCACCATTCTTTCATGTGAGTGATATCTCTGAGTTCCGAAGAGTTTTGGGTGTTGTGTTGTTTTAGTTGGCATCATACTGAAGTTTTTGAGAACCAAACATCCTTTTTTACTGCTATTTTTTATTCTGATGCTGTCAGGTTACCATCAATATTCTGATCATTACTATAAAATTCTTGTACAAAATGATTATAAAGATAAATTCATCCTTGCAAATATATAAAGCCAGATTACTGATGAAAGTTGTTTAGCTTTTGCCCGACTTCCAAATCTTGTGGATAACAGTTTCAAATGTATTTCTGTAATTCACCTCCAACTATTGTTAGGATTGATCGTCTAAGGATTTCTGTGATTTGGTGCCTGTAGGAAATGCATCAATTCCTTTAAAATTATGTGGGGTTCGACCTAAACTGTTCCAATCTTTTATACAAAGAAGCTAATCCTGTAAGTTAAATTCGGCATTGTTGTTCCTTTTGGAAGGAAAATTCATCTTAAGGATAAGCTTCCAGGCACAGATTTTTACCAAGGTTTAGCCGAATCCAATGGGAATTAAGCTTTACTATGCAATATGGCAACATATATTTTTGATTACTAGGAATAAGATGCAATTACTTTTCTGTTGAGCTAGAATAAAAATTTACATCTTAAATCTCTGTGATATGGCTGCATATAATGTGCTTAAGATTAATATATTTTAGTCAGCCACAAAGGGCGTTTTTCATGCAAGTAGATTCTTGTTCTATTTACCTTAATTGGTTTGGTTTCTGTGAAAAATATAGATTCAAATGCAATACAGGGATTCTTGATCTGTTGGACTTTGCTATTCTGCCAAAATTTGGTGTATAGTTCCTTAAAAGTATAAAGAATTGACTGTTGAGTGCATACACAAAATTCACAATCACTTCTAGACCGACAACATTGGATTTCTTTTGAGATCTAATCCATGCTTTCTGATCTTAAATCGCTGATTTATATGTGCTGCTCGTTTACGGCAAGAAGTTCTGTTAATAATCTTGAGATTTTTCCACTATGAAAGATATATAAACATGGACTTCCAATAATTTCACCTCTACCATTTTTTAGCTGTAATGTTTCCCTATTTTGTGTGTTTCAATTTACATAATTATTTTCTTTTCAATTAAATGTATTCATCATCTTTACATATACTTGGTGGGCATCATTTCTTTCTTTCACGGAAATGAATGTGACTGCAGTATACAGTGCCTGAAGAACACGAACCCTTGCCAACTCACTGTGCAACAGTCCCGGTTCTCTCTTCTGAGCTTTTGGTAGATGCCAATTTAGATTTTTCAGTCCCAGATACTTATCAACCTCCTCCTGCACCTATACCTTACGAAAAGTATCCGGGATGCCCCCCTGCATCATCAGAGAATCAAGAAGGATCTGGAAATAAGGCAGGGATGGTTCTGCAAATTGCCGACAGTGAGTCCACTAATGATCCCTATTGTGGAAGTACCATGGAAACAAAGGTAAAGACCCTGGAGTTCGACGAAAAGTCCAAATTAAATGCCGATTCACCACCATCTGAGAAATTAGACGATGAAAAGTCTAGTGATATTAAAAAATCCATCGAACCCATTTTTCCACCACTACAAGATGAGGAAGACATCTGTCCCACTTGCTTTGAAGGTACTATGGATATTCAATTGCTCATACCTTCCTAGTTTTATGATAGATATCTGATGTACTTGAGGTGGTCATATCTAACTTTTATCTACTTCTCCACCCCCTTTGCAGAATATGATGAAGAGAACCCGAAAATCATTGCAAAATGTGACCACCATTTTCACCTCGGTTGCATTCTCGAGTGGATGGAACGTAGTGACACCTGTCCCATGTGTGATCAGGTCTGCATGGTCTCTTTTATTATTGATTTTAATATTTTTTTTATAAGACCAGTATGTTACTTGTGAGATGTTGCGTTACAGCAGACTAATCCATCTGTTTTCTTGAACATAGAAAATGGTCTTCAGTCTCGGCGAGGGAGGATAGGTGTTGAAATGCTGCTGCTGATTATATCTTTTGCTTGTCCCTTAAGCATTTCAGGTTCATTCATTTACAGTTTATTCATCTTCTGCATATGTTCATTTGTCCCTTTCTGTTGTATATACGTCGAGGGGGGCAAATCTATGAATGTTGGGGCAGTACAAACACAACATTAACTTGGATGTGAAATTGCTTGTATATATATATGGCCCGTGGGCCTGCACATGCTCGAACTCAATATTTCTGCATTTTGCAGCTGCCCCTTTTATCATCTACACACATCCCGCGATTGCTCATACATTAGATTACAAGTTGTGGTAGAAGTTGGTTCATGCGATATAGAAATTGGTCAGATGTGTGTACTCACTAGAGGCTGTACATGGATTCGTTGTATTGATTAGGGATATCAATATTCATTTTCTTCTTACTTTCTTTTATCTTACAGCTTTATTTACATATGAATATGCAATTAACACATTGAGAAGTGACACAAATTTAGCTGTAACAAGTGAATATTCCAATTTCTGCAGGATCTTGTAATCCTAATCTACAAGCCCAAAAGCTGCTACATTAGTTTAATACTCCTATAGTTTGCACAATTTTGTATGTTTCCTTTGCAGGCTACTGTTTAGGAGTTCCTACAGCCAAAAAGCTTCATTGGCTAAGAACATTTTTACACTATCAAATGCTTAACCAAAATTTGAAAGGATGGAGTTTCATAAGCTTATTAATTGTTGAGGACAAATCCATAAGGCCTCAAAGAACAGGCAAAAATTAAAGAGCAGGGAAAATAGAAACTTACTAGCACTTGAGAATACCCTCAATGGCTTCAAAGAATAACGGGGCCATCTCTGGGCTCGGTGTTTTAATTGCACATTTGACGCCGGGATTGCCAACCGCTGTACCGAGTTCAATTAAGAAAGGAATTCCTCGGGGAATCTTGGTTGAGAGATACAACACCTCTTGGTTTGAGTGCTTTCGCTTTGCAATGAAGAAGATGTTGGACGCTGCCAAGTGGTCTAAGGTTGTCTCGATGTTGTTCACCACAATGTCTGGAAATTCCTTCGAAATCTCGTTGGTATCGGGCAATGATTTCCATGTCTGCGCAACGGATGAAAGGATGTGTTAAAAGTTGATATCCAAACGCCTCGTGAGAATGGAAATATGTTTCTACCTCAAGAAATGTGGGTCGCTCCATTCTCCCATCCTCTGAAAGGAACAGGAGGAATGGAATTTTGTCGTTGAAGTACCATACTGGTTGTTGGTTGTTTTTCACAGCAACCTGCAGAAGCGTGCTCGGTGGGCCGGGTGAAACATTCTGGAACAATACCATAGGCAGAAGAGTGCTCACAGACGATCCTGGTTGCAGTTGGGGAACCTGATTGAAACAATGTATCAGCTCGGGAGCAACCGAAACAGAATCAAAATGAAGTTACTGTAAGTACTCACCTGCAGTGATCCACCTGCTGCAAGGCCAAATGTGTTCTTGTTAAACTGGATCATAAACCCGTCGAGCGGTATCTGGGACTTGTTCTCGAAAAACATGCTGTAAGATATCTGGCCGTCTCTTCTTACCAGCTGAGCACTGATTTGCAGCCCTTGTCCGGCCGATGCTGGTAATAGAACCGGCAAGGGAGGCCTGCAATCGATGATTAATGCATCGTTTGCATAAGTTACAAATAGGCGATAATTTGAACATTAACTAACTACATTATCCTGAAGCACTGTATACATTACCCAGCAGGGCTAGTTGGCTGCTCAGCAGCCACAACAGCGCCAGAGTCCTTGTCGGAACCCATCAGGTCGAGTAAATCCGGCAAGGGCGTGGGTGCTGCAGGCGGAGCAGCCCGCTGCACCCCAGAAGGATGCTGTGCATTACTGGCTGTAGGAGGTCTCGTCAGCGAACCTTTATCAGTTGCATGGACAGGTGATTCGGAAGATCCTGCATTTCCATCAGGATAATCATCTTCAGCTTTCGGTATGGTTCTGACTCTTGTTATGAATGCATCAGGCGACTTGTGGTAGATGGATGACAATGTAGCAATGTTGCCCAGAAGCTCGTCTAAGAGAGCAGGTTCGAGCTTATTTGAGTCGTCACTAATCACAGGTTTTTCGGCTAAAACAACGTCCTTTGCTGCCTGGAAGATGATGCTCGTTAGCTATAAATACATGCAAAGAAGCACGTAGACACACATACAAAACCGCTGTAACATAGGGAAACAACCTCAGGATCAGTTGACAGAAGTCGCCAATATATGTATGCACGATCTCTCAGATCTGGATTGTCGGTATCGAGAGTTGCATTGTTCAGAACAACCTGTTAATACATAATAGTGAGTTATTCTCTGTGTGCATAGCATGAATGGTTACAGTAAAGTTTCTTGATTGATAAAATTTTAGTTAACCCTGAATGAGGAAGGTGACAATATAGAATTTGTCGAAATCTTTGAAGCAAACCTGGATCATCTGTTGTGGCCCTTCAGTCGGCTTCTTAAGGAAAAGTTTAACTGTAGCAGTCAGGAGCTGCAATTGGACCAATGGAGGTTCCTCAGGAAAAGTTTCAAGAAAGCTCTCCAGAAGCTCATCAGCATTATCAATTCTTTCAGCATATTCGCCGATAATCCAAATCATCGACGCCTGCAAAGAAAAGGAGTACAATGACAACAATCACAAACAAAGTCGCTTTGAAGAAAATATGAGCAAACAAAAGAAGGTGCGAAGACAACGTGTCCTTGAGTGTACCTTGGCCTCTGGTTCATCTAAGGTGTCTAAGCTCTCACAAAGTGTAGCAATTATGGATTCATAGCTGAAACAAGATGGAAAATGTTTAATGGGAGAGGTATATGACCAAGAAAGGGAAGAGCAACAAAGAATCCTGCGCAGTAAGACGTACGTGTTTGGGTATCTTCTAAAGATGTCCTTGATCACTATAATAGCTTCTTGAACGACGTAGTTTACTTTCAACTTGATCAGCTCGAGTAGGACACTGATGCATCTTTCGGCTGCTCTTTCCAACTTGATAGCGCATCTCCCAATAGCTCGAACAGCTCTCCGGACAAAATCTACATCTACCTCTGTTGCATACTCTTTGAACTCTAGCAAGACCTGTGATTGTATGAAGAGGGCATTAGTGTAGTAGAAAGAAACTGCACAAAGATGAATGTTCATCATATGAACATAACCGTACTTGGTCAACATTTCTGTCGGAAGCAAGCTTTATCATGATCTCTAATTTCTCCATCTTCACATAAATTGGATCATTGTATTTGCAAAAGAACACCTTGAAGAGAAACAAGGGAATAACTTAAGTTCAACACCATATCCACACTATAAGCTTCAAGAATGTCAACGTCTCTTTATATCCTTCAATGATAAATACCTTGATTTCATGAGCAAGAATTGTAGGCCGCTTTTGCACAATCAGATTTATGTTACGTAACGCGACATATTGAATCTCAGGTTCTGCAGAAAGTAGTGTCACGAGAGGAGGAGCCATTTTCTTGCAAAGGTTCCGAACTACATCTGTGCTGGTAATCAGCTCCATTTGTAAGAGGATCATCTGCAACATAACTCCAACAGAATGTAAAAGTGGAATACAAGCTCTGAAAATTCAGATAATGGCTTTTGAAAAGAATGATAAGAGCATAAGATTGCAACCTTTACAGCTGAGAGAACAACAGCACAATTTGCATGTTGCAATCTAGGAGTAACTCGCTCTACTATATTTTCAGCTTCACGAGCATCGGCTGCTTTATAATTGGACAGTGCATCCAGAATAAAAACTTGACCCCACCTATACATCAACATATTCATGAGAAAATCATAAGTGAGAACCTTAAAGAGTTGAAATAGCCACACCACAAATTGTTTCACTTGGGGTTAAAATGAATAGTTCAATGCATAAATAAACACAAATAAGAGAGAGTCAAGGCATTAATTTATGATCACCCCCACCAAGTAGATTGTGAAATTTAATCCAATATAAGACACTCATAACAACAAAACACTGCACAGGTTCTGTGAAGATTCTGTTATAAGGAAATGAAAGTGTACAGGTTCTTCAGTTCTCCATTTCTACTAAAACACTGCACACAAAAGCAATTCATAGGTTGAATGATGAACTATTCTTGGGGGTAGCATGTGTAATTAATTCAATAATGTTTTTGTCACTCACTCGGTGCATTCATTAAGTGCAGTGAGAAGTTTTGCGAGCGTATGCTTGTTGATCTGAATAATGGGTCTACTGCTATTATCCTGTATCTCAGAAAGAGCAGCAACGGCATTTGCAACAACCATTGGATTGTTGTCAGATATTAAATCCTTGAGAGCATCCAGGAAACCTCTATCCTCGACTAACTCTGCATTAATGTCATAGAGTTTAGCAACACATATAGCTGCCGTCTTGCGAACATATGGGTCATCATCCTGACAAAAGGCCAAAAACAGATGCCAGTTTTGAGACTATATTTACTGTAAAACATTGAATACAAGTAAACTAACAAAATTTATTGAAATTGATAGATATGAAAAGTTACCTTGAGGCAACGCTGCAATGGATCACATAAATATTCTGTTATTTTATCAACACGAATGCATCCCATAGTCCTTACTGCCAAAGCACGTATCAGAGGATTTGGATCTTGTGAATCCTGTAAAAAATTATCAACAATAATACCCTTCAAAATATTTACTTTGCCGACACAGGAAATATCTTCACTTATCTTCCAGCTCGCTAAGCTTAAGAAAAATCACATAGAATTTTATGAACTTCCTTAATTTTCCCTTTGTAATCAGCAATGAAGAGCCAATGCTTCAACATTAGAATACTACCAAATTCAATCATAAAAAATCATCACCAAACTATTCAAGAATGAACTTCTACACATTACCTTCACAAATGTATTTACGGCAAGTATAGCAAGATCAGGTTGGCTTTTTGCATAGTTGATGAGATACAGATAGACAAGCTTCTTGAGCTCCAAGTTTTCCGTCTGCATACAGTTCACAACATCAGCAAAGAGTGACGATACGTCCTTCCCAACTGTCATTGCCGCAATGACCTTCTTAACTGCATCTTTTCTCTTATCCTGTATCCAAACGAGCACGCAAATCAGATTGGCGAAAAAATATTTTAATCCGAAGGCTGATATTATGCATGAAGGAAAATGCAAACATGCAGCATAACGCCAACATGTCCAATAAGTTGTAATCAATAACTTATTTCAAACAAATCTTATCTCATTACAATCAAACAAAATAACTCGCGAATGAAAACACAGAAAAAACAAAAGATCTAACGTCAATCCACATCCAGTCGACAAATGAGCTGCGATACTATCCAACTCACGCGCCGGAGACGTTAGGGCAACACAGAGGACATATCAAACAAAAGGATCCGAACCGCAAAACCGAAACTCCACGTCAAACGAGCAACGCGTAATCACGATCGACATACAGAACCTAAAATGAATCCCCGTAGATATAGACATGATAAAAATTGTGTAATAAATAGATAGGAAACTTGACCTTGTACTGCGAATGGAGTTCCTCCTTGAGCTCGGGGATCTCCCCCTTCTTGGTGGTGGAGAAGTACCTGGAGTCGTGCCCACTCATCTCCGTCGCGCTTCTGCACAGAAACTCTGCAGATTGCAAAACATATATTATCGCACAGAGATTGATTCGTAAGTAAATCGTAATGAAGTCACGAGGAAAGAGCACGCTGTAGCTGGACCGGCCAATCCTGAACCGGCTAAAAGTAATACTACTACTATTATAAAGTATACACTACAAATTGCAATATCTGTGAACTTTATGGACTAGTTTGTAAATAACTATTTTACAGGGACTTATCTGAATATATATATATTCTCGATTTCTCTTGTGGCGGTCAGGCGGTGCCGTTGCAGCTCTTTCTCTCTCTCTATATATATCCCGTTTCTGTAAGGCTCATTGTCTATTGTTTTCGTCGACGAAATTTAGCCAATATTGTCTTGATTTTGGTGAGGGTTTATTGAGGCATTCCGAGTATGGGAAATGGTAAATTTTTTCAAGAATCGGTTATCGAAGTATTAAGTTTGTGGATATGATGACAAACTACAATTTCGCGCTCGGTGCGCACGATTTGATGAGAATTATTTGCTTCCATTTCAGGTGATAAGTTCCGGCCAAGCAAGAAAGTCAAGTACTCCAAGGTTCTAAACTTTTTTCCCGGAAAGCTTCCTTGAATTTCTTTATTCAACACTGGTAGAACGTCGGATTTAGATTTTCTGTTTGCTCATTTATATGTTGGGATATTGAAGGATGAGTACCGAGCATCCAGTGCTGCTGAGAGCGATTCCCACTTCGGGGACGATTTGGATGACGATCTACGAGATGGTATTTACCGATGCATATGTTCTTTCTTTCTTTCTTTCTTAATTATTTAATTTGGGATTCTTGTGTGAATTTATTTGATTGGCTTGATAATTAAGGTGAAGGGAAAAGGAGAGATTTTTCTAAATTGGAACTTAAACCCGATCACGCGAATCGTCCATTGTGGGCTTGTGCTGATGGTCGAATTTTCCTTGAGACCTTCTCCACACTGTATAAACAGGCGTATGATTTCCTGATTGCAATTGCAGAACCAGTTTGCAGGTATCACTTCTGAGTAATCGATACCCTTGTCACTGAATCATGGTCTTTCCCTTTGTCGATGTTGCTGAATAGATTTGGGAGACAGTATATTACTAAGCTTGCTAATCATTTTGTTGTTCTATGGCTATTATACTCTCCTCACCTGTCTGCGAGAATGCTACTCCAATTATGGATATTTTTGAATAAACCTGGTTTGATGGTGGACACTTGATTGAATCTTTTGTAAAGTACCTAGATCAGACCTTTTAAGTAACGGAATTCCCTTACTTTTGTACTTAAATATCATCTGTTTGACGTAGGATCTTGGAGCAATCCGAAATTTCTTATGCATTTATTTTTTTCCATGCTATCCTTTAGTGTGGTCTTAAAGTTTTCTATTTTTTGTTTAGTGTGGTATATAAAGTTAACCAAACACATTTTCGCACATCATTATATTTGCAGCAGGTTTTTACCATGCAGTTGAAATATATATAGATGAAAAAGTGCCAATAGTTTTTATTCAAAACCCAGTCTATGGAATCTCCCTTTGCAGAAAGATTCCTTGAGTCTGAGCTATTTTACACTATATAGTCTGAGATAATATATGTGAAAGATGTGCTTAGCATTTCCTTTATAAATGTTTTGCATTGTAATAGATATTATGTTCTACAGGCCCGAATCAATGCACGAGTACAACTTGACCCCACATTCTTTGTATGCTGCGGTGTCTGTGGGACTTGAAACTGAGACCATTATTTCTGTCTTGAATAAATTATCAAAGACAAAGCTTCCAAAGGAGATGATTGATTTCATTCATAGTTCTACAGCAAATTATGGCAAAGTGAAACTAGTCCTGAAAAAGAATAAATATTTTGTTGAGTCCCCATTTCCAGAGGCAAGATATTTTGATCTTATCTATTTTGTTGTTGGATGAACTAGATATAATATAATACTAACGGTTGTCCTCAGGTATTGAAAAGGTTGCTTAATGATGAGGTCATTGGTCGAGCTAGGATTGTCCCTGAGGTACATACATGTTGAATATTGCTCGTCACAATCCAACTGCCTTGACCTCTTGCATTTTATATCATGTTACACTTTTTCCTTTACTTTAGGTTGGTCACTCAAGAAATTGGAACTAATGTTTTCAGGGAGTTAATGGGAGTGATGGGTTTACAGTTGGCAAGTCTGCAGGTGAAATAGAAGGGGCACATGATGAGCTGCTAAATGAAGAAGAGTTGGCTGCTGCAGCTGAAGAAAAAGAAACCCATTCCTTTGAAATCGATCCTGCTCAGGTCAGTTACAGTTATCCGTCAGCACAATTGTTAATTTACACTGTTTATTTCTGGAGAAGTTGATAATGAAAATGTTTCTTGTCACAATTTAATTAGGACACATGATTGTGCCCGTGTTCACATAGGAGAATTTGCATCTTGCAGGTTGAAAATGTGAAGCAACGATGTTTGCCTAATGCTCTAAATTATCCCATGCTGGAGGAGTACGACTTTAGAAATGACACTGTGAGTGGCTTGTGGTTTCTCTTCAGGATCAGGAACTTGACATAAACATTATTCTTAGGAAAGGACATGTTGGGGAGTTTCTCCAGCTATCTATGTATGAAATAAGTTGGATGAGAAATTCCACTGGTTGTCTGGTGTTGTAGGTTAATCCTGATCTAGATGTAGAATTGAAGCCTCATGCACAACCACGCCCATACCAAGAAAAGAGTCTAAGTAAAATGTTTGGAAATGGTAAGGGGTTCCTCCTATTCAGCCCAGCTGTTTGCATGTTTTGGTCTTATATTTGTGCATATATTTGATTTACACCTGCATTAATTGAACTTATGGAAATTTCTCTCTAAAATTAACTAATGAATTCATGCTTGGATAAGATGTTGAGCTTAGTGATTTTTACAGTCATTTGAATTGTTCTGTGAGAAAATGCAAAGCTGATCATATGTATTTCTAGAACACTTATACTAATTGAAGATGCTACTTATTCTCAAGGGATGAGCTATTAGATAGCACCATGGCGTTATAATCTACATAGTAGTTTCTTCAAGGCATTGATATAATTTTTTGTGCAATGTGTTTGAAACTCATGAGAACAGTCTTGAATTTTCCATCTCTTCACTAAGCTAGCTAGTTTTTAGCTTCTATTTTTTTACCCCCTCTTTATCTAGAAGAATATTAAATGGCTTTACATCTGTGAAATATCAATTTTTTTCGTTTTCAGTTGTTCCTCTAGGTATATCACTTTAGAGAAACTTCTTTTTTTTTGGCTAATTCACGGTGTCTTGCTACATCAGGCAGAGCACGATCAGGTATCATCGTGCTACCCTGCGGTGCAGGAAAGTCTTTAGTTGGTGTTTCTGCAGCCACCAGGATAAGAAAGAGTTGTCTTTGTTTGGCTACAAATGCTGTGTCTGTTGATCAGTGGGCTTTCCAGTTCAAGTTGTGGTCAACCATCAAAGAGGAGCAAATCTGTCGTTTCACATCTGACAGCAAAGAGAGATTCAGAGGAAATGCTGGGGTGGTGGTGACAACATATAATATGATTGCATTTGGTGGCAAACGTTCTGAAGAAGCTGAAAAGATCATTGAAGAAATAAGAAACCGAGAGTGGGGATTGCTTCTCATGGATGAGGTAACAAATTGTTTGTGGACGGTTGGGCTAATGTTATAATGTTAACACAATTTTGAAATCAGACTCATTCTGCAATTACCTGAACACATATACTTCTCATCTAACTTCTAGGTGCATGTGGTTCCTGCTCACATGTTCAGGAAGGTTATCAGTCTTACAAAATCTCATTGCAAACTTGGGCTCACTGGTATGTACTCAGGATGTTCTGTGCATAAAAGTATCGAATATCTTCAATATTAGAACCACTTTTTCTGATCAATTGATCTGCAGCAACACTTGTGAGAGAGGACGAAAGGATTACAGATTTGAACTTCCTAATTGGTCCGAAGTTGTATGAGGCAAATTGGTTGGATTTAGTAAAAGGAGGATTCATTGCAAATGTTCAGTGTGCAGAAGTCTGGTGTCCAATGACAAAGGAGTTCTTTGCTGAATATTTGAAGAAAGAAAATTCAAAAAAGAAACAGGTTTGTTGTTTCAAGAGATTTTGTGCCAACATCTATAAACTTACTGTTGTGCTTTCTCATAGATTTTCAACTGAAATGCTCCTTAATGTAAGATATTAGAAGTTTAATGTGTGATCATGCTAGTTCCATGGGAGCCAAATATATATAAATATAGCAACGTAGAATCCTCATATATAATACCATGGCTACTTGAATCTTGTTCGATAGTGTTTCCCCCAAATTCTTTGTGATGCCTTCAATTTTACGTACTCTTAACACCTTCTCTTTTTTCTTTTGCATCTTTTAGGCTCTTTATGTGATGAATCCCAATAAATTCAGGGCTTGTGAGTTCCTTATCCGGTTCCATGAACAGGAGCGTGGTGATAAAATAATAGTATTTGCCGATAATCTTTTTGCACTCACTGAGTATGCCATGAAGCTTCGAAAACCCATGATCTATGGTGCCACAAGGTCTATCCCATAGTGGTTAATGTGTTAGATTTTATGTACTCCATTTCAGCGGATTCTTATCTTACTTGAGTTTATGTGAAAATTGCAGCCATCCTGAAAGAACTAAAATTCTTGAAGCATTCAAAACCAGCCGAGATGTCAACACTATTTTCCTCTCAAAGGTATGTTGCACAATATAAAATCATTAACCTCTACAGTGTGGAGTTCTCTAACCAATACATCTTCGTATGAATGTTATTTAGATTTTTCAAATCTGCAATATAGAAGTGATGACAGAGAAACTATGACGTTTTTTTACTTGAGTATCAAGGTGTTATATGATATGAGTGTATTACTTAAGTAATCTTGGAGTTTGGTCTTGACATGATTTGAATGCTATATTTCTGTGTCTCCTGTGTCTTTAAGAACGTATTTCTTATCGTTTGATTGACACATAGCCTTTTGTGCAACAATAAGTTAACATTCTGCAAATGTTCTGAGTGCAAATATTTGCCTTGAAGATTTCCTTTCACATTAGATAATTTTTGTCTCTATATCATAGGTGGGTGATAATTCTATCGATATTCCTGAAGCAAATGTGATCATTCAAATTTCATCACATGCTGGGTCAAGGCGTCAAGAGGCACAACGACTTGGGCGTATTCTCAGGGCTAAGGTGCTTCATTTATTGGAGTGTGTATATAATTAAATGAACTTTGTTATTTAAGTGCACGCACAAATATTGTTCTAGTAGTATGGACACATGCATAAACCAATTTCCATGCTCCGTTGGACCCTTTTGTCCATCTTATAATATTACAGCTGGTTTCTCGTTATGGAGTTGCGGAAAGTATCTGCCTCTTTTCTGAGTTGTTTTTAGGCTTTTAAGCCATCTCTCATAGCATTCCCCACGTCACATCTTACTGCTGGGCACTAGAAATATCTGAGGAGAGTCATTGAGATAGATACTAAAATTTCTGTACTTACACAGCTCAAAATGAAAAGGTTCGATAGGAGTACTTTGTTTCTGAAATGTAGGGCTGATACCTGCACATTCAATCTCCACTCCACCAATTAATATAAAATTCATTCTGAATTCAGAAGCTGTTTGGATGGATACTGCCTAATTCAATTTCAAATTAGATGGTTACCTAGACAATATGTTTGTGGTGTTATTTTCTCATCTATGCCCTAGCACGCCTACATCTTTTTCTGCATACATGGAATAAGTTTGTCTTACTCTCTGCATATTATTGGTTTGCAGGGAAAGCCACAGGACAGGGTGGCAGGAGGCAAGGAAGAGTACAATGCATTTTTCTACTCACTTGTATCAACTGACACTCAGGTTCTATGGTGATATGCTTCATTTTCATTTACTTTTAAATCTCTCTCTCTACTTCAACTCAGTTTGCTTTATTTGTTTGTGGCAGGAAATGTATTACTCAACCAAAAGGCAGCAGTTTTTGATTGATCAAGGTTACAGTTTTAAGGTACTATTTACATCGAGGCCAGTAGGATGACTTGTAACATATGAATCAATTTACTTATGCATTTCTGCCTTGTCTGACTTGTTCTAGGTGATCACAAGCTTGCCTCCTGCTGATACAGGACCTGAGTTGAGTTATTACCGGCTTGAAGATCAGCTTGCTCTTCTTGGAAAGGTTTTTAGTTTGTCATTTATATTTATCTTTTCATTTTCAAGATCTTTACTCCTAGAATGCATACATTAAGTCTGCTCTCTATATCCAGGTGCTTAGTGCTGGTGATGATGCAGTCGGTCTGGAACAATTAGAAGAAGATGCTGATGACATCGCTTTGCAAAAAGCTCGTCGCACAATTGGATCTATGAGTGCAATGTCTGGGGCAAGTGGAATGGTTTACATGGAATACGGGTACAGAATCTTCACTTTATGCTCTTAAGATAAAAACCTTCTTTTCTTTTTTTCATTAATGGACGTTCTGAAAAACAGTATCTGTAGAACTCTTCTTGTTTGTACTGTTTCGCTTACTGTACCTAATTAATCTCGAACATTCATACAGTACTGGTCAGAAGAAGCCACATGGGCATATGAAGAGCAAGCCTAAGGATCCAACCAAGAGACACCACTTATTCAGGAAACGGTTTGGCTAATCAAACAGATGTGAATTGACATCGTAAACTGTAACTAGTGGTAAAATTTGCCTTGACACACTGATGAAAATATGGAGTGTTCGGTCGAGGAAGCTTGTTTTGTGTACTGAATGAGAGGGGAATCCTATATAGCTTGTGTTATTCCTAATATACTCTCTTCAGTTCAGCAAGTGTTACATTGTATACAGAAGAAATACACACCGTATTAGGTACTCGGATTTTCTTCTCTACCTTCTCTTTAGATGAACTCTGCCACTTCACATATGAATATGTTCCTTGTTTCTTGTATTCGACTTACTCTTTTATTACTATTGTCAAATTATTCTGCTCTGTGGTATTCCATATTATTTGTGCAATTTTGGCATAGATCACTGTTAACATGATGCACATCAATTATAGTGTTCTTGAAATGCCACACTTGTACATACAGTCGGTAGTTGGATTAACCGATGAAATACATGGCCAGATGTGTTATTTGCATTATCAAAGCATGGTTCTAGACTAGTAGAGGGCAATTTCTCTTTGAAATTCCATGAACTTATAAGAGCAACATATATAGCTGCCAACATTTACAATTGGAGGAGTTATTATTGCTCCATCTTCCACTGAGCGGTGGACTACATGTCATAAACCTATAGAAATACAAATTTTCTACATCTTTCTTGAAACAGGGTGGCTGAATCTTTTGCCTGGCTGCTGGAATTCTCAGCCGACGGCGGCAGTGAGGAGAGATTCTGTCTGAATTTCTCATTTTTCTTGGAAAAACACTTGTGATGCCCACAAAGAGCACTTTGAGCACACGCACTAAGGTGAAAAAGGTAAGAATATTATTGATTGATACATTCTGTATTCTGCACATGATGTGAGAATGTGAAACCTTTGGGACTCCTTTTTGACCCTTTTTTCTGTTGTCTCTATTAGCTCATCATGTATCGCTGCAATTTTTATATTTATTGATACCTTATTAAGATGGCTGTCTGTTCATATTTGCTTATTTGTGATTCCCGCAGTACAAAGAAGTTATTTCTTTTGTAGCCTTTCTTCAGCCCTCTTGTCAAATATATATATATATATATTTTCTTAACAACAATGAGTAAATCAATTGCCTATGTTCTTGTTTACAGAGGTATTTAATGTTTGTTACTATATCATGCCTTCTATTGAGAAGCCAAATTTTAATCAAATTGAAATCTTAATACTATTCTTTAGACTTAATCATGATTTGCTTTGTGGGAGTAAGAGTAAGATTAGTTTGTCATAATTAAGGTGATCTGTGGTGGCATTATCTCCTGTCTGCTAGGTGTAATCATGTCATATTTTTTGTGCTAAATATTGATGCTTGTTATTGAGTGGATGATACTCAGTTGATAATGCAATAATATATTGTTTTTATAGACAATGAAATCCTTAGTCAAAAGTTGCCCTTTGGAATCAATGAAATTTGGGAATTTTGGTGATATAAATATAAATGCTTATTTAATTGAGAGCAATAGCATGCAAATTACACTTATGTTTCTTTTGATTTGATTTGAAAAATTTTGATTTAGATTTGATATTAAAGTAATGTATGATATGATATTTTGTAAGATAAAAATATTTATTTATTTTTTAAATACAGAATCTAAATAATAGAAATTTAAAGTTATCTTTTAGAGGATATATTGCTCATTGTTTTTGCTTCTGCAATTTGTTACCTGGTTATTAAGGAAAATAAATTGCATTGTTCTGCAGATATTTTTTAAAAATTAAAAAAAAAAAAAAAAAAAAAAAAAAAAAAAAAAAGAAGAAGAGAGAATTAAAAATTGTTGATTGGTTATACTTCCATTTTTAAGTGTTATCTTCTTACAGGTGTTGGTAGAGGTCGAAACATCGATCTGATGAAAAATTAAAATTTGTTTCTGTAAGTGGACTTTCAATTATCTTTTTCATCAAAATTTGTTTCTGTAAGTGGACTTTCAGTACCCTTTTTCTTTCGTCGGGTGGGTAAAGAATTTAGTCAAAAAGACACAATTCTTCGTCCTTTTCTTCTAATTTTTTACTCCATATTCTCCTATGCTGGAATGGTGGCGTTTGGTGAGATTCAATGGTTAAATCATACTTGCAATTTTTTTATTTTATTTGCTCCATAATTTAAAGGATTTGTTTGATTTTGATTTTAATTGTAATTTAAATAATATATTGATGTAATATTTTATAAAAATAAATAGTAATTTTTTATTTTTTTTACTGAGAATGAAACTCAAACTGGATAGTAGTATTTGTGTTAGGAATCAAACCAAACACATCCAAAGTGTTCAAACATTGTACATTATTTACGTTTCGGTTTCATGAAAAATATTATTATATTGTTACATAAGAAATTATTTTAATCGAAAATGAAACTAATGAAAAAATTAAATGTTAAAAGATAACATTTTGACTAAAAAGATATTTTCTAGATAATATATAGAAATTGAAATTTTTATATATAAATTGTAAAAATATATAGTTGAGGAAACAAATAACCAGAACCAAATGTATGTGAAAGCAAGGCTATTGAAACATTATTAGCCAAATTTTGATCTTTTTGGAAATTTTAGAAGTTATGCTGTAATCTTGGAGATTTAGTAAAGTATACTGTTTAAATACAGAGACAAACAATCACACTAAGAAAAATTTTCATATATATATATATATATAAATTATCCATGAAAGCAGCTAGATTTATTAAATAATTTTGAAAATTTTAAATAATTTTTATAAAATAATTTATTAAATATTAATTTTTTTTATTATTTTCTTGTCTAACCGAGCTTACAAAATGGCAAAAATGACAATGGGTTAACAAGTGATGATGACCTTTCCGTGTCATAAATGTCCATAGGCTCAGCTTCGACTTACATAATGTGGCTTTCGTGTTCTTCTCCATGTAAATGTTTGCGTCGTTGCTTCCGATAGATAATGCTGCGATGCTGTTCTGGAACCTATCCGCATGTATCAGTTGGGAAGAAAGTTTCTGTAAACCGGAAGGTCATTTACATGAGTAATAGAATGGATTAATGAATAGACAAAAATGTATGCATGTTGACATGACAGAGGAATGGATATGACCGAAAGATGTTTTACCTTTTTTCTGCATCGTGATGGTGTAATAGTGACGATGTAGGAATGTCTTCGAACATGTCTTGGCGGGCGAACCTGCCGCGGATCCTTGGTCGATTGTCGGCCAGTGTTTTCCGGCACACGTACTGTCGATTGAAGGAAGATTCGTGATATATAGCAATAACATTGTCTACAACGGAGTGGATTGATGTTGTGTTGTTGATTTACCTTTATTGTTTTGTTGAAATTTCTGTGAGTCCTTTTGGCTCTGTATCTGTCGATCCTTTCCTTTCTCTCTTCTGCAGTGTACCGCCTTGCTTTGGTATTGGATTCCTCCATTGATGGTGGACTTGTAGGCGGCAACGCTCCTCTCGGTTGCACGTTCGTGGTCGCGTTCTGAGGGAGAACATTCGTACTATAATTGATTAGATGGAGTTGTTGGAAGCAGAATTTGATGAATTATACATGGAAATTGTAAGTACGAACCGGTAAATTTCCATTGCTGAGGAGCTCTCTCATTTGAATTGCGGAGGAGAAACTGCTTCCTTGTAACTGACTCGCGGCTTGGTTCTGCAACATTTGAAGCTCCGATACACAATTGAATTGAGATGGAAGCGAATAACTGTCGTTATTCTCGAAGGAAGAGCTGCTGTCACTTCTGCGCATTAGTTTGGATGCATTTCCGTCGAGATCAGGAGGCAAAAGCCCTAGACCACAATATTTGTTGAAATTGAGGTGAAATTCCGGCTTCTCTCCATTTCGAATTTGAGATGACAGATTCTCGAGGTGAAGGCTCTTTGAGGAGGATGAGATTAAATCGGATGCAATCCAGTCCCAACCGCTGGCTTCACTTCCTGGCAGACAGCTTCCTTCAGTTTCTTCCAGAAAAGGATCATTGCTCCGCTCAATGAACGCACAGAGAGGATCGTCGAATAAAGAATTCTCAAACACAAACAAATCAGAAGACATTTAGCGCAAATACAAGCTCCAAAGATCAGAATCAATTACGTGTTCATCAGTTCCTCCTGATCGGTGAGACTGATGCAATGATGGCGCCAGTGAAAAATTAATCTAAAAAAATCACTACCAGAGTACAAAACAGAACAATTTCTGGCTCGTTCAACCACATCCATAGCTGCTCAAATAAGATCACGACGATTCATACTGCACGATTCCACAGAAAAAATGATGAGCCGCCCGCCTTTCCCTGCAGAATGCACAGAGAGACATATGACCGAGTTCAACGGTTTCCGCCTCTGGTTTAAATAGAAAACCATATTTTCATTCACGCCCTATATTTTTCATTATTATGAAAAGCACACCCCATATTCTCTAAAATAGAAACTTCGACCACACCACCGATTTTGGATCAACATTAGTTTTGGCCTAAGGTTCTCAAAGGCCCAGTACTAGCCCAATATACCACGGCCCAAAAATGCTTCCCTGCAGACCAGTTCGTCGAATCACATGATTTTGTCGATAATACTAAAAATTAACTCTTCAATTAAAAAAGGTAGTTAGTAATTAGGACTAAATAAATATTTATAGACTTTCCTTAACTCTTCTGGAAGCTAAATCGTTTGTAGCTGTAGGAACAGCCTTGCCACTTCTCAAAAAATAGTTATAAACCCCATTGGATCCCATCTAATCTCTCATTTGGAAAAGCAGGAATTGTTGGTGAAGAAAAGTCTTTCGAGGGGCATTACCGCGTGAAGGTCAGCTAGGGTAATGTCTGTCTATCTGCATCTGTTCTACGCTTTGATTTTTCTTCCTCTTTTTTTTTTTTTTTTTTTTTTTTGGTTTTTCTGTTGTTTATAGAGTGTGCTTCGTCTTCTTTGCGGTTTAATTAAGTCCAGTGTTCTGTAAATTTGTTTTTCTGAACAGTTGTGCAGCAGAAAATGGGGTCGCAGGATCGTTTGGACAAGATGCAGATGCGTCAGAATTATCGAAACCTATGGCACACCGATCTCATGCGCACGATTCAGCAGGATCCTCCTTGTATGTATGCGTATAATTTATTATATGTATATTCGTGTTCAAACTCGAATTCAGATTGCACTCCTGCTTACAATTTTTTGGGAGTGTCAGTAAAAGACAGTGTTCTGTTGATTTGCGTGCTTGATTATGATTTGGGGCTTCTTTTATTCATGTATTATCTTTTTTTCTTTTCTTGCAGATTGCTGCTTGTCACTTTGGTGGTAAGTTGCGGGATTTATTCTTAGTATTTTCTAATTTTCAGGTTATTGGTGCAGATTGTGCATTTATTACTTTGAAACTGCGATCTGAATTTAGGTGTTGGGGACGGTTGTAATTTGTTTTGATGATCTCTATTTTCCATTAATTTGTGTGCTTTGATTAAAGTCTGTGATGCAACTTTTATGGTCAACTTACTTGGTTTTAAGTTTAAATGTGACTGTATTGACTTTGAGGCATCTAGACCCCCAAAAATGTCCCATTAATTTCATTTGGAATTGTCTCTTGTTATATAGTAATAAAGCAAATAACGTCTATATGTCCCCATCAGTAGCTAAAGAATAATCACTTGTTTGTGGTTCTTTATTTCATTAACCTGGATTGCTTTGATATAATAAGTTGCTTGTTCATCCTCTATTTTGAATTTATTATGTTTTTTTGTGGAGCATTTATTTTATTTTGGAATGGAATTGCAAGTAAATTTACAGTAGATTCTCCTAGTGATTATGCCAGTGGCAAGTTTTATAAACACTAATAGTTCTGTGCTTTATGAGTAGTTTATTCAGGCTATGTGTTCTGTCAGGAAATAAAAGCACTGGTAAAAATTTGTGAATGCTTAGTAGATGATTAGGTAAAGGCATAATTGTTGTTCTTCTGGTTTACAAATTGCAGTGGACCCTGTGTATCATATATGCTCCGCAAAAGAGCTCTTTACAATGACATGTCCAGGTAATGCATCCACTTTCATTGTCTGCTTTGTGAACTGCCTTTACCTGTTAGATCATCTAATATGTATGTTGCTGTTACTTATGGCAGGTATACCTGTTGTGCCGGATATCTACCTTGTAGTGGTAGGTGCGGTGAAAGTCGATGCCCTGAATGTTGCCTTGCAACTGAGGTATAATCTGTTAGTTATTGAGAGTGGCATTATGCAGCTATATGTTTCAAAATCGTTAATGTATTTTCCCTATAGAATGTAGAAATCTTTTTCCCAGTTTATGCACTCTAATTTGACAGTGAAATTTACTGTGAAGCCAATTGTGAATGTATATTCCCAGTTTATATAGGAAGCCTACTTATTTGAACCCATGATCTGCATTGTTCAAACATACTGTTGTACTAGCCTTTATGTGATAGAAATGCTTGTGCTGCATACTTGTTTGATTTAGGCTTAATTTTCCTTTTGGTGTTTGTTGCAATTGGGTTCTCAAGTGACCATTCGGGGTTGATAATTTTCCACCTTATCTTCATGTTTATTTTACTGATTCAGTTCCAATGGGTCATTTGGTGTTCAGTTCCAGTGAATTATCTAGGTTAATGAGTTTTGAAGAACTTCTCCCTTATTCTATTTTGTGCTTCTATTTTAAATTCACTTCCTGTGTTTTTCATTGTATGCCTTGTGTTTTGGATGAGCATAACCTTTGCTTCCACTTTTGTGAACGAGGAATGGAATTGGCCCCCTACATACTTGCATGAATCAGAATTTGTTGAATGTTGTAACTTATAACTTCAGATCTATTAGTTTCTTTTCTTTGCTTACAAACTTGTTTGCATTGTGCTATGCCATAAATTTTATGATGTTTTGCCAGCTGAATCCAAGTTTTTCCTTATAATCATTTTTCTTGTAATCCAAGCTTTAGAGATAATAAAAGAAAAACGAATAATTTTCTCATGCCTAAAATTTAGGTAGAATGTGTAATACTTTCTGAACCGATTTGTCTTTTACGATTATGTTATATACATGTTTTGAGAAGTCTTTTTCATACATGTCTGCTCTAAAAGTTCACCTAAAATATTGGATTTCTCAGGTCATCCTATGCTTTGGAAATTCTGTGGCCTCAACTCGGTTTTTGCTGCAAGATGAATTCAACATACAAACGACTCAGTGTGATAATTGCATTATTGTAAGAATCCCTCTATCTCAACCTGTCTTTTTTTATTTCTTCATTGAACACTACCTGCACTAAACTTGCAATTGACCATACTCTGTGGTCTTATTTGATCTTACCGGTATGCTCTTTTTCCTAGGGGTTTATGTTCTGCCTCCAACAAATTGCTTGCATTTTTTCTATCGTTGCTATGATTGTTGGAAGTGATGAACTCTCAGAGGCCTCCCAGATTTTGTCTTGCCTAGCTGATATGGTGTATTGCACGTAAGAAAACTTCGCTCTTCCTCAAGCTTAATAAATGTCTGTGCTTTAGAGATCCAATAAAGACCATACTGAAAATGCATATTCTTTTTTCATTACAGGGTCTGCGCTTGTATGCAGGTGAACAAGTACTCGACATCATTTTTCAAAGCAAATAATCAACATCTATAATCCTGGATATCTGATTCACTATCCATTGACTCCCCACACATTTCTTGATTCATCTATTTAATTCCAATCATGAGATTAGTGTTTTCTTGTTTCAATGTCAGACACAACACAAGATTGAAATGGACAAGCGAGACGGTAAGTTTGGCCCAGCACCAGCTATGGCAGTGCCACCTGTCCAGCAAATGTCACGTCTCGATCAGCCATATCCATCTGCTGCTGGATATCCACACCCTGGATATGGGCAACCAGCTTATCCCCAGCCCGGTGGTTATCCTCCCCCTCCGCCAGGACATTATCCTCCGCCTCAGGCAGGCGGCTATCCTCCACCTCCCCCGCCAGGTGGTTACCCTCCACAGGCTGCTGGTTACCCACCTCCAGCTGGCTATCCTCCTGCTGGGTACCCTGCTCCTGGCTATCCAAAGTAACATTCTTCCATAGGTAAATGTTTTCGAATCACCAATCCAGAAGCTTGCTTGTGTGATTACTCATTGTGCCGTATTCCCCCGCTCCTGATTTTGTACCTATATGATGGGAAAATGGAATGCGATCGCACTCTCGACTACAGACATTATAGACCACAATTGTTTGGTACATATATTTGTTTGGGACACAACTCTTACATGTTGCAAAGGATTATTTATACTTTTGTGCCTTAGTTTCTGCTACAATAAGGATTATATTTACTGTCCATTATCTCATTACTGAGAACTTCATTTAGGGATACGCCATGGCTGTCAAATTAAAGTCGCGCTAGGAGACACGTTTTTGGTTATAAAAGATACGGTAGTGTAGGAAGATTCTAGTGTTTTGGGCTTCTATAGTCGTGTTTTGGTTTTGTCCTTTGTGGGACATGACAAGTTGTTGGAATAAAAATACATGTACACCATGATGATCATCAGTCCACAATCGTTGACCACACGCAGACGTTATCTTCTTACACATGCCACATGTGATGCAAGGAAACTTCTCATTATATGCAGAAACATTAAACATATAAATATATATATATATATATATGCACATTACTTTAGCGTACCTTCTTCAGAAAATAGGTTCATCTTAGAATCAATTTTGGAACTTTTTATATGCATACATTCATGTGTAGAGGTTTTTACTAAAAAGGGGGATTTCATTTCCTGCAGATTGATTTTTCTTTTTTTTTTTAAATGTTTGGAGGACAAGACATTACATTCTAAAATTTTCAATAAAAAACTTCACATATAAACATGTGTAGTTGTATATGTGATTGTGTCCAAATTCAGTTTACAACATATATCTCACATTACAGCTGGATTTGTAGGTACTGCTGCTATTATGACATCCTTGATATTGAAAATATTCTTCATAGAAGCCAGAAAAAAGAAAAAAAAAAAAAAAAAAAAAAAAAAAAAAAAAAAAAAAAAAATGAAGAATGAAAAATAAAACCCTTTACCTGTTCATAGTGTCAATAATTGAAGTAAAGGAAGAAAAGGGAAAATAAACAAAGGAATGGAAACATATATGTTGAGATGTTTCTCTTTGTGGGGTAAGGTTCAAAAAGGAAGATTCGAAAGGGGTTTAACTAATTAATTTAATTTAATTTAATTAACTATTAACATGTAAGAAGTGAGTCACTCTCAAAGCACAAGTAAAACGTCTCTCATGCCTTTATTGACAATTTTGGCACACCACCAACTACATAATATTATTCTCATTCAGAATCTAATAGAACTCACCACAAACAGATAAAGATATACATACATATATATATTATTATTATTATTATTATTACAAGAATATGGAATCACTAACATGCATCATGAGTTGTATTAAAATCATTATATACCCAATTTGGTGTGCACAAGGAAAGTTCTATGAAACCCCAAAATTAATAAACTTCAACACTAAATTATTTAATTTATTGATAATTTTCTTGAGGCGTTTGGTATTTGGTACATGGGTGTTACTCTACACTTCCCTTTTTTCATTTATAGAAATAACCAATCACCTGAAGCGAAGTATGACATTCATTTATTTGTACATTATTAAATGATCAAGAATTATTTATTACTCATCTGTAAAACATGACAGCTGGAAATTGCTGCAACCATTTGTGGCTCTGGTGAGTAATTTCCTCTTAGGGCTGCTTTTGCTGAGATGTCTGAAAATTGTACTGCCCTAAAACCATATATACATATATATATGTATATATATGTAACCTTGCTATATACTTATAATGATTGACATTGGATCATCATATGCAGCCACTAACCACTTGGCCCAAACTCTCATGTCTTAAATTCATCCATCATAGTTTCTCAATTTTACATTTACCTCATTCATAGACACTGTAAATTAGTTGACCTATCGCCTAAGATGAAACCCAGATGGATAATTAATTAAAATCTACAAATCCATATGCCCAAGAAAATCCCTGTCTGAATTCTGACCATATTGCTGTCTCCACTCAACAATTTTTTATTTTATGTTTTTTTAAATACCAATCTTGATCCAATATGCCCTAAACAATTAATTACCACCAAACTCAAGCGCCATTGTAGTGAGCAGAAAAATCTGTCAAAAAATACCTCTTGGTTTCACATTAAGGCAAGAAAGAGCTAAACGAAGGTGTATTTGTTCTTGCCCTCTGTAATATTTACATTATGCTTTAATTTCTTAAACCACACCCCCCCCCCCCCACCAAAAAAAAAAAAAGACCTTAATTCTACAAAAATGGCGGACTATAAACCAGCAGCAATCGGCGTATACTCGCCGTAGAAATCTGAAATCCCCGACGCCATCCATAACCGCTCGTTGAAGCTCTCCTGCATATCCTCCGGTATGAAGTGCGTCCGGCAGAGCGGACACGTCTTCTGATCGTGGTCCATCCAACGGTCCACACAGCTCCGATGAAATATATGCCGGCAGTTCGCGAGCCGCCGGATCTCGTCCTCCGCCGCGAATTCGTACAGGCAAACCGCGCAGCTCTCCGGCGGCTCCACGTCATCCCCCAAATCCGCGAACTTCACCACCGGCAGCAGCTCCCTGATCAGCGCCGCCGACACCGACCGCGGCTCCGGCGACGCCGACTCCGCCCCCCTCGCCGGATACGCCGCCGTCTCCGCCTCCAGAAAATCGCTCAGCCCTAGAACGGCGAACCCGCCGTGCACAAGCTTCCGTACGAATCCGAGCACCGTCAGAAGGTACACCAGCAATTTGGGGAGGAATAAATCGGTGTATCCCATCGGAAACCCCATTGTCGTCTTTTTCAGAGCTTTCGATTGAATCTCCCTCCTCTCTGGAATTTGCTTCTGCGCGTTCTACGTGTAAAGCGAGACCCCCCAAGGCGGTGGCTGCTGCTTCGTTATATAGACAACGATGGGGTACTTGAAATTACCAAAATAGGCCTGCCGTGCACCGCTAATTACAACCCAAGGACTGAGGAATCGCCTATTGTTTCACAAGATCCCGGCTCTCAACGCCGGACGAATCTACGCCGTTAATATTTGAGATAATCCTCACCTAGTCCCTAGACCGGTCCGGTTTAAGGATCCCGGAGTTGCCATTCAGCGGGAGCATCCGTCACAGTCACCAAGGGTGCACGGACTGTTGAATTTAATGTTGGCCGCGCGATAAATCAACACGTGTGCAGTGAGTGTAATAATGAGGAAAATATCGTAAACAAATACGTCGTTAATTAAATGCGAGTTATTGAATAAAATAAATGAATGAATTATTTTATTTTATTTTTAAAATTTTATGAAAAGACAAAGATCATTTAATTTGATTTGCAAAATAAAAGACCATTAAAGAAAAAGATATGTAGTAAAAAAAAAAAAAAAAAAGATGGAGTGGGAAATGATTGTGAAGAAGAGAATGATGGCGTTGAGGGCCCGGACCAAAAGGGAACACCAATTCCACTACCACCCCGCAAAACGTAAATTACCAAAATAGACACGCATGCCCAAAATAATTATTAATTCAATAAATCAAATAACATTAATTGATTAATTAATTACCAGACAGATAATTTGGCAGAGGGTTAAGACAGATGAGCCACCATTACTGAAGTCGGCCGACACACGCGCGTGGAGGGCACCATGGCCCCCTTCATTTGTTTCTTCTCTTGTCTCCCTATAAATTCTATTTCTACATACATTAATACAAGTATTTATCTGGTAATAAAAATTAAATATTTATTTTTATTAAATAACTAAAAATACAAAATATAAAAACAAATTGTACCGAAGGAACAAGCAAGAACAGCACAGGTCACAGGCATGCAGAAAGCACATGGTGACACTAAGGATGTAGTTGTCGTGGATCTGAATTTTGAATTGAGATTTAAATAGTAAAAATTTTGTATTTTGAATATAAAATTGATTTTTAGTATAATATAAAAAAATAAAAAATAGGTATTTGATATGATATTTTTTTACGAAAATTTTAGATAAATAGTAAATTTTTGGCAAAATCCATCGAACAAATACACCCTAACTGTATAATTTGTCTTTGTCCCAAAATTACCACCACATAATAATTATTAAAATGTAAAATTAAATTTGGGTTAGATAGACAATTGGTAACAATGGTGATGAAATTAATTAATCAATCAATTAATTTACTATAAGTATATTATTAGTTGGTAAACGGTGACAGATAATTAAGGGGGAAAGCAAATGCAGGTAAGAAAAGGACAGGGCATGTCTGGATTTAGAGGGCAACAACCTATATTGGGATCACTGTTTTAGATTTGGCAAAATCTTTCATGGTTTATTTTTTTTAATTATTTATTTAAATAAATAATAATAATAATAATTCCACTAATTACGTAATTATATAGGATTAATTTAATAGGAATTATTGAGAATGCAATGAATGTATGAGAAGAATTTAGAAATGAAAAACATTATCTGAATTGATGTGGATTTGTGGTCTCCTTTTTGACCCATGAATTGGAATTTCTCTTTAGAGGGATAGGGGTAGTAGGGGGGGTATGGGTAGGGGTAGGGGTAGGGGTAGGGTTGTCAACATCTAATCTAATCTAATCTTTCTTTTTTCTACATTCATCTGTTATGTTATCTTGTTTGGGATAATTTGTCTCCTCACATTATTACGTATATATTGTCTTAATCAACAAATTTTGGCAATAGTTTAACAAAATGTAAACCTTTATTTTAATTAAAAGCATTTTCTTTATTGTTTTTGTTTTATTTATTCAAGTTAATTTAATTTCTATTATACTAAAAAAAATCAGATATTCAAATATTGTTCACATGAATTATAAATATATCATTACATATAAATTTATACATAAAATATAAATGATAAAATTAAAAACCATCTTACACACAATATTATTATTTATTAATTATTACGAAAAAAATCAATAAAATACTTTGGACGGAAATGAAAAGAGTCTATCATTTGAAACATACTATTTAGAAAACTTTAGAGTCGATTATCTATATTTTATTTAGATTAATATTTTAAGAATTTTTATTCTCGTTTTGAAAAATGGTTATCTGATTTTATATTTTTTTTTAAAAAAAAAAAACTACAATATATTATATGATATAAACAAGTGTTGATGTGATATTTTGAATGTAAAATTGATTTTTATTGTAATATAAAAAATAAAAAATAAGTGTTTGATTTATTTTTTTTGAAAAAAAAATTGGATGAATAGTGTATTTAGGGGAAAATCTCCCGAACAAACACAAATGTGAAACTATAGTGTGTTCAAATTGTTCTTGGATTAAATTGCAAATTTTATGTATGATATAGAATGCTTTGGAATCATTTATTGTAACATTCGATTTCAACATGGCGCTTAACCTTATTGTTAAAGTCGCATAAACATTTTAAATATATAATCACCTAATTAATATAAAATAAATTTAATAATATACATATAATTCAAATGATGTAATGAAGGATTGGGACATAACAAGAAAGAAAAGAATTAAAGTGGTGGAAGTCAAGGAATTCAAGGAATGAAGAACAAAGATGGTGATGTTGTTGTTTAGGTATCATAATAATAATAATAATAATAATAATAGGAGACCTATTAATTAATACTCCCTCGTCTTACTTTCCTATTTAGAATGTCCAACAATTATTGTCCTATTTCTATTTTTATACACAAAATTTACTCTTTTATCCTTACTTTGTTTACTCTTTCATTTTCTATACACAAGATTAAGGGCAAATTTTGTCATTTTATAATCAAAACCCTAATTGCCTAAAAATACGTATAAATATCAAATAGAATATTAGAAAATAGATGGAGGAAGTAGATCTCAAATTTACAAAAATTGGTGGACCATTAATTATGAGTTTTGTTCCAACAGTAGCTAATAATACAAAACATAATTGGACACTCTTGTCAATGAATTGATCCAAATTTTACAATAATTTAAATAAAATAAAGGGGTTCAACCATTCAAGTGACAAAACCATATAATGGGAATTAGATTGATAAAGATATGCACTTGTATTAGTTGATTAAAATAATAATATTATTATTATTTTTATTATAATATGTATATATATTTTGATGACATGAAAACCCGCAGTCATTACTCGAAAGTTCGCATTGAGTAGTTTAAATAAATTTTTGACATAACGATCAAATTCAAATATCACTTTTATTTAAAATATACAATCAATTTCGAATGTAATTTATTAAAATAAAGAACAATGAATGTGTGTTTAAAACTCAATTTTATTACTATCATTTTTTTAAAAACTTTGTCCTTTAATTTAATACTCTTATTGTCAAATAATAATTGATATTTTTTTATAAAATTTATTAAATCAAAACATATTTAATAAATATAAAATAATTTAATTAATTACATAACATATAATATCATTTATACACACATCAGGTAGAATTACTCAAAACTTTTTTTATTTATATCGTTCATATAAAAATATACATATTTTATAAAATTAGTTTATATTAATTATAAATAAAACATATTTTTTATTTGCTTATAACATAAAAAATTTTATTCTCTACAAAATAATATTCATATTTTATATATTTTTATTATGATATAAATTTTAAAAATATTTAAAGATATATTTTATTCAATTTCATTCAATTTTCTAACATTTCAACACACTTTTTCAAACTGTGAAATGATTAATTCAATTTGATATTTAATTTTGGTATTTATACAATGATAAGCCGTATGTGGCTCCCACTTGACAAAAAATTTAAATATAACGATAATAGCAGAGACAAGAGTCAGGAGAGAGGGGCCCACTCACCATGTGGGATGTTTGCTCGTTTTTTTTTTTATTTATTATACTTATATACTTCCTTCCGTAAAATTATGTCCGGTACGAATTTTTTTAAATAAAAAAGTAAAAATATATTCATTTATTTATTTTTTATATTAAAGAAAAAATAAAAAAATAGTATTTTTTGCTAAAAAAATATATTTGAATGAAAATTGAAAAAAAAAAATGAAAATAAGTTTTAACATCTGAGAAAGAGGAAGTATAAATATTACTCTCTCCGTCCCATAACAAAGTATCTATTTTTTTATTTTAGTTCGTCTCATAACAAAATATCTATTTTCTTTTTTTTGGTAACTGTACTATCTACCTAACATTACAAATATCCTTGCAACTTATAATATATTACACAAATGTCATTACAATTATATCATACATATTAATAAAGTTATTTTTACTTTATTCATACTATATTCTAATATAATACTAATATTTTTAAAACTACATGCAAAAAGCAAATGGATATTTTTTCATGCGACGGAGGGAATATATTTTAATAAATTACTCTACTTGTACAGTTTGGACACACTATGAAGCTATCTATGCAAATGATGTCGGATGACTAGTTTTAGATAGTTGTTATTTAATTAATTAGATAAAGTTTTCAGTATAATAGGTACTATTCTAATTATGTACGTTCTAACAGTTGGACACAATTTTGAATTTTTTTTTTTTTTTTTTTTGGACGACGTGGAAATTTTACTGCATCACTGGATAAATTTCTGATCGAACTTAATACTCTATAAACCAGGGTCGACGAAAAAGCTGATTTTTCTTTTAATAAACAATCTTTTAAGACGTAACTGAAGTTGAAATTATAATATTTTGGTCAAACGCTATTGGCTAATAATTGATAAAGGAAGCAACATGGTACGCAAAAGCTTGTTTATTTATTTATTTAATTTCAGTGGTTTTTGTCACAATTTGCATAAATTAAATGAAATAAATTACGTTTAAATTCGTTCGACTTTGATGCATAAGCACCCAATGAATTAAACTAGCAATCTAAATTATATTTTACTTTTACTTTCATTTTCTAATTATTCTTAGGTAGTTTCGAGTAGGCCCATATAAATTGGGCCGAAACACCATATAGCATAATAATAAATTCCTAGCATTAACGGCCCAAAATAAAAATCACCGTTCAGGTCGATTAAAAAAAATAATAGTAAATATATATTTGCCAGTAAAAAATAATTATTATTTTTTTCTTATATTTTTTTTTAAAAATAAAATAAAAATAGGAGGTGGAAAGGGGCCCATATAATAATGAGCCCATAAATGATGTGGGCATGGGGTGGGCGTGCACAATTAGGAAGGCTTTGCAGTTGCATTGTCTTTGTATGAGCCCTAGATTGTACTCATTCACATGGCTGCATTAATTGATTCTACCTTGGATTCCCAATCCACATGTACGTAGTTGCTCCTTGATGCCATGTAAATCGCGCTGGTATTTGATCCTTTTTCCGTCTGGAGTATGCGTGAAATGGTGCGTGGACAGTTTAATTTTGGTGTGTAGTTGCTATTTACCATTGTTTATGCATTTTTGCTGTCTGTGCAGATTCTGACGACGATGGTGGTGATGCTGGAGGTGATGGTGGTGCGGATGAAGACCTAATGCAAAACGACAAGGCGCAACGCACAAAACGCATCTGTCTGTCCCGAGTACCGAAACGGGCTCACGCACTGACTGACACGATTTTTAATGGCAGCAACCGCTGCGCATCTCAATTTACAGACACAAAGCATCAAGCCCAAGCGCCGACGCTGCCGTGAGATTACCATCACTGCGTCGTCCGCTTTGGATTCTGCTGCAGCTCCGGTATCATCTTCGTCTGCTTCCGCCGCGGGGTTTGCTGCTCAGGGACAGTGTCAGAGTCGCAGACTTGAGACCCCCATTGTGGTGTCTACGGACAGTTCCTGGTGCTGCTCCGCTTCTAAACCTACTATTCCGACGCCGGTGGAAGGCGCGGCGGCCTCTTTGTCATCGTTGATATTGTCCCCTCAAATTCCTTCCTCCCCTTCAGATCTGAAGATCCTTCGTTCTCCTTCCACCATGGATTATTATAATTCCAGCGTCTACGGTGGAGTTCCTCCAACCGCTACAGCCTCGTCCGCCTCGGCGGATAATTTTCCGTCATCGTTAAGCAAATTTAACTCTGCGCTCACGGCGGGCCTCCTCAACCCAATGTCGCCTCCGCCTATGGTGGATAAAACCCGTTCAAGCCCTACCCTGTTCGAAATGATGGCAAATGAACCCGATTGCCATCCAAGGGCAACAGCCATCGGCCAAAACGGCGTCGTTTCAGCTCAGAACCACCAAGGCGCCAGATTCACAGCAAATCCACCACTTCAAGACAAGAAGGCATTAATGCAGCAGCGGTTGATGGATCTCCTTGCATCAAGGAGCCCTGGAAACCAGTTTAACGATGCAGTTTCGGGCGATGTGAAGCTGACCTTGAGCTCTAAGGATGGGATTAACGTTTCGATAAGTGTTCATAGGCAGATCCTAGTGGCCCACAGTAGATTTTTTTCTTTGAAGTTGAACGAGAAGTGGGTGAGGCAGCAGAGGAGTCCAGGACCCTATGTTGTGGAGATTGTGGATTGTGACGACATTGAGGTTTATATTGAGACTCTGAGGTTGATGTATTGTAAGGATTTGAGGAGAAAGCTTATGAAAGAGGATGTTCCCCGCGTGCTAGGTATTCTTAAGGTAACACAGCAAAGTGACCACACGCGCACATATATATATATATATATATGTATATATATCTGTATGTGTTTCATTGTAGCAATCTTTATGGTTCTCTGCATTGGTGAATGGATCCATATCATATCTTGAGAAAGTATGTAAGATGGGGAGAGGTCCTTTTCTTTTGGCTGCAAAGAAAGGTTTGTCCCTAAGAATGTAATTGGAATAGCTGCAAATCTAGGATTTGATGTATACACAACACTGGTGGAACTTCTGTGAAATCATACGAGGGAAAGTATTGTCATTAGTAAGTAGAATGGATCAACTAATTTATGGTAATGAAAATTTAAAGAGTTCTGAACAATCAGCAAGCCAGAGTTCAGCTTGTTCACACCAACATTTGACATGCTTGTAAGGAGAGCTTACCTAGATTATGATGTGAATAGAGAAGTGTAAAGATTAAATTAGTTCTGATGAAAGCTATATGAGTATTTGGGGTCTGTCCTATCTTTGATTCTTCAGTTGCTTAGTTACTTAATGATTTCATATGCGCACTGAGATGAGCTTACATGAATTAATTTTCTGCAGCCAATGGGATAGCGAATATGTAAATCTTGTTGCATTATGCAAATTTGGTTTTCCAGTTGTCCTTTTGGGCATCTTGATGGCTCTCTGGTATTTTATTGATAGTTTAATTGAAACATGGGTTCTGTCCTTGTTGGTTTAGATTGGTGTATCTTTTTATGTTATTTAATACTTTCTTTGACTCTCCACTTCCTCATTTGAATTAATGAACCTAAACTTCAATCACCAAGTTGGTGTTGCCATTTATTACTATTATTGTTGTTTAAGAAGAACATAAATATAGGATCCTCGGTTTCTTTTGACAAGATCTTCGATGATACATGGTTTCTATTGTGACAATTTCTGGAAGGTTGTCATTTGCCAAAGCTTTTTAGTCAGGACTAGATTAAAAATGTCATCAATCCTCATAGTCTCAGACCAAAACTCTTTGTTGGATGTGTTTCACCAGGGAATTTTGCTGTTTCCGGCTTACTCTACAGAGAATAACTATAGACATTGCAATTGAGTATACTACAGCTGTATTGGTTTGAACTGATTGAGTATACTATAGGCATTGCAATTGACTATACACTCTTTCTAATACAAAATTGCATGAGAAATACTGACTCCTTAAATTTAAGAATGATGGTATTCTGCGTAATAATGTAAAGTCCTCAGAAGATATATGTGTAGTATGTCATCTCAATGATTGCATATATTATAGGTCTCAGCTGCAATTGGATTTGATGCCGGAGTTTTATCTTGCTTGGAGTACTTAGAAGCTGCACCATGGTCAGAAGATGAGGAGGAAAAGGTAGCTTCACTCTTGTCAGAGCTTAGGCTTGAAGGAGTGGGGGCTGATGAAGTTTTAAAGAGAGTTTCTGCAGATGTAAATCCAAGGAATGATGATGAACATGATAATGAAGAACTACTTCTCAAGCTATTACGTGTAGTTCTTGAAGGAAAAGATGAGAAAGCTAGAAGAGAGATGAAAAGTTTGTTAGTCAAAATGTTGCGTGAGAATTCATCGCATGACCTGAGGAAGGAATCGATATACTCAGCTTGTGACAGGTGCCTGCAATTGCTCCGGAAACACTTTCTATTGGCAGCTGAAGCAAACTTTGAAAGTGTAGGCCAGATATCTCGCCAGGCTGATAATTTGCATTGGCTGTTGGATATACTGATCGATCGACAGCTTGCTGAGGACTTTCTAAAGACATGGGCCTCACAGTTGGAATTGTCTGAGGTGCATTCTAAAGTTCCTGCCATTCACAGATATGAAATTAGCAGGGTTACAGCTAGACTGTTTGTTGGGATTGGAAAGGGCCAGCTTTTGGCTTCAAAAGAGGCTAGGTGCTCGCTATTGCAGACATGGTTGGTGCCGTTTTATGAGGACTTTGGATGGATGAGGAGGGCCACAAAGGGTCTCGACCGGCATCTGATAGAGGAAGGCCTAAGCAACACTATATTGACTTTACCAATGACATGGCAACAAGATATTTTCATGTCATGGTTTGATCAGTTTGTAAATTGTGGTGATGATTGTCCTAATATACAAAGAGGGTTTGAGGTTTGGTGGCGGAGAGCATTCTGGAGGCGAAGCCAAGAGCCTGAGAAACCTCCTCAACTGCGAATTATGGCTGCCAGCATAGAGAATTCATGATCTTACATGGGGAAAGAAATCAAGAAATAAGTCGAAGGAGTAATTCGCCTGATTTTAACAATTGAGTTGTCGAATCAATTCCTGACTGTTTCCTTCTGATAATATGGTTTTCAGTGCAGCTGGAGCCTGGAACTGGAATGCTTTTTCTGAACAAAATCTATACTTCACTATGACGCACCCACAAATCCAGGTAAAAAAATCAAACTTAAGCTGCTGGACTCATGATTTTAACTTCAAGTCATTAATGTTGAGCGAAGAATGCACTCGGATTTAGCTACTGTACGAGAAAAAGCAAAGCTAGAAATGTGCATTTCTATTGCCAATGTGCCTTACTTGATTCATGTTATGTGATTGCTTTGCTCTTTCATGTTAGGCTGTAATTGTTGCATGTCCTGAAAGTTTTCCTTGTATGATCTTTTACTTGTCCCACGTTCTGCTACGAGGATAAAGCCTTTTGTCCTCAATATTTTCTTCTGAATATTATTACTATTCTCATCCTTGCAAATCAATGATGTTTTGTAAATATGATGTTAGTAGGCAGCCAATCAGCCAAAGCCCCTCTAGTTAATAAGATTCGGTGTGTCGGACAAAAGGGTGTCGATTCTTTCAAGGAAGAACACACACACACACACACACACATGATTGGAGATTCTGTGTACTAATCAATCACTTAGTTTAGCTTGATTATGAATAATGATATTCTATTGCATGCCAATAATGACAGTGAGTCAAGGTTGCTTGTATCTATCCAATAGAAATAGTTAGGTATTTTATTAAAGAATAGAAATTTAAATTTAGAGTGAAACACAGTAACATGCACCGGTGAAGGGGAACACTTTTTCCATGCTAATCAAGTGTGTGTATATTTTAGGCACAATTATTTGGCTTAATCCGGCAGATTTTGTTCTTTTCTTTGATTTTAATATTGTCTGCGTACGTGTTTATGTTTTTTTGGTACATAAATATTATTTTCAAGCAATCACTTTTGTTGGCCACATCTGTTTATTTAATTGTATTATACTGTTAAGGAGATAATGACGTTTAGGAGTGTTGTGTTGGATTACTACTGGATATGTATATATATATATATATATTATTGAACTTTCTAATTAAATATTCTGGGCACTCTTAAATTTTTAAATTGTGTTTGATTAATTGCGGAAACTCTTATGTTTTCATTCACTAGCTAATTAATCTATCTGGGCAACAGGTTTCTTACTTCATAAACAGTGATGAAAGTTTCGTGGCATTTATTAAACGAAGTTATCATTGTGATGTTGTTTCACCCAGAGAATGAGAGATTATTTGGGATTTAAAAAGATTGTCATATTTTTTGGAAGTTGTCGAAAAAGACTCCTAACGAACGAATTAAATTTGATATTACAAATTTTATTTTTGCCTTTTTGGCTGGTTTGATAATCGTCATTTTCAATATGTGTATAGTGATCTACATTGCTGAAATTGCAATACGAAGATAGAGTTATTAGGAAAAGAGCGAGTGAGGAAACACAAACTAGTATGGTCACATGCCACAGTGGAACATAAATGATCATGTGTGTATTTATTTATTTAAGAGTTATTTATACTAATTAAAATATTATTATTATTATTATTATTATTATTATTATAGTTAGCTTTCATTACACAAGTTGGATGCACTGTATGAAGGCAAGTGTTTTACACAATATATACACAAATGGGAAGAAGAATTAAATTAATTAATTAATGCAGCGTGTGACTTTATGGCATTAAGCCCCTCTTCCTTTATGTTATTTTATTTTTTTTATTATTATTATACAAGCTATAGCAAAGCAATTAATTAGGTTGTAATAGGATTCCAAGTTTAGGGCATTCACTAGTGTTCACACATTTGTGTATTTCATATGCATAAATAGAAATAATTGGAATTCTCATAGTTTCTTTATTAATCCTTTCCTCAGTCCTCATTTCATTGTAACAACGCACATATGCAAGGTAACTAGACATAGATTGGGGGGGGGGGGGGGGGGGGGGGGTATATATTTATATATAAAAATTATATAAAGTAAACTAAAATAGAATTAGGACCACTCTCAATAGCCGTAGTAGGTAGGTGGTACATGGTTGAAGCCCTGGAAAGAAAAGCAGGCTGTATGTATTATATATATATGTGTATGTATATGTATATGTATATGTATATGTATAGAAATTGTTGTGGCGTTCGGTTCATTATTAAGTGTGCAAGTTTCAATGAACCAATTTTCTATAACGGTAGAAGATCTACATTGCTGTTGTTGCCTCAAAATATACCTATTTTTAGACTGCAATATGCATGCGAATGCCCAGGCCAGGCCTGCTCATCACTTTTAATTAATTAATTTAAATATGTATGTATGTATGTATGCATATTTTATTTTGTAGTATTTTCTTTTGATTGGAATTGTATTGTGTGTGTATATATATAAATATATATAGATATATTTGTTTAATTTTGAATTACCAAAAAGCTAAGGAATGTATTTGAGGGTGACGTCAGCGCCGGTGGAGGACCACCGTGAAAGAAATCTAATCATTCGGAGACTGGCCCCGGCGACGGACCGTCACGTGACTCTACACGAGCTAATTTACTATGTTGTCGACGGACCTAACCTAATCCTACTTTTCCAAGTTAGTTAAGTAATATTTTAGGCTTTTATTTTTTTTAAAAAAAAATTATTTATTATTAGGAGCATTATTTTTTTTGAAATAATCAAATCAAATATTATTATACAATAGCATAAATTTTCATCTAAAACGTAGAAGTAGTTTATTTATATTATATTATACTATATTATTTTAATATATTCAAATCCAATTCAAATCAAATTATGTGTTTGTTTTGTGAAATTATTTGAATTGATATTTTTTATATGAATATAAAAAAATTGTGCAATTAGTATAAATATAATGAATATCTATAATATATTATTATTATTATTATTTTTAAAATATATAGATATATATAACATTTTGACAAAATAACGCACTCTTATATGTGTCTCAATTGTTAATTGAATCCTCCATCAACTCAAGCACAATCTAAACAGAGTAGTTAATAAGTTGAATTGAGTCAAACATTTTATATTTTGAGTTCGTTCGTTAAGTAAATTTTTTATTTATATTTAAGTAATTTATTTGTTCTACTGTCCTAAGTGCAACTTATTTACTCCCGGTCTTCAACAAAATTTTTTAGTTTGAGTTTTAATATGTAGAATTTTGATTGACAATTTTTATTTTTTTTTTGTTTTTATTAATATATATAAAGTGATAATTTTTTTTACTAACCAAAAAATATTTTTAAAAGACAAAAATGTAATAAAATAAAGTTAATATAATTAATTACTTAGGATTGGGATTGGGTTATGAGATGAATGGGACGAGGATTGTGCGAACCTTAGGAAAAAAAAAAAAAAAAAAAGATAGAAATTAAGGGGAAGGAGTACTATACATGTGGACTTTGTTTTAATGATTGGCATATGTATTCAGAAAGAACCAAGCAGAAAAGAAGATATATTGAAAATCAAATTATACATGGAAGAAAATTGAATAAAAAAGGTGCTGGTCCCAGATGAAAGAAAATTAAATAAAAAAAAAAAGAAAAAAGAAAGAAGAAAGAAGAAAGAAAAGAAAAAAAAGAAAAAGGACTGGTGGATGGCTTAAATTGGGGTTGTTTTAATTGGAATTAGTTGGAGAAGATGGACCACATTATCTCATGACCTTCACAGAGACTAATCTGGGGAACATTTTCTACACACAAAAAAAAAAAAGAAAAAAAATCAATAAAGAAAGAAAGAAAGAATTCACTGCAGCTGTATCATTGCAACAAAAAATAATTAATTTCATATACTAGTATAAAAATAAAAGATCACATATAATAATGAATATATTTGTTGAGTCTGGGTGTGTGTCTGTATATATGTGGGCAGGCCAGTGCAGTCCCACAACTGTAGTAATAATCTGCAAAAAGGCTGCCCCTACGAAACTCCAGTTTAACTTCAGTTCTTGGGATTCAAAAATCTTCTGTAAAATCATATATATATATATATATGCGGATCATTTTATTTTATTTTATTTTATTTTGGTTAAATAAGAAAAAAATAATAGATCTGATCATCTGATGGATGATCACAGGGAAATGGTGGTGTGTAGACAGGAGGCATGTGGCGGCTATGTACTGATAGACTGAATTGAATTGAACTGAGCTGAAGGGCATTCTGACCACAAGAAAAAAACATATAAACATATGTGTATATGTGTATATATATATATGTGTGTGTGTGTCATGGCCACTATTTTATGAATTGTGAGTGTGGACGATGAAAGTGTTAGAAAAAGATGATGATAATTGTTTTATTTTATGGTTATTGGGGAAAAGTCTTGGATGGTTCCAAAGAGTTTTTTTTAATGGTGGGGTGTACGAAATAATTGAGGGTTTTGGGGCCTAGCTATGGGAATGGGAATGGGAATGGGAATGGAATAGATGGGATATGGGTTGGGATTTCTACCAAGCCTACCTATTTAATTTGTATGTATATATCATATATGTACGTACAAACTGAGTGTGTGTGTGTGTGTGAGAGAGAGAGAGAGAGAGAGAGTATAATATGTTTTTTGCATTGACCCATGAGTGAGAGAGGAGAGAGAGAGAGAGCTGAAAGAAAGTAACAAGGAAATCAGAGGAAGATGATGATAGGCTGAAGGTCGTGATCAAAGGTGGTGTTGTGTTGCCCAATCTGATTATTATTATTGTAATTTAATACTATATGTATATATATTGGACTACTACTACTGTATTTGGAGTGTAGATATATTTTATTACATATAGTGTTTTCATACGTACGTAGTATCCACCGTCTCTCGTTTTTTTTTTTTTTTTTTTCTTTCTCTCTCCTAGGTTCGGGAATGGTTCATATATTTTCTCACTCTTGACTTTTCTTGTTGGGTTATTATTAAGAGTACACTCATGAGAAACACAAGATCATAAGCAAGGCCCAGTTGCTTTGCTTGTTCCATATTCCACACACACCAAACAAATATCTATCCCCCCCCCCCCCCCCCCCCCCCTCTCTCTCTCTATATATATATACATATATGTATATATAATCTTCTCAAGGTCACTTATATATCACTAACACAGCTACCTCCTCCTCTCTGCAGCACAGATTCATTGGCAAAAGGGTTGGAAGCTTTGTAATTCTCTGTTTAATTAATCTTTGATATTTGAATATCGGTTATTGATTCTCTCTTGTATTATTAGTTGTCGTTGATTGGTGGGGTTTGATTCAAGTTTTCACCAGTTGAAGAAGAATGATATGATATATGGGATGATGACGATGATCTGAAGAGAGAGAGAGAGAGAGAGAGAGGAGCGAGAAGATCTTGCCACAGATATATATATACACAGAAAAAGAAATATAATAGCTCCTTGTATGGCCGGAGGGGAGAAATCCTACAGCTACTCCGACGTCGCCTCCTCCAGCGGCGGCGCCGCCGCCGCCGCCATTCATTCTCATATGGTTAACCAGTTGCAGCAATTTGACCCCAATCCGGAGATCTACAACCTCACTGCAGGCATGGAGATGATAGGGTTTCCATCCAAGAACAACAATCTGGATCAATCTGCTTCAGTTATATGGAAGGGCTTCTTCAACCACCACCACAGCGGTGCCGCCGCCGCCGACGGCGGCCCATCTTCTTCCTCCAAGGATGCCAACGAGCCGACCTCCAGCGATCAGTTCTACCAGTTCTACAACAGATCATTGCTTCTGGATGATCCATCATGTGTATTTCCTTGCGAAGAAAATCAAAGGCCTAGACAAGGCCTGCAGGGACTTTCCCTCTCCTTGAATTCGTCCAACCCTTCTTCCGCCATGGCAGCTGCAGGATTGCAAGCTTTCGAGCTCAGGCAGCACGTGCAGAATAACTCGATCCAAGAACACTCCTTTATCAAGAACTCAAAGTACTTGACCCCTGCTCAGGACCTCCTCAATGAACTCGTCTCCCATCTCGCCGGAAAATCGTCCGACGACAACCTCAAGCTTCACAATAAAAAGACAACCACCGACGACGAGAATGTCGCCGTTAAAAAGCAGTCCCTCTACTCCCTCGACTTCCTCGAATTGCAGATAAGAAAAACGAAGCTGCTCCAGATGCTGGAAGAGGTATACATATATATACACATATATATCTATGTATGTATGTATGTATGTATGTATAATCGTCTATGTTGATTTCAATTTCTTACATCTTCGATCGAGCTCGGATCACGCATCCATGGCGATATCGTCATCTTCAATTTACTGTTGGTGCTGGAGACATTTAAATTCGAGCTAACTTAGAGGCCGTGAACCCCTCCTCCATAAATGCCCAGCCCACATGGACACGTACAGTTTTTGGAGTTCTATTAAATAACCAGAACCATAACCATATCCAGCAGCATTTCACTAAGCAAACAAGATCTGGAATCAAAGCTGCCTCCTTTAATTTTTCAGTGTCAGATAATTGATTAATCGTCGATTTGCTGGTGATCATTCAGGTGGACAGAAGGTACAGGCACTACTGCGACCAGATGAAGGCCGTCGTCTCCTCCTTCGAATCAGTCGCCGGCGACGGCGCCGCCTCCGTCTATTCCGCGTCGGCCTCCAAAACCATGTCCAGACACTTCCGATGTCTGAAAGACGGAATTGTCGGCCAAATCAAGGCCACCAAGAAGGCTATGGGAGAGAAGGATTCCGGCGGCGCAGGGACGACGACGATGAGAGGGGAAACCCCGAGGCTAAGGATGATCGACCAGACACTGAGACAGCAGAGAGCTCTACAGCAAATGAGCTCGATGGAGAGCCATCCATGGCGGCCCCAGCGAGGGCTACCGGAGAGATCGGTGTCCATTCTTCGGGCTTGGCTCTTCGAACACTTTCTTCACCCGTAAATTCCTTTTTCCATTCTCACTCACTCCATCGTTGTCGAGTTCTCCTGCAATGGCAAACTGGATTAACCGAAAGGAATCAATGTTTTCTTGAAACATCCAATTTGTGATTCTTGCTGCACCTAGCTATTTGCTTCCTTCCTCCCTGTCTCAATCATTATCTGCTGTATTTTGTTTCTATCTTTTTTTTCTTTCTTTAATTATTAATTAATTTTTTGTGGAATCGATTCCTTACCATGCTCCCAGTAGGACCCCATTGATCTCCCTCATTAAAGATTTCATCTTTTTTGTTTTTGTTCTTCTTCTTCTTGATTATAATCAATAGTAAAAACTACAACCGGCTTGAAGTTTAACTTTCTGGTTTGGAAGTATTCTTCTGATGCATAATTTTGTGCAGGTACCCTAGCGATGTCGATAAACACATATTAGCTCGTCAGACAGGTCTATCGAGAAGCCAGGCAAGTCTCTTTCTTCCTCGGATTATTATATGTTTTAATTAATCAAGATTGATTCAAATTAGTTTCTTTTTATTTTATTATATTTTAAAAAAATTATATATATATATATACATATATATATTTATATATGTGTTTTTCTGGTTCAGGTTTCCAACTGGTTCATCAATGCTAGGGTGAGGCTATGGAAGCCGATGGTGGAGGAAATGTACGTCGAAGAGCTCAAGGAAAGCGACGCCGCCGGAGGCGACGGCGCAGCTTTGGACAGCACCGCTGCTATGGCGGAGAATCACAGTTTCATTAACCCTTCTAGAAATGACGATCAGAAGCCTTCCCATGATCAGCTCGTCAGAATTGATTCCGACTGTCTCTCCTCCATCGTCACCACTCCCGACTACAACAACAACAAGGACGCCGCCGCCGCCGCCGGCGGCCGGAAGGACAAATCCGTTGTCGTCTTCCACGACGAGCACCACCACCACCACCACCGTCATATTCAGAACCCTAGTTTCGACAGATTGGGGGACTCCATTGGCGCGGCAATGGAGCTCGATTTCTCGTCGTACAACCACCACTCCGCCGCCAACAACACCTACACCGGCGTGTCTCTTACTCTAGGCCTTCATCAACACGGCCCCGACGGCGGACTCAGCCTCGGATTCTCACCGACAACCGCCGCCGGCGCCGCCGGTTCTTCTCAGAACAACGTCTCCGGCCTCTTCTACACCACCAGAGGAGCTGATCATCACATGGAAGACTGCCAAACAGTTCAGTATTCTCTTCTAGACAGCGAAAATCAGACATTGCCTTACCGGAATTTGATGGGAGCTCAGCTGCTCCATGATCTCGCCGGATAATTAAACCATTTTCTGGGTTTAATTTGTCGATCGAAGGAAGGATTTTGTCGGTGGAGTTATTTATCAATACAGTTATATATAATTTGCGGAAAGAGTTTAAAGAAGACGACAATGGCGGAAATATATATATATATATATATATATGGTATACATAGAGAAAATAGAAAACCAAAAACGTCTGCAATTTATATAATTTGATGTTAAAATTAAATATGTAGGCGCATTTAATCACTGTACAATGAAACTTGATGGCCATTTTGCTAAATCAAATGAGATATTTTGATGTTCCTATAATTTCATTTCTTGTGGCTAAAATCAATTAGCTAGGGTTCCAATTTTGTTGGGACATGTAGGTGCAAGAATCAAGATCGATTGATTTATTTTTATTTATTTTGAAATTTTATATTTTGTCGAGAAGGGGTTTGGACAAATTCCCATTAACCTACAAATGAAGGCAGTTAGGGGCTCAATTCAAGATTAAGACATGTCATCTAAATCTTTACAAAATATCGTCATCATCATTTGATGATTTGTGGTCCTTTCTTTAATTTGCTCTCTCCCCAATTTTAAAAAATTAAAAAGATGTGATCTTTCTTACTCCAATAAAAGAATATGGTTAATTTCTTGCTTTTTCAATAAATTTCAAAAAGGGTTTGTGTTGCTGCCACTTTCTCCAACCCAATCTGGCTATGGCTTCTTAATCAATAATTATTTACTATTTTTATTTAACCCACTCATAATTTACTTATTATTATTAATCTGATCTTGATCATATATATGTATAAATAAATGTAGATACACACACGTGCGTGTTCTACATTTGTAATATGTTTAATTGATAAACTTAATCAAAAGGTACCATGCAAGCTAGTGAACAAACCTTTATAATTATCTTTACACATATAGATACATAATAAATACATATCCACAAGAATATATATAATAATTCAAAACTCTGTATAAATATATGGGAATAGTTATTAAATATAGTATTAGATGATGAAAATTTTTAATTTGGGAAATAAATTAAATGTCGATCTAAAAAAAAGGCAGCCACGTCATTATTGTCATCAAATTATTGGCGTATAGGCATAGAAAATGGACTGCTTAATTAATTTGCCACGTACTCAATTATATTTTTATTCATTTAAACATGATAAAAGTTAAATTTATAAGTTAAAAATAAGTCCAATATGAATATGAAGATGAATTCTTGTTTTGTTTTGTTCATGAATGATAATATTATAATTCAAATTCAATTTATTTATTCTAAAATAACAATAATATCAATTAAACCCATAATTATAATATAATACCAATAGAATTATTTTGTGTGGATCTACATCTCTTGGGTCAAATTTTATTTTTGAAATAAATAAAATATTTGAAGAAATTGGGGCACGTGCAGATGCACGTGACACAAGGCTATCATCAAACTGCTGCATTACTTTTATGGTTAAGCAGTTGCATCAGAAAGCACACGAACTCTGAGGTAACAAGAATTCGTTGGTTGGGAGATGCAAATCATTCTCATGGGCCACTTTGATGCCCACATTCATTTATTGGACTTGGACCCCCAGCCCCATATTAATTCTGTATATATAAATTTATTCTGTTAATAAATAAAGACCATTATACTATGATTAAATAAATGAATATTTCCAAAATCCATTTGGAAGAAAGCCTATACAACTGTCTAAGGCCTAGTTTCTATATAGGCTTTATTGGGCCAGTCCTTATTGATATTATTGGGCCTGTCTTTTTATATCTTATTATTGGGCCGGATGAAGCTTTTAATTGGATGGGCCCACAAAAGAGTGGTATTTATGATGTTCTGTTGCGGATTTGTATGTTGAGTCGAGCCAGTGTTTGTGTGATGGTTTTGGCTTTTAGGCAGAAATAAATATTACAATTCGATCCCGAGAAAATCCAGTCATTCCACTCGATTTCTCGTGTCTCGCTCGCTCGCTCGCTCTTGGATCGCTTTTGAAGGTATGATTGAGAGCTTTATCAATTTGGGGTTTTGATTTTTTGATTTTTTTTTTTTTTGGATCGGGTTGGTTTTTGTGAGGCGAAATAGTTTTTTGACTTTTGGTTGGCGTTGTTTGTGGAGTGCTTACTGGATGCTTGCTTGATTCTGATGCATTTTGGAATTCAGGTGGTTCGGTTTCTTTGTTAGCGCGGGATGGATTTTGTGTCGAAGTATCAGGTGATTTGTTTGTTTTTTATTGCTCCTTACTGCTTTGTTTCTCTCTCTCAGATATGTAATATGGTGGAAACAGTTGCTTTGGTGCGTATTTGAATGGAGATTGCGAGTTGTTATTTTACAGTGATTTGAGTGTTCAATGTGAGTTTATTTTTGGAAAGGTGTTACTACTTTTGTGGTGGAATGGCGAATAGTTTTGCCGGCAGCTTAAGCTTCTCCATTTACATGTGGTGTTTGTTTGTTCATGCCTGCGGCTTATGTAAATTATGCTGTTAATTCGAGTGTCTATTAACCCAGGGTGTTGTTGGGCGTTTTATTGGAAATGAGAATTCAAGCACAAATGATGACAGGTATTTGTATTGGTTTTGTCATTTGTACGTTAAAGGTCGTACTGAGATCAGCATTCACTGACAACACCATTGACTCGTCATATTTGTAGTTATGTTGAGCGGTTGCTGGACCGCATTAGCAATGCTGTTCTGGCTGATGATAGGAGGAATGCCATGGTTGAACTTCAGTCGGTTGTGGCTGAAAGTAATTCTGCACAGCTAGCTTTTGGGGCAATGGGTTGGTTCTCTTCTCAATGAAGTAGCTCTTCCTACTTAATCTAGTTTTCATACAGTTATACCATTTGTTCCCTCTCTCAATATTTATTGCAGGCTTTCCAGTACTGTTGAAAGTCCTGAAGGAGGATAGGGATGATGTCGAGATGGTATGAGGCTTTTGTTGCTCATTAATTTTTGGAAAATTCTTTTCATTTTGGCTAATATTTGAAATTGACTGTGTCCTATAAATTTTTTCATTATAGGTGCAGTTTTGCATTTATACTTTTGACCATGCATTGTAATTGAATCTTAACCTGAATTTAATACATAATTAAACACCTTTCTATATATATTTGCTGCATATTTCTCTCAACTTTAAGGGGTCAAAGTGTATTACAAACTTTAAGTGAATATGATGTCTTTCATGGATTTAAAAGTTGGTGCTTCCAAGAATTTCATCACAGAACCATGGTTTGTGTTTGCATTGAAAGGTCTATGCATTAGCGGTTATCAGTGGAGATTACCCCTTGTAACAAGCTTATAACCAGTCCTGATGCATGAGTAACTGTTATTGAGAAAATTCTTATTTGGAATGTAGGATAGCTTTTCTGATGTGTTCTGCAAGAGTTGTACTTAGTTCATAATTATGCACTTTGCTTGATGTAAAGTTTCTTTGGATGTACAAAGGTCAGAGGGGCCCTTGAAACTCTTGTAAGCGCCTTAAGTCCAATTGAACATGCAAAGATATCAAAGAATGAGGTTCAGCCCGCTCTTATGAATAGTGATTTGCTTTCGAGAGAAGTAGATAACATATCTCTTCTTTTGGATCTTCTGGTAAGTTCTCTATCAAAACATCTAAAAGTTTTTTAGCCCTAATCATTTGTCCATATAAGACGCTAATTAGCTTATTTGCAGTCGGAGGAGGACTTTTATGTGCGATATTATACATTGCAGCTGTTGACAGCCCTTCTAACCAATTCACCAAATAGGTATAACTTGCTGTCTTTTTATTTAAGATACATTGCTTCCTGTTGATCAATTCTAAGTGTATTTCTTTGGATTTCTTGACAGACTGCAAGAAGCTATTCTCACCATCCCTCGTGGTATTACAAGGCTTATGGATATGCTTATGGATCGCGAGGTATCATTCTTGTGTATGTAATAAGATTCTTCTTTCTTTCTTTTCCTTTTATTTATTTTAGTTCTAATTGTTAAATTGGAAAAAAACATTTCAATATCTTCAAGGTTATACGAAATGAAGCATTACTACTTCTCACATACTTAACTCGGGAAGCTGAGGTAATTTTCTCTTTTCTGATCCGTTAAATTATGTTACATTCTCTGTTTTATCCTCGTTATTCTACTCTTTTCCTTGCTAACTAAGATTTTATAATTCAGGAAATTCAAAAAATTGTGGTCTTTGAAGGTGCTTTCGAGAAGATTTTTAGTATCATCCGGGAAGAAGGTGGTTCTGACGGTGGTGTTGTTGTGCAGGTATGCATAAACCAAGACTTGCTTTTATATGAATTGTTTTATGACAAGTGAAAAACTGTCACTCCTTTCCTGTGTAATTTGCTTTGTTCGCACTAGCTACAAGAATTAATCTAGCATCACTTTCTTTATGTTTTATGTATAATAATCATAAATTAAATGCATTTACTTACATTTCTAGAATGGAAAGGCTTGATTTTTTCTAATATTATCCTTTTAATGTTGCTTGGTGCACCTTTCTTTTTCTTCCATCCATACGCTTTTAGATACAATGATTATGCGATATCTCATGAAAATGACAATAAAATGTAATCAGTTCAGGATAATGTGTAATATTTTTGCTCTTTATGGTGATGCACCAGGATTGTCTGGAGTTGTTAAACAATCTTCTTCGAAACAGTGCCTCAAATCAGGTTTGTATTTGTTAATTTAGTTTGTTATCCTTTGAAAAATCTTTTTTTCCCTTTATAGATTGATGTTCTTCTAAGTTGATCGGGGAATGGTATAGGTTTTGCTTAGGGAGACAATAGGTTTTGATCCGCTGATATCGATTTTGAAGCTCAGAGGAAGCTCTTATAAATTTACACAGCAGAAGGTTAACAATATTGTTTTTTAAGCTTCTTATATTAAGTTGTAGGCTTTTCGACTCAGTTTCATTTTATTCATGGCCCAGTTCTAACTTTTATATTGCTTTTTGTATCAACTGATTGCCAGTAGACAACAAATCTACTCTGTGTATTGGACACAATTAACTTGCTTCTTCATGGAGGCCAACAAACTGATCCTGGAAAAAACTCCAGTGGGTTGGAAAATAAAGCAGTCTTGGTTCAGGTTTAAGTTCGTCTCTTCTATGAAATTAAATTAAATTTTTTAAAAGGATAATATATATATATATATATGTATATGCACACACACTATTAGAATATACTTGCATAGATCTATTTACTACATTATATCATCTTGTGATTGTAGAAAAAGATACTGGACCATCTTCTAATGCTGGGAGTTGAGAGTCAATGGGCTCCGGTTGCTCTTCGTTGTATGGTAATATTATATGATATCACAAAAAAATATGTTTTCATTTCACAATCAGGTCTTGTTCATTCTCCTCTTCCCTTGCCTGCTCCCCAAATTAGTCCTTTAATAATGATAGTGCATCTCATTCTTTTGGATATCTTTATGATCAACATACTTAGTTAAATTCTTACCAATGATCTTTAATACTTTAAAGTTATTTTGTATTTTAGAATGCTATTTTTGAATATACAACCTTTTTTCTGTTAAAATATGCTTTCATAGTTTCCAAACTGGTTATTCTTGATGTGAAGACATATTGGATTGTACTTCATCGTTCATGTGCTGAAGTAAGGATTTGGAGGTGATTACAAATACATGACAGATAGCCTTGATTCATTTAGTTTATCTGAACGAGCCTATTATAATTTTTGTAAGATATTTTTTTGGAGTTGATATATATATATATATTCCTAAATAATTGTGACTTCGTACAACTTAAGACCTTTATAATGCAAAAATCTGTTTTATTCTCCAAATTATTTTTTATTGTTTATCTAAATGTATGCTGTTACTGTTTTGCAGAAGGCTTTTATGAATTTTCTGATAGTCATTTGTTGATCCTATAACTGTCCCAGGCACTCCGATGTATTGGAGATCTGGTTGTCAATCATCCCAAGAACCGTGATGCCCTTGCAAGTAAAGTACTTGGGGAGGAGCCTGATGTTGAAGCGGCCTTAAATTCTATACTGAGGATTATTTTACGAACTTCTAGCGTGCAAGAATTCGTAGCAGCTGACTATGTTTTTAAGAGTTATTGTGAGGTTTGTGTGGCCAGTCTTTAAACTGGAGGGGCATCTGCTTTTGAGCAAGTAGGATAAACATATTTTCCAAGATAGTGTGTAATTTCTAAATTGGATTACCACATTCTATCTGTATTCACGATGTTTGATAAAACATTTTTAGATAATGCAAATCTATATGCTTCTCATGTTGTTACCTTGTGGGTTTTATTAATTTTCTCAGTCCTTTTACTTGGAACAGGACAATCCTGTTGGGCAGTCTATGTTGGCTTCAACATTAATTCCTCAACCACACTCCATGGTTAATGCACCAATGGAGGATGATGTGAGAATGTCATTTGGAAGGTTAGTATTTGTTCAGTACCTTCATAGATTCTCATCGTGGATTTATGTTTTGAAAGTTTCTGTCTTTGCAGCATGTTATTGCATGGTCTGACAGAGAGTGAACGAGATGGTGATCTTGAGGTAGGCTGCAGATTGGATTTTTTAAGTTTTGACAGGCATTTGTTATGAATAATGAAATGAAAATTCAGTCCTTGAGAATATGCTCATATTACTGTATTTGGCTTCTTCTGAATTTTGGTTCCCATTTCCCCAGAATATCTAGACATTTCATAGTACTACGTTTTCTTTCAGTCAAGTTAATGTAGGGTAATATTATTAACTGTCGGCTTGCATGAAATTATTCTAGTGTATGGTACAACTTTGTTACGATAGGAGTGCTCACTTAAGCCTACTATGCTGGAAATTTGGCTTATTTTCTTACACCCTTACATTAAATTGAACGCTTCATAAGTAGGTGAAAAAAATTTGAAATCGATCGATTCACATCATATATGGATTATGGAGGGATCCTGCATGGATCCAAGTACTCTCCCTCATCGTCAATCCACATTCTCAGACAAAAATGGATAGTTATTAGTTACCCTTATTTACCATTTTGCCGTCGAGAAATTTATTTTGATTTTACTCTTGTGCCAGACATGCTGCAGAGCCGCAAGTGTTCTATCTCATCTTTTGAAGGATAACGTTCAGTGCAAGGAGAAGGTGTGCAATTTATTTCATTGTTTATACACTCACACCTATTCATTTTAGTTCTTTTATTATCTATTAATCAGGCGAGCAGAAACTTTTTGAGGAAATTGATTTGATTGTATAAAATGTTTTCACTGTATCTCTTTTGACAAATAAATTTTTGCACGCACCTCTTCTTTTATTATAATTATGGGAGATGTCGCAGGTTGTCCAAATTGAACTTGAAGCGCCTAGGCCTACACTGGGTGGCCCAGAACCTCTAATGCACCGTATGGTGAAGTACTTAGCACTTGCTTCTTCCATGAGCAAAGATGGAAGAGCTAATTCATCCGGCCCTATCTATGTTCAGCCAATCATCTTAAAGCTGCTAGTTATTTGGCTGTCTGATTGTCCAAGAGCTGTTCAATGCTTCCTCGACTCCAATCCTCACCTCACCTACTTACTGGAGTTAGTTTCTAATGAAACAGCAACTGTATGTGCAAGGGGTTTGGCTGCTGTCCTCTTAGGAGAGTGCGTAATCTACAACAAGATCAATGACAGTAAAAAGAATGCCTTCAGTATTGTCGAGGCCATAAGCCAGAAAATAGGGCTCACCTCCTACTTTCTGAAGTTTGATGATATGCAGAAGAGCTTGCTTTTTGCGACTGCAAAATCAGCTTTTGACCGTAAACCATTGACTCGATCTACTGCTGCTAGCATGTCTGATATTGAAGATGTTGACGAAAATGAAACTGCCGATCACAAGAGCGAGGATCATCCTATGCTTGTAATGGTACTCGATTCGCAATTTGTTTCCTTCGTAAAGGGCTTGGAAGCAAGAATCAGGGAACAAATTGTTGATATATACAGTCAACCAAAGAGCCAAGTGGCTGTTGTTCCCGCGGAACTGGAGCAAGGTAGTGGAGAAAGCGATAAAGAGTACATCAAACGGCTGAAAAACTTTGTGGAGAAACAATGCATTGAAATACAGGTATTCTACCACTGCTTAATTTCCTAGTTTAGAATAATTGCATCACCATTTCTTTTCTTTAACCTGGAATAATTCTGATATCCATTGCAATAGGCACACAAAGAACTATACGCCTATCGCCGGTGATTAATTTGCACGAAAACTGCAATTGCATAGAGAATAGTAGTAAATTATGAGATGTAACTACTGGTTCATGTATTGTGCTCTTATGTTTGAGCAGGACCTTCTAAGGTCAAATGCTACACTTGCTGAAGGCCTGGCCATGACCGGTGGGGTGGGTTCAACCAAGCTCGAACACAGATCCAGCAGTGGTTCCGACAGAGTTCTAATCGAAACCCTTCGGAAGGATCTTCATGAAGTTTCTCAAAGGGTGGAAACCCTGAGGGCAGAAAAAGCCCGAATCGAAGAAGAAGCTTCATCACACCAAAATTCAGCCATGAAACTGGAATCTGATCTCCAAAGTTTGTCTGCTGCATACAATAGCTTAGAGCAGGCCAACTTCCAGCTAGAACAAGAAGTGAAAGCTCTGAGAAACAGCGGAGCAGTTCCTGTCCAGGTTCCAGACATCGAGCAAATAAAGGCCGAGGCAAGAGAAGAAGCTCAGAAGGAAAGCGAAGGCGAGCTGAATGATCTGCTCGTCTGCCTCGGCCAGGAGCAGAGCAAGGTGGAGAAGCTGAGCACGAGATTAATGGAGTTAGGAGAGGATGTCGATAAGTTGCTGGAAGGCATCGGAGACGATATGGGCCTCCCAGAAGATGACGAGGATGAAGAAGAGTGATCATCTGCCGCGTGTTTCTCGCATCCCATCCAGGGTTCGAATTTTAACCATCTTCTTGCATGCCTGTGTACATTGCATAGAAGCTGTACAGTGTTCCTGTTTTATTTATATGTTGCTTATGTTCCAATACGAAGTCTGGACACCAACACAAATTCCACCCATGTTTATCGATCTAAACTGCACTCTGCATCACGACATTTGATTTCTGTATTTATACTTATTTGAATTCTATTTTCTTGATTGATGTTGTGTAGCATAAAGATGGAGCAATCAATCCCCTGCAATTCCTGTGAAGCAAACACATAGAAATGGGACCAGCAATGATATTTAATAGCCCAAACAAAGAGGGCATTTTCGACAAAGTTGGTGGCACATCACATCTCATCTCCTCTCCATCACTATTCACTAAAATCAAATCTATGCCCATGAAAAATAAAAAAATATAAATGCCATGCCCACAACATAAAATCATTTCTGCCATGAAAGAGGAAATGCAGACAACATATGATTGATGATGAATTTCTTCTTTCAAATATTAGTGACCCTCACATGCCATGATTCTCGGAATATACATATATATAATTCCCTATTCTATATATTAATAGAAATACCACGTGTCAACATTAATGTTATAAATATAGATACACATGTATTCCCAGTTTTCATGCCTGAAACCTGAATTAGTAACGAAATGCAAGGGCCTACACCAGCCCCAAGCCTCTATAAATAAACAGAAAGCTATTAATTACACAGATAAAATTGAATAATCCTGATATCCATGGCATTAGAGAATGTTAAAAAAATAATAATAATAATAATTATTATTATTAATAATAAATCTGAGGCATGAAACATGGTTGGCGAGTCATCGATGTACTTCACTGATCTCACCTTCCTCGCATACGCCGACTTCGATGGCCAAGCTTTTGTTTGCGCTGCTCATTACGCGGCAACAGTTTCGTCTCGGAGACTGCCAACAAAACAAACTCTAGAGTCAACTCTAATAATAAATAAAGATCAAGATCTGATCTAATCAGATCATGGGAACACCAACAAGGATATCAAACAAACAACGTTGCTGTTATCGAAACTATATATCTTTTAATGCAATGAACGAGACATAGAATCACATATAATATTACTGCCATTCCAACAATGGCGTATGTAAGAGTTTCTTTTGTCAGGAGTTCGACTTCCTGCGATGAAACATTAGCAACAACAATTCGACGCGTGGTGTTTATGTTAAGAAAGAAATATATAACTTAATGCAAGTGGTAGGATCTTGGCTTACCCTATCCCATAAATGTGGGTCAACCATTTTGTAAACCTTCACCATGTCAAACTCCTCCAGATCTGTCGAATTCCACTTGCATAGAGGATGAGGGACGCGGTGATGAGTGTACTTGGTGAAGGTTCGATTCGTGTTTGGCTCCATTACAGCCTTTGACAAATAGAAAACAAAGGGTCTCTGACACGGGTTCCTCGCGAATGGCCTTGTGTTGAAAGCATATCCATGGTAATCAGCTCGCCGGTACCAATTCAAGAAGGTTCTTGACGGCATCTCCATCTCACGAGGAGACAATACCCCGCGGATTACTTGAACTGCAAACCCCCAAGAAACTGATATTGTCCACTGATTTGTTTTGTCGTAGCAAATTGACTGCTGCATCAGGCCTGATGAATCAAGCTGCATTGGGACTTGCAGCCGTTGTAGCGCTCGTATTTTGGTTGTATTCGGGAATATTGGCTCCACCACGTCGAGATGGTGCAATGTGATCAATGGAGCAACAGGGTGTGCAGCAAGATACCCGAATAAGTTTCCGTAAACATCAAACTGAATTCCATACACAGACAAAAAGGGAAATAAAAACCAGGGTTAGAAATCAAAGAACACTTTCGGAAAGTATGATTCAACATTCGACACAAAAATGCAGTTTTAGGGAAGACAGTGAAGGCACAAGAAAGAACAAGAATTGGCCCCAAAAATCAACCACATGAATTTCTTGCACTTCAAAATCGAAACAGAGTTACCAAATTAGACACACAGAACATGGGAATTTCCCAAACTGAATACCTAAAAGAATGCAAGAATTTGTCATAATCCTAAAAGAATCAATCAAACAATGAAGTTAGGTGTTAAATCCGATGATCACCTGATGAAAACCAAGCTCTTTGGTAAGTGGAACGCCGAGCTCAGCCATACAAGCCTGCATTCTGTCGTCGGATCCGTACAAACCAGGGTACCTATGGAGGCACCGATCCTGCATCTTCTCGAGTGCCTTGGCCAGAGGATAGCTAATGGCGAAGCCGCCGCCGCCGTAAGCCATGTTGTAGGAGAAATATATGTTCTGCAAATGGCTCTCGCTGGAGCTCCCGATGTAGTAATACTGATTGTGATCGTACTTGTTCAGAACCCTAACCAGATTGTCCGTGAAGAAGACCGTGTCGTCGTCGCCCATCACCAACCACCGCACGCCATCCATTCCTCCCAGCCTCAGAGTCTCCGAGACGATCCTGGAAATACGGATGGCGGAGCGGTGGCCCTGCTTGTTCCTGTACGGGAAGCGCGAAGTGTCGCCGGAGATTCTGATTTCCGGTAGGCTCCGGCTCTCGTTTCTGTAAGCCTTGACAGGCTTGTCGAGCCAGACGGTTCCCCGCATCTTCTTCTCCGGTCTCCACCACAGCTTTATGTACTCCTTCCTGCGCGGCCACAGCTTCGCCGACGCCCCGATGCCGAAGACAATGTGCTCTAATCCGGTCGTGGCGAGGCTCTGTTCCGCCGATTGTTTCGATTGAGACGCGAATTTCTCCGGCGATGAGGCGTTCACGGAATCGCGGCGGCTATTGAGGAAAACGACGCCGCCGCCGTCGTCGTCGCAAGGCGGGTGAGGAGACGAAAGCAGCCTCAATGTGTAGACCAAATAAGTAGCTGAGACGAACAGAAACAGCCATACTAACACTTTCGGCTTCGATTTGCTCGCCGTCAGGGAATTCGAATTCAATAGGAGCTTCTCCATCGCCTTCATAATTATCCTTCTCCAAATTCAGGATCCCTAAATTAAAATCCCCCCAAAGTTGAATCGTTTCCCAACTGCAGCGGCGATGAACTTCGTGTCTTCGTCTTCGAGTTCCCCTTTTCCAGTTCACATCTGATCGATTCGACGCATAAGCGCGGGAACTGAGATGGCAAAACACAGATCTGAGTTCCGAGCAAACGGTGATCAAAACAATTGAATGAAAGAATGAATGATTGAATGGAGGTGGAGCATGCAGGCAGAGTTGCACACTCCGCTGGGCTGGCCCGACAGAGTTCCTAACCCTTCGATAGGTATATATATAATTTGGCGGTGCGTGTGCTCTGCTTCTGTCCCTGTCTTTTTAAGTAATGTAATGTAAGATGCGTCTCCGGGGTGGCGTGGAGTGGGGTGGGTGGGTGTATATATACAGATTTTCTGTATCTATACATTGGGTGAGGATGGAGATGGGTTGGGAATTGAGATGACCAAACGATACGGCTCTCAGGTCCAGGGACTAAAAGCGTCGGACATATAATTACGAACCCGGTTTAGTCCAAGGACCTGAAGTCCTGCCCAGATGTTTTGCTTTTATTATTTTACTTTATAATAATTTATTTAAAAGTTAAAAACATTAGCATATTGATAAGAAACTCACTAAAACTTTCTCACAATTTACAATTTATATTATTTTTTTATTTCACAATCTATTTTTTTCATTTCATTACAAAAAATATGTATATTTTTTAATTTATATTAAAATAATTAATAATATTATTAAATTTAAATAAAATTATATCAATATATATCAGAATAAAATTTTATATAATACAAAATATAAAAAAAATAAAAATAAATAATTAAATAAATACTATTTGTAAAAAAAACAACAAAAAATTCTCTTGAGTTGCTCTGTCCGGCAACGCTTCTACTCCACCTCACTATTTTTATTTTTATTTTTATTTAAATTACGGACATGGAATTTCTCTAAAGTAGATGTTGATGCTCTAAAGAGTCAATCATCATACATTATAAATATAAAAAAACTTAAAATATAAGATTGCTTACAGGTCACCTCTACGTATAGTTCGGATAATGTGATTTTTCTGTCAAACTTAGTTTGCAAAGTATTATGTTAAATCGAAAGTTTACTCAGCGTACATTTTTATTAACGACTGTGAATTCCATGTAATAAAAAATAAAATAAAATTACAATATAAAAGGTGATCCAACTAGGTTCAAATTCGGATATCACTAGATGTTGTTTGTCCAGAGCCTGTTCTTACAATACAAGACAAGTTATACTACATGAACTATATATCACAGACAAGATTTGAAGACGTCCGAATTTGAATCCACCGTGTCATCCTTGATGTTGTAAGTTGTTTGTATTTAGGATGTGTGTTGATTGAGTCTTTACCGATATATTAATTTTTTAGAATTTTAAATATATCATAAAATTCTAAAAAAAATAAAATAATAATAAGACAATTAAGACATTGAGTAAATATAAATAATATGAAATATTAAATTTATAGTTGATTTCAACAAATACAATACACTCATGGAGTACAATTATATGATTTTATTTAATATTTTCATGTGTTATGTTATAAAAATATTGTAAGATAACAAAAACCTGTATTATATATAATGAATAAATCTCGATTAGTTTGAGGCAATTATTCCTGTACTAATAGTAAAAATTTTCTTATAGCTACTTTTGAACACTAGTCCTTTGTCCCCCCCCCCCCCCCCCCCCCCCCCTCTATATTATTATTATTTCTGTAAGACAACATATTTATATTTAGTCTTAATGCTACTTTCTTAGGGTAGTATAATAGTATTCCTTTATTTATTCAATGGAAATCACATTTAAGTCACTCATGAGTCATGAGACCTACATTTGATTTTAGTTAAAAATCAGGAGTGAGAAATTGCAAACGTGGATCCTGTATAAATGTTGGGCCTTTAATTTGGACTCAAACTCTATTTCATGTCCTCAAGGCCCAAATATTTGGGCCTTAACTTAGGTTTTGGGCTAATTTAATAACTGGGCCTATTTATTTAGTAAGCCCATTATATTACTCTTTGCATTCCAGTCCAGTCTTGGCAGCATATGAATTTAATTTTCAATTTTGTTAAAATAAATTATTTGCAAAGAGAATGGTGTAAGATTGCTTTATTAGACAGGATACAATCAAACCCTAATCCTGACAAATGATATGCAAATAAAATCCACGTGGGCACACCACCCCACCCCCCACTTCACCAATCCCACGACAGATTCGAATATTAGTTGGTATTTTAAATTTAAATACACAAATTAATCCACTGACTATTTTAATGGGATTTATCAATTCAAATTATTTTCAGGGAGCGGCCTGATTTAATTTAAGCAAATATTTCTATCTTTTAACCTTATGAGTATTTATTGGGAATGGTCCCCAGCCTTCATGAGATTTGCAAAACTATGGCCCGTGACATTATTATTCGATTCACGGGAATATATAAATATAATTGTCTATGTCGATATTAAATTAAATAATATAATGCGACAACAGTTGTCTCCCAAATATTAAAAGACAAGAAATTATATTTATAAATATTGGCCTAATTTGAGGGTTTCTTGTATTATCCACCAATGTCCAATTGTCTTTGCTTCAAAGTGGAGTGGGCAGTCTCTGAAGCAACCATTAACCATAGTGACTTCTTATTTGATTTTCCACAAAGCCACACTACATGTTGTAGAGTGGGAATATCTATTTCCCATAAATCCACGTAATGATGAAATTAAATAAATAAACCCTAAAATGATTACCAGTTGAGTTAGTTAAAGATTTGAAATTTTTTTCAACCATATTGAAGTCATGTACGCCTAATTTGTTTGGCAATGGCATCACCAAAAATGAATATTCATACATAAATACATATATCAAGAATACAGTTTAAAGTGGACAATTATTGAGAATTTTCTCTAACTAACACCCTATTTTGCATACCTAAAAAATTCTTTGAATAGGGTCAAGTGGGCTGCAACTATTTCTTGTAATTCTGTAATTTCCATTTTCATTTTTTTTTTTTTTTTTTTTTTTTTAATTTTTACATCCACATGTCTTTATTCTTTAAGCCTAACACTGTACCCAACTCCTCCACATCCTATATTAATGTCTTAATCTCAAACAAGACTCTTACAACCAACTATAACTAAAAGTGTTGTTGCATGGAGCTGCCAAGAAAACCACAGGTAATGAACTTTTCTTTTTTTTTTTTAATTTCCTGCCTTAAATAAATTACCTAGTCATATGTGAATCTGCAGGCAATTCAAGCCATATGTGTTCTTGCTGCCACAATCCTGCTGCTGAGAATAGAATCTGTCGACGGTCGACATCATTACCCGTGGGAGAGCTTCGAGTATTGCGCGATAAGTTGCAGGGCTCACAGTGCTTCCTTGACCGATTTTGGAGGGGTTGGAGATGGAGTGACATCCAATACCAAAGCCTTCAAGGCAGCCATTGATTATCTTGCCCAGTTTGAGGAAGATGGTGGATCCATGTTGTTTGTTCCTCCGGGAAAGTGGCTGACCGGAAGCTTCAATCTCACCAGTCATTTCACTCTCTATCTCCATAAAGATGCTGTTCTCCTTGCTTCTCAGGTTTGAGGATTCGCCGGATCTTGGGATTGATAATCAACCTGGAAATTAAGGCACAAGAATAATGAGCATTCGGTTTCTTGTAGGATGAAAATGAATGGGCTGTAATAGAGCCCCTGCCTTCGTACGGTCGGGGAAGGGATGCATCAGGTGGAAGATACATCAGCCTCATATTTGGCGCCAATCTGACTGATGTAGTTGTAACAGGTAAGAGAGAAGTAACATATTGTGGTGGAGACACGATTGTGTGCTGTGCCGTTTGGGATATTAATTTGAGCTGATTTCCAGGAGACAATGGCACGATCGATGGCCAAGGTGAGTCCTGGTGGAAAAAATTTCGCAAAGGGGAATTACAGTTCACTAGACCTTACCTGATTGAAATCATGTACTCTGAGAACGTCCAGATATCGAACCTAGTCCTGGTTAATTCCCCATCCTGGAATGTCCATCCTGTATACAGCAGGTAATACAATCCCTGATTAAATTCTTGAAGATATATACACATATATATATATATATTTGAAGGAGAAAATATGATGGTTAATTTATGGGATACAGTAATGTCATCGTGCAAGGCCTTACGATACTAGCTCCTGTGACTTCACCAAACACAGACGGGATCAATCCAGGTAGGGCTGAAAGAATAATAATCTGACCTATTATCAGTTGAATAATGTTTTCTAAGCTTAGCTTGGTTTGGATTCTAGATTCTTGCACGAACACTAGGATTGAGGACTGCTACATTGTGTCCGGGGACGATTGCATTGCTGTCAAGAGTGGGTGGGATGAGTATGGAATTTCATTTGGGATGCCAACCAGGCAACTGGTAATCAGAAGGCTCACATGTATCTCTCCAGACAGTGCAGTGATTGCATTAGGAAGTGAGATGTCTGGAGGGATTCAGGATGTTAGAGCTGAAGATATTCTTGCCATCAATTCGGAATCAGGGGTCAGGATCAAGACATCCATTGGCAGGGGAGGGTACGTGAAGGACATATATGTCAGAGGGATGACTATGAAAACTATGAAATGGGTGTTCTGGATGACAGGGAATTATGGTTCTCATCCAGACAACAACTATGATCCTAAGGCTCTTCCGGTGATAAACAATATAAACTATCGTGACATAATTGCTGAGAATGTGACAATGGCAGCTAAGTTAGAGGGAATACAGGGTGATCCGTTCACAGGCATTTGCATATCGAATGTGACAATTGAGCTTGCAAAGAATACCAAGAAATTACCATGGAATTGCACCAATATTGAAGGGTTCTCAAGTGGTGTGGTTCCTCAGCCATGTGGTGCACTTCCAGACAAGGGCCCGGAGTACATTGCAGCCTGTAACTTTCCCACCGATAGCATACCTATTGACAATGTTGAAATCAAGACATGCTCTTACAGAAGGAAGCATTTACTAAACAATCATGTAATGAAACATCTGTAATAGGAAATTGTTCCAAGTGAAAGATGCTAAATTAAATTAATCAGTATATTCAGATGAAAGTGTACCTTCATCTTATCTCCTTCAGCAGCAGGTCTTTAAGTTTCCACACTGTTAGCATTGTCAACTCAAAATTAAAGATAAGTAAACTTTAAAATAAATCGGACAAAAATATTTGACATCCAGTGTGATACAGCTAGCTCCATCGAATAAAAACTGCATTGTATGAGAGTATAGATCAAGAGTCATGGAAAACATAGCATTGTGTTGTTTCTATTGGCCTAATCCAGGTATGAATTACAAACATAATCTCACTCACAGAAATTGATAAGTATGAGCAATATCTCGCATGATAGCAGGATACATTTTTATACAGAAATCATAAGATTTTGGTGAACAATAAATCATGTGAGATGCCATTAATACACATGATTAATTAATGGTATCTGGATTGAAGGCAAGCGACTCTGTCCATATAAGATCCTTGATGTTTTCCTCAGTAATTGAAGGCTGCTCAAAATCAAATTTAAAAGGTCTGGAGCAAATTGGCTCGTCATTGATATCATGGAGAGAGGACAAATATGGATGGCAGAGAGCATTTTCAACTGTATGATCAAGAAAATAAATATTAGCACAATCAAGTTGGAACTCAAGGAGAAAGTCTAAAATTATTGCCCAAAAGAGAGCTGTCATACCAGTTATTCGTTGGTCAGGATCAAAGACAAGCATCTTGCCTAACAAATCCAATGCCAATGGAGACATGCTGGGAAATCTAGCAGAGAAATTTTGTTTGGGAAAAGATGGGAGCTGTTTTACATATCTGCTGGCATTTTCACTTCGTAAAAATTTAAGGCTTGCCTCATCAGGTGTGCCTAATAGCTTCAGAGATGAGAGAAACCATAACTTATGTATTAGATGAATGTAGCTAACATATAGACAGTTTTTGATCATTGAAACAAAATGCAGAAACTGATATTTATAGCCACAAAAGAGTACCTCAGTGATGAGCCTCAGCTGATGAACATAGTCTTTGCCAGGGAATAGAGGTTCTCTGGTCATTATTTCAGCAAAAATACACCCAACAGACCATACATCGATTGCAGCAGTGTATTCCGAACAGTTAAGGAGCAATTCAGGAGCTCGATACCAACGAGTGACTACATATTCAGTCATGAAATCCATTTCAGATGTGGTCCTTGCCAACCCAAAATCTCCAATTTTAAGGTCGCAATTTGAATTCAGAAACAAATTGCTGGGCTTAAGGTCACGATGCAAGACATGTGCTGAGTGCACATATCTCAATCCTCTCAGCAGTTGATACAGGAAGTACTGCAAATAGGAGCATAAGAAAATATATTCATGTTTTTTCATGGAATTGACCTTTATCCTAATTCTTCGGGTAAAAATTTGTAAAGAAAAATCTACGGCTGACTTGCAATGTGGTATAACTCATGAACCATTTAAAAAATCTATGTAGTCTCAGCATAAGGAGAGACCAGACCTGACAATGATCGTCAGTCAGTGCTTGATCGGAGCGGATTATCTGATGCAGATCTGTATCCATCAATTCATAGACTATGTAGACGTCTTTGAAAGTATCCCTGATTGGTGGCCTTATAATATCCTTGATAGCAATAATCTGAGCAAAATACATGGAAACAAATTTTATAAATCTAAACCAAGTAAGTGGTAAAGAATAACACCAGTTGTACAGGATTTCAGGTAGAGCAGAGTAATGAACTTGGCCTACATTCTCGTGATCCAAGTGGCGTAAGAGTTTAATCTCTCTCAATGTCCTTTTGGCATCTATCCTATTATCAAAGGCGCTGCCAATTTTCTTGATGGCAACCTCCTCTTTAGTCTCACTGTTGATAGCAGCACTGCACATAATTTTCAAAGGTAAGCAGTGCAAAACAATTATCCCTACAGGCTCAATCATAGATCAGATACCAGACTACATAAACGCCCATGCCTATTAAGAACAGATAGATTCACCTATCCTAAAGTTTCAGTCACATGAATGAAACACCAATTGCAAAAACATGATGCTTTTCCACTCACAGGTTAAACACAAACCGATTGATCAATTACAAAACAACTTTCACCACGACGGCAATAACATCAACTCATCAAGTAGCATTCACAAAAAAAAAAATTAGTGAAAAATAAACAAATAAAACTCGAACTCGAGCAACAATCATTGGTCTATCTTCAATAATCACTAACCAGACAAGGCCATAGGCGCCACGACCAAGCGGCCGAAGTGGAGGAACGTACTTACTAGGCAACTCAAACAAGTTACCGTACAGACTGTACCGCGCGTATCTACCGCCGTAGGTCGGCACTCCGTTCCCTTTAGACGTGTCGGAACCTGCTTCAGAACCAGAGGTTTTTGCCTGAGCCATTACGAGTTAGAGAGAAAGCAACGGCGGCGAGAGCTAGGCCTTGCTGTGGTCGGAAGCCCCAAACAACTTTTGCACGCGGTTTAAATTTCCAAGAACAAAAGTTTGAACAACCATTTATTTATTCTCGACTTGCGGCTTAATTTAAAGTTTATTTTAAATATATTACTCATTCTTCCATCATAAAAGATTAAGAAGTAGTTATGGTTTAATGTTAAAATAGGCCAGATGAAAATAATAAATAAATAAAAACAAAATTATTATTATTAAATAAAATAGAAATAATATAATTAAAAAGAAGTAAAAATATTTATTATAAATTGAGGATAACAAAAAAATAAAAAATAAAATATTCTTACAAAAAATTAATATTTATTATTGTTTAATATATATTTTTAAATAATATTTTTATTTAAAATTGTGTCGATAAATAATATTGATTTTTATTTGAGGGAAGAAAGTATTTATATATATTCTTAAAATTTTAAATATTATTATTTAATAATTAACTTATTATATAAATACTACCATATTTTTTTTAAGTTAAATTTTTTTTATTTGAATAGAGCTAAAAAAATTTTGGACTTTTCAGTTTATTGTTTGGTTCCATTTATTGCAGATTTGGTGTAAGTTCACCCCAACTCCGAGAATGAGTATAACTATTTGACTCGTTCGGCCACATAAGCGAGCATTCACAAGAAAAATTAATTGATATTGTGACATTATGAATTAGATGCGACACAATCTGTAATCTATATGTATGTTTAATATTTTTTATATAATATTTTTTTTAATATATATTTAGTTTAATGTTTATTTTCAAAAATAAATAAATAAAGAAAATTCAATCCCATCCTACCTACCTCAAAACACACTCCAACTTTCCTCCGTTGCATGTAGAGAAGCAATTGACCAAGAAATGGTCTTCCTTCTGTCAACTTTCCGGTGTGTTTGTCTTGGGGATTGGATTTTGAGTTGGAATTTGAATACTAAAAATTTTGAATTTGAATAGTTGCATGATGTGATATAAATAAGTGTTGATGAGATGTTTTAAATGTAAAATTGATTTTTAATATAATATAAAAAATAAAAAATAGGTGTTTGATTTGATATTTTTGAAAAAAAAAAAAATGGAATGAACAGTGGATTAAAAATCCAATCTCCAAACAAACACACCCTTTATAATATTTCACTACTCATTTTATTATTCTAATTTTTTTTTTCTCTTTAAAAATATAAATTTAAACACTCAATTTTTATTTATTTTATTACACTATAAATTAATTTTATATTCAAAATATAACGTCAACACATATTTATATCACATCAAACAACTATTTCAATTCAAAAATTTTATATTCAAAATCAAAATCTCGTAAGTAAACACACCCCGTAGTGATTTCTTAGATAATATTATCGCGAAATTATATGGTAAAAGAACTCAAAACGAACAGGTTTAGTTCAATGATAAAGCATTAGGAGGAGGAATACTTCCAACCGCTAGCAAATTTAATAAATCGAGTTACCAATACCTTGACTGCGTTGGGATGTAGATTTTTACCAACTCCAATGGCTAGGTTATTCTGTATGCATAAATAACATGAAATGATATAATCTTACATAAAGACTGATGTTGTTGTTATTATAAATCACATTAAATAATATAAATGTTTTTTAGGAGGGAGGGAGGGAGTATTAAATAAAGTAATGCACATGAAAGGGCGGCGGCCGCTAATCACTCTTCCCTTTTCATTTTATTTTTTACTCCATAGTAACAAACAATAAAACAATAATTATGTAACGTGAGTTAAGGGGTGATACTGATTTAATTGAAATTAATATCATATGGGCCTGTGGGCCCACAAAAAACTAGAGAAACGGTCACAACCCCCGATAAAGCTTCGCCGTCCCACATTGATAACGGCCAAACGGTCGTTTCTTATCTCCACCCTCGTCTTCTTCCCCTCCCAACAGTTACTTGTTTCTCCGACATCCCATCGCCGGAATTTCTCCAATCGACAATGCTGGGCGCCGACAATCAGGGCTCCTTCCTCAACCGCTTCAGCATCCGCCGGAATCAATTCTCTCCCTCCGATTCCGTCCACGACCAGGAACTCGAGGACCTGGAGCTCCTCCAGAGACACGTCGCTGATGGATTCTCCGACCTCCTCTCCTCCCTCAATTACCACGACACTTCTTCCACCGCCGCCGCCGCCGAGACTCCGGCGGACGCAGAGGACACATCCGGCCACCCTCCGCCGCCTCCGCCGCCGCCGTTCCTCTCCATCGCCTGGTTCCGGCGACTCCTCGACGTGTTCCTATGCTGCGAGGCCGAGTACAAGGCGATCCTCCTCTCCGGCCGCGACCCGACGCAGTTCTCGAAGCCGCCGCTGGACCGCCTGATCCCGGACCTTCTAGAACGTTCCGTGAAGGCCCTCGACATCTGCAACGCCATCAACCACGGCGTCGACCTGATCCAGCACTGGCAGAAGCTGGCGCAGATCGCCGTCGCGGCGCTGCGCCAAGCTCCGCTCGGCGACGGCCAGGTCCGCCGCGCCCGGAAAGCTCTGACGACGCTGCTGTCATCAATGGCGTTCGACGACAAGGAGAACACCAGCAGCAACTTCCACGTCCGGTGGACGGAGCGCACCCGCTCCTTCGGCCGCCGCGTCGGAATCACCAAAGACCGCGCTCCGGCAAACTTCCGGTCGCTGTCGTGGTCCGTCGCCAAATCCTGGTCGGCGGCGAAGCAGATCCAGACCATGTCGTCCAATCTCGCGGCGCCACGTGGCAACGAGGCGACCGGTCCGGCGATGCCGGTCTACATCATGAACACGATTCTCGTTTTCGTGATGTGGGCCATTGTTGCGGCGATTCCCTGCCAGGAGCGGAACGGGCTGTCGGCCCATTTACAGGTCCCTCGGAATTTGGGCTGGGCCCAGCCCATAATCGGGCTGCAGGAGAAGATCGGCGATGACTGGAAGAAGAAGGAGAAGAAAGGGACTTCGGGCCTACTGGAGGAGCTGCAGAGGATGGAGAAATTGGCCCATTCTCTGGTGGAATTTGCGGACGGGTTCGTGTTTCCGGCGGAGGAGGAGAAGGCGACGGAGGTGGAGGCGATGACGGCGGAGATGGCGGAGGTCTGCCGGAGGATGGAGGAGGGGCTGGGACCCCTGCAGCAGCAGGTGAGGGAAGTGTTCCATAGGATAGTGAGGAGCAGAGCAGAGATTCTTGAAGTTGTCGATCAAGTTAGCAAAATGTCCACGCCAGTTCCATATTAATATTAATATTAATATAATATAATATAATATATAGGTCATACTTAGAAATTAGAATGATTTAATTTAGTACAAAATTTTGGGTGATGGGAGTTTTAGTTTGAATGAGAGATGGAATGTTAGTAAATAGCTAGTTAAGTAGTTCGTTTCTTTGTACAAACTATTTTTCAAATACTAATTTTTTTGTTATTATATTTTCTTTATTTGTCAAAATTATATTATTATTATTATTATTATTATAAATAATAATTAATTTATCAATAAAATGTTTCTTTATTATCAAATATTTAATAAATATTTTATAATACTTTTGATTTATAATTTATTTACCATATTTTTATATAAAATATTACTATTTTTAAATTACTTTTATGCCTAAACAAATTTATATAATTTTGGCGAACAATGAAATATTAAATGTTAATTTATATTGTATAAAAAAATAATATCTATATCATAATTTAAATATTTTACTATTGCAAAATCTCAAACTCACCCTTAAACACCCGTCAAACAACTCCCAATATTTATATACTTACAAGTTAATGATGTGTTTGCTTTGTATTTTTAAATAAGGATGTTGCAAGAATTAATAGATGAGTTAATGATGTAAAAAAAAAAGGAATTGAATAAATTAAGTTGTTAAAAATGTAATTATCATTATTGTTGGGAATATAATTTTGACATGATACTCCAATTAATTAACAAAATTAGTAGATTAGCCTATAATTTTGTATGTAACAATAATTATTATAATCATTAGTATTATTATTTAAATCATCAATACATCCACAAATATCAAATAAAACTAGTAACAATATATGGTTTGGAATGACGTTTCTGATTAATCCCATTTTGATATCAAATCAAAAAAGGAGCAAAAAAACCAATTAACATCACTCCAATACCCAAAAAAAAAAAAAAAAAAAAATTGAAAACTAAAAACAAACAAACATATATATATAATCAATCAAATTAATTCCTGGCCCGGACAAGCGGCGACGACATCGGAGAATGCGGCGACAACGATGACATCATCATCTCATCCTTGAGCCGCCGGAACGACAAGCTGATCTCAAGCTTCCCGCCGCGCCGCCACTGCTTCTTCCTCGCAATATCAATCTCAATCTCCCTCCGCCGCGCCACGAAGGCGTTGATCCTCTCCAGCGCCACCATCGCCGTCGCGTCGTCCATATTCGCAAAGCACACTCGGAACCACCCCGGCTCGGCGCAGTGGAACGACGCGCCGGGCGACACATTCAGCTTGACCTCGTGGATGATCACGTGCCAAAGCTCCAGCTCAGCATCAAACGTGGCACTCTTCAGCAGCTTCCTCAAATCCATCCAGCAGTACAGCCCGGCGTTTCCCGGCAGACTCCCGACGCCGACGGCCGCCAGCCCCTCCGCCACCATCGCCCGGCGCCGCCCCAGCCGCCGGGCGCTCTCCGCCAGAAAACCCTCCACGAACGCCTCGTCCGACAGCATCGCCGCCACCAGCCGCTGCGTCTGCGTCGAGACCAGACCGAAGCTCGACATTTTCCGGGCACAGGCGACGACGGCGTCGTTGTAAGAGTAGATAATTCCGACGCGGAATCCGGGGAATCCGAGGTCTTTCGACAGGCTGTAGATAATGTGGATAAGGTCGAGGTTGTAATGGCAATCGCCGGCGCCGGCGATTGCGTCTTGCACGATTTCGGCGATGCTGACGAAGCCGGGGCGTTTGAAGACGGTGGCGGAGTAAATCTCGTCGCAGATTAGGTGGATGTTTTTGTCGTTAGCGAAGTTTAAGGATTCGATTAGGGTTTCCCTGTCGAGGACAGTGCCCAAGGGATTGGAGGGGTTGTTGAGGAGCAGACCTTTGACTCTAATGTCTGACTTTTTGGCGGCGGCGAAAGCCGATTCGAGAGCCTGTCGGGTGAGCTTGAAGTCGTCGGAGCTGTGGCACTCGACGGGGACGAGTTTAAGCCCGGTCCGCCATGTCAGGTCTCGGTCGTTCCTGTAAGATGAAAGAAAATGGTGATTGACTTTTCAGGCATTGACTTTGACTTGAGTTGACTATCAAGAAAGAATGGATAGAGCCACTGACCCTGGGTAGTACGGCGTGGGTACGAGAAGGGCCTCGCCGGGGTCAGCGAGGCAGAAGGCTAAGGTTTCTTGGGCTCCGGTTGCGCCGCCACTCATAACTATGCGGGTCGGGTCGAACCGAACCCGGTCTCCCCTCACTTTCTCCATGAATCTGGCGACTGCCTGTAGCAATTCCGACATCGATCGGATCGGATTAGTTATTACAGTAGTATTGATTAATGCAGTAGGTAGGGAGGTAGGTAGGGTAGGTACCTGTGTGAATTGTTGTAGGCCATGGTAGTCTTGGAAGAGGGCAGTGTCTTTGAAGTGGTGGAGTCCCTCGGGACTGCAAATTGAGGCCTGGGGATTCTCCGAAACCCATTTTTCGACCAAATCCAACGACAGCTGCACAAAAACCAACACGTCATCATCATCATCATCATCCAATCAATTAATTAATTAATTAATCTAATCCATTAATTGGTTATGTAGTTACCTGGTTTTCTGCTAAGCCCATCTGAATAACCCCGTGAGGATTGTTGGTGGGGTGGTAGGGATCGCTATCGTAGGCCTTCCACCCATCGAAGAAAGACGAGTTCTCGCCATGTCCGTCGCCACAAGCTATTCTAGACAGCAACTGCATCTGCTCCATTATATTATTAATCTATATGTACGTATGTTTGTACGTATATCCCAAAGTCAGTGAGTGAGTGAGTGATTCAGAGAAGAAGATCCGAGAAGGATGAACGAATGAATGGAATTAAGAATAGAAGAAATGAAGCAGCAGAGGATTTGCAATAAATGAAGAAGTTATTTACGTAATGAATTGAATTGTGGTAAGGGGGTGTGTGTGAGTTCGTGCTTATATATAGGTGTAGCAGTAGCATTAGGATGTTTACGTAGGTAGGAAGGACTACACGTGAATGAAGCTTCCTATGAAATGAAGGGCATACTAACTAACGTAGAGGAAGACCATACTGGTTACTTTACTACGGCCTGGAAAACAGAATTATACGTACGTACGTATAATCCAAATCAAATTTAACTATAACCATATATATATATATATATATAATTCCCTTTTTCAATCTTTGACAGGCGGCTTTCAACGCATTCATAATTTCTACTTGACGACAAGTCCTAAACCTTACGCACCCTGCCTGCCAATAATAAAAATAAATTCTATTTCCTTTCTATCCATCGTAACTATGCTCATTTTATTTGCAAGTTACAAAAGTAAAAATAAATAAGCACATTTTTTGTGGACATATAGAGAGAAAGTAATAAATATATTTGGGGTCAGGTAATTTTAATCCAAGAGGTGCAGTGAGCAGCAAGCAAGCATGCATGCAGTTTGTTGAAGCTTAATAATAGTACTCCATTATTTATTCCATAGGTTTTGCAGTTCAGGTTGACCACCAATACAATACAATACATATACTTCCATTTCATTTCATTATATATTTGGAAGTTGCCCATTAATAAAATCAATTCAGGCATGCATCTGGAAGTTTCAGCTCTATCAGATTAGTCCAATGCAATTCAGTCTGGTCTCATCAGACGCTGATCGATGCTGATGTGCTGTTTTTGAAACTTTAAGAACACTAGAGCTAATTAATTAAATTAGAACAGGACAAAAAGTGGTTGGCATAACAACAAGAAATTGATTAAATTAGAATAAGAATATAGAGGAACAAGAATCCATAGCAGTAATTTTTGTTCATCGTCAAAAACAGGCCAAGGCCAAGGAAAGCAGCGACCACTCTATCAATAATAATTAATAAAAAGTGTAATTTACTGACTGATAAATAGTTGGGCAAGACTAACACATATATAGAAGCCCACGTGGGTGCAAATAGTATAAATAATGATGCTTGAATGTAATCGATACATACATACATTATTTTCTTGAGTCAAAAGAACAGACAATGGAAATCTTTGAAAAGTCCACTAAACTTTAGACAATGTCAGTCAAATTTTCGGATTTTAACTTTCTGTTTTTTTAGATCGGTCAACTGCAGACATGATGAGTCTTGATTTGTCACCTTAATTCTTTCTCTCTAATCTCTTAATTGTGTTTGTTTTAGGTGTGGTGGTTGGATTGTTGTAAATATATATAATAGCATAAATAATAACTAAACAAATAAACATTACATATAACTTCTAAACAAAAATATTTCTTATTATTATTATTATTGAATGACGTAAGCAACCGTTCAAATTGGGAGCGCAATATGACACTGGTGCATATGCAAGATTACGTTTTAAACGCCAAATAGATAAAATCGTGTATATCAGAATGAGAACGCATTCGAGTCCAACACGACTTTGTGTATGGACTTATAGTTTGAACAGAAATTTCTATTCGAATCCAAAAAATTAAAATCTCACTAACAAATGTTTGACGAACACAACTGAAACAAAAGACTAGCCTCCTATTTTAGTGGTGAAAGACAAAGAGAAAACAAAATTTTCTTTGACTAGGTTAACTTGAGGCCTAAGGAAGAGAAGAAACAAAAATAAAAATCAAAACTTAAATGCCTATTTCATGGAAGGGGTTTATGGCAGCTAATTTCACAGGTTTATCAAAACTTGACATGTTTATAATAAGCTCCACGTGCATAATCTCAATCATATATATATATTTAGGTTGCATAAGAAGAAAATATAGAGCAGCCACAAAACCCATTCTTACAAATATGCTAGATATGCCTGTTTCACAAAATAATTAATAGCAAATCGAAATATTTTATTGATCGCGTGCACCGCCAAGAAAAGTGATCGGTCTCATTTAAAATTAGGGTACATTAAAGATATAATTTACTTACGCATGAGGAGAACAACTGTGTGGGCAGCAATGCTCCTATTCTCTCCAAGGCTGTCGACCTTTTCATGAGTTTTTGCTTTGAGGTTTACAACAGAAGGATCTGCCCCGAGCAACAGGCATAGATTGGACCTTATAGTCTCTTTGTGGGGGCTCAGCTTCGGTCTTTGGAGAATCAATGTTGCATCTAAGTTTCCTAGTTCATAACCTGCCTCGTGCATTAGACGAACCTGATGCAATGATATGTAGCAAATTGCTGGATAAATTAGACTTAGGATCACCGGCTGGTTTCAAGAATAGCATAGCTAGTTGATTTCTACTGCAGTTTTATATAAATAGCAAAACAGAACTACAGGCTACAATAACATGTGGGTGGGTGGATGTACTCTGATGTGTATCTATTAACAGAGAAACATTTTTAAAAGAGTCCAAACATAGAGTTACAAGTGAATAAACAATAATGATAAAGTAGGTATGATTTATTTACAGGATCATATGTAATGAAGCAAAAAGTGACTATCCACTAGTCATTCTTATTCATCCTTCTTCTAGACTATCTTCTCTAATTTTGCTCAGATTGGACTACAGTACAGCAACAAATTCAGGTTCAACTTCATCAAGAACTTTGTTAATTCAACTGTCTTACATTTAAATCTAGATCCTGCCATGAATTATTGCTCTCGGAATAATATTCAGTGCATTTGATTGACTAGACAGAGAATTCTATTTATGCCACAAACATCACCCATTAAACTAATTAACACGCAGACAAGAAATACTTTCATATGAGGATTGGGAGTCTAAAGATATTTCTGTTATTTATATATTGATGAAACATTGTGCCCCAAGAGAGGACTTGTAGATGTAGAACCATGCGTTCCATTTCATTTCCAATGCTTGAGGCAAATTTAAAAATTTCTATCAAATCGTGATTATGCAGAGATTATTATTATTACAAGAATTAGTTATATTGAAATTTGGTGAATAAATTTCCACTACAACATGTACATAGGAGGTCTCTGCACTTCAACTTTCAACACTGATTTGAAATATAAACATGCCATCAACATTTTAAAATGCAGAATAAAACTCTATAGAAAATAATAGGTTGTTATATTTAGAATTGATCGGTCCACAAACCTTAATTTTCTATATTAAATCAACTTAAGGATCTTTCCGCTTTTTAGCAATTCATCTTTCATCATGGCAACAGATATAGTAGTTCTACATTACAAACAAGAATAGCTGAGGCTGTCCCCAACATCAGGCACAACCAAATTTGAATGTTTTTACTCTATTAATTTCTCAAATAAACAAATACTATCATTTTTTTCATAGCAAACAAGTTCCGCATAGGTATAGCAAGTAAATCTTTGTGGCAGTAAATATATGCAAAACCTGCTACAATCATAGCATATATAATTAGGGCTTGAAAGGAAATCAAGTAAAGGTATCCCAAGTGTTACATCCCCAATAAAATATATCAGAGAATCACTCACAGCTTCTTTTATAAAAACAGATGATGGTGCGCCTTTCCATTTAGGATCCGTGTCCGGAAATATCTGACCAATGTCTGGAAGCCCAAGTGCACCTAATATCGCGTCAACTACACAGTGCAGCAACACATCGCCTGCAATACGAGGAACATATCTAATCAAAGCATTACTGAAACTAAGGTCAAGGATTAACTTGATATTAGATTAAATGACAGTTAAAATCGATAAAACCTTACAACCAACATGTTTCAACACACTTGAACTATATAGGCATCAAATTACCATCGGAGTGAGCTTCGCAGCCTCGATCATGAGGAATATTAATTCCACCGATTATCAGAGGGTACCCAGGCTCCAGCCTGTGCAGATCGAAGCCGTGGCCGACGCGAAAGGGTAGCGCCTTCGAGGAAGAGGCAGTTGGCGTCTTCGGCTCTGCTTCAACTGCACTGGTTGCCGCAGCCACAACTGGTGGCGACGACAACGACGAAGGTCTCGCCGTGATTTTAATCCGAGGAAGCGCGCGTCCACCAACATCCGGTCCAATTAGTTGGACCGATGCCCGCTTTCCGACGCATGAATTAGCAAGCGGAGCAGCATAACAGAGGGTAGAAGAAGAAGAAGTGGAAATCGCCGCCATTCTGGATCACTTCTGGTCTACTGCTCGACTGGTTGCTCCGAGTGCTCGTGGACCGCGTGCCTTCAATCGTTTTGGAAACTGCAGTGACATTTTAAAATATTTAATTAATTTGAACCAGATAAAATTAAAATATGTTTTTAATTCTATTATGGCCGTACGATCGAAATATGATCCAACGGTGGAGCATCAGTCAATTCGCTACACCTATTAATTTGGGAGGAGAGCGGTTGCGTTAAGGCAACCGTAGATCTAAATAAAGCGAAATCTTGACCGTTGATTTAATCGCTGAGCCATACCCTCGTATTCTAGGGTTTAAGCCTGTCCGCTGCTCTGTCAACTCCTCGCCCCACCGTCTCTCTTTTGCTGCATCGATCAAGCGATTGTGAGGGTGAATTGCGAAGAGAACGATGGCGGCACCCGAGGCTCCTGTCCGCTACGTGGGAGTTGATCGGAATTCCGCAGCTTTCCGCCTCATGAAGCAAATGGTAATGCTTTATTACTCGCCGTTAATTGGTTTATTTCTTATTATGTATTTCGGTGTGCGCGTGGTTAACTATAATTGGGAAAGTATGCATGCAATTGCACATTGATTTGTTGTAGTCTGTTCTCTTGTCATCTTAAAGCATGAATTTTGTGTACGTTCCAACTCTACGGGAAGTATTTATTAGTTTCGTTCAAGTGTCAATGACTGTCTTTCCATTTGAAATTCTGCTCAGGGATGGGAAGAAGGAGAAGGACTTGGTAAAGAGAAGCAAGGCATTAAAGGATATGTGAGGGTGCAGAATAAACAGGATACTCTAGGTTGCCTTCTGATTTTCACCACACTCATCTTGTTTTAGTGATGCAGAGTTTCATTGGGTTTATTTTGCTGTTCTGTTTATTTAAATTCAATAATGGAGATTTTTTTGGCTTTTGCATACAGGTATAGGCACAGAGAAGCCAAATGCTTGGGCATTTGATACGGCACAATTCGATAATATCCTTAAGAAATTAAAAGTGGTACAATTGAAATCTTCCCTCTTTCATGTTTTTCTGCCTTTTCTTCTCAATTCCATGGTTGAATTTAAGGGTGGCTTTGGATAATTTTGCAGCAAGCGCCTGAGGCCAACATAGATGGAGGTAGATTCAAGTTCAATGAAATTTGGCTTGTTACCAGTTAACACAATAACGTATAGGAGGTCTGATGTTGATTTTATTTTACAGACAATGGGGAAGATGAAAAAAAAGAAGCTAAAACCCTTAACTCCCCTTCTAAGAATGATGTAGACGCAGTTGTCAAAGTTACTCGGCCACAAGGAAGGTAAGTATATGATGTGCATTGATGGTTTAGAGCTTTTAAACTAATAAAGCAACCATTTGAACTACACAGTGTATGAATTTGATATTGGCCATGCAGGTATAAGAGAAGAGAGAAGGGGAAGCATGTGCGAGCGTATTCATCACAGGATCTAGAAGGAATCCTTGTAAGTTGGTTTCAATTCTGTTTCCATCATTCACAAGTAACAAAATGCTTTATTTGGTTTATATGTATATATATATGTATAATGATCATGACATATTTCTAGAAAAATTGTCGCCTTCAAAACTTATGGCATAATGTTGGCTGTTGTTAGTGTTAAAATTTTGCTGGTGCTTTGCTTAAAAATTGTATTGGAATTTGAGGAGACTCATTATATGCTTATTGGCTGTCGACGATTCAGTTGCAACAAATAAGGTGTCTGGTTAATGATGGGTCTTCATTATAACAGTTAACTCAGAGCACATCATTAGTTGACTCCATGGTGTCCAGTTAATGATTAGATGGTATTCCCATCTTCAATTCTGTTGCCCATATTCCATGGTTCTAGAAGCCTTCTTTTGGATCCATTAAAGAATATCTTCTATAAGTTGTATTATATTTGTCCTTTTTCTTTTTATCTTGGACACACTAAAGTTTGTAATTCTTCCAGGTAAATAGAGCTAAGTCTCCCGAGATTAGCTATGCCAAGGAAAGCTCTGAAGATGCAAAACCAGCTGAAATACATTTTCCTGACATTGAAGGTGACTTCTTATTCTTATTTTGTTGGACAGTAAAATTGCTGCAGTAATTTTTTTGTACTCTTGTTACTACTGATGTTCCATGCAACATTATCAGCACCTGCAGATTCTGACATGCATTTATATTCATGCGCAAGCTTCCCAAATTTCTCTCATCTCATGCTGGAACTAATTTATTATGCAATGTACCAACTAACAGAAATAGTTCAAGACATCCCAGCAGAGTGGTGGGGATACAAACATGGATTTGTTGTTGGAGGCATTCTTGGTGCTGAAGCTAAAAGAAAGAATGCCATCTTGTCTGGAACTAGTCAAAATGCTGACAAGAGAAGGACATTCAATGAGGAGGACCAAGAAAATCTCTACAAACTTGTTCAGGTATATTCACTGCTCACTGTCTCTCTATATTCTTGGATAAAGTGTTCAATCATTCCTGGAAGTGCTCTTTGCCTTGTTAGCTGGTTTGTTATCGCATAGAATGAGGCCTGATGCACTGTAAAGCTTAAAAGTAAAATGGCTTTTGAGTTTTCACTTCTATTTTGGCTAGTGCTCCACAGGGCCACTCTCTGTAAAGTTGAACTAACAGATGATTACTATTAACGAGATGTGTTGTCTCATATGAAATATAGTTGAATGTTGAGGCAGGAATGAACATTCCGTAGTATGTACTTTCTTTCAGGACAAGGCCACATCTGGAAAACAAGGACTTGGTATAAAGGATCGTCCGAAAAAGGTTGCTGGCTGCTATTTTGAAGGGAAAAAGACTACTTTTGGCGAGAGTGATGGCGAGGACTCTTATTCACAGTCTACACGGAAAAGGAAACACAATGAAAATTCAGAGGCAGACAATGGGCCGAGGCCAAAGTTTAAGAAATTGTGTAGGCAGCTTCTTCGGAAGGTATTTTACTTTATGTCTAGACACTAGTATTTGTCTAGTCTGCTATCATCTTTCACTGACTCGATACTTGCTGCAGGTACCTGGGGAGGCATTGAAGATCAAGCAGCTGAAGCAACTTGTGGATGAACACTCACCTTCTACATTTTCAAATCTTTCTTCTGAGGAGGCGATTGCATTTTTAAAGCACAAGGTACACATACTCTAATGCTATAATCACTCACCACATATGAAATCAAGTAGCAAATTTTTTAATGCCTGTTAATTTATAATGGTTTACAATATTTTTCTGCAGCTTGAAAACAGTGACCGGTTTTCTGTCAAGGGCAAGAAAGTAATACTCTCAAAAAGAAAATGACAGAATCATTCAGGTACTTAAAAACCTGCATTACCATTGGGGTTGAATGATTCTGTCATTTTCTTATATATTTTTAATTTTCAGAGAGCGCGAGCACTTTTAAAGAGTCATTCTTGCAGGATGTCCCATTTTTGAGGTCTGGCAGTAGGCAATTTCTTATTTTTCATCTTAATCATAATTTAAACTGTCAAAACAGGTGAAGGGTAATAGGTGGTTGAGTATAGCTCACGGTTTGTTATTTTGGCAAGGTTATTAATCTGAGATGGAATATGATTATGTATCAACCATAGTAATAAAGTAGTGAAAATATATACCTCTTCCCATATCATTCCTTGTTGTAAGAATCCCCCTATTAAACATTGTTTATTTTTTATGGGATAGTTTGTATTGCTCTATATTGATCGGTATGAGATTAGATTAAATTCTTTGGTAACGGTGAATAATAAATATCATCAACTTGCTTGACAAAATATTGCTGTGACTGCGTATGTATGTTTTATTGGACCTAGTGGCATAATTTTCACAAATGAATATGGTTACTTTCAATTAATATTAGTGTAAAATATTTAGCAAAAGAAACCAGCATGATGGAAGGGCATATGATAGCCTAAGTTATGTATGTGTGTGTGCATTATTGTAATGGCATCGCTGTCCGTAGCTTTAGCTTTCGTGGGCTCGAAGATTTTTCTTTATATTTGTGAGGTTTTTTTCCGTTACACTCTCTATTCATGTCTACATGCCATGTATACGAGCATGGATATACGTATGTTCATTTCGAGGATTTGTAGTGTAGTGTAGTGTAGTGTAGAGTAGTGCATTGATACCTACATTGGACAGCCTTAATATATCCGAAGAAACACGTTATTATACAGTTAACTACATGATTTTCCATGTGTTGGTGTTGCTAAAATGATATGCTTTTTTCGGCTGTACTTTTTGGAGCATTTTTATTTTATTTTTTGGCCCTATATCTAAGCCATCCATCTAATCTTTTGATGAACTATTCTAGTTTAATATATTTGTGTAGTTTAGTTTTCGTTGTTTTTTTGTTTTTAAGGTGAAATAAATGTTTAATATGATATTTATAAGATAAAATAATATATATAGTTTTTTATTGAAAACAAATTTAAGATAAAAATTATTTGTACTGAACTGTGGGTTTGTATTTAGGTTTTGGTTAGAAAAATTATATTTTTATGAGGGGAAACAAACCATTGCCTTTTAGATTGAGAAAAAAATACTCCCTCCCTCCCATAGGAGGGATATAATTAGTAGATAATTAAAAATGTATTAGTAAAAATAATTATCTGATAATATAAATAATTATAAATTAAAATTAAGATAACTAATTAGTTTAATTAAATTTTTTAAAAAAAATTAGAAAGTTTAAAATGATATTAAAGTGTGATTATTTTTTAAAAAATGAAAGTGACTATGTGGGACGGACAGAAACGACAACGTGGACATGATATGTAGGACGAAGGGAGTAATAAATAATTCGGATATATAATATATTGTTTTTGAAGGCTAGTTAGGCATTTTATGGTGCTATTTATTTTCGTTGTTGAATTAATCAATTGTTAGATTTATATATGAATGCAGGAGCATAGGCAGGCAGAGATATATTCAAAGCATTTTAAATCATAAAATTAAGTTTCATATCGAGAGTATAATAAAACTCGATTATATTTTGAAACTCAATTTTGTTAATCAAATACAATCACGTGGAAAGCACACTATAGTTTCAAGTAGAATAAAGTGTCCAGTTCAATAAATAAAAAGAAGAGAAAAAAAGAAAAAAAGGGTTTGTTCGGTTTTGATTTGATATTATAGAGTTTTTTTATTTAAAAACTATTTTGATACCATATTTGGTAGAAAAAATAATAATATTAGGATATAAACAGTAGTTTTTGATACTTTTGTGTAAATATTATTTATTTTTTGACATTTGTGTTATAATTTAATGTAATAGTATTGATGTAAATAAATGTAAATTTATATATATTTATAACAGTAAATATGGTTAAATTTATTTAAAAAAAGAAACAAGAAATATATACTTGTCAGTTGTCGACAACAAAAATGACATAATATATACATATACGTTACAACGGGACGATAAAATATAAGTTGTAAAATTAAGTTTGTTTTTGTTTTTTAAATAAATACAACTACTTTTTATACATTATATACTATCATTATTTATTAAATTTAATGAATATTGTTGCGATTGATTAAAGTTAATAATAGAATAACAAACAAAATAAGTAAAGAAGATACAAATTTACATGATTCTGTGTTGGCTAAATCTCTTTAAATAAATCAAAATAATACATCAGACGAGCTCAACCTAATACGAACTCAAAATTCCGTGAAAACTCAGCAAACTAGATTTAAAGACATCAATATATATATATAAATTTCATGAATATATAAAAATATACATTTAAACTAAATGGAGGGAGTATGTTACATAAGTAGTGCAACAAAGTAAATTATTCGGCCATCTCTAACGGGACTGCAATTTTGACGTTGCAACCCCATAAATGGAGTTCTTAGCCTCCAACCGAGCGCTATTTTTTACACCAAAAATGGTGTTTGCTACAGTGCAACACCATTTTTGGGTTGTACCGTAGCAACGCCATTTTTATGGTGTTGTGTTTTCTTTTTTTTTAATTAAATTTATATATTGATTAATTTATTTATTTTTTTTAATTTTTTAAAAAGAAAATATTAATTATAGATATAAAAAGTGGATTAAAATACTCCCTCCGTCCAAGCTAAAAGTATACAATTATTTTTGGCGTGGGTAGGTAAAAATAGTAAAATGACATTTTTGCCCTTATTTTTTTGGTATAAAAGTAATGATGTGATGTAAAATAGGGGTATTTGTGGAAAAAATAGGGTATTTAATGAAATGATTACTTTGTAATTGGACGTCCCAAAATAGAAATATGTATACTTTTTAACTGGACGGAGGGAGTAATATATAAGATGGAATATCTGAAGAAGAATATTACTTTTGGAATAAAAAATAAAATTGGAAGTTAAGATAGAATTATTGTAGCACCTGCATGTTTAGAGTTATAACTAGATTGCCCGGTTGAAGATGGCCTTAGGCATGGAAAACTGAGAATGGTCCATCCCATCCCATACAGAATAATAAAGAGTAAAAAGTCTATTCTGCTACAAATCCTACACTACGCTACACTACACGTGGCTCTTATTATTTATTTCTTTAATTATTCCTTTATTCTATTCCCAACTTGCACCACATTTTATAATACTACTATAATTAATATATATACATCAATTTAGATATTTTTTTCTAGGATATGCATTTTTTTCAAGGGACCTATATCATTAGGAGAGTAGGATGACTAGGTAGGTATGTAGGTTAGTAGGGAGCCCCTCGCACCATACTACTAGTGGTATACAACATATGTATGTATGGACACATTCATAATATAACCAACTTGCACACTACCCACTATCCTTTTATATTAAAAATATATATTAAATTTTAATATAAAATCTTTAGTAAAAAAAAAATAAAAAATTTGAAATACAAACATGGACCCCTAAGAAAATGCAACATTTTGTTATGTAATACCCAAATGGGAGATTCATTTTAAATAAATCAAATCAAGATATTTTATTTAGCCAATAGGATAAGATATATTTATGAAATGAGGTTTTAGCACTTTAATGGGGAGAGGGAGGAATCGTCAAAATTATGCCAAATATAGATATAGCTTAGGTATATTTTAAATATTATATATATATATCAGTATATTTAAAGCTATGTTTATAATTACTCCATCCGTCATTCAAAAATATTTAAAGTTATACTCCCTTCGTCCATGGATAAAGTATACATTTACTTTTGGTGCGAAAAATTTAAGAAATAATACTCCCTCCGTCCATAAAAAAAAGTATACAATTACTTTTGACGAGGTGTTTAAGAAATAATAGTATTTTATATATAGTGGGTAGTTAAAAGTAGTGTAATGACATTTTTGCCCTTGCTTTTTGGTGTAAAAGTAATGATGTGATGTAAAATAGGGGTATTTGTGGAAAAAAATAAGGTATTTAATGAAATGTTTACTTTGTAATTTGACGTCCCAAAATAGAAACATGTATATTTTCTAGCTGGACGGAGAGAGTAGTATTTTAATTATAGTGGGTAGGTAAAAGTAGTGTAATGACATTTTTGCCCTTTCTTTTTGGTATAAAAGTAATTATGTGATGTAAAGTAAGAGTATTTGTATAAAAAAAAAAAGGGTATTTAATTAAATGGTTACTTTGTAATTGGATGTCCCAAAATAAAAATATATATACTTTGTAGCTGGACGGATGGAGTATCATTTTTCTTTTTGGTTGTTATTGAAAAATATTTTCAATTTTTTTTAAGTAAAAAATTATTAAAACTCGTGCCCAGTCAAATGAATATATATATATATATCAAATTGCAAATGTATACGTACATATACATACACATGTGTAAACAAATATATTTGAGATGTCTTCGAGAATGGGGCAAATTTAATAAGCTAATAAGACTGATAATAACGTGTTTAATTTATAAAAATTGCGTAACTACACACTGATTATTAACATCTCACATGAAAATTTCATTTTATGTAAGTGGGATTTTATTTTATTTTATTTTTTATTGGCCACGTGGATTGCTTAATTTCGAAATGTTGGTAATATGGCTTATGTTGTTTTTATCATTAGCTTAATTTGTATATGAGATATGTTGTGATTTCCTAAATTGAATAACTTTTTTGTTCATGTATTTATTTGTTGTGTATACTCGTCATACAATATATATTATTTATTGAAAAATATATTATTTTTATTTGCAGATATCACATTCAATTACTATTAAAACAAAATTAAATTTTAAAACGAGATATATACTGAGTTAGTGTTCGTACAATCATTTTATATATACATATATTGTTAAAGGAGTAGATTAATTTAAAATAACTCACTATATAAAATAGTATTGATTTAAAGTATGTATGATACCCTAAATTTTTGTAAGCATGGGATACAATAAAAAAAAAATAATATATATATATATACAATATTTTTATTAAGTAAAAATATATTAGTATTATTATTATTATAACAAGAATTAGTACTAGTTGTAAGAATGCATCTGTAATGCATACGTGAAGGTGACAGAAGCACATCTCTGCTTGTGTAATAAAAAATAAAAATAATTAAAATCTGTCTGACAGCTAGCTATTTGCTCCGGCCAGTCTTGATCAGTCCAAGTTTGTGTCGATCAGATCGTACGTATATAATATACTCCATATACATATATCGTGGTCAACGACGAGAGCTCTAAAACGCGATTTATTTTATTTATTTAACAATTAGTTTAAAAGCGTGTCTATAGACTTTTCCCATATGGGCTGGGGTGGGATGGGATGGGATGGGATGCCCCACCCCCACCCCCCTTTGACATTAGCGTAAAGTCAACCCCCAATCCAGAAATTGTAAGGGCTCTTTATATATATATATATAAGAACATCCCATCGATTCGTCACTCTTTCATAACTCTTTCATTTGCCAATTCAGTCTGAGTCAAAACCGCTCCTAATTAATCAAGTTTTTCTTCTTTAGATATATATTTTTTCTACCTCTAATTATATATATATATATATATATATCGATAATGGCTGGTGCTGCAGAGATGGTGGAAGATTGGAGTTTGCAGGCTATAGTGAGGGGGTCGAGCGGAGACTTCACGAGGATCGTTGATGTGGAGATGGACGGCCACGATTCGTTTCATCATCATCGTCATCTTCTTCTTGATGATCAGCATGAAGGTCGTGTATGCGATGGAGGCTTTCATAATAATAATAATAATAATATAGTGGACGAATTAGAAGAGCTTTACAAGCCGTTTCTGAGCAGCAATTGTTCCGACCGGGCGGTTCACCTCCCGGTTCGGACCGTCCTCCACTTCCAAGACCATAATGTCTCCTCCGCCGCCGCCGCCGGAGATCACCACAACCAACCGCCGGGGCCACCTGTTCTGCAGCAATCGCCGATTAGAGCTCCCTATTCACCAAAATACAAGAGAAGGTCAGTCTGTCAAATCATTTATTTAATTAATTAATGGTTTAATTTGGTAAAATATTAACGAATGAATTTTTATGTACAGGAAGAATCAGCAGAAGAGAGTGGTGATTCAGGTGTCTGCAGAGGGGCTGAGCTCGGACATGTGGGCATGGCGGAAGTACGGACAAAAGCCCATAAAAGGGTCGCCCTATCCTCGATCGTATTACAGATGCAGCAGCTCAAAAGGGTGCCTGGCAAGAAAGCAGGTGGAGCAAAGCTGCACAGATCCCGGAATGTTCATCCTCACCTACACCGGCGACCACAGCCACACTCAGCCCACTCGCCGGAACTCCCTCGCCGGAACTGTCCGCCAGAAATTCCCAAATAATAATAATAATAATAATTCTAACAAGCCATCATCCTCGTCGTCGTCGTCTTCTCTCCTCCTCAAACAAAATAATAATAAGAAGAAGAAATCCCCAAACAGCAACACCACTATCACTACAACTAAGCTGCTGGTTCATCCAATATCATCAAGAACTAAAGAGGAGGAAGAAGATGATCATGAATTTATGGATCAGAAAAAGGATGCAGTAAAGATGGTGATGCCTGCAGAATTATTGTTAGAAGAAGAAGATCAGTTTGAATTCGGATTGGACGAGGATTTCTTTTCAGGTTTGGAAGAGTTTAATGACTTTATTATTATGTCGGATCTGTCTTCTTCTTCTTCGTCTTCTCCAAATCTTGATCATCAAGAATGTCACGCTCCCAATTCGTCTGCTGCTCACCAATTTCCTCTAAGATCTTGTAGTTGTTAGACATTATACATTGTACCGAATTCAGGACAGACACACACAGCTTTTGTAAAGGAATCAATGGTGAAAATTAATATCAATATCAAGTTAGTAAGAATTGCAGTACAATTAGTATATAATATCATGAACAAGGTAATAATAACCAAATCCTTGTTCTTACTTTTTAATTTTTATTTGATGTGCCATTCATGTAAAGTAATAATTAATAACTTGTTGCCTTTTTTACTTGACATCAAACTTCAATAATATTTGGAAGCTGCAGAAATACATTATACATGTCACGATTTGATCAAATTAGGACATTTAATCAAAACAGTCACACGTCCTATGATATATAACACATGTTGTAACAATAATATGATAAGATCATTGTATGTTTATTTTATAGAAAGAAAAAAAAAATGAAAAAACAACCTCGTATATATTTATGTCCTTATTTTTGCATCACCTTGAGAATATTGAAAGTTCAAAAAAAATAAAAAGTCCTACATGCATACATACATGCATGCCTAATTAATTAAATAATGTGCACGCTTGCGTGACGCTTTAGTAATATTTAAATTATTCGATTAATATATAATATATGTATAATTATTCAAATAGGAAAATTCAATTCGGTCAAAATGGTACACAATTTGCAATATTTTTTTTTTATATTATTATTATTATTTAAGCAAGGTGGTTGTAGCCGCAATGGCCTAACAGTTATACACCTAAATGCATGCATATCTATACATCTGTATAATATGAAATTTTTGAAGATCACAGTAAAATGGGTTAATTATTCTGCTAAAAAAACTTTATAAAGAAAAAGCAATTCCTTTTGGGAATGGAAAACAGAGAAAGAAAATGGAAATTATAATCAAGAAAATGTGGAAGTTTGACCAGAAAAATTGTCAAAACAAACGTCTCGTAATTCTAATAATCACTATTAATACAAATTATGAAATATTGGAAACTAATTTCAACTGCCAGCTCCTTAATTAATTTACTAAAAGTATGTATGAGTGTATATGTTTGACTTTCAGAAGTCAAACTTTTCACAATGAATTTGACCTGGGAGCCAATCTGAATGGGGAAGAAAAGCTCCTGCTATATTTCCGACTGTCTGAATGCAAACCTGAAGACAGCCCAAAATTAATTAAATAAATCAGGACAATAAAGACAAGAAACCCCTAAATCAGTGATTAATAGAGCATAAAAATGCTGATTTTTTGTGTCCTGACGAATTTTGTCAAAGCTTTTCTTACCAGCTGTAATGGAGGAAAATGGAGGTCAAGCAAATCTGCATACCTGAAAAAAAATACAAATAACAGTTGAATGAAATATTTTATAAGAGAAAATAGTATATTTTTACTGAAACATCGAGATTGAATAGTAAAGAAAAGCTAATAAATCTTCTGATTCATTTTACCACAACTTCAAACTATGGCTCCAACAAAATACGTACGTATCTGTATATTGGCCGGACTTCAGAATATTGTCGGCCCAAAGAACTGGAGTTCTCGGTGGATGCTCAAAGCTGGAAAGTTCCTATCTCGCGGGAATGTTGCAAGAGCATAACTTGTCTATTCCCAACCCATTCGAGCCTGTAAGACAGATCAAGATTGTGAACTAGGAGTTTCAGCCGGTCCACTTCACCCGAAGCTCTGCTACTCTTCTGCAACACACAAGCATAAATGCATTATTCATAGAAGAATTCTGTTGCGCAATTACGCTCGAGCAAAATTAGGCAGTAAGTTATGTCTAAGATAAATTAAGCTGATGGAGAACATGTTGGCTTTTATTGAGAAGGTCATGTTGCAGAATTTAAAATTTTGGATTGCTTATATGAATAATTCTTCAATATCATATAGCTTGTATTGTTTGCATTTTTGTCGTAGTTATGTACTAAGCATGCTTAGCTAAGAAAATGTTACCGGGGAGTTGATTTGTCCATCATCGCGCAAAATACTTGCCATGACGCTGGACGAGGCAGAGTTAGGCGAAAACCCTTCCCATGGAGGAATAAATATCAGCTTTGTGCATTGAACAGGAGCAAGATTACGACTGAGTTTCTCCCACCACATTGATTCCAGTGACCACCATCTAATCATCAAACCATTCTCTGAAAAAGCTACTAATCCCTGCAGTAGAAGTTTAAAAAAACATAGAGGCAAAATGAGATGGCTCCACTTTAAAATTATAACACGAATGGACTCAGAACTCAGAGTAACTGTGACAATGTAAGTAACCTATCTTCAAGCAATTTCTTTATTTTTCGCCCATATATTATAATGCTAAAGGCAGATTAAGCAAGGTCAGATGTTACCTCTCCGTCCGGTGAGAAGCTCAGAGCAGATATTGCAGTCGTAACTTCCATTTCCAAGGTTCTTCCAAGAACAGTTGGAAGTCCAGGAGGTCCACTGGCATCCAAGATCTTTATCTTGCTCATGCTGTATTGAAAGTGGAGCGAAAAAATGAAAACTACTCTAGAAAAGACCTTTATCTTCTTTAGCTAGATACAATACTTCCATTATTACAGTGGATAGATCCTCCAACTGTATTCACATTATCTTGACGTAAGTATCTGAGATTTGCTTCGTCTCATGGACAATTTAATGTGTAATAGCACCACTGTAGCACTCATATTCTACCATGGAATTCTCTACAGGTAAAAACTAAAAACTAACAGGGAGAGTATAAAGATTTGACTGTAGCACACATTTGATCATAGCAGATAGCTAACTCATTTTTCTTGTAAAAAATAAAGACCAGGTGATAAACTTGGTTTGCACACAACTGCAATTCCATAATAATGAACTTTATAACGCTACCTTTGCATGTCATAAATCCGAATGCTAGCACTGGTAAATTCTCCAATAGCATCCCCAACTGCCAATCGTGACGATGCACTATTTAGGGCCACCATAGGAAACACACGTATTACTTCTTTCAATGCTGTCATAGAACTTTTGAGACAATTTCTACGCATGACTGAGTTACCAGGATCCATTGTCTGTAATATAAAAACAACCACCTGCAAACCTGTCTAGATGTTAGGATAATATAACCCAGTGATTCACTAGACCATTACAACATTGCTATTTCTGTATTGTATTTCAAAGTCCTTTCTTTAAAGAAGCTAGAAATTCAGATAAAATTTTCAAAATCTAGTAAGATGTGGGCAGCGATAATTTATGAAACTGGATAAAAATAAACCTATCTTATCTCAAAGAAAACATGGTACACGTGGAAATTTGAAAAAAAAAAAAAAAAAAAAGTGCGGTGTTTCTATGCTACTTCTCAAATAGGATAATGAAAGAGAAAAAAGATATATCTTAAATAAAATAAAATGTTATCTATACAAATAAGCAATTTTCTCCTTAGCACAAGAATAATGAACACAACATTTAAAATTATTAGAGATTCATTTAACATATAGAAATTTGAACTTCGTCTGTTTTGTACACACCTTATCCAGGTATGGAGCCAAGTTTCTTGGAGAACCACGGACAACCCTGATCAAAGTCATGAGGGACGCCACATGGACAGGCGAATCAGATGCTGTAGACCAGATTTGGCTTTCTATAACATGAAGAAATCCAGGTATGTCAACCATAGCTAAACTAGGAAGAAGAATTCCAACTAAAGTCTCCCGAATGTTTAGAGATGGAGCAGGCTTTGGAGAATTGGGTTTAGCTGCTGGACCACTGACACACTCTACTTGGAAGAATATCTCCCCTATGAGATGTGGTATTTCAGAGCCAATGTGTACCTTCCATGTACTCTCCATGCCTTCGGCTAAAATCTCTGCTGCCGCTGCACTGTATTTCTCATTCATAGCCATAACCAATTTTACTAGTTGATGAACCACTACCTCAGAAACCCTTGGTTTGACGAGGCTAGCATACCAGACAGCCAATGCAGCAGCAACTATTATTTGAGAAGTCATTGCATCTTGAGTTGTCCCCCCGACACAAGAAATCCAATCTTGTACTTCATAGGATTCCAACCATGATGTTATTTCAAGCTCTTCCTCAACAATGTCCCCTCCAATTTCAACTTTTTCTTTCGGTAATGCACATGACATCATATTGTCATGTTCTTTTTCTGATGTGACGGAAGGATTAACATGAAATTTTACGCGACAATTGGCGTGCGGACAACACAGAGGAAATGGAATAGCCCTTGAAGCAGCACAATGAAATAGAGAACGAGCAGCCATTTTCACATGTTCAATCTCATTTTGCCAAAAGCTTACCAAGAGCTGTAGAACAGAGAATAAATTTAATCATGATATGAATTATGCCCCCAAATGATTTGTTCATGTCCTATTTGTGCTGGCATACTGACAACATATAAAACAGAGGTATGGCTGAATGGAGACTAGTCCAAGTGGAGAAATCATTAAAATCTGTCCTATAAAAAGAGAAGGGCTTCTGCCAAACAAATCAGTAGCATCTACAATCATCCGGAACAATTTCACAAACCAGGTGGTGTGGTACAACCGTGCAAGTAGTGAATAGCTAAACATAGGAACTCTAATAGCTGGAAATCAAAACTAAAAATAACTACTATCAAATAAGCAAGCATCCAAAAATTTCTGCCATTGTACACTTAGGGTATGTTTACTTTGATTTAGATATAAGCTAATTAATATGTCATATATGTCAAAGTAAACAAGCCCTGAGAGTAAACAATCACGGATATTTAAATTTATCAATTACTTATCATTGCCTATTGGGATGAGCACCACAATCTGTAATTTAGTCAGCTCCTAACAAATACGGAACAAACAACTTTTACCATGAATACAAAGAATTTTCTTTTAGAAAGTATGAATACAAAAAATTAAGAGGCAGTTTCTAAGTTATCAAGCTAATATAACACCAAGCAAAAATTCACTGATTCAATTATCAGCATTTTACCTGCAGGAGCGGAGGTTTGATATCTGTAATTTTCTCTGCAAATTTCCGCGTATAAAATGCTGCTAGGGCACTGCAAAAATCAATTTAGAATTAATGAACTTCAAATTTACCAGCTAAAACGCATGTGGATTTTGTTAGTAGAAGCCCAATTATAATATTTGTCTTCTAATGCTTCAATAGCATTATCAAACCAAGTACTCTTAACATAATTTTACATGGAATTTTATTTGCACTTTATTCTTAGGCACCACACGTTTTGCAACTTTATCAGAGAACAAAGCAAAGATCCATAGCATGCATTGGAACAAATGTAATGTAGAAGATCTTCACAAACAAGAAGTAAAAAGTAAAAGTAAAATGTCAACAGTTATATACTTGAAAAATCTTCAGTAATTTTGAAAATAATTTGTCATACCCACTAGCTGAGGAACAGGAATGATATAAGCTAGTCAGATGCTGGGCAAGGGACACCATAGTTAATGATCTCAAGGCAGAATACTCAGGTGAAGATCTCCAGAGCTGAAATATTAGGATGATAATGTAGTCAGATACAGAATAAGTCAATGACACACATGCAAATTCGATACATCATTTAAAGTACCTCAAGTGTTGAATTAGAACCTGGAAATGTTAGCGTCATTGAACCCCTGTCCCCTAATATACCAGAAGCAACAATAAAAGTATCAGGGCGTTGGAGCTTCATTTCAGATATTAGCAAGTTATCAAGCTCATCATCAACATTCCACAGGTGCAGAAATGACAAAGAGAACTGAAGAAGGCAGACTTCAAGTGAGCGAAGACATGCCGGGTTATCTAATGTAACAGCAGAGGACTCATTTGAAACAGAACTTTTTCCATTCACAGTACGAGGGCTGGGGATCTTCACCACCATTTCCTTCAAAGAAGCATTTGCCCTGTGATGAGCATCATCTTTAGGTGTGCTAGATCCAGCACCCGTTTCATCTTTCTTTTCATCCCTTTTCCCTTCAACGTGATTAGTTTCTTCAAATGATTCATCCATGGAACAAAGTGACATTAAGGAAGTGAGGTCAAAACACAAAGTCGAAACTCCAGCAAAAGGGGAGGAGCTTTTAATTGGACGCTTTTCGCTGCAGAAGATCATGGATGCGAGCAAACCAGATTTTGCACCAGCTCCTTTCACAGCACTTGATGATTCAGGTGCATCTGATTCAAGTTTACTATCTGCCAATTTTTGGGAAGAGACCCCCCTCCCAGAAACTTCTGAACTAACTTGTGAAAACTTGGTTGGCTCAATCACTGGAAAAACCAAAGATGATGCAGAAGTATTCCCAGTTATCAAATTTTCAGATACCATACTTTCATTGATGGTTTTAAGGAAATGATCAAACATGGAATGTGCCGCAGCTCCACGAAGAACTCGCTCTCGAGCACCCGTCTTTACATCCCAAATGTATAAAATATCAAGTGAATCAGCTTTTCCTGAACGGTTTGGACATAAACATGCCATATAGCTTCTTATACCATCCCATAGGACATTGGCAGGAAAGTAGAGGTGGCCAGGAAATAATCTTTCCACCCTCAAAGTATGAAGTGAAGCAAGAGTAACACAACAGTCTTCCCCAACAGTTAGAAAGCAATCATTCCATGGGTATTCACTCCTACGCGGAGGAAGAATTATTTGACATACTGGAGCCACATGCTGGTGCAGCACTATAATGGGATTTCCAGAGTCAAGATCCCACACGCGAACGGTGCAATCCTTGCTACCTGAGAGCAAAACATGATTTGAACTACACCTTCCAGACTTGCTCACCATTTCATGGGAAGCTAAACATAGTACTGCTCCTTTGTGACCTGAGAGACGCTGCTTTTGTACTTGTGAATCTGCATCCTCAGCCAGACTTTCACTAAGTGGATCCAGGGCTGTGAAGAACATGTGAAACCTAACAATTTCAATATCACCACTGAAGAAGCCATAAACAACAGCATAAGGTGCTAGATAGTTTTCAGATATAACCATTGAGGAAGATACAAGTTGGCCTCCTTGGTGAGTAACACATTGACCATCACGTAAGTGCGCACCATCTGTTTTGCCAGGAAGCACACCATCTTGCAATGTGCTCACCTCTTCAGTTACAATAGATCCATCTTTGGAAAATTCATGGTTTTCGGAATAAGCTGTCACCATAGAGGATTTCACTGGCCAATCATCTAAAAGATTACCTTCTGCAAACATTTCAAACTCAATTGGAAACTTTCCATGATTGTTATCACTGGGCTTCAAATGCCAAATGCTAACATGAGGTCTCCAAAACTTCTGTTCATTGATATCAAAGCAAACTGACTCTATTCGAAATACATACCTACCTAAAGGTATGAAGGAAAGGGACAGTTTTGTATCAGCAGGATGCAATACAGGAGGGATTATAGACACCGGATTAAACTTGAATTCTTTGCCTGAATACGATATCCTGTATACAACAGCTGCACCTCTGGTATTCCATGCCACAAAGTCTTCCACAAAATCATTACTAGAGATGCTACAATCACCTTCTACAAATACACCACCTATTACATATGACTCGTCTTCAGAACATAGTTGACTATCCAAAAAAGAAATCTTGCCAAAAACAGTTCCATCACTTACTTGCCTGAATGTGCAAAGTGAACTATGCACAAGAGCCAGAACATGCCCGCACTTTGCAAAGGCTACAAGGGATACCCTCTCTACGGAATCATCAGCCCAGTCCGTCACTTCTGAAATTGAACAATCCTTTGGGGCAGCAGGTACATTTTGCCGCTTCTGGTCAGAGTCCATGATAGGTAAATGGAGTACCTTACCAAATGAGTCGATCATCATTACTGATTGCTTCTCCATGTCTTGTGAAGGTAAAACTACAGCCATAGATTTCAAAGGTCCAATAGGTGCATTCCCATGAAAAACTGTTTGGACTATTGTCAGGGTAGAAGAGTCCATTATTAGAACTGTATACTTTGAAGAATTTGAATTCTGCAAGTCTCTGTCTGCTGAAGACTCATCACCTTCCACCATCTTAAGTAACTGTGTTTCTTGGGTGAAACTACACGCAATGCATACGTATCTCCTGTTTTTGAGCAATGGCCTAATCATGAATGGACTTCCAGCCCAAGGGGGAATTTTCCTTCTACGCCTACAATGTCCACTGGGTCTGCTCCAAATGCACACTACACCATCCATGCATGTGCTTATTAATGCACCATGGGAACTTGAATTAGGATACGATATCCCATTATTTGAACTAACCAATCTTACATTTTCAGATGCTTCAACTGGAAAGCAAGTCCCTAGATCAGCTATTGGAGCAGCATGACCGCACAACAAAGCAACTGGTTTCATTTCCTGGTCAATAAGGATGATTAAATATGTAAAAACAATGCTACTGCCACCACCAACAACAAAGTTAACACTATAAACATAGGAAATTAGAACAAAAATATTTACCATTAGATCAATATAGCCACTTACTGTATAATGCAACTATTAGAAATAAAATATAAAAATAAAAGTAAATATGAAATATAAACATGCATAGAACAAATATGATATATATAGCAGAAAGATGGGGGGGGGGGGGGTGTGTGGTTAGAAGTAAACCATTCAGAAAATGATACCATTTGAATTAAGTGGCTCTATGATATTGGTGTATATATTTCTTGGTAATATTCCAATCTCCTCATTTAAGTGGCTCTATGATATTGGTATATATGCGAAATGCTGAATGTGTATTTTATCAGAGAAGTGAGGTAGACGTACGTAGCATGGATTGAAATGCAAAAGCGAGCTTATGTTAGTCTAGCAAAATACACAATCTGAATCAAATTCCCTTATGTGGATGGTTCTAGATACTATTTGATCAGGTGACGCCCAAAGTGAACTTGGAGCTATCTAGAGTTGAACTTTCAACATCACTTATGCTTTCTAGAATAGGAATTTTAATCTATCAAGATTTTTAGAAAGTTGTGTGAGACATTCTTTACAAGATTTGGTTTGATATTTTTCACCTCATTGTTGTAGATTATGCAAGATTAATCAGACTTTGAACTTAATTTTCAGTGAAAAAATTAGGACAAGTCAGTGAATTCATAACACACACACACATATATATATATACATACAATCATAACACTTTGATTGCATATGTGAGTCATATGAAAGTGCGAATATCCTGGAAACTCCGTCTTCCATCATTGTCCAACAAATTCAAAGAGCTGAACCAGAAGTAGTTAAGCTAAATCAGTCATTATTTCATCTGACAGCTTTTCTGCTTCGGCATCCGAATTAAAAATTTTCCACTCCACGTTTGAAGCCTCCATTCAAATCATGTGCATATAAGTAGTAACACTCTCGTATCATAGTTCAATCATACGTATCAAAATGTTTCATCGAAAAAAAAAAAAAAAAGGCGTAAACTTCAGCCCAATCACGCATCACTAATTCACCATGACCAGAACACGAGGCAAATTAAGCCAATAGCACTACAATTAATCACATTCATATGCTCATTTAGGATGAAATGGCCATAGAAGTTTTTTTTTTTTAAAAAAAAAGAACTTTCCAGTATAAAATCTGCATTCCATTACCGGGCTTTCGAGAGAAGAACTAAAGTTCCACCAGATGATGGAGCCATCGAATCCGCCCGTGTAAAGAGACGGCGGGTCGGGGATCACGGTGACGGCTGTAACTCGGTGTGCCGGTGGCGAGCCCGACCATATGCAAGCCAACGATTTACACTTCATCGGCCACCCGCAATGATCTGAAAGAATTTACGGGGGTTCAAGTTCAAGGATCGCCCCGAGACCAACTGTGCTTCAAACGCCCAACCCCATTCACGAATGCATCTGATCCGCCGTCTCGCGCTTTTAGTTATTCCCATAAATCGCGTTTTTGCTTCAGCACTTCCAGTTATACTATTCCGAATGAATTATTATTAAAAATCAATTACAAATATTATTAAAAGTTAATAATAATAATAATAATATAAAAAAATAAAAATAGTGAAATATGAATAATAAAATTAGGAACCAAAAAATTAGTTTAAAATTTTATTTTAAAAATTAATATATATATTAAAATTTAAATATTAATTTTAAAAATGCCAGACACGACTCGACCTTTATAAGTTCGGGCACAATTAAGGGTGTGTTTGTTCGGAGGATTGGATTTTCAATCCACTATTTTTTTTTTTTTTTTTTTTCAAAAAATCAAATCAAACACTTATTTTTTATTTTTTTATATTATACTAAAAATCAATTTTACATATTCAAAACACGGTAAGTTTATTAGCATGCCGGGGTAAAGTATCTAAAAAAATTTTAACTTATTTTTTGAAGCTCAGGTTAAAAAAGATGTTAGAAATTTTTCCTTTTATCTTGTTAAAACGAGGACAAAAAAAATTATATATTCTTAATTTTTATGTTTAATATAATTAAGCCCAGCCCAACTAGACTAAGCCCAATTCAATCAATGCCCAAACCAATCTCAATTTTCTTTCTATGCAAATCAATATATGTAGAAGTAATGTTTTATATGTTTTTCATGTGAGACAATCTTGGCTCATTTCTTCCACTTTCTTCTACCTTAAAAAAAAAAAAAAAAAAAAAAAAAAAAAAAAAAAAGGAAAAATTAGAAACAAAGATAATATATATATATATATTTGTTTTCTATTTCTTTTTCTTTCAATATATATAGATAAAAGACACCACGACTTATGTTTTACCTGCAAGCTATTTGAGTAGTAGCTGTTGCTGATTCCAGTGTTATAATAATAAAAAAAAAAAAAAAAAATCACTACTTATGCGTCACTTTCTCTTTGAACATTGTAACAGTCAATGAACATATTTTTGGATGGGATATCCCTGAACTATGCAAATGACAATAGCCGACATATTTGAGTAAAACTGTGTAGATTATTAATTAATAAATTAGCTAATTAACGAGATTACTATTTCTTCTACATCTGATCGAGCAAGAGCACAACAGCCATGGCGAATTTGGAGTCGAAATCTTGGGTTACAACCAGCTCAAACACCTCCAAACCAAAAGATTCAGCAGCAGAAGCACCATGGTTCGTGTTCTTCTTATTCTTCTTCTTGATCTCTCCGACAACAGCCCTTCTGGAAGCATCCAGAATCTTGCAGGAGCGACGAGAGTAGGAACCTTCCACGACGTATCTGCAGCATCCCTTGTCGTCATCAACGTAAGCCGCCGCCGCCGCCGCCGCCACATTCCCTCCTCTCCTCATCATATTTTTCCTCGCACACAGAACAGGTAATAATTGCCTTTGCCTTCTGCTGCACGCTACTTCTCCTTCGTACACAGCCCAGTCGCTGCTCACCTTCATCAGCTTCGACTGCAACACGTACAATTTTAATAATTAGTAATTAAAAATTAAATAGTTAAATTAATAAATAATATTAATGGCTGGCTGGTAAACCACCTTGGGACGACAGATGGTGAAAATGGGGTTTCCGAGGCCATCCATGAGGAGGAGGTGATGGGGGCGAGGGCTGTAATTATCCACCCGGTAAGCTAAACTGCCGTCGGGTCCGATCACTGTGAACCCGCTGCAGTTGAAAACCAGAGACTTTCTCCACACTGTAAGACAAATATTGTTATCCTTTTTGCTCCATGATGAATTATTATCATCATTATCGTCCACTTTCTTGATTTCTGGGTCTTCTTCTTGTTGTTGATGATGATGATGATGGACTGTTGTTCTTCTTCTTGATAAGGATCTTAGGAAGAAGGGAAGCATTGTTTACGAATAAATTTATATTAATGCTAGCATATGTTGTAGGAGTGAGGATTTGGGATTATTTATAACAATGGGAGGATCAGACAGCCACACCATTATTAAGCTTATGTGGTTATTGTTAATGAATTTGGTGATGTACTGGTTTTTGTCGTTTTGTGTAAAATGGGTACTGTTGAAAGGGCCGACAGTGGGTGTGATTTTTGGTCACTGGTGAAGTATGGGATAAACATGGAAATAGTGCAGAAAAGTAATGATTAAATTGGGGGATATGAGTAGCATTATTTGGTACTACATATTCAAATCAGTTTAGAACTGAAATTTTACTTTACGATCAACAGGTGTGAGTCTTTTAGGTTTGATGGTACAATGATTTAATAAAAGAAATGGTAAGGGTGGATGTATGTAATATTGTTGGCTCAAGTTTGTTTTGAAAGGCCTAGCTTAGTCCACACTGAGAAGTAGTGTAGAGGGCAGGGCATATGACATGAAATGGAGAATGAGAGGAGGGTACATAACGTTATGCACGTTGAGGTTTGTGTTCATATTGAACACCAAATTCTGACATATTTTTTTCAAAACAATTTCACCTTATATATAACCTCTTTTTTTTATTATTATTATTATAATGTAAGAGTCCGCGGCTGCTATCCGAAAATGCACACCGGACAAATCCTCAATCGAATCTAATATCTTGCAAACTAGGCCCGGCATACAAGTTACACTAGGCGAATCATGTGTGGCAGGCAAACTAGGCTTGACATACAAGTCACACTAGGCGAATCATATGTGGCAGGTGACGTGAGGCGTCGGGGTTTGAATCTGCTTTACATGGTTCGCCCAATGTGACTTGTCTGACGAACTTAGTTTGCAGAATATTATGTTCGACCGGAGGTTTACCCAGTGTGCACTTTCGAATGGCAGGTACGAGTCATTAAAAAATAATAATAATAATAAAAATAAAAATCTAGTACAAATATAGATTATCCCTAATCCCAATGCAGTTAATGTCCTACACGTACATGTATTACGGACAAAAAAAAAAAAGAAAAGGAAAAGGCACAATTGTACCCGACTACATGTGCTTTAAGCCCAAAAGAATAAAAATAGAAAGCATGATTGAGATTGATAAGAGTTATTTTGGTCAATAAGAATATATCTTCAAATTAAATACGTTTAAAGTACAACCTTTACTATAGGAGGCAATTGTCCATTCCACCCAAGATTCACTTTGATTACATATCTAACTAATTTAAGTTATGTGCATGAAACAGAGGGATAATTTTTTTTCTTGGAAAGTGAAAAAAAATGAAAATGAAGCAATATAAATTAATAATTGATAGCAAGATCCAACAACATAAAGTTCAAATGTACATGCATTGTCAGTCAAACTTCCTCCTATCAAAAGATTAGACAAGGGAAACGTGTAAACAGATTAATGGCTATTGGCTAACCACAAAGAAGATTCATAGCAGTAAGAAGAAGACCAACAAATCCACACAACTGAACAGAAAGAAACAGGAAATATACCTCCCCCCTCTCTCTCTCTCTCTCTCACATACACACACAGTAGAGAGTTACTATAAACCACACCAAACTGATTTTATATTATACAGAATGTATGCATAATGAACACTGTTTATGACTAATTATGCATAAAGAGTGTACAAAAGGTGTCATAATCCAATAATGACACGTGGGCTATTGGACTCTGGGGAAATCAAGAAAGCTAATTGCCTTTTAGGGAGTAAATTAATTGTCTTGACTCGCATTAGCAAGACAAGACAGGGAAGTCCTGCAGGCTGATCAGCAACACCATTACTTGGCATCGTATCATTAAAAAGGAATATCAAAATAGATAAAAAGAATCAGGGCAAGATCTGTTTTTCCGTATTTAGTCAATCAAGAAGATTATCAAACAAGACAAATCTTCTGCCGAAAATTAGAGCAATAGAGCAAATATTTCCTGGACACGCAGGCAATGAAGGATTAAATTAGGTTATGTATTATGCAATTTAAGGCACTTTACACGTCAAAATATATTTTAGTGTTCCCTACTAGAAGAAAGATGACAATTATTGATCAACTACATGCAGTGTTTGGGTTCTTTATCTTCACACACACAATCACAAACAATGAATCAAATTTTCATTGTTGTTCCCTTCTTGTGTGTGTGGTGGGGACTCTGTTGCTCTTTCCAATAAATAAATTGCCACAGAAGACTATTAACTGAGCTAATTCAAAAGGTAAAACAAATTTAAGCACCACAGCAGCAAAAGGCAGCTAAAACAATGAGTAGAAGAAGTTGAAAAGGTCCATTATTTATAGTACTCAACTCAATCCTCTTCGGGGGAGAGTTAGGGCCTGTACAGAAAACATTCCCAGGGAGGGGAGAAATTTGCTCAAGAGCAAACTTATTGCCACACACATTCAAATTATTACGCTATGCACAAATGCCCACTAGAGCTACTACATAAAGCGCAAACTCAACGGCAATAAAAGGCAGCACTCTATAAACATGCTTAGCTGCATTGTACAGATCAAGTCCGAAACTCATCTCTTCCAGTTCTCACTCTAGATCAGGTCCCTTCTTTCCTCCACCAACTTGATTAGGCTGCAGAAGCACGGAGAGCCTGTTTGTGATCAAATTTATCATTTTCAATTATTGTCTTTTACATCTCATACATATAAAAATATACTGAAACAGGTCTCGAACTTGAATTTCCACCTACCACATTCATCGCCATAATCGTTTGCCAGTTCTCAACCACAGTACAGCGCTGCATCGATAGAAGGAGGAATCTGTTTTATTTTTGTGTCGAGCTCCTTCTGGACCTTGTACCTGTGATTGGGCCAAATAGATAATTGTGTGATACAGACAATGATGTGATGAAACTTGGGAAGCACTCATAGATGAGAAATTTTGGCACATACAGATTGAAATGGTCTTCACAGGTAACCAAATTCACAGCCAATCCAAGCCGTCCAAATCTTCCAGAGCGACCCACCTGAACAGATACAACCAACACAAATAAGTCACTAAATTATTTTTCAACCAATTGAGCAGTAAGCACATTTCAACCCTGGCTAACTTGATTCTTTCCACATAAATTTCGCATACCCTGTGAAGATAAGTTTCAGACTGTTTGGGAAAATCAAAATTTATAACCACATTGACAGCTTGGACGTCTATTCCTCTCGTAAATAGATCTGCAAGCACCATAAATGAAAAAAAAGGGATATTATGGACAATTCAAGTTAAAAAACAAAAAACCATAAAGGGTTAAAGGGTGCTTCAGTGTGAATCTGATTTCATGTAGCTAATATAATGTATGAATTGATTTATTGGAATGAGATTAAGAGAAACAAAATATCCCCTTATTTAAAGAGAGGCACAGTCGCACTGAATTGTCTGAACTTATGACAATTCCAATGGGGCCTCCCTTGATAATGTTTTAGCGACGATAATTGCAATGATGGATATCAATATGTAACTAGCACAAAACAATCCCTCTTCTGAAGATACTCTATGCAAACACAGTTTGATAAATGAAAACATTCAATGCAAAGATTTTTAATATCTGAGGAAGGAACAGCAGCATTGTAGCTGATGAAAATTTGTTATTGTGCACAGATGAAAATTAAAGCAGAGGACGACAGACAGAGGGATACCTGATAGTGAACCAAATAACAATATTATCTTGCAAAGGTTGCAAGATAACACAGGTGATATCTTAGCACAGGAATTTTAACAATATCAGCTTAGAACCAAAATCATACCAGTACAAACAAGATTCCTGCATGCACCATTTCGAAAGTCATGAAACACTCTGTTACGATGGTCTTGCATCATCTTGGCATGAATATAAAAGCAAGAATAACCCAGTTCTGTGATTTTCTTGGCCAGCAGCTCCACTCGTTTCACAGAGTTGCAGAAGATTATTGACTGGTTTATTTGCAGCTGTAAAGAAATCACTAATATGAGCCTTCTCACAAAAGAGAAACAAATGTTACAAGAATCCATCACTGAGACATAAATATCAAACCTTTGAGAAGAGTGTGTTCAGGCAGTGAACTTTCTGCTTTTCTTCAACAAAAGCATAATAATGAGTGACACCTTTTAGAGTGAGTTCATTCATGAGGTTGATGATGTACGGCCTTCTCAAATGCCTATCTTTGAAATCTTTTACAGTAATGGGAAATGTGGCCGAATACATCAAAATTTGTCGATTCGGAGGAAGATAGGTGATCAGTTGCTCCACTAAAGGTTGAAACTCGACAGATAATAGCTTGTCAGCCTGAATTAATAGGTCCAAGCAGGATTAAATGTTGCAGATCTTCAGTGTCATTATACATTGAAAGGACTATGCAAACCACTAGGAATATATACAACTTTACATACCTCATCCATTACAACCATTGAAGCACCCCTCAAATTGCAAATCCCTTTTCTGGTAAGATCTAGTATTCTTCCAGGGGTTCCTACCAGTAGGTGGACAGGTTGATACAATCTCATTATATCATCCTTTAGACTGGTGCCTCCGGTGCTAACCATTACCTGAATTTTCAGGTGCTTCGCTAGTTCTTTACAGACTAGGGATGTTTGAAGGGCCAATTCTCTAGTTGGGACTAGGATAAGCACTGCATAAATTAGAAGATGCATAAACAATTAGAAACTTATACATAAGGTAAGAGAATATCATTGCCAGAAGAAGGGGGAAAAATGCTATATAATATGTAAAATAAAGGAGAAATGATGTTAATATAGCACTAACACACAAGATGTGATTTTGGAAAGCATTTTTCTGTCATCGACTTATAAATAAGAATTTGCTTATGCATACAAGCACCATAAACAAGCAGAAAAAGAAACAAGTTGCAGGACATAGAGCTAAATTATCAATTTGGATGGGTTTAATGACAATGTCACAGCAACAATGGAGGCACATCCAACCAAACACATATCTTGAAATGAAAACAGAATGAACTTAGGTCAATAGCTGCACAATCCTTCTCTCAAGTTTCTTCTAGATTATTAAGTACCTTGAATAAGATTGGCATCTGAATCAATTTTCTCTAGTGCTGGAATGCAGAACGCAGCAGTTTTCCCAGTACCATTTTTAGCTCTGGCAATAATATCACTTCCTGTCAGAGCTATAGGAATACTTTCTTCCTGGATAGGAGAAGGCTTTTCAAACCCCTTTTCATAGATGGCCATCAACAGCTCTTTTTTAAGAAAGTAATCTTCAAACTCATTCCCTTTGGTTGCAGCAACATCCTGATTGAGAGAATTAACACTTCGTGAAGCAGGAAAATAAGCCACAAAAGCGAGCTTGTTTGGTGTACGATCCATTCTATGAAAATTTCTCTTCAGAAGTTCATTTGGAGATTCAGCATTTCACAAAGTAAAGCAAATCAACAGATCAATAACACTCTAAAATAAGAGAACATTTCACTGAGATTAAATAAGCGGCGACTGCTTTTCAACCGCCATATACACACTTCCGCGTGTCTCTGTGGGGAACCATATGCATGCATGCATGCATGTCCAAGTGTCAATATGCATGTCTCTTACATATGAGGTGTGTCGGTGTTTTAAATTTTACTGAGAAAGATGCGAAATAAAAGTTTCGAGAAACAGTTATTGTGGTGGTTGGGGAAACCTAGTGACTAAGATTTTGTTCGCAACTGATGTAAGAAGAAAACGACAATTAAAGAGTTTCTAGAAAAGCATAAATAAATAAATAAAGTGTTCGATAATCCCAATGCTGCATTCCATTGCAAGTTGCAGTACCATGTACAAATGAAATTGGCAAGCTTATCTAATTATTGATCAATAATTTAAAATGGAAGAAAGGGCGGGGGGGTGTGGTTAGAGGTGGAAGGGAAGTAAAAAACTAAACGAATAAGAAGTTAGAGAAAGGTATTACTTGCAGTTGTACATATATCTATACCGCAGCAAGTCCTCTGCTTAATTTATATACTGCCAACTGAATCTAACCAATCAATTATACGAAACTAATAAATGTCGATACGCACAGTTCAGCTAAGCAAGAAAATACAAGTAAGTGTAATGCAGCTAATCTTATCCGAACATATTTAGCAAGTACTAACCTTCATAGGTGTGCCAATAAATTGAATTGCGAATAGCTACAAAAATATAGTCATCAAGAATTTATAACAACATAATATCTTAGTATGTGAATAACTCAGTTATATTCCGTGTGTCAAGTGGCCGAATACCAAATGATTCTTCCAATCTTAAGAGCTAGATACCATCAAAGATTCAGCCATAAAAATGATTTAAAATATAAAACGAAAAACATGTTTGCCAGTTACAGGCTGAGTCATAATGATATCGTATATATAAGCACAGCGGCATGAAATCCCAAGCTAATCTGTTCCTGTTTCACGAGCTAAAACCAGAGCTCCTAAACAAACAAGCTCAATGTTTCTATTTTGAAATAGTATATTCATGGAATAATTATACCAATGTAAATGAAACAACGATTATAACTTCTATCGACACCATTCTATTTATACCACAATCACCTGAAAACACTACATTAAAGAATTCGTTCGGCAAAATAAATGGAAAATTAATGTTTTTGTTCAAAATAAGCAAAATCGAGGAACCGGTAGCCTGAAATTTCTTCCGACTTCATTTGAAATCGACTATGTTGGAGCAACTAGGGTTCCTCCTCATCCGCTGCTGCATTTGATTCCGTACTGCTCGTGGTTTACACTGTGCCTGCATTTTCCGGTGACCGTTATGGCAATTCTGGTTCAGAACTCCGCCGCGGCGTCGACCGCTGCCGCTCGCCGGCGGATGCCGCTCTGCATGATAAGTATTGATCGCTTATATCCATAATGCGTGTAAAAGAATAATCAAAGGCCTTTTTAGTCTTCCAAACTCATTGGCGTTCTTTCTGTAGAATAATTTCTCACCTCCGCCTGCGCGTGGAATTCTCCGCCCTCAGTTAATTACTGGGGAAAAAAATTGTAAAGATAATAAAAATGAGGGCCTTTTTACGAAATACACGGTCCCACGTAATATACACGTTGTCGTTTCTATTAGTTTAAGATATTTTGTGATTTTTTTTTTTAAAATGATTATAACTTTTAATCTATTTTAAATTTTTTAATTTATTTTTTTAAAGTTTAATTAAATTAATTAATTATTTTAATTTTAATTTATAATTATTTATATTATAAAATAATTATTTTTATTAATATATTTTTTATTATCTATTAATTATACCTCTCTTGAAATACCGTGTCTATAGTATAAAGAATCGGTACGTGGGTGAAACGGAGGGAATAATTTAATATATATGTACCAAGAAACAGTAAAATTTTATTACTGAAATTACAAAAATATCCCAATAAATAAATGAAATACTCCAAACCGCCAACCAGCTGGCATAATTGTATTACAAAGCGTAGACTGTAGAAATCAACAGTGCTCATTTAAATTATACAATAATTAATTCCATAATAAAATAAAATCATCATCAAAACTTTAACCAAAGTCTGTACATACACACATTTCTTCTACATCTCCTGAGACACCGCCGCCTCATCAGTCTCCGGCGGCATCGGTGAGCCGTCGGACGGCGGCTCCATTTCCGGCGAAGAGACGCTTCTTTTGAGACTCATAGTTTTAGTGAGGTGAGAATAGCTCCCCTTCTGCTTGAATAGCTGAGCAAAGTGGGGCTTGCAGTAGAGGACGCCGTCTAGGGCAGCGTAGGAAGAAGTCGTTAGGTGGCAGCCGCCGTGGGCGCACCTGAAACATGACTTGTGGTAGAATTCACCCTCCATTGTCACCTACACCATGCACCGCACCGATCTTGTTTCTTCTATTTCCGAATTTTGAAATCCAATCAAAATTAAGTATGTCAGAATACCTACCTTTTCCAGAGGATAAACAGTCTTGTTGCAGACCTGGCATTTGTCCTGGGTGCCACAGAAAAAGGAGGACATTTTGCTAGGAGTCCTAGTCTGCAATTAATTACGGATCAAAAACAGCAAGTTAGCGTTGAAGTTGGACGAGAGGCTTTTGAATTGATTGAATTTTGCACCAAATGTAATTTACCAATTGCCCTTGCATTCCAGCTGATTCGAAATGAAAAAAGGAAATAAAATCGGTGAGAAGGATATACGCATAAATAGATGCATCGTTCGGAAATTTACAATGCGATGAAGATTAATCAGAATTACTTGTCTGCAACTTTTTGGAGGAGAAGCTTCCAGTTTCCTTGTAGAGCTGCTCAAAGTGAGGCTTGCAGTACAATTTCCCATCCACACTCCAATAATTGCTCAACTGTAATGCGATACATGGAATCAACACATATATGTGAGAAATTTATATCGATGATTCGATCTAGAACAATAAAAGCACACATCCTATCAATCATACGTACCGCGAGACGACCGTTACAAGTGGTGCATCTGAAGCATGTATTGTGATACGCCACTCCGTCCGCGGACACCATCTCCGCAAAATACACAGTTTTATCGCAGGCTTTACATTTCTGCGTCGTACCATACGTAGCGTTTGCCATTCTGTTTTTCCTTTCCTTCCTCCTTTATTATTCTATATGTATATCCTGTTTATTTTCCGAAACTGCAGTACAATTTGGAGGAATAAAACTGGATATCGCAAGTGATTTTTAATCCTCCAAATGATGAATATCATCTACGAGAATAAAACTCGTGCGCTATTATTTTCGACTCTGAATCAATTTTCGAATCGCAGCGCTGCAAGGTTGAGTTATAGGGCGAGAACCAGTGGAGCAGAAGAATTGTGGCGGATGTTCAGGACGAAAGTGGTGGAACACCTGCTCTTCTTCAATCGACAATGGTCAATGGCGGAGCAAAACGCTATTTCAGGAAACCAGTATTTATGGTTAATTAATTTTATGTTATTTATTAGTAAAATCTTTTTTTATTAATTAGAGTACTATTAATTCTTGAGAAATTTGTTTGAGCTCACGTGACAGCCACGTGTCTATCCTACTTTGAAGATAGATAATTTGATAAAACCACCGATTTTCGCAGTTCACTTTGTCATCTGCTCTGCCTCTGCGGTCTGTAAAGCTATTCGCTTTCTGTATTTTCGTTGGGGAAGAAAAGCAGAAGCGAGGAGATTGGCTGAATGTTTATCGATCGTATCTGATGAGATTTTTCATTTTCTTCCAGAATGGATAGCCTCACTCTCAGCGCTACATTGTTCGCCAATGGCTCCGCTGGGTTTCAATTGTTTCCGCACCCTTTTGTCCCTGCCAAGAAATCGAAAATCCTTGCTTTTCAGAGTAGGAAATCTAGGGAGCTTTCGTGTTCTGCATCAAAAGGTGACGCAAACCTTGACGATTGGGACAGGATGGAGCTCAAGTTTGGTAGAATGATCGGCGAAGACCCCAAAATCACCTTAGCCAAGGTATTTGTTTTCCTCTGTGCTGCACAAGCACTCTCCCTGTGAGCTTTCACTGTACTTTGCATTTGCACGCGCTTTACGTGCGGAATTACTTGGAACCTAGTTGTAAAGTTAGCCGCTTTTGTGTTGCAAAAGATGCGAGAAGGTATTTTGTTGCGAGCATCTGTGACTGGAATGTACTGCTCTCTGCACTTATTACCAACTGATGCTATTTCTAATAAGTATATTCAAATTATTGGGTGGAACTATGTTTGCTTGCTGACAAAGGGTAGAATTCTCCATTTTCATGTTGCACTGAACTGCTTTAAAGAGATGTTTAATTTAGGTTGCTATAATATGATTGTTTCGTGTGAAATTTCAGATAATGGGTAGGAAGTTGAATCCAGATATGTCTTATTTGGAGATTGAGAAATTATTGGCCAGGAAGAAGGGCAAATCATCGATCCAAGACATTGAGGAGATTCCATTTGATGTTTCAGATGGAAAGCAATCAACAAAATCTGATCAAGGAATGAATTTGGTCAGGCCTGCGCCCAGGAAAGAGACTGAGTTTGAGGCAACTAGTAAACCAGGGGGAGGTGGGCCAAATTTGGTCCGTCCGGTGCCAAGAAAAGGAATCAAGTTTGAGGCAACTAGTAAACCGGGAGATACAGAAGCTAAAAGTTCTGATACAGTAAATAATATAAACGAGGCTAAGAGCAGTGTCCCCGATGTCATTTTGCGAAAACCACGTTCGTTTTATGTGAATGATGACGATAGTGGAAAGGATTCCATTTTACGAATGAAGCCAAATTTATCATTGAACATAGGCAAAGAAGCGCAATACGGGAAGTTTAGCGACATCACACTATTGAAAAAGCCTGAACCAATGGCAAATAAACCAAATGACCAGTCTGATTCCAGTGAGTGTAGTGATGGAATTATAGATGAAATTGGAGATAAAAGTCTAGAAGGTGGGACTGCTTCTGTAGAAGGTTATTCTGCTGCGCTATTACAAAAGCCAGAGCTTCACAATGTCAGCAAGGAAGAAGAACAAGAATCATCCATGGATCGAATTGAGTCTAGCTATAGCAATGTTGAGAAAAAATTAGACAATTCACCTCCAGATAATCAACTGGAAACCTCCGTTGGCAGTGTTCTAAACCAATCTCAGGAAACTGACCAAACAGATTCTGGAATGGATAAAGGATCTGAAACAGGTAATTTGATTTCGTTTGCAGTTATAATGTTTTTTATTCAACATCAGATATTCAGAAGTCATGTTGAGGTCATTGAACTTTGTCTTTCTAATATATTATGATTCTTTTTCAAGAATTGCAGGCTGATAAGTTGTCTGGTGAGAATACATTAGCTTCCGGTGGCATAAGTACATCTAAGATAAGCCTGGATACTAGCCTTACTGGAAAACCAAAAAGGTACGTAGTCTCTCCCTGTATTGCTTTTCTATCTGTTGATTGATTTTCAACTGCTTGATCTGCTGGAAATTTTTGGATTGTTATGCGATGCTGCAGATTAGATCGCACCAGTAGGGTAACAGATCAGAATGTTAGAGGGGAGGTGATTCTCCTAAATACGGAAAGCTTGGGAAATCCTTCTGAGCTTGAGAACTTCCTTACAGAATCACCCATTAAAGTTCGTTGTCTTCTTATATTCATTTATAGGGTGGGAATTGTATGTGATGAAATCTGACTATTTGCATGTGAATTAGGAGCGAGAGGATGCTGACTGGGCTAGGGCAGAAGTATTGGTCAAGACAGGGGAAAGAGCAGAAGTGGAATTGATTAGCTCCAGTATTAGAGGATTTGTTGTGAGTTACTACTCTAGTGTAATATCTTTTCAAGTGTCAATAATGCTAGTTCAACATGATAATTATATATATTTTCAATATTTCTGTGTTTTGTTTTCAGGCATCATTTGGATCCTTGATAGGATTTTTACCTTATCGCAATCTTGCTGCCAGGTGGAAGTTCATAGCTTTTGAGTCATGGTTAAGAAGAAAAGGTTTAGATCCATCCAACTACAGGCAAAACCTGGGCATAATTGGAACATATGAAACTACTAGCAGACTCAATGCCTCCGAGTCTTCTGTAGAGTCCGAAGTTGGTAATACAGAGGACAGAAACATTACATCAGATGTGAGTGTGGAGGATCTTCTCATGATCTATGACCAAAAGAAACTCAAGTTCTTATCATCTTTTGTTGGACAGGTTAGGATGATCAGATTTCAAAGTGAGCAACTTATTCGTTTAGCAGTAGTAAATTTACAAGTCTCTCTATGCTTGCAGAGAATCAAGGTCGGTGTTGTATTAGCTGATAGAAGAACACGCAAGCTTATATTTTCAATTAAACCAAAAGAGAAGGAAGAATTGGTTGAGAAGAAGAGAAATCTCATGGTAAGAGGCTTGTTATTCTGTTGGCTGTGGCTGCCTCATGGTGTATGATCAATTATGAAATGAATAAAGTAAGACAATGTCAACAGAAACCTCATGTCTATAAATAATTACTAATTCAAGATTAGAGGCTAACCTGGAATTAGCACCACAATTTCTTGAAAATAAATTACAAAATATACTGAAACAAATTGTAGTACTTGGTTCATTTAACACTGGAAATAGCAATCCCTTACTGATATTGGTGAAGCCAAGAAAAGAAAAAATGCTTGATAAGCATAAAAGTGTATGGTTAATGCTGCACTCTGACAGCTTTAAAGTTGCTTGTTATGCTACAAATTTTAGAAATTTCAACAAGGTATTAAATTGGTTGAAGTTTACTCTATTCATTACCCAGTATCAAATTTGAGCCTTTTTTTGTTTTGCAGGCAAAATTGGGTGTTGGAGATGTAGTCAAGTGTTGCATTAAAAAGATTACATACTTCGGTATCTTTGTTGAGGTAACCTATAGTTTGATTAGACCCCACAACATAATATGTTGTACCATTCCTTGTACTGGCATTTTGATGAATTTGACCATGCATCAATGCATATTAGAGCTCCAGAAGGGTTAACCACTGAAGTAGATGTAGACTGGCAGGCAGCTATTGTTTCTATTCATGTATTAAATTAAAGTACGGTTAATTTGATTGATGATATCTCTGTTAGGTTGAAGAGGTTCCTGCACTCATACATCAGACCGAAGTCTCATGGGATGCCACTTTGGATCCTGCATCATACTTTAAAGTTGGTCAGGTATCATCTCAAAAGGATTGACACCCATACCCTTAGGTGATGTTTTTCTGCAAGAATTTTGACCCAACACAATCTTTTTGGGTGCAGATTGTAGAGGCAAAGGTTCACCAGTTGGATTTTTCACTTGAAAGGATATTTCTATCATTGAAGGAAGTCACGGTAAATTTTATTCAGTGTCAAAGGCATTATGTAAAAACAGAGTGATGCATTCATGTGTCTTAAATAAAAGATACTGGTGATTAGAGTTCAATAAAGCAGCAATATAATCTAATTGAAAACGCAAAAGTATTAAGGGGTAGGTGACTATTATTTTTCTTGCAATGGTTTCTCATGAATAAACTTTTCTTGTTGTTCCCATTGCAGCCAGATCCATTGACAGAGACACTAGAGGCAGTTGTTGGCGAACAAGATCCCATGGGCTTTAGACTCGAAGCTGCTGAAGCAGATTCTGAGGTTATACTTCATGTTTTACTTTGAGATCATATTACTACAACTATTTGGATTATTCAAGTCCCAATGTCTTCACTCACAAACATAGGCAATCTAAACACTTACGAATGCAAAATTTGCAGTGGGCTGATGTGGAATCACTCATCAAAGAACTAGAACAGGTTGACGGAATCCAATCTGTGACAAAAGGGCGATATTTCTTGAGCCCCGGTCTGACACCTACATTTCAGGTGAAGTTGGTTGTTGACATGGGAAATTCATATGTGTCTCACATGTTTCATTCTAGCATAATCAAGTGGACGCAATTGTTTTGACCCTTTTTTGTTCCCCATTCCATTGCACAAGCAAGCTGGCCGCACCTTGTCTTAAAAGTCACCAGGCTTTCCTACCCTTATACTACAATAAATCTTCCCAATCTAATATTACAAGTTAAAATGCTACGATGCATAAATTCAAATTACATTACACGAGAAAACCTATGGGAATACATTTACTTTTGCAGGTTTATATGGCATCCATGTTCCAGAATCAGTACAAGTTGCTTGCTCGAGCCGGGAATAGAGTGCAGGAGGTTAACTTTATCCCTATTACCATCTGATTATTTACTTCAACCTGGATTCATTTCCTTACGCCACATTGCTGTAACTGCAAAACTTCCTAATAATCATCTAATACATGCATGTTTTGATCAGGTAATTGTCGAAACTTCTTCCCTGAGCAAAGAAGAGCTGAAATCTGTTATCATGACCTGCACCAACAGGGTGGAATGAAAACACTGCCCCAGCCAGTTGTACCTGTATGTTACAACCTCGACATTCTAGCATATTATTACATTCTTTGCTTGCTTCATTTACACTGCACCCTGTCCGATCTTGACTATGGTCACTTCTTGTAAAGTTAAGTAGAATTTGTACTATAAGCTGTAATGCTAAAAATGAAGGCCTTGTTTGCTCATTTTCGACACTTTCTTTGCATTATGCTTCTGTAGAACAATACATTAGCATCTTTTTCATTATTGAATTCGAAAACATATGCTCCTCAAGGAGCAAATTATCTATATTTTCATCTTCATCGACAAAACATTACGCATTAGGGAGCATGAGGCGACGAGCCTTCTTTGTAATACAGTCATGGTCACAGAAGCACAATGTATCCGCAAGCCCGGGACTCGCCCTGCAATACGGGTATGGATGCAAACCCGAGTAATAGTTGTTACAGAGCTGGATACATCGAGCCTCTGTCACCGTCCTCCCACAAGCTCCCAATATGCTAGTACATCTGTATTTCTGAGACACGTCTGTGGTCGCATTTTTATCCTCTGAAATTTTGATAATCAATATATACGTACTTTCATTAAACATCGAGTAATGACTGATCTTTGTGATCGAATCGTACGACCTTTACCTTTGCATGTTGCACTGTTGCAGGAATAGCTCAAGGATGTGTTCGCAGCTGCATACGGATCGAAATTACTGTAAGTCAGTCGAAAAAAAAAAAAAAACTTTTGAAGCTAAAATTGTATTTGTATATTTACCTATGATGAAAATAACGATGAAGGCGATATGAGATTTTGAAATTGCTTCCATTTTCGAATATATGGATGAATGTAGAATGTGTGATTTTATAGTTTGTATATATGAAGCTATTCGATTGTGTGAATATGTTATTTTATTATTTAAGTATTTGGATAAGATAATTATGTATTTATAATTTTATTACCTGAATATTTAGATAAGTTAATTATGTGTTTGTAATTTTATTATCTAAGTATTTTGATAAGATAGTTACGTGCAATACATATAATATTTTGTATAGAAAATAACTTACAAAGCATCATAATTCATGTAGTTGACGAGAGGGTACGTAATAACATACTCATAACTTCATAAAATTAAGAAAAATACAATAATTATGTAAGAAAGCATAATCTTCATACATATTCATCTTTATTTCGATCAACACAACATATTACTCCTAATTACGGAGCCGGAGGCAGAGTCACCGACGACGATCCTTTCATACAATCATGCTCACAAATGCACATATTTAAGGGCGGGCGGGCAAGTCCCAAAGCCGGCCCGCAACGTGGAGCTGGATTCGCACCCGAAAACCAGCTAAGGCATAGCCGTCTACAATCAGATTCGCTTATAGATTTACCACACTCGCCCAATAAACTTAGACACCGGTATTTATAATCTTCATATTCAATCTGATCTAAAAAATTTCAAAAACAAAAATTAAAAAATTATAGTAATAATTTTTTTTTTTAAAAAAAAATTGAATATATATATGTACGTATTTATGATAATTCATTGATCGATCGAATGTGATATATCATTTACCTTCGTGCGATGCGCCGAGACCACAATAGCATGAGTAGGCATTCATAGCTGAAGTGAATTAGTATATTAGTAAATGTAAAAAAAATAAATCGCGGTAAAATTAAATTTGTGTTAATAAACTTACCTAAGATGAAAATAGCAATGGAAGTATAAAATGTAGTCTTTGGCTCCATTTCTTCTGATTTTCAAAGTTAGGAATTGTATTAAATAATATGAATGTGTCCATATATATAGGGTGTGTTTGTTCGGTGGTTTGGATTTTGAATTGGAATTTCAATAGTAAAAATTTTGAATTTGAATAGTTGTATAATGTTATATAAATAGATGTTGATGTGATGTTTTGAATGTAAAATTAATTTTTAGTTTAATATAAAAAATATTGAGATGAACAATATATTTAAAATCCAATCTCCCAAACAATTATGTTATGTTAGCAGTTATTTATGTTATTTATGTAAACTTTATTTAGCAAAAAAATGTTGAGTGTTGGATTAAATAATGACATAATTATGGCACTACAGATGATTCATTCTGCCTTAACTTCCTTCCTACTTTTATTTAGTTATAATACGTGTTATGCATATAAATATTTGTTATTTCTATTTATGTGACGTCGGCTAGATAAATATTTTTATTTTTATTTATTTACGATTATCTTTCTTAAGTTTTAATAAAAATACATAATGTACTGTTTTTTCATAAAATATTACATTAAATACCATTTAAATTCAAAACTGAATTCAATAAAGTATTTTTGTTTTGGTTGGGTGTTGAAAAGAAAATTGTAATTTAGCCATTTCTGTATGTAAAATTATTAACTGAATTATGGGAAATTATTTATGAATATGGATGGCCAGATGGGTATCGAAGTAATAAACAAATAGAGTATATTATTAGATTAGTAAATCTTAAAGAGTATATCGCAATAAATTTGATTAATTATTGAGTGGAATAGATTTTATTTTATTTTATTCTATGAGAGAATTGAATATATATATATATATATTATATTAAAAATAGTATAGATAGAAAATAATGGAAGGCAAATAAATCCACAATATATTAGTCTTATAAAATATGAGTAAAATAAATATTAAAAAAATAAATATTTTATTAAAAACGAAAAAAAGTAAAATAGTGGTCGAAAATATTTTTAAAAATAATTAGTAATTAAAAATAATAAAAGAAATAAATTTTAATAAAATTAATTATATTTATTATAAATAAGTGTTTAACAAAAAATAATAATTTTTTATTCTCCTAAATATAGTACTATTATAATAAATTTAATGAAATTAAAAGAAAAAATAAAAAATAAATTTGGCGGAAAATAATGTAGTTTTCATCTATTCTAAACTTTAACGGAAATGGAGTAAATCAAAACACATTGCACACAAAACACGAGACACACTCACCCACCCACCCTAGACGAGGCAGAGAGAGTGGGCCACGAAACGATATCCACCACCCATTTCCCCATCCGTCACCACCAATGAAGGGCCACGATTTTACCACCCAATGGGGCCCGCTCGAATATCCACAAAATCCCATCCGTTAAAATGAGCGGGAAAACGACAGACGAACGAACCAGATGAAGCAGAGAAAGAACGGCAACCCTAGACTTGACTGGTGCCAACCACACTGACAAAATGCGTCTCTTTCAGTCCCCAAAACCACGCCATTAATCAAATCCCTAATTCCTTCCCTTCATTCACAGCTGCAGAAGAAGAAGAAGATGGCACCCAAAAGGAAGCAGCCCGCCGCCGACGGATCCGCCGTCGCCGTTGCCAGAGTTACTCGGAGCTCTACGCGCCAAGCCAAAACCACCGCCACCGCCACCGCCACCGCAGCAAATACCCAACCAAACAAAAGGAAGAAGACGACGAAGACCACCGTGAGCCCGTCCTCCGAGCCGCCGGAGGTGGTGGACCCGGAGGTTTCGGATGCCTCGAAAACCATCATAATCGAGCACTGCAAGCAGTGCAACTCGTTCAAGACGAGGGCCGTCCAGGTGAAGAACGGCGTGGAGAAGGACGCGCCGGGAGTGAAAGTGGTGGTCAACCCCGAGAAGCCGCGGAGAGGATGCTTCGAGATTCGGGAAAAAGGCGGGGAAACGTTCGTCAGTTTGCTGGACATGAAGAGGCCTTTCAAGCCCATGAAGGATCTCGACATGGAGAAGCTCATTCTCGACATTGTGGAGAAGATAAAGTAATTATAAGTTCATCGGAGATTGATTAGACAGGCAGGCACTCATTTTTGTCGGATTTATGGATGGATCGACTTTTGGTGTTATGTTATAGATTATTAATTAATTATTGTCTTGAACTGAACTGAACCTTTACTTCCTGCCATTGATGGTGTATTTTGTGCTTGGTATCTGCCTGCATCTACTTTTGGGGAAGAAGATGAAATCGACAATGGTTTTATTTCTGAAATTTGTGGTCTTGATTTTACCAAATGTTGTGTGGACGAGGACGACATTATGAAGGTTGAATCTGATTCTTTCTTACCCTAAATTTGAATCTTAATTGTTGTTTAATCGATTTGTAATTTTGTAATTGTGGAAGAGAAAGTAATAAAGAAATAGTCAAAATTGAAGTCAAAGTCAAAGGGTTGACAGGTTGAATTGCGGAATTATTGTAACCCTAAAGGCGACAGAGCTTCCAAATTAAAACCCTAAACCCTTTCGAAACCCTTTTCCCCAATTCTGCGAAATGCGTTTCTTCTCCGCAATTTTCCTCGACGAGAATGGGAGGCTCTTAAACAGGCTAGGTTTCCTCCGCCGGATGGGCGGCGGCCCGCGGACATTTCCGGGAGGGCTCAACAAGTGGCAATGGAAGCGTATGCACGAGAAGAAGGCGAGGGAGAAGGAGAAGCGTCTTCTCGATCAAGAAAAGCAAGTGTATCAGGCTCGAATTCGTTCGGAAATTCGTGCCAAACTGGCGTCTGCTGAAAATCTCACTTCCGGGCAGGGAAATTCGGATAATCAGAACAATCCCGACTACGGACCGTTAACGCCCAAAGAGCACATCAAAGCTCTTGCAGATCGGTTTATGAAGGAAGGGGCAGAGGATTTGTGGAACGAAAATGATGGCCCGAAGGTGATTCCTGAAAATAAACCTGGGAGAAGCCTGTTGAAAGGTCAGCCAATTGATATGCAAAATCTTACTGCAGAAGGATCGAGCTATAGTAATGGTAGATTTGCTAATGTAGCTAAACCTAGAGGTTTTTGTACGCATACTGGGCTAGGAAGTAATATGATGATCGAAGTTGGAAATGGTGGACTTAATTTAATGGATAGTTGTAGGAATGGGTTTCGATTTGATCGATTGCATATGAAGTGTTACTATTCTGCTGATGCTGCAAGTTTCAGAAATAAAACCTCTAGTTTTGTTAGAAATAATAGTTCGAGAATCGATGGCAAGGATGCTGAAGTGAGGTCTGGTAATGGGAAGAGCGCGAAATGGCCAAGGTTTCGAATGGATTCATCGGATGATGACAGTGATGACTTTGAAGAGGATGGGGGGTTGGAAGGTGGAGGGAAAGTTTTGAGAAGCAGTGCTGCATTAGGGAAGTACGATGTTAAGATAGAGAAACGTCGTGTGCCTTTGAAAGTGTTGGAAGATGAGGATGATTTATCTCAGCGAATTGCAGAAATTCGAAATGAGATTAGGCAGAAGAAGGCTGTACAGGAAGAAGAAGAAGAGGAAATTGGGGAAGAAGAATCACTTCTCAGCACAAAAAGGTTGCTAAGATTTTATATAAGCTGTGAATTTAATACAAGTGTTTAGTTTCGATGGTGTATTTGTTTCAGGTTTGATGAGGTCGGCGGCGTATCTTCATTGACAGTCCAAGCACTAGCCGAAGCTGGTTATGTGCAAATGACCAGAGTACAGGAGGCAACCCTTTCTGCTTGTCTTGAGGGTTTGTACTTACATTTATTACAATCCGATCTCTGTTTTTGCCGAGTTATGATACCCTTTGGGTTTTCTTGCTTTGTACTAATTGGTCGGAATTTTTCGGGTCTCTGATATCTGTTCACTGTCGAAACTTGTGTTAATTTGAATTATATTGAATACAATGCAATGTGAATTAGTAAATTACCATCTGCCTCAGATAAATATTGTTAGACTTGAATGTGATTTTTTTCTGAATTAGCTAGGAATCGGTTTATGCTGCATACTCGTTCTGTTTGATATATGGCTTGCTCGTTACACTCCCGGATTTTAATGAAATCAGAAATACTTTTATTGTCAATCTTCAGTGTTTGTTCCTTACCGGTTTCTCATTATCTGAGTTCTTGACTTGATAACAGGAAGAGATGCTTTTGTAAAAGCTAGAGCAGGAACGGGCAAGAGTGTTGCGTTTTTGGTATATCCCTGTGTCCGTTCGCTTCTAGTTTTAATTCATACTACATAGTGTTCTTTCGATTTGTTTTCTCAATTTTCTGCTAAACATAAACAGCTTCCTGCTATTGAAACAGTTCTGAAGGCATCAAATGACCGCTCAAATCAGCGAATCCCTCCAATAAATGTTCTAATCGTATGCCCCACACGAGAACTCGCAAGTCAAGTATGCGCAGAAGCAAGAGTGCTACTGAAGCACCACCATGGCATAGGTGTGCAAGCATTAGTTGGCGGGACACGATTTAAAGTTGATCAAAGACGCTTAGAATCAGATCCATGCCAGGTATGCATTTACATTTAGCATATTGAAACTTCGTAGAGGCGCAGCTCAGAGCTATTAATTCCGTTACAGCCATTACCGTCGGTTTCCGTATTGTAAATGTTTGCAGATGCTTGTAGCAACCCCTGGTAGACTGTTAGATCACATTGAAAACAAGTCAGGCATCTCTGTGCGCTTGATGCGACTGAAAATGCTCATACTTGATGAAGCTGATCACTTATTGGATCTCGGGTTTAGAAAGGATATCGAGAAAATCATTGATTGCTTGCCTCGCAGCCGACAGTCTTTGCTCTTTTCAGCTACAGTTCCTAAGGAGGTTCGTATTTTTTGAGCTTGTGTTGGTGATTTGCGTAAGTGTATCTTTATATTTAACAATACAATTTCAGGTCCGTCGAATCTCTCAACTTGTTCTTAAAAGAGAACATGCATACATCGATACTGTGGGGCTTGGATCTCTCGAAACTAGTTCTAAGGTATCATTTTTAGCCCAAAAATTTTGGTCGACCTTTCTACTTGTCTGTATTCGATGAGTGATGTGATTATGTAACAATCAGGTTAAGCAATTTTACGTGATCACACCCCACGATCAGCATCTTCAAATAGTGTACCATTTGTTGAAGAGCCATACATCGGAAGTGATTGACTACAAGGTGAATTATTATCGATTCTTCACGACATGAACGCTTCGCTAACTTTAAGCCCCCTTTCTTACTGGTTTTTGCTCGGCTTCGTTTTCAGGTTATTGTCTTCTGCGCAACAGCAACAATGACTTCGCTCGTGTACACCCTTCTCCAAAAAATGAAACTGAATGTCCGAGAGATTCATTCCAAGAAACCTCAACTCTATCGTACACGTATCTCCGATGAATTCAAGGAAGCCAAAGGACTCATCCTGATTACATCCGATGTTTCAGCTCGAGGGATGAACTATCCCGATGTTACATTAGTCATTCAGGTAAAACGCCTATTGCCTAAACCTCTAGCTCGATTTCTTGAAAATGTTCGCACTGTTCTAACCTTGATTTCGACATACAAGGTGGGAATTCCCTTGGATCGAGGTCACTACATCCATCGACTCGGAAGAACAGGACGACAAGGCAAAGAAGGTGAAGGGCTTCTACTTCTTGCACCATGGGAGCAATATTTCCTCGGCGAGATAAAAGATCTTCCCCTTGAGAAATACCCGTTGTCCAAACCGGATCCTAATTCAAAACTAAAGGTATGCAATCCTTTTTTCACTCTCTAATCTCTTCCAGCTCATGGAAGTTCAAAAGATTCTTGGACAAACAATGCAGATACAAGAGTCGTTGGAGAAGATCGATATCAGCACAAAAGAAGCAGCCTACCACGCCTGGCTCGGTTACTACAACTCCATCGGCGCAATAGGGAGGGACAAGACAACGCTCGTAGAGCTTGCCAACCAGTTCTCGGCATCCATTGGCTTAGATAAGCCGCCTGCGCTCTACCGGAGAACGGTTTTGAAGATGGGGCTGAAAGGCATTCCGGGCATCCGAATACACAACTAGCAACGTTTAAGGTTCCCATTTTCTTACCACTTTCATGTCTCTTTACTACATTTGATTTCACATCATTTTTGGAGTTCACATTAAATTTTGAATGCTCTGTTTGCATAATTTAACTTTTCACTTGGATGACACTATTTGTTTTTTAAAAAGCATTATATCAAATATATTTTTTATCTCACAAATAGTAATTTTTTTACTTTCTTTCAAAATTTTTGACACTCTAAAATCCAAAATCCTGTGTCTAAATGGAGCCATTTCTTTGTCAAAACATAGACAAATTTGGTTCCAACGTGTTTCTGCATAATATAAAGAAGTGTGAAAATGAAATGGTTTGGTTGTGCACAGGTCACAAGACCCAAATTTTAAGCAAAATGTCTATTCAAAGATTTGAAATTGAAACACCCAATTAAGATTTAAAAATAAATAAATAAGAAGGGGTGGAAGCCAAACTAGCCTGCTTTGTCAATGATCAAGAATTGAAAATTTGACACCACGTATTGTTATGATCTCATCCTTTTCCATTCTTGAAAATTTATAGAAATGGGCACGTTGAGTGACGTGTTGGGATTGACTTATTTCCTTTTTTCTGTAGGAAGTAAAATGATGTTTGGGGACTTGAATAAATTTCACCTTTTATATTGAAAAGGTATTACAAAAACTGATTAAAATAGTGAATGAAACAAATAGTGACGATGCACATTCAAACAGACATGGAGATAGTGACCACTAATTATAATGCAACATGGGCTCATCCTACACAAGAAAGTCATAAGAGAAGATGTGTCCATAATAGCCAATATCAATGGCTGATACTATTGTATATGTTTTGGTCAATGGGGACATTTCTGTCATTACATTCTCCACACACACACACACCCACATATATATATATATGTATATATATATAATTACTTCAACATTTGTCTGTGCCACTTGTTTTCCTTGGATCACATGATATAAAAACCATTCCACACAACAGTAAACATCATTCAAGAAAAGTCATACACACCTCATTTTAGCCATTTCTCCATCTTCTTCTTCTTCTTTGTAACTCTTGTTTTTTTTTTTTTTTTTTTTGTCATCCTAATAATACAGAGTATGATCAGGATTCATTCTCCCCCAAATCCCATTCTTCTCACCATAGCCATCATCCTCATTATCAGCAACCTCTCAGATTGCCGCGAATTCCCCAGCAACAAAGAAGCCGCGCACCGCCCTGCAGCATCAAGGTCCCATTCCCAGTTTTCTTGGTATAATTTCCCTGTACCGTCTCCGAAGCCATCCAGGAATGAAGATGGAGATGAGTCAATATACGGAGTTTCGCTTCGGACAACTCCAGGTGGACCAAACCCTTTACACAACTGAATTCTTTCATGTTCTGTGAACAAACAAGAAGTTTTGCAACATTGTGTCTTCTTTCTATGTAATCTCTCTCTTTTGCTTAGGAATCCTTTTATACTATTGAAGTTCATAGATAGTACAGATAAATTTCAAACTATGGTTGTAAACTTTAGCTAGCTGCCCTGCAAGAAATTGTTTGAATCAATAATAGTATGTATACACAACACAGTTAGAATGTCATTGTTGCCATTCATTAGGCAAATAAATGTTGAAAGTGATTTATGTATTGTTTTTTTGCTGAGCCCATTTGGGGTATTGACAACTCTGATGTTTTCAGATTACTGGCTGTCTCATTCCAGTTTTTATTACTGGACCTTCTAAAATAATGACATCATAGCACTTCATTATGATGTAAACATATACAATTAGTTAGCAGGAAATTAGGCATGATGTACACTATTAATCCAAGTACTAATCAAACAGCTATCATGGATGTGGAAATGAAAGAGCATCATTATAGTTGTGATGTGGATTGAATTTGTTAAATTAATCCAGGCAGGAATAAGGCCAAGGGAGTTAGTGAGAATGGATGAGAGAATAATGTGAACACAAAAACAAGTGAAAATAATATTAACCAATCTATCATGCTTGCTTCATATGTGAAAATCAAGAATTCAGGCTGCAGATCTTATATAAGTCACAAAGAAATTATTTAAAATTGTTATACACATATACATACATATATATATTATATATGGTAGTATTATATTCCAAGCAATTCCTTGTCATCAACAAAATTATAAAATTCTGTAATCTGAAAGTCAAACAATGGCATTTGGAAGATTCGAAAAAAAGATGAAGCACAGAAATGGATGCCATGCACAAATTAAATAAGGAAAGATTCTTTATTTATTCCACAACAAGATGTTAACATTGTGTCAGCTATTAATCATGCAATCATCAGCACATGGCATCTTCAAGGCTTTCAAATAAATAATGTACATTGAACCCTTTCTTCTATCATGGATAGAATTAGGTATGATGTTCAAAGTATTCAAAGTAACCGAATTTCCCACCTTATTTAACAAAGTACCTGAACCGCCTGCAAAGCTGCCGACAGACTTATGCAAGGTTAAATTATAGGTGGTGTCTTGGAGCCTTGAACAGATACAGACAGAGATAGGGCAGTGGAATCAAACTCCTACAGCTGGATGTCTGTTTCTTAAATAACTGCACTCATTTACTTCCTGAGAATATTGAAAGATCTTAATGCTGACAGAATTAAGATAATCATGAATATGATTAGTACCGCTAATATATTAAAGGAAATATTAAGATATGTCAAGCAATTTATAATGAAATGTGACCTAGATGAGAGCCTGCTTCCTTGTTGTAAAGAACCTCTAGGTGTGTACACAACCACCTGATCCTGCATTAAGTTCAGACATAATAACTAGTATGGGTTTTACAGGTAATGGAAATTAAATTGTTTATGAAAAAATCAACCTTGCTACATAAGCTCTGTGCCAATAGGATCAACAGGAAAATGGACAGAAACAGCCTTCACAATGATGGGCTGGAATTTCGATCTCCACATCTGCTTTTAACAAATTTGTTTAAGCAAAATACTCATTGTATCGTTATAACCTTAATGATAAATTGGTTGTATTCAAGGAAGTTCTCAACAGGAAAAGAGAACAAATAGATATATTGGAAGTTTCATTTATATATTTAGTACTTGCTCAAAGTTCATCATCTTTATAAGTCCTCATCACAATTCCCAAATGGTTTCATTGCTCAGATTGTTGGAGAACCATAAATTGTTGCAAGTAACATTCACAAGATAACAAATAATACACAGCTACTTACAGTATTAAATTGAGGACTGTTCAAGAACATCTCAAAGGCATCAGCTGGTAGAATAACCAAAAAAAAAAAAATTAAAAAGGAAAGGAGAGAGAGACAGTCAGGTGTTTGTTATAAATCTGCTTGGGAAAAATGTGCTGATATCCAAACTATGCTTGTTATAATTATGCTACTTGAACTTTAATTCATAATCAATTGTGATGAAACAACTTATCTAGTCTGCTTTGCAGACCATGAAGTGTTAGCTATCAGTTTTTGGTCACTTCTTGATACGAAGTTGCAGCAGATGACAACATAAAAAAGAAATTTATGATTATATATGGTGAGAGAGAAAGAGTTATCGGAATAAGAATGCATGACTCAGATGGAAAAGTCATTTATCTCCAAAGTGCCTACAGTGCAATGGAGATTAAGGGAAACACATGGCTCACATGACCGGAATCGTATTACTCCCCCATGAGTATATTCTGTGCTGTCTGTATTCATATTGGGACCTGCATTGAAAGAAAATCAACACATAACCATGGCTAGGATCTCGCACAGCACAACATATAAAAGGAAGGTAAACTCCCTGGTTTCAAGAAAAAAGTGATGCTTAAAGAGTTCCAAGAAATTGGTGATATTTTGACCTAGAATATTTTACTCCATGAATAGTCCTTAATGGGTTGAGATATTTTATAAAGAAGATATCTAATAGATATTTGGAATCAATCATTTATCACTTAGAAGAGACATAATAGGATTTTATTGCTATAAGTATGGATTATTAAAAATAATAAGGCATGGATTTGGATATTTTGCGACTGACGAATAGAGAACAAGAAAACATACCTTTAGTAATCTGAACAATCAAAGAAGGGAAAACCACAGCCAGGTTATCCAGAGAAGTCATTGCATCTTCTGCAGCTTCACCCAGAGAGCTCCTAATGAATGATAAAACAAGCACAAGCTCTACGCCGTAGTTGAACTCCTGCTAGCATAATCACATCATGCTCTTGAGATGTTCTTACATAATTCAAGTAAAAATACAAAATCAGGGAATACTTATTACAATGGCATGAGAACCAACTCGAATATGAAACTAAGGTGACAGTGAAGAACATCACAGTAATGTTTATGACCAGTAAGGGTAGTCAGAACATCCAACCTCTCCCTTGCGAAATATTGGCAGGATGTCATCTTCTACTTCAGATTCATAGTCCAAATTGATCAAACCCTGTGAACCAAAATTTCATACATTAGAAAGATAGAATAATAAGCTGTCACAGCAGGGGCCTAAGAGAACATATGAATTGAGATTTTGGTGTTTACATGTCAAAGCGTACATGGCAGTAAGGCATCACATGTTCCTTAAGAATCCCCAAATAAAAGGAGTTCTTGTAAAAATTTGCAAGGTCGTCTTTTGTTTGGAAACGCATGAAGATGGCGTGCGTATAGCATTCGGGATTTTGATCACAAATACGGCCTACAGCAGTTAAAAAAAGAACCTTATAGATACTTCAAATAAGGTTCATGATGGGAAAATGCAGGGCGGATGCCAAATGTTACCACTCAAAATACTCCAAATAGATTAATGGATAGTGTATAAACTAGAAAAAGGAAACCATAGCCCAAATCTAATTACTAAGCATTGAAAGATCACCTAATGATATTGCAACAACGCCACGCATGTAATATTGTATCGTATAAATATAGTCCAGCATAACTTTCTCTTGATCTTCAGACAAATCCTCTTTCGCTTTCAGCAAACAAATATGTTCAACAACCTTTCTGCAAACATCAGTATGAGACCTGTATTACTGCAAAGCACATGGATACTCATTCCTGTAAGAGAAACTTTAATCAACTTATGCTTCTTGGAAAATTCAATGTGTGTATAGTATGGAATGCAAATGTGGTGTGTGTTTATCCGTATTATGCATAGCCAGTCTGCTTCACCTTCGATTGGATTAAACATTTAAACTATGTTCATAGAAACAGGGAAATAGAGTTCCATTGTCAAGTTAAATGGTATGTGAATACCAAAAACTGACACGCCTCACCAAGATATGAGCAATATGTTCAAATTGGAAACCGAGCTCTGGCTGGGTACACAGGAAACCCACTTTCATTGTGGATTGACGCATAACAAAGCCTTCCACATTTACTCAAGAATCGAGAACAATTTCCATGTTTTACCGCACATTAAAAATAACAGCAAAAGTATCAAAGAAAGTAGTATAACGTAAGGAACAGAAAACCTCTTTCTTCGCACATCCGCACCCATATTTCCATCCTCAAAAGCAGAAGCCCTAGCCCCCGTGACCTTTTTACCCCAATTGCACAATTTTCCTCCGGAATCGCCTAAAATGGAAACTGGCAATTCCAAAACAACACGCATTCAAATTGAGTCCAAACACGGAAGCCCCAAAACACGAAAATTCAAACCAGCAAACCAAAATATCAATTTCATACCACCACAACTCCAACCTCTAGTCGCTTTCAACCTCAAAGATATACCGGGAAGCGGGCGCGGCTCGAAGATAGCGCCACGATGGAGGCAGCCATTCACCGGCAGAGCACCACAAGAAGAAAGAATATTAGCCGGAATTCGCATTCTTCACAGTCTGTATGAGCGTGTGGCAGTGGCGACGAAGACAGCAGATTACTTTGTAGGTGGAATGAAAATTGGTGGCCTCAGAAAAACACCAAAATGTATTCTTGGCGCCTTATTATTAATCTATATATATATATACACACATAAATAAATAAATAAATTATTAAATTAAAATAAATTTACTGTCACACTTGTTACAATTTCTGATCAAATAATTATTTGAGAAAATAAAATAGCATCGATCATATACACCAAACACGCTTATTCTATTTTATTATCGAACATTGCAAAATACAATTATAAATTAAATCACATGAATTATTGCACATCACTGCAAAGTAACTGCACTATTACACTGTACGTGTATATGTGTAAATTCTTTTATGTATATTAATATTATTTCTGCAATTATAATTACAAGTAACTTAAGGGCAGAAGACAACTCTGTAACTGGTCGCCGGCGGGCAGGTGAAGGTGCTGGTGGGGTCGTCCTGGGGATACGTGAAGGCGTCGCGGCACCGCGTCTTGAAAAACCTGGAAAGATCCGTCGGCCGGCAAGTCCCGGAGTGGCAGCAATACTCCGTCGTTTTAAACACCGTGCAGGGGTTTTGGCAGCCGCCGGGAGTCCTCAGCTCGTTCGGGCACTCGCCGACGATGTCCGCCGCGCATCTCACCGGCCGGGTGCACCCGTTCGTGGTCGGCCGGAACTCCATCGGCACGTTGAATCCTTCCATAACCGAGATATCGTAGTAATCCTTCCGCCCGAACGAGTTGAGCCCGTACTCGGCGACGGTGTGCGGCGGCGCGCCGTAGGTCCGGCACTGGAGCTGCCCGTTGCAGTCGCCGGTCAGGCAGGTGCCCCTGCCGGAGGAGTCGAAGGAGCAGTTGGTCCGGGCCCAGATCTTCGCGATCTTGGGCCCTTCGCGGTACCCGATGGTCCAGGTCTGCCCGGAATCGAGGCGGCGGCCTCCGCCGGGGACGGCGGCAGGCCAGACGGTGTAGGAGCAGTTGTTGTGGATGTCGAAGATTATGGCTTGTGAATAAACGAAGAAAATGGGTACAAGTGTTAGAAGCGTAATCTTGGTGGAAACCATTTTGCCAAATTATTGTTTAGTTTTGGTTCTACGGGAGATTATTTTTTGGTTTCATATAAAGGGATAGAAAGATTAGAATTTTCAATTTTTGGAAGAGTCAAAAAAACCATCTTTGCATAATTTCAACCTCTTTATCCTTTTCTCTACAACTTTTTCACGACAAATAGTTTACAATAATCGAAATCTATGGGTGCAACCAATTTTTTACAAATATAATAATTAATATTACTAACAATTTTCAAAGTATTGAACAATGAGGTGGTAGTTAAAGAGCGTCACGTGTAGATGGGAGCATTCGAGCTGGATTAATCCTCACCGTTCACTGATGGCAGCCCTGTTCATGTACGGCGTAGATACATCCACGTTTCAGTATTTTTTAACAACCTTCACAGCACCAAAGTAAAACTGTTTTTAATCAAAAGCGCATTTATCAAAACACGATTTTACTACAAGAAGTTCAGCTGACTTTGGTATGCATAATGCATGCCTTCCTCGACATGCTGTATCTGTAACAATTTTGAAACAACAATGGATCAAAAGTCGAAGCTTTGTCTATGCAGCAGAAGCTGAAGCTGAAGCTGAACCTGATGGAGCCTTCAACTGCAGCCACGAGATCAGATCTTCGCGCGTCGCGACGAAGAAACCGGCTTGCTCCTCGCTCTCCCGGAAAGGCGCCGCGAGTTTCGCCACATGCGACGCGAAGGCATTGCCCAACCCTTGTGAGAACTTGTGCGTTCCGGCGCCGGTGGAAGCAGAAAACAACGCCGGCAAGTTCTCCTCCCTCTGCACGATCTTCGCCAGCGAACCCATCCACTCTTCGAACGCAGTGTGAGCAGCGCCGACGGAGAGCGACCGGACGTTTAACCTCCACTCTTCCTCAGTCTTAGTATGAAGACCGGGATACAGTCCGTAAACGGTGCCTAAGTACAGAAGCTCGTGGGCGCGCTCGTGGAGGTTTCTGTTCCGGCAAACGTCGATCAAACAGTTGCAGAACGGTCTCCGCGACTCGACGGCCGTGTTGCTCAGCACAGCCTTGAATTCTTCCTTCACTGTTTCGACGTTAGCACCATCGGAAAGAATGTCGACAAACGCAACCAGTTTTGGGTTTGCCTGCTCTAAACAGGCGAGGACTTTCTCCGCATCGTCGTTCTTGCAGTTCGACACGATTGAAAGCAAGCATCCGCATAGCCTGTCATCCGGCTTGATCCCTGCCTCGACGGAAGTCGTAAACACCCTCACTAAATCGTCGATTTTCTTCGCTTTCCCCAAGCACTGGATCAAGCAAGTGCATCCCATGACATTTAGATTGACATTTGCCTCCGACATCTCCCTAAACAACGCCATCGCCCTATCAACATTTCCCTCACTGCCGTATATGTTTAGCATCGCCGTGTAGCTCCAACTATCCGGCTTGCACTTATCCGACCCCTTCATGTCTTCAAACAGCCTCTCGGCCTCGTCCACCAATCCGATATCGGCGCACATGCTCAACAAAGTGTTGTACAATATGAAATCCATAGGCCATCCATTCGATTTCATCCGTTCCCAAAGCTCCAACGCATTCCTCGCCCACCTCGCGCGGCCGTAAATCTTGATCAACGCCGTTAATGTCTTCTCATTCGGCGTGATCCCCGAATCCACCATCTCCTCGAACAAACTCCTCGCCAATCCGGGCTTCCCGGCCTTCCCCATCGCCTCCAACAACGAATTGTACACGACTAAATTTGGCTGCACGCCAAGCGTCTTCATCTCCTGCAATACATATCGAATGCCATCGTAATCCCCGGCCTCTCCGAACATTTTCGCCAACACGGCGAATGCGATCGGGTCCGGGGTCCAGCCACTGGCTCTCCCTCTCTCGTACAAGCTCATTACCTCCTCAACTTTGCCTAACTTGGCGTAGACATCCAAGACAGCTGAATAAGTGACCTCATCGGGCATCAAACCGGTCTTGTACATCCTCTCAAACCACTCCACAGCCTTGTCGAAGAGATTGCATCTTTTCGCGCAGGTGATGATCGTGGAATAAGTGATGTTGTCGAGCTCGACGCCATTGTCGATCATCTCGAATGCCAGCTGCTCAATGTGCTGGAATTGCCTGCCGAACCTCAAACACTTCATGGTCACATTGTAGAAGATTGTCTCCATTGGGAACACGCCCTTGGACTTGACCCAATTGAGGAACCAAAGCGCCTTCTGCCATGGCCGCAGACTGTGCAGCACTAAGAGGGCGTTTTCCCGGTCGACCGTGTGGGGGAATTCTTCGACGACGGCGGTGAAATCGGAATCGGCGCAGAGGTTTAACCGTTTAGCGAATTGGCGGAGGTCTTTGATTTGGGGATTGTAGGAATAGGAAGAGGAGCGCTTATGGCGCTGCAAGGAGAGGACTGAGGGCTTAGGCCTGGTCGGATTGACCCAGGTCGATTTGGGCTTGGCCAATAGGGGGTGGGGGTGGGTATTGGGTCCGTTTGGCTGGTCGGGAAGAATGGTGGTCGACAAGGGTTTGAGCTGCTCGGCCAAGGAGGGGGAGGGGGGTTTGGGGTCGTGGGCAGGGCGGCGGGAGGAATTGCAGGAAGTGAGGAAGCGGTTACGCAGAGGGAGATGGAGGAGGGGGAGGGGGCGGTGGTTGTTGGTGTCGGAGTGGTGGTAGTGTGGTATGGATAGATTGGTGGCCATTGAAGGAGGAGATGAGGAAGAAGAAACAGGAGAAAGGGGTTTTGGAGAATGGGTTTTATGTAGTGCTGAAAATGGGATATTTTCTGAAAGAGATGAGATAGATTGGTGATGGGAGGGGAGGGTCGGCCTTGACCTTATCTTCTTCCTTGCTTCAACAATGGCCTCTGCTATGGAATAACCCCACTTTGGATTTTGGATTGTTACTCTGTTAGGTAAATGATTTTTTATTTTTTTTTAAAAGTAATTTAATCAATATTTATTTTGATGATAATTAATACTCCGTATTTTCATATATGAAAATTGTTTTGTTTTTAAAATTTATTTTAGTGTAATAGTAATAATTATAAATTTAATACTCTGTCCCTTCCACCTATCATATCATATTTTTTTTTTAAATAATTATACACTTTAATCTATTTTTAACTTTTTATTTTATTTTATTTTATTTAAATTTTAATTAAACTAATTAGTTATCTTAATTTTAATTTATAATTATTTATATTATAAAATAATTATTTTCACTGATGCATTCTTAATTATCTACTAATTATAAACACTCTTAATTATCTACTAATTATAGACACTGTACGTGGACGGAAGTAGTAATATTTATAATGTATAGTTTGATTATAGTATTATTAAAAATATAAATAAATGCTCTGTATTTAAACAAAATAATAATAATAAAGTAGAAAAATTTAAATTCCTCGTCTTTTTTTTCCTTACATTTATGGAGTATTTATTTTGGATGAGGAAACATTTTATTCCATTACTAAAAACTTTATACTTAAATTATAGTGTAGGTATTTTTAAAATAATAATTAAAAAAATAAAAAATATTTGTATAAATATTTTAAATTTTATATTTTAATAAATAATACTACCTCTGATTCTAAGGGTCACATTTACTTTTTACGTGTTATATTTGAATATAAATTATTATATCAAAATATAATATAAATTAATCAAAAATGACAAATATAATTATATTAGTGTCTTATTATAATACTAATAGAAAGATATTTGTACAACAAATTATATAAATATAAAAATATTTTTAATATTAAATACAATGATGTAAAAAGTAAATATAACCGTAGAGGCCGACGGATGGAGTATATAATATGAATATTATTTTATAAAAAATAAAATTTTATATAATATAAATAAATAAAAATATATATTTATTATATGTAATTAATATAAATTAATTTTATAAAAAATAAAAATTTTAAAATATAAATAAAAATATTTATTTAATAATATAAATAATGAGGTTCTGAATAGAGCTTTAAAATTTAAATAAATTAATTTATATTTATTAATTATATTTAAAATTAAAAAAAAAATAATAACAAAAAGTAATCTTATATCATATAGACTAGAATAGGGGTAAATTAATTTTTGGGAGACTTGATGTCCAGTCCCTGTCAGCTATATTAAATTTCAATTCAGTCCCTATCATAAAAGAATTGGTCTGCACTCTCTCTTTTATTTATTTCATTTAATATTGATCCCTATTCTATATTTTTTCTTTAATTTATTTAGTATAAATTTGATGTACCTTTAAATTATATTCAAATACTCCCGACGTTATTTTATATACTTATAAGACATCACGACTCTACCTATATCATGTTATGTTTTACTTAAATTGTTTCACTAATATACTTCTATTTACTTTATGGATATATTTGCTTGAGTTAAAATAAATAAATAAAACAATTACAATTATAGATATTTATAAACGCGATTATTTATATTTTAATTTTTTTGTATTAATATTAAAAAAATTATCTTATTTATCAATTAAAATCAAATTGCATAACATTTTAAAAATATTACTCCCTACGTCAGCTATAATTATGTCAAATTTCTTTCTTTAGTTGTTTGCTAAACATATATATATATAATAAACAATTTTATTTACTTACAATTTTATTAGTTTCATTTTAGCAAATAACAACCAATTTTCACTATTTTTTATAAACTCAATCGAATTGAACATAATCCAAATATATTACTATAATTGTTAATATGCATTTTAAAATATAATAATATAAATATATAAATACAAAAAATGTTAAAAACTGAAATTGAACTGAACTGAAAAATATCAAGTATGTAGTATTTGTTTCAAATTGAATTTGCTCATTAATTAAAAATTTGGTTCGATTCAGTTGGGTTCAGAAGTTTAATGGTTCCGTTAGGATATTTTGCCCACCCCTACTTATGACATCATCTTTTTTTTAAATCATTTTTTAATAAAAGTTTTTATAATACTCTTATTTTACTTCTTATCCACCTCACTTTTGTATGAAAATATTAGTACTCCCTCCGTCCCAAAAGATTTATCTTGTTTTTCCATTTTTGTCCGTTCCAAAACAATTATCATGTTTTTTTATTTAGTAGTCGTGGTCCTCACTTTATAACAAAATTATTCCTACTTTTTCATACTACCCTAATTATTACTCTAACATACTCTTTAAAATCCTTCAAAAAGTAAGGGCATTTTAGTCATTTACATTCTACTTTATACCAACTTTCAATTAAATACTATTATTACTTAATTCTCGTGCCGACTCTCAATAAGACATTTCTTTTGGGACGGACGGAGTATTATTTTTTAATCTTCATACCTAAATAAAAATGCATAATTAGCCAGGAGAGACAAAGTATTTAATAAATTGTGTAATATAAATATAAGTTTATTTGTTCGAAATCATTTTATTAATTCCAAAAATATATACTCCCTCCGGTCCTTAACAATTTATCCATTTTTTCATTTTGATCCGTTCTTTAACAATATATTCATTTTATTTTTTAGTAATTGTACTATCTACCTAACATTACAAATATCATTCTAATTCGCAATATATTATACAAATGTCATTATCTTTATATCATACAATACTAATAAATGTAGTTTAGTCCTTTTACTTTTATTTCTACTACATCTCAATATAATACTAATATTTCTAAAATTCTATGCAAAAAGTTAATGGATAAATAGATATGAGACGAATAGAGTATATTTGAACTATATATTATTTAATTTAATATTAATTTTTTTTTTTCTAAATTTAGTATCATAAAATTTAATTTAATTATTATACAATATATTTAAATATATATGTATTTAAAATACATAATCATATTTTTTCATAATTATATAAATACTTATAAATAACAAAATATATAAAATAGGCCGTGAGTATGGCGAGTGCTAGCCTGCACACAAATGTTTCCACCGGGGCTAATAGAATAAGTGCTCTCACTGAATTTCTTAATTGGTTCCTCGGTCAGGGATTGACTATAATCGATAACACTCAAGGATATCTGCTACTACACATAATACCTAAGCAACCATCATGCATACTTTGAATGTCAGTGTTTATACCCAGTGTACATACTTACATACTTGCATCAAATACGAACAGACCCGAGTGCATCTCGTCCGTACCTATAATAATGGTGTCATATGCTTCAGTAACGAATATATATGCCCAGGAAACTACTACGTGATAAATCGATAATTTTGGGTATCATACATACCATTGTTAGTGTTAACTCAGGATAAATTTAATATGGTAGTATTCTCATCCATTTCTAGAGATTATTAAATCAAATAGTACATATTTACAAGAATTCAATGAAGAAGTTTTTAGACATTAGAATATATTAGACTAAATGTTATGATTGATTTTGTTAGTGATTATCATTCGTCTTATACACACTGTTTCGAAGTGGAGAATTAATATTCATTTGTTTTAACAACTTTATGCAGAGTATAAAATGGAAGATGGATGCTACAAATGACACATAAAGAAAATACGAATAGCGCTACATACTCTATGGTCTTGCAATTGAAAAATGTAGTATAAGTTGTTGAATGTAAATGTATCATGCACAAACTTTTCCAGCAGAACCAATAGAGAAAATGCTCTCACCGAGCCTGTTAATTGCCTTCTCCGTCAAGGAATTGACTTAAATTGATTACACTTAAGGATACCTGCTAATACACAGATAATACCTAAATAACTATCATTCATACTTTGAATAACAGTTTTTGTACCCGGAGCACATATTTATATACCTGCATCAAATACCAACATACCATAATGCAAATCTTACATACTTATAATAATAGTGTCATATGCTTCAATAAAGTGTACATATGCCCTTGTAATATGTGTTTGGAAAACTGACAATTATTTATTCAAAATATTCACTTGATGTTGGTAACCAATAATGAATTCATCATGATAATGTTTTCGTGACTCTCTGAATTGTAACAGATATATAAACAATGCATACTAACAGTTGTGGGGGAACACCATCATATATATACAATAAATATTCAATCTTTACATATGGATGGTAAACCAAGTCATAAACGAGTTAGTTAAAAATATTTTTCCTTAGTAGGGTACATGATTGTTGTTACGAATACATGTTGCAATCTTAATTCACTTTTTGAAGTAACACAATGTAAAGGTAGTGCTTACTTGAAACGATAAGTTGTAATATACTACTAGAACTTTGAGTAGTTTCTACACAATAGTACAAACACTTTTCATTCAAAATATTTGAATATTTACATTGTAATCCAAAGTGTATGACACTCACCTTAACAATTGATCATGAGCATTTTAAAAAACAATAACTCGGGAAAGCAGATAAATACTCTAGCGTGGCTTCAATGTACCTCCCATTTGCCTTAGAGTACCAATTCCTGGCCAACGGTGTACCTAGTGTCCAAAAGTGAATACTTGTATGGATTTACTCAATGACTAAAAATGATCTTGATATATTTCAATTAGAGCAAGAGTTTATAATAATCTTTGTACGGGTCTAACGAATGCAATAGTTTAATACTTACTTTGTACCATTTGGATAATTAGTTACCATAAATTTATATCCCAAATTCTTGAGTTTATTTGAACAATATCTTGTATACAAAATTATACAAATCAATTAATAACTAAAAAATTCGAATAAATCCAAAATAATATTAATACTGAACGAAATGAATTTAACACAACAAATTAGGCTAAATCAATTTTGGAATTAAGGAAATGAAAATACAAACAAACATG